TAGTTCATTTTTGCATGTTTTCAAATAGGTGAAAAAAGAAAAGTCCCAGTCTGTTATTCTGCCCATATCAACTTGTTCTGTCCCTGCAGAGGCTGATATGAGCGATGAACCTGCGCAGTTTGCAGTGAGTAACAGCACAGCAGGGCACAGTGAGGCTTAGATCAGAGGGTTTTACAGGAACATTGTCAAAGCTGTCTGCTGGAGAAGCTTCAAGGAATGACATAGCAAAACCAACTTTCTCCAAATGACTGAAGGTTCAGCTCTTTTCTTTACTATGACAAAGTATTCGAATATATCTGCTGCTGAGCTGCAAGACCTTGTCCCACTGTACGCAGAGACCCAGAGCCACGATTTGGACAGATAATCTGATACTTATCAACTCCATATGGAGACATAGGAGTCACAAAAAGTGATCTATCTTCGATGAATGAGGAAGGAAGAGTGAATAATGTCAGTGAGTAGACTCATGTCATGTCTAATATGAAACATTAGAAGAGATCAGTGACATAATAACCAAATAAAAAGCAAGAAAATTAAATGGGTAATCTTTCCAAAAGACAGCTGAATGACAAGTTTACATAGAGGGAAAATAATATTCCTTGCATTAATAATCAAAAATATTTTGATAGAAAAGTCAAAAATAGATCAAATGCTTATCGTTAATCATGTTTCTTCATCTTTTCACATAATTTCATGCGTTTTAATTCTTCACATCATTCCTCTTTACTCTTTAGCAAATGAATGTTCATTTTTGTCAGATTCATTCTTTTTAACAGCTCTGGTATGACTCTGTAACCTCCACCCTCTCTGACTGTGACAGGATCAGTTTTCGAGCTGCAGTATTAAATCCTGTGATTCATCGAGGGATATTCTCCATCAGCTTGCTGACTCACAGGTCTGCCGAGGCTCCGCCCTGCCATGTTGTGTTTAATGGTTTCATGTCAGAGGAGGGCTGGCATCACTGTAGCTTTAGAGCAGTCGCCCTGAGGTGTGCTCACAGTTAATTGCCTGATATCCAACTAAAGCCACTGATAAACCAGGAGAGCTTCAGTGTTGCAGTCTGAGTGGATTTATTCTGCATCAAGAAAAAGGGCTGATGAAGAAAATATAAAAGCATGTTTGAGGGTGTGGCAGGAAATAAGGCTGTCAGCATTGATCACAATGGCCCTCATTTATCAATCTTGCTCAGACCTGAGCGCAGATCTGAGCGCAGGATTGATCCTATGGTAGGACACACGTGAGATTTAAGAAAGGGTTCGTATCTGACCAATCCCAGCGTACGTATGATCGGGTCTTGGTAAATGAAATAGATCGTCATTAACATGTTTATGCCCATAAATATTCTTGGTTCAGAAGCCTCGCCCACTGAGGTCAAACATGAAAGAGGAGAAATATTTGAAAGATGCAAAATTTTTCTGAGCTTAAAGTGGATATCCTCATGTCTGTGGTGGAAACTAACAAGGATTTTCTCTTTGGAAGCATCAAAACTGGTATAAAAGCAGTCCAGAAAACTCCTGTCTGGAGCAGGATTATGGTGGCGGTGAACAGTGCTGCTGCGGAATAGTGGACAGTATACACTCACCGGCCACTTTATTAGGTACACCTGTCCAACTGCTCGTTAACACTTAATTTCTAATCAGCCAATCACATGGCGGCAACTTAGTGCATTTAGGCATGTAGACATGGTCAAGACAATCTCCTGCATTTCAAACCGAGCATCAGTATGGGGAAGAAAGGTGATTTGAGTGACTTTGAACGTGGCATGGTTGTTGGTGCCAGAAGGGCCGGTCTGAGTATTTCAGAAACTGCTGATCTACTGGGATTTTCACGCACAACCATCTCTAGGGTTTACAGAGAATGGTCCGAAAAAGAAAAAATATCCAGTGAGCGGCAGTTCTGTGGGCGGAAATGCCTTGTTGATGCCAGAGGTCAGAGGAGAATGGCCAGACTGGTTCGAGCTGATAGATAGGCAACAGTGACTCAAATAACCACCCGTTACAACCAAGGTAGGCAGAAGAGCATCTCTGAACGCACAGTACGTCGAACTTTGAGGCAGATGGGCTACAGCAGCAGAAGACCACGCCGGGTGCCACTCCTTTCAGCTAAGAACAGGAAACTGAGGCTACAATTTGCACAAGCTCATCGAAATTGGACAATAGAAGATTGGAAAAACGTTGCCTGGTCTGATGAGTCTCGATTTCTGCTGCGACATTCGGATGGTAGGGTCAGAATTTGGCGTCAACAACATGAAAGCATGGATCCATCCTGCCTTGTATCAACGGTTCAGGCTGGTGGTGGTGGTGTCATGGTGTGGGGAATATTTTCTTGGCACTCTTTGGGCCCCTTGGTACCAATTGAGCATCGTTGCAACGCCACAGCCTACCTGAGTATTGTTGCTGACCATGTCCATCCCTTTATGACCACAATGTACCCAACTTCTGATGGCTACTTTCAGCAGGATAATGCGCCATGTCATAAAGCTGGAATCATCTCAGACTGGTTTCTTGAACATGACAATGAGTTCACTGTACTCAAATGGCCTCCACAGTCACCAGATCTCAATCCAATAGAGCATCTTTGGGATGTGGTGGAACGGGAGATTCACATCATGGCTGTGCAGCCGACAAATCTGCGGCAACTGTGTGATGCCATCATGTCAATATGGACCAAGCTCTCTGAGGAATGCTTCCAGCACCTTGTTGAATCTATGCCACAAAGAATTGAGGCAGTTCTGAAGGCAAAAGGGGGTCCAACCCGTTACTAGCATGGTGTACCTAATAAAGTGGCCGGTGAGTGTATATATATATATATATATATATATATATATATATATATATATATTCCCAATTTTTCCAGTATTTTTTTTTTTATTTCAAGTCAAGCAGTTGAAGTCCAATGAACAGCTTGAAAGGGTACAAAGCTAAGTGGTGAACTGCAAGAGGTAAGGTTAACCAAAATAAAATAAAAAAATGTACATTTCAGAATTATACAAAAAGGCCTTTTTCAGGGAACAAGAAATGAGTTGACAACTTAGAGCAGTTCTGCAGCAATGGAGGTTGAACAAGCCTTGAAAGTTGGTGCTACCAGTTCCTACAGGTGTCCCAACTTTTCTTGATCACTTAAAACCACCTTTGTCTGCATAAAAGTAGTGTTGGAACACACTGCGGTATCATGCCATTGTGAGCATTTTTTGAACAGTAGTGTACTGCAGAAAGTAGTGTGTTACTATAAAATAGCGAGTGCACTGTGTGAGTACAACAATACACGACAATATTTTCAACTTGTTTTGAGTAATCAATGAGCACACCAAATCCTGTCAGACCCTCCTCCATAAATGTAAAGGGTAACATTCAAGCTTATACATGGTCTATAAAGCGAGTAGCGCGGGTAACAGAGTAGCTCCTTGCGTGCAAGAGAGTGGGGGTGTATAAATATATATATATATATTCTAAAAACTGTTCAAGGTTTTCTGAAATCACAAGTAAATTTTATTTGCGTAATATGGAAGAAGACAGCACAGAGTTAGCAGTTATTTCATGAAGGCCTATGGACTCAGATACTTTCAGTTTAGACCGAGACCAGTCTAATGGATCAGAAAAAAGAGACTGCAAACAAACAATTGGTCAATTGCTTGTCTGTTAGTTTATATTTAGAGAATCACACCCACACTTTACAAAAATGTATCCCAAAATTTATAGTTGAAAAATGTAAAAGACCTTAAAGCATATTTAACAACAAAAATCTACTTACACTTAGAATTTTAATTCTAGATTTTTTAAGAGATTAATAATGTTTGCCTCATCTCACTGTGAACAAGATATTTTTGGGTTTGTTTGTTTTGTTCTTCTCCCTTTCACATTAATCAGTATGTTTGTGTAGTTTAAAAAATAGATTTCCTTACCTTAGTCTTACAAAAAAGTATAAACATATGACTTCTAAATCTAAATAAATTTCCCATAAACAGACTAACAAACCTGAAGATATGGATCGATTTTCTCTGTCATATTTACAGGCTCTATCAAATTAAAACTGGCGTAAGTGTTTTGAGCATGCTCAGTGTTTGCCAGCTGGGCTATGAGCTGAAGGTTGAACAGCATGATTGTGTTGCTAGGAAGTTGGATAGTAAACATTACTTCAACATAAAAGTGATGAAACTTTACTGTTGTAAAAACAGCCCAGAGATGTAAAAGTTACCATGTTCGCCTGATTATTTGGATAATTTTTGATTCCATTGTCTCTGATATTTGCCTGAGAGTTAGGATGGACTGTTTTATAGATACAGATTTTCAGCCTGTCTTGGAGAGGGTTGGTAAGCTACATCAAATCGCACCAATCAACAGCTGCTCAGACTTCCTTGGACCATCACAATCATCCTCCCAACAGCTGAGTAGGACAAACTGTTCCCACAAGCTCTGCATGACTCGGAAATACTTCTACATGAGTTTGCATATTCCCTCTGTATCGATCAAAGAGCAGAGAATATAAAAACAGGTAGGATATCTTTCACAATCGATATCTGTGTTAATGTTGATCCAAGGATGGAAACATCCTCAGTCCATCTGACTGTTCCTGAGTGCTGAACTTCTTCCTCTTATCCTCAGATACCCTTTTGGTTACTGGCAGTGAGGAAACAAATCTCAGATGACGTGTCTGATTCAGACAGCTTTCGCTGCAAATTACATAAAAAAGTGGGAAAAAGTGCAAAAGAAAGGATGTCTACTAAAGGCAGCACATTTCCCATCTACACTTGAGTGCCCTCTGGTGGCAGAGAGGGTGAACTGCAGATACAAACATGCAGGAATATTTGGGCTGACAGTTTAGACATGATCAGAAGAGCTGAAGGAAACATATTGATTCTTCTTAGTCCATTAAAATGAAAAAGCAAAATAAGAGGGTGGCTGAATTAAGGTGTTGCACTGTAGATGAGACATATGATGCAAACAAAAATGGAGCTGCATTATTTATGAGTGATGGAGGACAGAAGGAGGCTACCATCAACATAATGCTCAAACTATTTATTGTTTACACTTAGAAACATGGACAGATGTGGGCGCATTTAGAAATACAATGTTTTAACATGTCCACAATCCCCTGAATGAAGCCACTGACTCAGGGAAAACAACATGAACACATCCCCATATTTCCAGCATTCATTTGTCTGTGTGACTTTCTTCCTCATTTTCTGCCTTTTACATCATGAACACAGATTATATCAGGGCATCTAGGTAAATCAAATAAAGAAACATATTTGGTCAATATATTTCTTTTTAAAATAGCACCAGAGGAGGTAGAGGGGCTGAGATTGCATTGATCTTGAAGAGGCTGAACAGACAGCTGCTGCCAGCATTTTTAATAGGTAGATTATAAAATTGCACTACGTTACTTAAAGGCTTGTACAGATTATGAAACTCTTAATGTAAAAGGTCCTCCGGTCCTCTTTACCAAAAATAAGACTACATTTGCATTGTTTGGAGACATTTGTGACTTCTGGTGGCACTTTTGCATCTCTTTGTTAAAGCTTTTTATCCTTTTCAATGTAAGGCATCATCTCTTCGTGTGCATACAAGTCTCTTTTTGGTCGTTTTGTGCATCACTTTTCTTCTCTTGAGGCAGTTTTCAGTCTCCTTGCTGTTGTTTAGTGTCTATCTGGCGACAGTTGTTCTCTTAAAGGTTGTTCCAAAGGTTTTTTTTATTTCTTCGTGGATAACTCAGCTAAAAAGTTACCATTCACATAAAAATCATGTTTGAATTATTGACATCCAACCTCCATCCATGTCTGACTCTGCTGAAGTGTGTGATGTGCTGGTTACTGAAGATTACATTTTAACTGCTGCAGATGGCAGTAAAGTGTGATATCCAATGTACATAAAGTGAACACAACAGTAACCAGCACATTCACACCAAAAGACAACCCCCAAATTTTTCCACTCCTTTGTTTCAAAAGACTTTTTAATTGAAGTGTGAATCATAAAATCATAAAATCCTGATGCTCCATCTTAATTCACATCAAAGTTCAAATGCTGTTTTCATCCTGAGTTCTTCACTCAGCAAAGAAAAAGATCACTGTCACAGCTCTCTGATTACATTTAAGGAAAAATATATCAAAAATGGTTTGAGAAAATATTGCCCATTTTACTGATTAGATATCAGAAATATTTGATATGTTAGAGAGTAAATGTTGAAAAACCTGACACAGCTTGGACTGATCTGAGCTGTTTAAGTCAATAACTCTGAAAAGAAGCCATCTTGATCACTGAATTTAAACTGAAGTGGATAAAAACTCTATATATAGAGAGATGCACTGACATCAGATTCAAGACTGACTTTTTCACATTTTACAGCAAAGATCTTCATGAGTGAGTCATCTTCATATGTCACATTTTGGCTGATTTTTTTCATATTGACAACATAAACCCGTCAGAGATCACTTTGTCCACAGGGGGCACCAAAATTAACACACACTAAAAGTTTCTCACAGAGCTTTAAATTGTTGCTATCATCCGTCCTCCTGAAATGTCTCTGAAACATACTTAACAAAATGTGTGGCTGACCTGTGAATATTTTCTTTCCTGTTTGACTATCAAAACAAAAAACATTTCTCTGAATCAGCAGCCCAGAATACTGGCTTGACAACATCAAACTAATGCAATACCACAGACAGTTATCAGCTCCTGACTACAGAGAGACTAAATACTGTGGCTGATGAAAACTGTGATAGTAAAAAGTGTGTAACTTTGGCTCTGGGTTCAAACTCTGGGTCTGCTGTCTTGCACCAGTAAATACTATATCTGATTGGCTTGGTGTCCCATGACCCTGTGAGGTGTCAAAGTGTAAACTGGTAAACTGTTAACTCTTCAATATATTGCTTAACATTTCAGCTTTAATTAAACGCTTGTTGAGGACATTTGAGAAAAGAATTTTCTCTTATTCTTAAGTTTTTATTTTTACAATAAAATCATATCAGTATCACCCAAATATCGGTAATCATACACATTACTATACTTATAATCCTTATCTGGCTTTCATGACCTGACATTGGTCGTCCCCTATTTCTGATATTGGTGCACTTTATTTTGATAAGAAAACTTCATTTGTGCATTGGAACTGTTGCCATAAGACTGTATGAATGAGCCCTTTAAGGCAGGGGCACAATCACAGCTCTGTAAGTGAGTCAAGGAAAAACGCAAAGACTACGTTGACACATAAATCATAAATATATATATATATATATATATATATATATATATATATATATATATTTATCAGGCTTCGATGAAGAATTTAATTGTGCACTTACTTGCATATACTTAATACGTTGCATGCTGGATATCTGATTATATTTCCTGGAATATATGTAATTTATCATTTAATATCTTCATAAATAATAATATGCACATGCCTAAATATTATTTTTATGACCAGAGCTGGATTCAGTATCCTCTGTGGTTGAAGCTGTTGTAACGGTGTCAACCTGCACAAAGGATAAATCATCTGTTTCTATCCTGTTGATGCTTTTTGTCGCTGCAGCTGCACAATGAAAACTTGTGGATTGTAATTATCCATTTCACCTCAGGCAGTAGCTGATCTTTGCTCATGTCACAGAATGAATGAAACAAACTCCTGATATATGAAAAGACACAGAGGACTGACTCTAGAAAAAGGATTATGATTGGCCGCAGAACAATCCACAGCAGCTTCCTGGTGCTGATTCAGTGAAGTCCAAAAGAGACACTTGCTCTCTGTATCATATAAAAAACCACAAACAGCTCAACACACGACAGAGTGAATACATGACACTGTCACTGGACCTTCTGGATTCTGTTACAGTACGTCTCAATGTCACTGTTTCATGTTATAAATGACTGCCCTTCAAACAAACAGGAAAAAAAATGGTGTATTACCACCCGAACTACTCTGACATGGCATAAGGGACACTTGTTCAAATCGTGTTGGACTTTGAATGTACTCTTACTGAACACTCAGGCTTCTTTGTGGTTGTGTGATCAGTAATTATTTGGCTTTTCAAAATGGCCCCTTTCTTCGCTGTATTTGAGAGGGGCGATTGTGAGAAAATTCAGTATAACCAATCCTTTAATCAAGTGACGAGGAGGCTGCTGGACTACCTACTGTATATGTGAGCTGCACAGTGTAATGTAAAAGGAGCATGTGATTCAGGCCCACAGGCAGGAGCTGAGAAAAGCAGAAATGCTCATCGATGATCTCAGCTCGTATTCATCGGGTTTCAGACAATAACTCAGCGCTGACATAACATATGAACATCAGCATGTCCTGATGAGCCACAGTCACATAACTGCTCCGTTCAGAGGTCAAACACTTCTCATTCCTCCATGAAGAACCAGTGTCTCCACACTGGCTGCTTAAGTGATGGTTGTTAGTCTTGCTCCCCTTTTTCTCCAGAGTTCAGTAACCAGACTCGGTTCAGTCCAACTTTTCACACACTTGCAAAACTCTGTGGTTGAAGTCCTCGGGCTGGTCAGCGTATACATAGTGTCCGGCTCCACGGATCGTCTGCAGACGGACAGGAAAGGAAGTGGGTGATTAAACCAGGAGGCAATATAAAAAGAGAGGCCATAAAAGACAGTATAGATTTTCCTGTACAGCATTATGTCTGTCATTTATTGATTTTATAAAACTACGTTGTAGAGAAAGTTTTATTTTAAAACATCTCCTCACCTGAAACGCTTTCTTAAATCAAGGAGCTGCATTTTGTCTTCAATAGAAACTAAACTCTTTGGTTGCTGAAGGACATTCAACAGCTTGTATGGCCCTTTAATTACCTCATTAACTCACTGGTGTGACTGCATATGATGAAAAAAAAGGAGAAAAGGTTCATCTCTAGTTTTCTCCTTGCACTGTGTGTAACCAAAGAGTAAGGAGGTTGTTCACAGAATCAGTTCGGCTTAGCAGTTTGTGCAGAAGCAGCACTCTTCGTCTCAACAGTTGCTGGTTTGACAGCCTTGGCCATTTGCTGCACATCTCCAGACCCTGCATTGTCTGTCTCTCTCCCAAAAGGTGCAAGGAGGATGACAGGATGATAGTTATTTTCTGTGCAGTTAAAAAACTTTAAGGTTGTTTACAACACAGATTGCTGGACAGCGTGAACAAAAAGTAATGAATTACCCTTGATACAGTTATAAAAGCAAGTTACCTCAACGATGTTCATAAACACACACCCAACCCTTAAAAACACAAAAGGCATGGCAACAAATTGAAGTCACAGCAGTAATAACGTCTTATGCCCTAACTGTACAGTCATACTCATGTGAGGTTGATGAGTACATGAAGATCCTATTTTAGCTCCTCAGCTTCTTCCTAGCTTTGCTGTTTGTAACAACAGAGCTAACGAAGTAGGTAAATATGATCATAGATTTCACTGAGGCTATTTCTTCACAGAGTTTTCTGACCACAGGTGAGTTATCCATAAAGGACTGATCCTTATCGAAACAAACTCAACAAAACTGGTAAAATCCCAACAATGAAGCAGATCAAACCTCTTACTCTTCAGCAGACTAAAGAGTTCAGGAGATGCTGCTTGCTGAGCTGCTGTTGATTCTTTACAACAAAGACATGGTGATTAATTTAGTGAAAAGACACTCGAAAAAAGTTCATGTTAAAACTCAGTCATGACTGATCTCTTTTCAGCTGATCTGAGGAGGCTGCGAGCTGCGCAGCTGTTGCTGCTCATCTTATTCTCTTTTCCAGACAACAAAATGGGGATTCAATTTTTTTAAATAAACCACTGAATTGAAACTATTCTTTAATACAAGCTACAAGCTGACATGAGTCTCACATTGGATCACATTTTATGGTCATTAAAAGGACCGCCATGTTTTTCAGAGTACAGCTGTTCACTGCGCTCATTGAAAAATGGATCAACATGTGTCTCAATGGTAAAGCAGCACACATGCACTGTAGCAGAGTTTGAACCATGAAGAAGAAACAGTCAGAGCTTTGTATCAATTTACCTGCAAAAAAAAAAAAGGTCTGGAGTCTGGTTCAGCACTAAAATATTCATACTAATATTAATCATGGACTTACAATGATTTCCACATGAGAGCTCGGCCTCATCTCTTTGATGGTGCTGCCTGAGTTGCTGTCTATGCTGGAGCGGGATCCGTAGATGATGCTGATGGGGATCTCAGACTGAAGCTTGTCCATCCTCTGTAACATTGGTCTCTTTGCCCAGCCGTAGGGGACAGTCATGTTTTTAAAAGCTGTCTCTCCACTGTGATAGAGGAACAATGACCCCAGAAACACTGACAGTCAAACATTAGAAAGCCATTCTCTCTAATGACTACAACAACTCTTATGATTGAAATGCTTCAGTTGTACTTATGAACGTAAGCAGCAGTATTGAGGGAAACAGAGACAGACCTGGGGGTTTGTACGTTCAGATGGTAGATGTACTCAGACACGGTGTTGTCACTAAACATGGAAGAGAATTTCTTTTTGAAGTCAGGTCTTAGAGTCTGAACCAGGGTGGGACCTGCAGGGGATAAAAGCTCAGGTGTCAAAACCATTAGGGGTGTCAGTAGAAGACGGGGCTACTTCTTAACGTTTGACACAACAGAAGGGTGCAGAGGCAGGAAAGAAACCACCAGCTTCAGCTTATTCCCACGGTAATGCATTATCTTTTTCATTGGGGTATCTGGACCAGGACTGCAGCAGATGGTATCATACAGGGAGGATAGATCTGCTTTGCTACATGACCTACTGGGTCCACATCAGGAATCATTTCTTCATGGCATCAACATCATACAGCAGGTACCACAAACCTTATTACCCAGATCTTACCGAGTGGTCCCACCAGTCTCAGGCCAGCCAGGGGGTTGAAGGGACTGAACATGGCACCCAGAGCTTTGATCCATACAGGGATGGGACGATCTGCCTCCACTGTATCAGGTCGTTGAGGAAAACCCCAGGGCTCCACCAACAGTATATGCTTCACTCTGCAGGCAAAATGACTATGTGTATATATATATATATATATATATATATATATATATATTATATATATATATATATACACATATACATATATATATATGTATATATGGCTCTCTTGAGTTTCCAGTTATTTCTACAACTCTGATTTTTCTCTGATTGGAACAGATACTTCTTTGTCACAAAAAACATTCATAAGGTTTGGTTCTTTTATGACTCTATTATGGGTTAACAGAAAATCTGACCAAATGTGCTGGGTCAAAAATATACATACAGCAGTGCTAATACTTGGTTACATGTCCCTTGGCCATTTTCACTTCAATTAGGCACTTTTGGTAGCCATCCACAAGCTTCTGGTCGAATCTTTGACCAGTTCAGTGAAATTTGATGGCTTTCTGGCATGGACTTGTTTCTTAAGCATTGTCCACATGTTCTCAATGGGGTTTAAGTCAGGACTTTGGGAAGGCCATTCTTAAACCCTAAGTCTAGCCTGATTTAGCCATTCCATTACCACTTTTGATGTGTGTTTGGGGTCATTGTCCTGTTGGATCATCCAACTGCGCCCAAGACCCATCCTTCGGGCTGATGATTTTAGGTTATCTTGAAGAATTTGAAGGTAATCTTCCCTCTTCATTATCCCATTGACTCTCTGTAAAGCACCAGTTCCATTGGCAGCAAAACAGCCCCACCGCATATTACTACTACCACTGTGCTTGACGGTAGGCATGGTGTTCTTGGGGTTAAAGGCCTCACCTTTTCTCCTCCAAGCATATTGCTGAGCATTGTGGCCAAACAGCTTGATTTTTGTTTCCTCTGACCACAGAACTTTCCTCCAGAAGGTCTTATCTTTGTCCATGTGATCAGCAGCAAACATCAGTCGAGCTTTAAGGTGCCACTTTTGGAGCAAGGGCTTCCCTCTTGCACAGCAGCCTCTCAGTCCATGGATATGCAAAACACACTTGACTGTGGACGCTGACACCTGTGTTCCAGCAGCTTCTAATTCTCGGCAGATCTGCTGTTTGGTGGTTCTCAGTTGACTCCTCACCCTCCTGACCAATTTTCTCTCAGCAGCAGGTGATAGCTTGCGTTTTCTTCCTGATTGAGGCAATGACAAAAAAGTGCCATGCACTTTATACTTACAAATAATTGTTTGCACTGTTGCTCTTGGGACCTGCAGCTGCTTTGAAATTGCTCCAAGTGACTTTCCTGACTTGTTCAAGTCAATGATTCGCTTTTTCAGATCCATGCTGAGCTCCTTTGACTTTCCCATTGTAGCGTTTGTGGGCGTTTGTATCCCATGAGCCCTATTTAAATGGCCTCAGAGAAGTCACCAGCTGTAGTCACTCAGAATCACTCACAAGAAGTTAAGAGGCCATGCTATGAAGCTCATTTCATTGACAACTTTTTAAGTCACCAAAATTGCTGATTCATATTGCTGTATGTATATTTTTGACCCAGCAGATTTTGTCAATTTTTCTGTTAACTCATAATAAGGTCATGAAAGAACTAAACTTCATGAATGTTTTTTGTGACAAAGAAGTATCTGTTCCAATCACTCTATCAGAGAAAATTCAGAGTTGTAAAAAATAACTGGAGACTCAAGAGAGCCATGACATTATGTTCTTTACAAGCGTATGTAAACTTTTGTCACAATTAAAGAAAGTAAAATTTACTCTCAAAACATGCTCACATATATAGCACAACCATGGCAGGCAGTAAAATCAAAAGATAAACCACAAAAAGACAGCAAAAACCACCAAATAACATGTCCTAAGGTTGAGAAGTTAATGAAAAACTCATTTGTTTCATTGACCAAAGAATGAGTGTGCAGATAACTAGCAGTGGTTATGTGCTGGACTACTTATGGGGGCTGATTTTCACTGGGATGGCTGTGGTTTCGAAGGACATAGCAGAGCATGTTCAGCATACATGACAGTCACTCTCACAGCAGGAGAACTTTGTGTCCCTTGAAAGCAAAACACAATGATGAAGCACTTTCTCCGGCTCAGATCATGACCTTTCCATAGATACTTTTAGTGTCTGTAAACAGGGCAACTTTTCTCTGCAGACCGGGCCTCAAGGGAGACAGAACAGTCATCGAAACTTGTTATCCAGAGCTAGGTTTTTGGCTTGTTTTACTATCAAACATGTGCGCAAGCTGACTGAGGAAAGAAACACAACAAATGCAGCCATTGCAATGACAGATGGTTTTCAAAAATGTAGAACCTACTTGCTGATACATGGCGACAACACCAATGTGTTTGGTCAAACATACCAGAGGAGGCACTGAAAAGAAATGACTACTTCAGGAGAAGGACCAGGAAGCTGAGCAGCTAATGACAATAAGCTTTTGTAGTCCACCATGTTTGTTCACACCAAAGTCACGTTTGACCACAAGAGACACCTTAACGTCATTGTGATTTGCATAACCAGTTCAATGTCTAGAGGCAAAGTGTCACTGCCCCCCTGTTGAGTTATGACGATAAAACAGAGATCTAGAAATCTCTGCAGACTGCATCACATGAGTCAAACAGTCTCCCAATATGTAATCCACTAAGTTGAATTATAAACTTTCCCTTTAGGTTACTACATTAACAAAAAGCACAGTTTAGCTCAAATTAAGACTTGCATTATGTCCCTGATGAGCAGCAGTACGTGTTTTAACTCGAAGGCTGTTTGGAGCAGTGAGATAACAATATGAGAAGAGAAAATAGTTTTTTTGGGGGCATAAGTGATTAAGGCAGACGATAAGAAATGAGAACATTTTATCAGACACTCCTCTGGGGAGAGACTAGTGCCCGCTGGAAGCTCAAAGCAAGAGGAGATGATTCAGGAGAGATAGAGTGTGGTAGGAGGAGAGAGGTTTGGAGGACACTGCTGTTAACACATGCTGTCTGCATCCACAGGCACTCTGCTACAGCTGCATCCTGTACATATGCTGGCCTTTTACACTACAGTCATGTTAACACCAACAGGGAGGTCTCATTATTCACCCTCATGCGTATTTTCATCCCCCTGGGCAGACTCTAACTCTTGGTTCTATACAGTGTTGTTCTAACAGTCCTCATTTAAAGGAAACTCCTCTTTGTTTCAGCTCTTAACTAACGTTAGACTCATGGCAAACTTCAGGCCTGGTCCAGAATTTGGGCTGGTTCAATTTTATTTTTTAGCAGGTTTTGCCTACGGTAATATTTTTTCTAACCACCTGGGGGCAGCAGAAAGAGGTTATAAACACCATTCAATTCATTTTCTTTTTAGTCAAGAGGTCAAAATAACACTCAAAGATCAGTTTATGTACAGTACAGGCCAAAAGTTTGGACACACCTTCTCATTCAATGCATTTTCTTTATTCTCATTACTATTTAAATTGTAGATTCTCAGTGAAAGCATCAAAACTATGAATGAACACATGTGGAGTAGTGCTTAAGTAGAAAAGTGTTAAGTGAAAACATGTTTTATATTTTGGATTTCTCAAAGTAGCCACCCTTTGCTTTTTTGATAGCGCTGCAAACCTTCGCTGTTCTCTCAATGAGCTTCATGAGGTAGACATCTGAAATGGTTTTTACTTCACAGGTGTGCCTTGTCAGGGTTACTTCGTGACTGACAGAGTCAGTCACTAAGTACTTCTGTCATCAAGAGCAAATGCTGGCTATTTTAAAGAAACTAGAATATAAAACATGTTTTCAGTTACTTCACACTTTTTTATAAGTACAAAATTTCGCATGTGTTCATTCATAGTTTTGATGCCTTCAGTGATAATCTACAATGTAAATAGTCATTTAAAAAAATAAAGAAAAGACATTGAATGAGAAGGTATGCCCAAACTTTTGGCCCGTACTGTATGGAGAGCAACTTAAATATTTATTTGAAGTTGTTCTTACTTGATGAATTACAGTTAAACTTTCTTTTTGCTGTCTTCTGGTCTCCTCCAAATTTGGGGGTAAATATGACTCTCCCTTACTGCAGAAGTTTACATCTATTATAACTTTGTCATAATAGATAGCTACATGCTGCTGACATGTTTAAACTAGGACTGTCAAAAGGTTACATTTTTCAATCACAACACATCACTATTTTTATTATTATTGGCATTATTATAGATATTTAAAATCCCATCTTTGTGCATTTTAAAGTCCATATTAACACTGAAAAGCAATTTTGGAATCAAATGACAGCAAATTGTTAAACTTAGTATTTAGTTCAGAATAATGCAGTGGCAACATATGTATATGATTTATGAAAAATGCACACTGATTTTAGATTGGATGTGAGCAACAAGGAGACCAGTTTCTGGAGTTCAAGATCAACAGTTCAGGGTCTCCTTTGCTGTTTTTTTGGGTTCATGATGCTTCAGATGTTTTCAATGGAGGATAAGTCAGGACTGCAGGCAGACCATTTTATCAGCAGGACTCTTCTCCTACAGAGCCATGCTGTTGTAATCCCTGTTGTCAGAATGTGGTTTGTCATTGTGTTGCTAAAATATGAAGGTCCTCCCTGAAAGAGTCTGGATTGTGACAGTGTCAACAAAAAGTAAATTAAGTAAAGGATCTGAGCAGGGAGCGCTGCTCAGATCCCTTCTCTTCTCTGTTGGATTTTAAACTGATTTGTGATTTAGTCACTATTGTGGTTGTGATCTACGTTTGATTTAGCTTTACGCGTGGGGCGTGCATTTGCTTTTTGTTGTGTGATAAAATCTGAAACGCTTTTACTTTATAAAAGGTAACTTGAGAGCTTTATTGTTTGTCATTGGAGACGACTCTGTATTTATTTCATTGGGTTTCATTTTCTGACATGAAGGCATTTCTATTTTCCGTTTAAGTCCCCCCTTGAGTGTGATTAAGGTTAATTTGAGAAAATTTAAGTCATTACAGGATGGCAGCAGATGTTTCTCCTAAACCTGGAGATATTCTTCAGCATTATTGGAGCCTGCACAGTTATAATAATAATAATAATAATAATAATAATGATGTACTTCCTGCTGAGGTTTTTATGAACAATTACTCAGCATCCTGACTTATTTTGAATTGTGACTGTAAATGTATCATCAAACAAATGCTGCACTGCTTCACCAGTGTTTTATGAAATCAGGACTTAGAGGAAGCAGCTTCAAAGTGTTGACTCTATTAAGTACTGTGTTTGTGTTAGTATTTTTAAAACAGCAGTAAACAAAACAAATCATGCAGGGGTACATGCAGCACATTTCAATGAAGCTCATTACCAAAAAACAGTAAAGATCTCAGCTGCACTGTCCTTTCAAAAATAGATTAGATTAGATGCAATAGACCTGATAGATACTTTTGGAAAGGTTCCCTCAGGGAAATTTGAATTCCAGCAGCTTGGTATGTACAGAAAACATAACAGACTAATCAAAGAAGGAATGAATGCAATATATTATATACAGTTGTGGCCAAAATTATTACCTCCCCTATGAAATTTTAAGTTTTTTCCAAAATTTCCCAAGTGCTGTTTAACAGATTAATGGTTTTTTTAAACAGCTTTTCCAAACATCCTAGTTTTGTTTTGGATCCTGACATTATTTTACTTTGCACACAGAGACTAAATTATTTCACAAAAACCCCAAACTACAGGGGTCAAAATTATTAGCCCCCTTAAGAATTGATGTTTTTATTGAGCCACAACAAAAACCACTATTGTGCATTGTGCAGCTTTCACTTTTGAGAGCTCACAGCTTGTCATCAATCCATCAATTAAGTTAAAACAAAGGGTCGTCCTACACTTTACACACAGTATAAAAACCTTGTTACGTGTTTGAGCTGTCACTTGAGAAGGCATCCTGGCAAAAACAAAAGAATTCAGTTTAGACTGCAGAAAAATAATTGTTGATGCTCACAAAGCAGGAGAAAGATATAAAAAGTTATCATTGTGTTTCCAAGTGTCAAGAAGTGGAGTGAGAAGTATCATCAAGAAATTCAAGGAGAGCCACACAGTACAGAACACGTCTGGGAGAGGTAGGAGGCAAAAAATTTCAAAGAGACTGGAAAGAAAACTGGTGGGGGGTGGGTCTTAACACCCTAGAACAACCACCAAAACAGTAGTCACTGACTTAGCCGAGTCAGGAATTGTGGTGTCAAACAAGACAGTCTCTAGAGCCCTGAACAGAAATGGACTGCGAGGATGCAGGCCAAGAAAAACTCCACTTCTACAAAAGAGACACCTTCAAGCTAGACTGAGGTATGCTAAAGACAATCTGGAGAAAGATGCATACTGGAGACGTGTTCTTTGGTCAGATGAGACCAAATTAGAGCTCTTTGGCCACAGAGACATTGCTTATGTTTGGAGGAAGAAGGGAGAGGCGTAAATTACCCCAAGAACACTGTCCCCACAGTTAAACATGGTGGTGGGAGTATCATGCTGTGGGGATGTTTCAGTGCATCTGGAACTGGGAATCTTGTCAAGGTTGAAGGAATAATGAAGAAAGAAGGACATGTGAAGATTTGAAGCGACCCAAAACATACAGCGCTCCTGGTGAGAAGCAACCTCGAGGAAATCAAAGTGAACATTATTGACTGGCCTGCACAAAGCCCTGTCTTAAATCCCATTGAAAATCTGTGGGCTGCACTGAAGACCAGGGTCCATACTAGAAGACCATCAAATCTGGAGGAGCTTGAAAGATTTGCTGAAGAGGAATGGGCTGGGATTCCTCATGAGATGTGCCAGAGCCTTGTTACAAACTACAGCAAATGACTGCATGCTATTATCCAGCAAAAAGGACACACAATTGACTATTAGCTCAGGGGGGCTAATATTTCTGACCCTTGTAGTTTTTGGTTTTTGTGAAATAATTTTGTTTCTGTGTGCAAAGTAAAATAATGCAAGGATCCAAAATAAAACTAGGATGTTTGGAAAAGCTGTGTAAAAAAATCAGTAATCTGTTGAACAGCACTTGGGAAATTTTAGAAAAAAAACTGAAAATTTCATAGGGGGGGCTAATAATTTTGGCTACAACTTGTATATAGCATCCCTATATATCAATAAAGTTCTACCGTCATCTCTGTGCCAGACAGACATTCCTGCTAGTAAAGGTCTGGACTCGATCCACATTTCCTGCTGGTTGTGTTGCCCTTGGTACAACATTTGTCACACCAAACTTATAAATAAGAACCAAAGATAAAAAAAAAAAAAATCACATCCCTAAACAGAAGCAGAAGAGAAAGCATCTACCTTGCACCTACCTGTGTGGATATTTAATAGAGTATGACACAGCCAGGTATCCGCCCAGGTTGTGTCCTAGCAGTATCATGGACTCCAGACCGATTTTAGCCCTCCACTGCTCTATAGACTCCACAAACTGCTCCTCAGCCTCCTGGGTGACTGTGGAGAACTGAGGCCTGCTGCTCTGTCCAAAGCCCAGCAAGTCCACTGCATAGACAGGCCCACGCTGGGAGAGAGTATCCAGGTTCTGAGCCCAAAGACCCACTCCACCTCCAAACCCATGCAGGAGAACTAAAGGGGTTTTGTTTTTGACATGGTCACTGCTGATGGTCAGGGTCCACAGCCAGTTACCGTTAGAGATGGGGATGCGCTGTTTGGAGAAAAAGCTGTCGACACCTGGAGAAAAAAAAGAGGAATGTGAAAATAAAAAACAATATGCTGCTGTCCTAGAGTGATTTAATTCTGAACTTAAACTGTGACACTGATCGAAGCTACAATGTCTGATATGGCTCAAATGACTCCTAACCTTTGCTGTCTTTAAAATCCTCTAAAGTTTGACAAATGCTCTTTGGTTTTTGCAAAACAAAAGAAAATAAATCAGTACCTAGAGATAAATGTTATATGTCAGGGTAAAGGGGGTCACTATGCAGGATACTGCAGCTCTGACTATTTACAGCATGTCTACTCTCTCTTCCCTCGGCTCAGTGTCTCTGCTTTGCAATAAAGGCAAAAAGCCTTGCAAAGTGACCCTTTAAACAAAAAAAGAGGTTTATATTATTTCATCTTTTAATATTCAAACATATTGATTTTTTTTTAAACACCACTAATCCTTTCTTCTTTTTAAGACAAATCTCCTATAGTCAAAATGGCACTTGTATAGGGAGTAAGGGTTGTTGCCTACATCGCAGCATCTTGTCCTCTGCGGTCTGCAGCTGGATCTGAGAGGTGGGACACCATGATGGCAGCCAGTTAGGGATCCAACACCACCTGCACAGACAGAAACAACCAGCTTGGGTATCATCTTAGTAAACTGCTGAGTGGGGATACAGACAGAATCAGAGTAACTACTCAGTTCACAGTTTAAGTTAGACCCATCATAGAAAGAGCACAGGACTGATATAAGAGCATCACATGGTATGACCACTGCATCAGCTGATTTCAGGATACTTTCATCATTGCAAAGACAGGCTCTGCTTACGTTGTGTGGTCATTCATATTGGCCCAATAAACGCTGATAAGACGAGAAGAACGTTATTGATTCAATTCTCATGTTTCATGTCATCTACTATTTATAGAAGAATTATAAAGTCTGATGGCTGTGGGTACAAAATATCTTCTGAATCTTCTGTCCTGCAGCGAACAGAGAGGAGCCATCCACAACCATTGGCACTTTGATCCATTAAGGTGTTGTGAAGTGAGTGATCCATGTTCTTTAGAATAGCCTCCACCTTTCTCAGTGTATATCTCTCCACCACATCCTCCACTGAGTTCAACTTTAACCCAAATGTGTGTATATATATAAATATATACATACATACATATATGTAAATATATATATATATATATATATATATATATATATATATATATATACAGTATATATTAAGGTTGTCAAAGTTAACGCGTTATTGTCGCGTTAAATCGAGTGATTTTTATCGCCACTAATTTTTTTGACGCACGATTAACGCAAGCCTTAGTCTGGCTTGACCAAACTATACACACATCGCGTGGATATTCTTGCTGTTGTAGAGGAACAGTTGGTGAGGTGTCCAGGCTATGTGAGCCTCGGGGCACTCCGTAGTATCGCAAATCAGGAAGTAGTGCACTGACTGATTCCGCGGCAGACATAAACAAATCCCTGTGAGCAGTAACTAGGATATAATGGATAAGAACACTATTTTGAACGGAGAGTTCAGCTACAAAGCCTTGCCAGATGGCTCTCTTGACAGGACAAAAGTCATTTGTGTTTCCTGCCGAGCTGAATTTAGTTAACACCGGAGTACGTCCAGTCTCAAATATCACTTGTCGGCCAAGCACACAGCTGATGCAGAGAGCCCCGCGTCTCCCCGCCTCAAGCAAACAACGCTGAATGTGCAAGGTAAACAGATGGAGAGCTCTACTAAACGCAAACTTATAACAGCGATCGCTAAATGGGTGGCTACCGCTTGTCGGCCGATTAGCATTGTGCAGGACGCTGGTCTGCGAAATCATACAAATCGCATCCACGAAAATCCACGATCTGTTCTCGTGTTGATTCTCATGTTGATAAAAGTATTACAATTTGATTGATTTAGAATGGATCAAAAATATGCGATCAATTTGCGATTAATCATGATTAATTATGATCAAAATTCGATTAATCGCGATTAAATATTTTAATCGATTGACAGCCCTAATATATATATATATATAATACTGTGTACTGGAGGCAGTGGCATTCCCGTGGTTTAAGCACCATTGGTGATTTGTATGAAAACGGTGGGTTCAGGTCATATAATAATATAAAGGAACAATTCGGTTTCGTTTGGGAAGGAAATTTCTGGAAATACTTGCAGATAAGAAGCTGTTCGATGTATAAGTATCATAATGAGACTGATAATATAATTTCAAACGAAAGTTACGTATGTAACTACAGTTCTATGAATCCTGAATGACCGCCAGAGGCCGTGCTTAAAGCACTGAATATTCCCTTCGCGCATGCGTAGTTTGAGTACTTATACCAAAATGGTCACGAGTGACCCCTGATGCTCCGGGAGAGTCTATAACTTCCGGAGGCCATCAGGGGGTCAGTCCCTACAGAATCTTCGAATGAGAGCCTGAGGATTCTGAGTGACATGAGCTCTGGCGGTCATTCGGGATTCATAGAACCATAGTTACATACGTAACTTTCGTTCTATTTCATCCCTGCTGACCGCCAGAGGTGGTGTTTAAACCTCAGAGGGTAGAATCAGACGACTCCAGGAGAAGGACCACACCCAATAGATGAGGGGTGGCAACATTCACTCTATAAAACCTCGAGAAAGTGCCCGGCGATGCCCACGAGGCAGCGGCACATATATCTTCCAATGACACCCCTTGCATTGCGGCCCACGATGTTGAGACACTTCTGGTAGAGTGACAGCTTATACCCGGTGAAATGGGGTGGTTGCTGGCCTTGTAGGCATAGCTAATAGTGTCCAGGACCCAGTGGGACAGGCGCTGCTTAGAGAGAGCGCAACCTGCATTAGGGCCACCAAGGCAAACAAAGAGTTGTTCAGACCACCGAATGCCCGGAGTAGCCCCAATATAGGCCCTCAGGGCCCGCACCGGGCAAGAGAGCTCCAGCCTGTCTGTCCTCTCTCCTGGTGGAGGGTCAAACCGGGACAGCCGTATAGGCTGGTTGATGTGTGAATGAGACAGCACCTTGGGGAGGAATGTTATGTTCGGCCATAAGGTGACACCTGACCCGTCCGAATTCCACCTCAGACATGATTCGCTGACTGATAGGGCATGAAGCTCACTGACACGCTTTGCAGATGTAATTGCCAGAAGGATTGCAGTCTTGCATGACAGCCACTTCAGGTCTGCCTGCACCAGAGGCTCGAAAGGAAGCTTGCTTAGGGCATCCAATACAATGTTAAGATCCCATGCCGGAACTCTCTGGGTTCCAGGAGGGTTCAGCCTCCGAGCCCCCGTCAGGAATAAGGACACCAGGCTGCGGCTTCCCAACGTGACACCGTCAACTCTGGCGTGATGGCATGATAGACGTAGACCACGTAGACCTTCAGGGTAGACGGAGATCTGCCCTTACCCAGGAGCGACTGCAAGAACTCCAGGACCACAGGCATGGAGCAATGCACTGGGTCGTCACCCTGATTCTGACACCAAGTGGAAAACAGCTTCCATCTATTGTCATATTGTAACCTGGTAGATGGCGCCCTCGCGTTCATGGTGGTACGTTGCACCTGGTCCCCACAGCTGCTCAGCAGCAGTTCGGGCCCCCCAGCACCCAAACACACAGTTTGAGGCGAGAGGGTTCGGGATGCCAGATCCGGCCCCCTAGCGGCGAGAGTAGGTCCTTCCTGTCTGGAAGACACCATGGTGCACTGCGGCATAGTTTGTGCAGCAGGGGAAACCAAGTTCTCCCTGGCCAGAAAGGGGCTACCAGAAGTATGGTGTGACCCCCCTGAAGAACCCTCTGTAGAAGTGGCCGTATCAGAGGGAGGGGCGTAAAGGCGTAAAGAAGTGCCTCTGGGCCATGGGTGAGCCAATGCATCCTGGCCCAGAGGGCTGGTTGTCTCTGCTAGGGAAAACCAGAGAGGGCAGTGAGTTGATGCTTCCGAAGCGAAGAGGTCTATCTCTGCCCTGCCGTAGCGGCCCTAGATTGCATGCACCACCTCTGGATGGAGGCGCCACTCCCCCGAAGGAGGCTTCTGATGGGAGAGAAAATCGTCAGGTTGATTTTGCTCTCCCGGTAAATACATTGCCTGTAGGCTGGCCAGGCGGGGGGCTGCCCATGTCAGGAGGTCCTTGGACACCTGGAGCAGCCGTGCAGATTTGGTCCCGCCCTGGTGGTTGATGTGATACACCGTTGAGGTGTTGTCTGATCTGACAAGGACATGCTTGCCTTTCAGGTATGGCAGAAAGTGCTGAAGGGCCAAGTGCACCACTCGCAGCTCCAGCACATTGATGTGCTCTGCACCAACTTCCACAGACCACTGACCGCGAGCTGTCCTGCCCTGCCACACCGCACCACAGCCTGACAGGCAGGCGTCGGTAGAAACAATCTCCCCGCGGGACGGGATAGACCCCATGGGAACACCCCCTGAGATGTAGCGACAACAAACCCAGCGGGACAACCACTGCAACAGAAGTCAATTTGCCCAGGAGATGGAGGAATGTGAGGAGTGGCAATTGCCTGCCTCCCCGGAAAAGGAGCAGAACATCGAGAATATCGTCCACCCAGCGGGGGGACGGACAGGCTTTCATTGTTATGGTGTTCAAGGCCAGACCAATGAATGTTGTTGTTTGTGATGGTACAAGGCAGCTCTTTTTGACATTCACCTTGAGTCCCAGTTGGGCCATGTGGGCCAGGAGGCACGCTGTCTCCTCTGCGGCCTATGCCCGGGATGGTGCGCACACCAGCCAATCGTCCAGATAAGGGAGTATCTTCATGCCCTGTGATTGTAGTGGCACTAATGCGGCTGCAACACACCTGGAGAAAACTTTGGAGACAGAGAGAGGCCAAACGGTAGCACGCGGAACTGCCAGTGGCGGCCTCGATAGGCAAATCGAAGGAAGGACCTGTGTTCCAGGAGCGATGGGGACATGGAAATATGCATCTTCCAGGTCCACAGATGTGAACCACTCCCCGCAGGCAACAGTCTGCAACACCTCTGTCGTGGTCAGCATGTGGAAGGGCATGACCTTGAGGAACCGGTTGAGTCCCCTGAGGTCCAGGATGGGACGATGTCCACCAGTTTTTTTTTCGACGAGGAAATAAGTCGAGTAAAACCCCCTGGGGTGTGATAGGGGATCCACTGCTTCTATGGCACCCTTGGTCAGGAGGACAGAGAGCTCCCGCTCTAACGCAAGGGCCTTTGCCAGGTTGCTGCTAACTGTCATTTTGACCCAGCCAGCTGTGGGGGGCCACGTCGGAACTGAAGCTTGTACCCAAAAGTTAAGGTAGTAACCACCCACGGGTCTGAAGCTCGAGCAGCCCAGTACCTGAGCTGCCAGTGTGAAAACATTCCGACGGCCGGCCCTGTAGCTTCTGCGCCTGGCCCCCTGACCCCTAGGGGCCCTGGTGAGGGGTCGTCCAGGGTCCCGGGCCCGAAACTGCCTGGAGGGTAATGGGGCGGAGGCCCATGAGTCGCGGGTCTGTGCCTGTGTAGGTCGCTGAGGGCATCGTTTGCCCACAGTGTGAGGTGGTGGTGGTGGTGGTGGAGGGCAAGCCCTGGGGGCAGCTGTGGCCCAACCTCTGCCAGAGGGGGGCCTGCTAGGGGGAGGCATGCGAAGGAGACTTGCAAGCTGTTGTCTGGTCTGCCCCGCCTGAAAAGTCCTCTCGAGCGCTTCCTGAGCAGCTGAGCCAAACACTGTTCCTGGCTCTACCGGATGGCTCCTGAGGCTTCTCCTCGAGGCCTCAGTCGACTGTGACAGCCAGACTTGGCGTCGAGCCTGGACAACAGTGGACATCATCCGCCCGAGCTCTCGGGTCATGTGGCCAAATGCCTCGAGTGCTGCGTCACACATGACGATGGTATCACCATTTACATTCCCTGTAGCCACGTCGCCTTCTTGCAGGGAGGCTGAGAGAGCCAGCATAAGGTGTGAGAGGGAGTTCCCAATGCGGCCAGCGTGTGCCCCAGATTCATAAGCCCTAACAAGCAGGTCATCAGTTATCCTGCACTGGGGCCGGGGGCACCTGGTCTCCTGGTGCGGAGCCTCGTCAGGGGAGATGATGAGGGATGCGATGGCTGGCTCAACAGCTGGCATATGATCCAGGCCCACTGCTGCCCCATTTTGCATGGCTGCCAGAGTTCGAGCATCAGCAGACATATGGGAGCTGGCCCTAGTGTCCATCCAACCAGCTTGTAGTTCCCTCAGTATGTCCGGTAAGTGAGGTACAGCAAAGGCAGTGGGTGGCGGCCTGCGCCTGAAGAAAGCACTTGCGGGTGCAGAGTTTTCCACCTGTGGGACATCCAAGTTTTGGCGCTCCAAGGCCATGCGCATAACTGTGCGCATAGAGTGCTCTCCCGTCTCTGTCCGGGAGCTCTGGCCAGAGGAGTACGAGCCTGGATCGGACACCTGGGATGCGCTGCCTTCTGTGTCTTCCCAATCTTCATGAAAATGAGTGGCTGAGGCTGCCAGGGAGATTGTGTCCTCCTCCGGCGTGAGATGGGGCATTGGAGGGTCAGGTACCCCTGCCTCCTCTGAAGGGGAGTCAGGCTGGCGGGCCATTAACAAAGACCTCATCTGAACGCCTTGACTGCCTGGTTCGGGGTGGAGGGGGCTGGCCTGATGGAGGAAGAGTATCCCCACCCTGTGGCTGCCCTATCTCAGCCAGCCTGGAAGCCCTCACAGCTAGAGGCATATAGCTGCAGTTCATGCAGCTATGGCAATTGTCCAGCGCTTCCCTCAGATGCTCAGGACCAAGACACCTGGGACACAGGTCGTGGCCATTGTCTGGCTGGAGAAGGGGCCTCGCAGGAGGAACAAAAGTGTGAGCCCTCCATCACTGGTCACCACGAGGACAGAGCGCGCTCGCCACTGTTTGTGGTTGTGAACCTGTACTTAGCTGTACGCTGGGGGAGAGAGCGCGTATGCTGCCTACACCAGCAGAGGCTGACGTGTGGTAAGGGTACAAACAACTTGCTGTGGGGAGGAAGCGCATACGCCGCCTGCACCAGCAGAGGCTGACGTGTGGTTGGGGTACAAACAACTTGCTGTGGGGAGGAAGCACCTATGCCGCCTGCACCAGCAGAGGCTGTCACCAGAAGTGATTGTTTAGCAAATATCATTAATATCACTATCAATAATAATGATGGTGATGACAATGAAAATAGCAATAAAAATAATACTAATGATGATAATATCTATAGAAGTACATTGTACAAACAAATGTTTTTTTTTTTTCAATTAGACCATCCACTACTTGTAGTTAGCTACACAGTAGAGGCCACAGGCTGGGGGAATGCAAAATTTACATGAACTAACAACGGGAAAGTTTCCAAAACATGAAAGAAAACCCCACTGTTAGCGACTAGCTAAACCATAGGAACCATAGGCTAGGGGAAGGGAGCGCGTAGCTGCCTGCACCAGCAGAGGCACTACAAACCACAAGCTACGCAGAGTGACTGTATAGCAAGAAGACCCAGAGTTCGCACATGGAACTCTAAATGGAATTTGAATTTAAGTAGAACGAAAGGAAAACCCAGCATCAACCAAGCAACCAAACAAGCTTTCACGCTTGGAGCAGAAAGCACCCCCACTTGCCGCAGGGGGGGCGATCCAGAAAACAAAACGCCGCTGTAGCAATACAGCGGGATACCCGGAAAAAAAAAGGAAAGAAGACTTTAAATTGAAGCAACAACGGAGTGCTAATGGCACCGTTCGAAGCAACCTTAGACGGCGCGCACGCCGCCTATACCAACGGAGGTACGAAACAAACACAAATCACAGTCGCTCCATCATGAGCGACTCAAACGCGGATATCACCGCCAGCGGTCTTACCTGCCGCTGCCCAGAGGGGTAGCGAGAATCCTTCCTAACCGCCGGTGAGACGCTAATTGGTGCGCTATAGCATCCAGGTGCTAGATCCGGCAGCGTTCCAAGTCGCAGTTCCTGGAGGGCGAACGCTCGCTGCTCCGACCAATGTATGGCCATGGAACCACAAGTGACTTTGCCCACAAGCGCAGTTTAATAATTAAACAAGTGAGGGAATAGTTCCACAACTCGATCGCACGAGAAGAGAAAAGGGACTGACCCCCTGATGGCCTCTGGAAGTCATAGACTCTCCCCGGAGCATCAGGGGTCACACGGGACCATTTTGGTATAAGTACTCGAACAATACATGCGCGAAGGGAATATTCAGTGCTTTAAGCACCGCCTCTGGCGGTCAGCAGGGATGAAATAGAACTATAAGCAACTAACACGGGAGAACCATCCCAACATAATACAAGTGTGCCAGATGTTTCTATGATCTGGAAACAAAAGCTTGTGAAACATATGCCATGTACCATGCCTTTTGAAAAATGAATAAAAAATGAAAATTAAAAAAAAAAAGAAAAAACACACAGAGCCAGTGACCAGAATGAGTCACTGGTCACTGGCTCATTGAGTCATTGGTCACTGGCTCGTTCATGTAAAACGTGTCTAAAAACAGAGAACAGTGATTTTCAAATAATTTCCCACCTAAATTCACCTGAATACTCTAAAGATATTTAAAGTTCAAACTGATAAACTTGATTTTTGTACATTTTCACTCATTTCAAATTTGATGCTGTAACACGTTCCTAAAAAGTTGGTTAACCTCCTAAGACCTGGCGTCCACATGTGTGGACATCACATTTTTGGTTGTCAAGACCACAATATTAAATTTTGTTCACAAGGGCCTTCTCTCAAAATTTAAAACGAATGTCCTCATATGTGGACATCATTTTCTCAGAAACTACATCATGTAAAAAGACCATTCTTTGTTTTTACACTCATCAGGTCCCAATTAGCTTAAATATCAAAGAGAAAATAAAAATGCATGCCTTGCAAGAGTTCGGGTCTTAGGAGGTTAAGAGTCAAATAAAGACTGAAAACTGAGGACTGCTCCAAAAACACCTGTTTGGATCCTTCCATAGGTGAACAGGTTCATTAGAAACAGGTGAGGAAAACTTCTCCATACTGATATGGAAAAGTGTGCTGTGGTCTGACGAGTCCACATTTTAGGACCATCCCAACTGTTCTCAGGTCAAAGGTCAAAGCCAGAGTCTGTGATGGTCTAGGGGGTGTGTTAGTGTCAACGGCTAACTGTCACCTCTGTAAAGGCTCCATTAATGTTGAAGGCCCATACAGGTTTAGGAGCAACATCTGCTGACGTTAGAGCCATGGCTTTTTCAGGGAAGTCCCTGCCAATTTCAGCAAGAACACACAGAGACACATTCGAGTTATAATGGTGGGACTTCAGAGTCCAGGTACTCGACTGGCCTGCCTGCAGTTCAGCCCTGTCTTTCATTGAAAATGAGTGGAGCATTTTGAAGGCCAAAATACCACAATTGAGACCCCAGACTGTAGATCAGCTGAAGTGGTCCATTAATCAAGACTGTGAAGAAGTCACCTCCAAAGCTTCAACAGTTAGTGTCCTGAGTTCACAAAGGCTTACTGAGTGTTGTTAAAGGAAAGGTGATGAAGTACAGTGGAAAACAGGACCCTGAACCAGGTTTTTAAGAATGTGTTACAGCACCAAATTCAAAATGAGTGAATATTTACAACAACAAAAAAAATCAAGTTTTTCAGTTTGAACAGTAGATATCTTTGTAGAGGATTCAAGTGAATTTAGGTGGAAAGGGATTTGAAAACCACTGTGTTCTGATTTTATTCAACAGGGGTTTATAAAAACTACAAATATCGAAATAGATGGTAGACAACCCTAAAAGCACACCAGGGGCCAACAACATGAAGTGAGTTAAAAATAATCTGGATATCTTTTACTTATTCCAGCTCCACTGACCTTAACTATTGAGATTATGCTAGAGAGTTCCACCAAAACTGCTCATGCTAATAATTGGTCATTGCACAGCACCTGTAAGTTATTTCACAATAGCTGACTGTTGCCATGAAAAGCAGACTTTTGCTAGGTATGCAACTGCAATATGGAGGACTGGCTGTAGCCAAATCACTGTGTGGAAGCAGTTGAATAAATCTGACAGTGTAATGCTGCAGATCTGCTTGGTGTGCTCCATTGTGTGGTTGAATAAAAACAGACTTACCTTATAGTGGAGTCCACGTAGCCCCACACACTGTCAACCAGACTGTCAGCACCAACAACAGACAACAATCTGTGAACCACCCTGCAGCATCATGAAAGTGAAACAGAGAGTGTAAGAGGGCAAAAGCCAACTAAGTGACTGTGTTTACAGACACAGACAGGCACAGACACTGACAGACAAAGACACAGACATAGACTGACCCGTGGTGGTGATCAATTTTTAGTCAGTACAAAAAAGGGACATATAGTATAATATCTACACCATAGTATCTGTTTTGAATAACTGTGGGAGACATTCACAATGTGATCGCTCACAGGTGTTGTCCAAAAAGTTGTGTTACTGTCTGAGTCCTGTCCTGACAGCAGTCCTCTCTCGTGTAAGAATCCCTTCAGAGGCATCATGACAGTATATTCATCTTACCTCAACTTTACTGTCAGACTCTTGGGAACTTTCCTGACTGAACTCGTGTTTGACAACAACATGCAGCTGCAATCCGGAGTCATACTCAGTCATACATATCCGTTTAAACGTTCACGGTTTTCTGACATCCAGAGTCACTTCCACACTTTGACTAACATTTTTCAACCAGGTAGATAAATGAAGGTAGGACACATTATACTCACCCTCTATCCCCTGTCGCCGCTTGCTCAGCCATAGTGGAACAACAATTCAGAGAAATTACTCCAGTCACGTGACCCGAGTGACTCTGACGTTGAGTCAACTGGGACAAGAGTCATTTGGTTGTGTTTCAGTCTGATTCTGGTGGGCGGTGCCTGTCCGGCTCCCAACATGTTATTATAGTTACCTTTTTATTTATTTATTTTTTTAACCTTACGGCCATTTACCAAATTCTTAAAAATAAAGATTTAAATAGTCGAGCAGGCCAAAGATTATCTTAACAGATAGCGCCAACAGATGGCAGTTTTGTAAACTGGTGTTTACAAAGCTGCCATTTTTTATGAGGAAATAAGAACATGTGATCAGAGCCGACCCAAGCCTCAATGGGGCCCTAAGCAAAATTTGATTTGATTATTTTTAAATTATTAAATTAAATGTTTGATTATTTTATTTCTGCCAATAATATTGATTGTTGATCATTCACACACCTACTACTGTATAAATATAATGCGCCTGACATGTCTTTACATATTTAAGGGGGTGGCCTAGGTAATAACATAGATAATACCAATGCAACCATACAGATAATACCAATGAATGACTGTAAAAGATGTTCAGGGTGCCACATATGGTTTTTAATCTCATAATGTAACACATCCAGGATGCTCAGTGCACATTACACAGCAGGAGGCGCATAACGGTAGCAGAGCTTTGACATGTCGGTAGTAAGAATCATAGGCCTTCATCAGCAAAAGTACTAAAATGTTTTTACTTTATTTTATTTTTCCGATAATATATATTTGATCATACAGACAACACCAGTAATACATGCAAAAAAAAATACTAATAATTTTTATTATCATTATTTTTATTTTTTTGGTTGCTCTTGGGGGCCCCCTACTGGCCACGGGGCCCTAAGCAGACACTTAGTTCGCTTATGCCTTGTGATTGATAAAATATGAATACTCAAAGAGGTTTTAAGGATGCAAGAGACATTATTGGAAGATCACATAAAGGATAAAAATGGAAATACACATTAATTCACTCATAATCCTGTTATCTTAATTTTTAAAATTCTTGAAAACATATTCAAACAGATGCTAAATGACTTCTAAAATATATAAAAAATAAGTGTTAAATGAAAATATCAGTGGCTTAAGGAAGAATAGGCCCACGGATAATGGATTTTAAAGAAAACTCAACAACTGTTATAGAAGAAAATACAGTACACTGTTGAATTATTCTTTGATGAAAAAAAACAAACAAACAAACAAAAACAACATTTAATTCTGTGGTTTATGATATTCTGCTTCCAAAATGTGATCATATGGCATAAAAGCAACATCCTAGTATTTATTAAAAAGTTGTATCAGCAGCAGAAAACAGTATGCTCTTGGTAGATGATACAACAGTGTACAGTTCTGGAGATAATTTAAACAGATTGATGAGTCCAGTTTCTTAGGAAATAAGTTGAACAATGGTTCAACATAAACTTAACCTAAATATCAGTAAAACAATGTCTGTTATTTTTGGAAATAAAAGTAAAGATGTGGAGATCAGATTATTAATCAATGGTTAAGACTTTGAAATTGTGAAAGAAATAAAATATCTTGATGTAACAATGGACAATAAGCTTTCTTGGAAATCTCACTTCAGATACATCAAGTCTAAAACAACAAAAAACATCCCTGTGCTACTCAAAGTTAAATATGCACTGGACCAAACTCACTAAAATGAGTGTTTAACAATAATTTTAAGCTATCTTGGTTATTGTGCAGAGTTATTGCGGTTCCCCGTCTCTGTCCACATTTTCAGCTCACAGTGATATCAGTATTTGCGTGACACTAACTTGAAAGTAGCTCATTATTTGGAAAAATCGGTCGTGTCTGTAGAGGTTTGTCCGACTCTAGTTTTCTAGTGGACTTTTCGTTAAAGGGGTCAAACTGACTGGGGTCACCCGCTGGTATTACACTTATCATATGCATGTAATTCAAAAACTCAAAACATGGCACGTTTCCATTTAAGTCTGTGAATTACACAGCTGTTGAGCAATTGATTCTAATTGGTCTTTATAGCAACAGCCCGTAATTCCTCCATTGCAGACCATTCCCATGAAGAACAGACCAAAGCTGAGGATGAAAACTCCGCTCACCCTGCCTGAGATTGGGCTGGACAAAAAGGGCCAGGAAATACTTGAAGAAAGCCTGATTAAATGTAATCAGGGAACCATCAATAAAGTTATTAAAAACAAAAGATGATCATCATAACTCACTATGTAGGCTACAAACCATGAAGATAATTTGCTAGTTTGTTCTGACATAAGCAGAAAATAAACTGACGGGGAGAAAAATCAAAGACATCTAAAATTATTTTTTAAAAACCTTATACTTGTCTTTGTTTTACCTAGTTTAGTTAACACGCAGATATGTTTCTCTCATTAGATGTGACAAAACTAAACATACTCCAACAACTAAATAAATACTTAATAAATGTCTGAAAATGACATGGACACACTCACAAAAAAATATAAAAAAAATAATACAATAAAAAATCATTCAATGAACTACATGAAAAACTGAAATAAACTTACTGCAAACAAGTGAAAAACACAAATGAAATATTATCCGTAGCAAATCTTTTGAGCAAAAAATAAAAAATAAAAATAAACACACCTTAATAATTCTAAATCTTTGGATTTGTTCGTAGTGTGAACGTTTAAGTCCCCGCTCATCTCTGCCTTTCCCCACCTCCCTGTTCCACAAAACAAGCGCACCCTGCCACAGGACGTCGGGAAATGCGGAAGTAGCTTCTCTGTCAAATATCGAAACAGTGCTGCCATTCAGCATAAGAGAGGGCTTCGGTAAGTAGCCAAATTACATGAATCGTGTCTTTTGCAAACTCTCAGAGCATATTATCTGTCACGCGGGTTTTTAGTGAGTGCTGACATGCATTGTTTAACTCCTTAATGTGACATGTCCATCCAAAGTCCAGCTTCGCTGACACCAGTGACTCTGAACACATTGTGAGACACGTAAAGGTTTGCACAGGACTTTATTCTGCCTCTGTTCATCAACTTAATGTCCATGCACAAAAGAAATGACTGCATGTTCATTATTGTTATAGAAAAAAAAAAACAGGAGGCTGCCTGACTGCAAAGGTTGGGTGTCATATCGCGTAATTTATACAAGTAGCTAATCATGTGAGTAAAGATGTTTTTAATGAATAAAAACAAAGTCAAAGCTGATATTCTGTCTAAACAAACACATTGGTTATCTGTAGTGGACCTTTCCTGGGTTACAAAGTGGACAGTAACATATATGTCAAAACTATTTGTACGGTTCAGCCACTGAAAAAAACAAACAAACAATCAAAAAAACAAACAAACATCTTTTTGTCTATTTTTTATTTCTTTTTAAAGAAGATTTTATCCTAAAATTGTTACTGATGTAAATAAGTCAGGGGGTTGAATGTTTAGTCTCTTATTTTTGTTTATTCGTTTCTATTCTTGGAATTAATTTTGAAATAGTAATGTGAAAATCAAACCGGGACAGTGAAACAGCGCAAGGCGAGTTCTCTTTCTTCCCCGACTAGTCGATTAATTAATAACTGTATTTTGACCGCGAGGAGTAGATTGGTGTTATTCATCAAAATAATCCAAGAAAATTTAACAGTAATAACTCCGCATCGTTCGGTTTATTTTTATGTGTGACACTAATGTTAAAATTCGATCTATTTCTCAAAATTAAGATTATTTTTTATATCTAAAAACGAAAAATAAAGTTCTTTCTCTTTTCCCATGTCTGTGCAAGGAGGAAAGTCATTTTTACTTAATCAGAAGTTTAGGGTGAAGTGTGCCCATTCAGCAGATATTCAGTGATTGGTCCACGGGGTATGATTGAGCTCCACCGTATCGGAGAAGCAGGGTGACGTTGGAGGGTGTGACAGCTGAAGGTTACTGCGTGGAGCATAAAGTCCGCCGCTGCTGCAGCTTCAGACTCCAAACTCCAGACATGTCTTAAACTATCTAATCTGACTGGTTTCAGATCGGCTCCCGCCCCGAGCCTGCAGCAGAGACACAGACACGGATCTGGGTGAGTACTGAGCTGCCCCGACTTACACACTGAGACACCTTTAAGACCTGGGGGTGAGATCTGGATCAGCCGAGCATGCAGATTATACTGTAGTGTGTGGCAGTGTGGTTTGCTTCTACACTATAGCCTCACCATGGCTCCCACTAAGACCCCTCCCTCTCTGAGAGCTGCTAAGATGGTCGATCAGCTGTTTCTGTCAGTAGTCTGTATCTGTGCTCCAGGCTGCCGAGCTCACCCTTCAGAGAGGTGGAGCAAACTCATTCACTTTGTGCAGCTGATTGCTATAATCAGCGTGTGTAACCTCTGAGACACTCGATGAGTGTTTACTTTCTTGTCTCAATGCCAGGTTTATTTCCTCTTCTACATAAACTCTTCCTTCAGGTCTCTCCATGTTAACTGATAACATTAAAGGTAATCTAATAATCATAGAGCACAATAGCGCCCCCAAGTCCCAAAGTACATCTAAACTAGGTTAAAGCTGGTAAAAGTGGGACCAGAACTGTAAGAGTTTTGCTTTTTAGATTAGTAAAATATAAAATCTCTGCATCCCAGTATAATTTATGTAAATCACTGCCTTCTCAAAAACAGAAGTTGCCACACACTGGTGAAAAAAAGTACATTATATGTTTATTATTCCTTCAAGCTCAGTAATGAATCATTATAACAAACACTGAGGTGACTTCGTTCATCTAGCAGACACTGACATACATTTTTCCACAAACTTCATCTAAATAAAACTTTTTCTGGTAACCCTGTGACATTTGGGAACATCTGGGACACGAAACACAGACATTGACATACTCACAGGACTCAAAAGGTTTCAGGAAATGTATCATATGCCTAAACTATTTAATTGTAAGACATTATTGTTAGCTGTACATTAGAGGAGTGACTTGGATGAAAACCTCTGTATTTAGTTTGTTTGTTGCAGATTTGATTGTTAAGGTATATGTTCATATTGCAGAGAGTTTCTCTTGTGTTCATATCTCTGTTAGTTTCCAGTGGAGGGCCTTTTGAGAGGGAAGATGCTGCAGGAGTCGTCTATTGACAGCAGTGGCTGCAGGTTTACTCCTTTGGTGGTGGTGGAGCTGGCCTCTGACGCCTCAGAGGAGACCATTGCGTGGCTGCTGCGCAGGATCAGAGACAAACAGCAGAATGGAGGTAGAACAGTTTTTCTCTTAACTGTATCTGTCTACACTTTCTGCCACCACATTCAGAGTTATTAATCAGGATGTATCTGCCAGGGTCTGAGCTGCTGGTGGAGCAGATCAGCCCTGGAATAGATGCTGAGGAGAAGGAAAACCCCAACATGTTTCTGGTGGGGGCATCATGGCAGAGGATGCTGGCTGGTGCTGAGGAAATTGGCCTCTATAAGGAGCACGAGGATGGATTCATGAGGAGCTTCACCTGTGCTAGCCAAAACGGCTTCAAAGACTTTAAAGGTAAGGTATGAGTGTGAGCTGCACGAGAGGCGGGGCAGGTGAACTTACCTGCTGCTGGATGACAGCTCAGTTTACGCAGCTGTGAGGAATTTTGCCCTGAGGACAAAAAGGTGTGTCTCATCATGTCCTCTACAGTTACAGGTGGTTAGTGTTGTACTGCTCCCTGTGACAACTGGCTGCGCTGTCTGTTCGAATCCAATTTGGTGAATGGGGGGACATCTTTAAAAGCTTTTTCATGGATGTTGATGGTCTAGTAAACCTTTGACTGATCATATGAAGAGCATCAGGATCAAATCAAGGCTGTTTTAGGACATGTTGAAACTCTTCATAGCACCTTTTTTCTCCATCTCTAAGACAAGAGTTTCAGTGACAGTGTGATGAGGTCAAACAGAGTGAAGAGGTCAAACAGAGTAAGGAGGTCAAATGAATAGAAGAGGTTAAACAGAGTGAAGAGGTCAAACAAGGCTTATTATGTATAAATCCTTTCTTTTTATTTTTCCTTAAAACAAACAGCTGACAAACGCTGTTGAAAGCCAAAGATCGGTATATTTAAATTTTTATATATTTATATATTTAAATCAAAACAGAACAAATCCTAACTCTCAGAATCAGTCTTTTGTTGGAAGGCTTAAAGCTCCAGTGAGGAGTTTTTTTCCTGTTCTGAAATAGACTGAAATTTAAAAGGATGCCTTTTTTGACCATTGGTATCTGAATGATCATGTTTTCATATTGTAATTTCTGTATGCCTGTAACTGCAGTGAGGGGGTCAATGTCATATAAGAGGATTGACAGCAGAGATCTACTTTACCTACAGAGGGCACTGAAAATCAACACAAACAGAAAGAAACACAAGAGCTTTAAGTTCATCTGTGACCAAATAAAAGAGATGTGGATGTCAGCCTCACAACCACTTACAACACCTGACAAAGGAGTTTTATGATTTCTTAGTGGTAGATATCAAACAGCCTCCTCAACAGAAGTGTGGGGTATAGTTCTGAATATTTTAACATAATCTGTTTATTTATTTATTCTGGTCATTCATTACAGAGGAACTAGAGTTGTCTGAATATTCAACTTACAACACACACGCACTCAAAAGAAATCATCATTTTACTTTTTCACACTATCAGGGAGCAAAAAAGAAACACTGAAGCTCAAAGATGATTTCTACCTTTTTATATAATCCACATCCAGATAATTCACAACATCAGCTGGATAAAACGATCATGACGAAAACAAATGGAGAAGTCCAGAAGAGCTCCAGTCCCTTCTCTGCCGATTCACAAATGTATTTTTTTAATTTACCTTTTTGTCAATTAAAAAACTAAATTCAAAGGTAGAAAAAAGGTATGCTTATTTGCCTCCGAAACCATTTTAAATATTAGCTAGAAAACATTTAAAGATAGAGAGATAGGAAACACAAGAGTAACAATAGAAACCAAGAGGCAAAAACAGCTAAAAACCAATCAAAGCAACAGGAGGAGCAGCTCGTGGGCTCAAGTGATGACCTGACAACCAAAGTTACAAACTGGCCTTTGATTATTTTCTGGCCCACCAACTAGTGGCTCAGAAACAAACAAGTTGCCCACCCTGCCATACGGCCCTGTTGCTGTTCTAGTTCCTGTTTTAGGGGGGAGAACTGATGTATGAACACTCCTTGTTGTGTTGTTGTCTGTGTGTTTGCTGCTCCAGTCTGATGTGCTCTGTCTCTCCAGGGGATGGAGACGGCTTCCTCAGTATGGCTGAGTGTCAGTACATCATCAAACATGAGCTGGACACTTTAAGAGCCAAAGATGAGACACATGTACCAGGACACGAGTCAGCCAAGCTCTACCCCGGAAAATCCATCAGTGAGTGTCTGTCTCAGTTTAAAATCTCAACAAATCCAGTTTCTTGGTTTAATGTCATTTAACTCTGTGGAAAGGAAACAGAGAACAATTCCACTGTTCTTGAACCTTGCCGCTAATGGGACATGTTTTGTGTAAATTACAAGAAGTTTCATTTTTGTGGTCATTGGTCCAGTAGACGTTCTCGTTTAAGAGCTGTTAAACAAAAGTAGGGCACACGAAATCAATTTTATTTTTTAAAAATTTCTGTTTTTTTGGTCAACTTCCAGTAAAGTTGCTCTCAGAATTCATAGAAATATCTTCTGTACTTAGCTTAGTGTCGTATGTCTTTGACATCTCAGACTACCTCCTCATCATCACTTCACACTGAACTCCTATCTGAGGTGAGACAGGCTGGAGGGAGCTGGTGCAGCATAGATCCTGGACAGACTCTGGTGTGACAGCTGCTGTGAAAAACCCAGACTCTTCTACAAACCACCCCCACAGTTTAGGAAATCCTGTTATATTCCATGGTTTACAGTTAACATCAGCAAATTCTGTGATGCCGCCCATGTTTATACATCACTCAAATTATTGGGCCACTCAAAACACTGAACCCGAGTCTCTCACATGCTGAGATTTCTATCCAAAGTTAAAAATACATTAAAAACATTATAAATATGGTTGCCAACACTGACACACCTTTTAGTCCGGGAACAGCATTAGTACCAGAAGTTGTGCGCAGCAAACACACCTCCAAAAGAAGGCAGAGACCATTTATTATTTATATCAATTATTCCACGAGTTGCTTGTGTACCACTGCATCAATTAGGAAGAACCTGAAGAACACCAAAGTCACAGAACAACTCAAACGAACCAATCCCATGAAGCAGAGGTAGACCAGCAACTCCTGTATTCTGCAGGGTAAAGTTAAGCTGCATGTAAGCTCCATTTTGAAGTCCATTCTGACCTGATTTTGGAGTTGTACTGCTCTGGTATTCAGGCCACTTTAAGCTGGATCAGCTGCTCCAGACTGCGTAGCCAACTGCTAACTGTCGCACTGTGAGAGCAGGGCTACGACCTGTCTTTATGAGGAGGTTTAATCTCTTGGTTATTGTGAAAATTTCCCTCTCATACTAGAGACTGAACTATAAATTGTTAATTGAAAAAGTAAAAAAAGAGATTAACTCAAACTGAAAATAAACTTCCCTGAATTACTGACTTCAAAGCAAATGCTGCTGATTAAAACTGTGCCAATAATGCATCATAATGATTATATACATGCTATGAAAATAGAAACCAATTCCCGATGAACAGCAGTGAATCTGTTCTAAATATACTCAATGCTAAAACTGACACCATCAATCCCTGAATGTTCCTTCTTTGTTGCAGACAGTGTTAAAGCTTGTGATGATGTTTTTGTTGCTTTCATGGCATATTTGTATTTTCACTCCACACCACCATCAAGGCTCTTTAGAGGTAGTTTTATTCTTTATGTATCTACTACTTATTCTATCTACTTGTTTGCAAAAGAGTATATAACACAACACCCCCCCCCCCCCCTCCACCGCTGCTTCTTCTCCCTTCCCATCTCGCTCTGTAGCAGCAGAATGGAAACAATCAATATGCAAATGAAGTGAAATATTCTCAAAGTGAGATAAGAAAGCAGTGAACTCGCAGCAGGAGATAGGCTTATAGGCTTCCTCTGTTCAAGGCCTGTTTGACAAATCCTGTTAAAGCAGAATGTAATCATTTTGGACAAATGATGCACTCAAGTAACTGCAGATGGAATGATGGAGCTTTCATGTGCTGGTCGTGTTCAGTCACTCAGTGGTCGATAATGAGGATTATTGCTATAGACAGTGCACTGTGCACAACAGGAGGCTCTCTGCTATTGTTTGCCTGTCCTTGTCATCAAAAATTAAGGCGTGCTTTTACTTGGTTTGTTCAGTTCAGACAGACAAAAGTGAGGGATAATAAAGCAGAAAGGCTGTTTTTATGTCACTCCAAGGTCAGTGAAACATTTTCTGCATTATTCAGACCAAAAGCCAAAACAGCGTCTCCCAACAGCCTCCTATATCAATATTTTACTCATCATGGCTGCTGTTATTATCCCTGTGAGAACAGCCCACCACAGGGAGCAGATCTTTGTTGGTATAATCCAGTTTAAATTGATCTGAAACAAAAACGTTAGCAGCTAAAGCCTTTGTTCTTCTGGAGCTGAAAGCTTCAACTCATATCTTTTCCATCATCACTCTGAAGATAATTCAGTGACTTGTCACTGGATGAAAACCTGAAGGTGGAGTCTGCAATGTTCTGTGATAACTCACAAATGATCAATCATTTTGAGCATTCACAGCATCTGTTCGCCTTGTTTTGAACTCAATCAGCTCTGGAACTATTAGTAGGTTAAAATAATAATTATTTCTTATCACAGAAGGTCTGAAACACTGGTCATGTTAATTTTAAGCTAGTAGCAGCCCAGCAGACATAGTCACTTAGACATGCAGCATAGTCTAAATACAAATGCAAGTGTAGCTGCTGTGAGTGAATTCATCAAAATAAACTGTAGGTTTTATTCATGTAACTCTGTGTGTTCTTTCTTCTGAAAATAACCACAACGCTATCAATCACTTTGCTCATAGTATCCAAATATACTGTATCGTAACCCCTGTATTTGGCTATGTATCATATCACCAGAATATTATCATAATGTTGCATTACCCAGATGTAAATAAGTACTGATGATGGACAGATCTCTTAGCCAGGGTTTTTATATTTAAATTTAAATCTACATTCATGTTTAAAGAAGTTGATTCAAGAAAATCAAACCAATCAAGTATTGATTACTTGTGATGACAAATAACCTTTTAGCTGAGGTTGTAAATGATGCAGCACTTTCTCCTGCTTTCTGACAACGCATTCACCCATTCATATCACATTCATCCATTTATAATATCAACTAATACCATTCACACACTGATGACATGACTACAGGGGACAGTTTTGGGGTTGTCTTGTCTAAGGACCTTCAGCATAGCTGGACCCTCTGGTTTAGAAACGACCTACTGCCCCTTTGAGCCTTAGCGGTTCTTGACATTATGACGTTATGATGAAGAAACAGCACAAGTACACCTTCAGACAGTGTTTTAGAGATGAAAGCCCTGTGAAAGTGATGATGTTTTGTTTACGTCTCAGTTCGCAGACTGCAGTCCAAAGGAATCCTGATTCAGATTTTTCCACTCCATGAGAGGGAGGAACTTAAGAGACTGTCTTTTTCCTGGTTTGGAAAGGTGAAGCTGAGCCTGCAGCCACTCGGTAAGTGGAAGACGTACCAAACAAATCTTTTTGTTCCTCTTCTGAAACCCTCACATAGATAAGATCAGCCCAGATACATTTGACTCCTCTTCATGCAGCACAAGCAATTGATTTCAAATCCAAAGGGAACTTTTAGTTGTTCTTCTCACATTGTTCCTCCCTCCATATGTTCAAGTACCTCTGCTTTCTGAATTATTGTGATGCTGCTGCAGTTTTAAGAGCTGTTCTTCCTCTTCTTTTACATTTATGTTACTATGCCATATATCTCATCATGGTTTGTCATTTTTGATCCTGCTAACTTCTTTCATTTCCATTTTCTAACCACCAGATGACATCAGACACTACTTTGGTGAGGGTCAGGCCCTCTACTTTGCTTTTCTGGAGTACTTCACTTTTGCGCTGTTGCCGATGGCTCTCATTGGCATACCTTACTACCTGTTTGCCTGGGAGGACTATGATAAATATGTCATCTTTGCTGGCTTCAACTTGGTGTGGTGCACCGTCATCCTGGAGGTATGAAAAGCGACTGAACCTGCTTCTGAACAAAAAAGGTCCAAAACCCTCTGAACAGAATCCACTTTAGACTTTAGACCACAGATCAGAAAATTTCCAGAACTATGATCATCATTTTCCACACGTCTGTATAGGAATCCTTTGTTTGGATTGCAATATTCTGATGGTTGTGGATTTTTGATTTTTCTGAGCTTTAAGCCATAATCTGTCGTAAAACTCAATGAAATTAAGTCTTTGATCAATTCTGTGCTAGATTACAACAATTGTTATCTGAAGACACTTTCCAAGAGAGCAGATGTAGGCCAAACTCTATTACAAAGACCTAACCTCAAGATGGGAGAAGATTGAGTCCCATCTAGAGCTAAGACCATTCTTTACCTGTCTTGAACCGACATAAGCGAAGCACTTTGCTGTATTTAGTATGTTACAGAGGCAAGGAAGTCTGGAAATATTGAGTGTGTGTGTGTGTGTGTGTGTGTGTGTGTGTGTGTGTGTGTGTGTGTGTGTGTGTGTGTGTGTGTGTGTGTGTGTGTGTGTGTGTGTGTGTGCGTGTGTAATGTAGAATATCTGGAAGTTTTTGGTGTTCACTTTTTGAACCAAATTGCAGGGAAATTGAATTTTTTCAGGACATCCTGTTTATTTAACTCTTGAATATGTAACAGTGGAGTGAAAGCTGATGAACTGATGAACTGAACTTTCCTTCACCAGTTATGGAAGCGTTACGGCGCCACTCTTGCCTACCAATGGGGCACACTGAGCAGGAAGAAGGCCTTTGAAGAACCTCGGCCTGCTTTCCATGGCGTTCTTGGATTAAACCCTGTGACAGGGCGTGAGGAGCCGGTCTACCCTACCGTTAAGAGGCAGCTGAGAGTCTACCTGGTGTCTGTGCCCTTCGTCCTGCTCTGCCTCTACCTGTCCCTTTATATCATGATGATCTACTTTCAGATGGAGGGCTGGGCGTTGAAGGTCCACGATGAAGACCCAACATTCTGGACAGGAATTCTGTGTTTCATTCCGAGTATCATCTATGCTGTGATTATCGAGATTATGAACATCATCTACAGGCATGCTGCTGAAATCCTCACAGACTGGGGTGAGTAGAAGTGTTGGTATTATTGTCATCATGTATGAATTATTTGCTGATTCTGAAACTTATGTAACTGTGATGCTTTCCTCATGTGATCCTACAGAGGCAAATATTGTTGGGTGTGTGTGTGTGTGTATATATGTACTACCTAATTGCGGTTGTCACAGATATTTTTGTTGCTCTACCTGTAAACTTTTTACATTCATGATAAAATCAGTTAAAATTGATCACTGATCAATCAAAAAGTAGAGCAAAGCCCCCTATACAGAGGCTACAGCCCTCGATACACCGGCTGCTGGTTCAACTCCAGACTCTCCGGCAGGTGGCCCAGGTTGGATTTTCAGTCTGCAGCCCCTTTCCTACATTTTGGTCTCTGGTGGTTTCCTGCTCTGTCCACTGTCTAAGGCAGGGAGGCCCCCAAAATCATATTGAGTCATAGTTTTGCCTTCATATTGTAGTGATTTGAAATGAGCCTCACACGGTCGCACCAAAATATATGTAGCGATTTGAAATGAGCCTCACAAGGCCGTACCAAAATAGTACTGTAGCGATTGGAATTTATAATAAATGTCTGAAGATTAATAATCTCAAATTATGACATTTATGCACTCGTTGAAAGGGGCACCACCCACCCTTAATGGTGGGAAAATAAAGAAAACAAAAGTTTAATTCAGAAATCAAACATCAAGTCAGTTTTAATTAATCAGTCTTAATTAATCAGTCTCATATCTTAAGTCGAAATTCTAATTTCAGGGACTCCACTTTTGGAAGAACACTAACAGACAGGAACTTAGAAAAATAATGATCTGTTTATTACAGGATAAATGATGGTACAACACACATGTAATAAATGATGATAAGATAATGAGGATAAAATAATAATAGGTGAATAAATAAATATTCTGAGTCAGACTAGGAGCACTAAAGTTAATGATAGTGAGTGAATATGCGCTAACATATTAACCTACACTAACTTTGGTGTCGAGATAAACTCGGATGTGGATTTGGAGGAATCTAAGATCACCAGAAATAGGTGGATATCTGAGTTATGAACGCATGAGACAGCACCAGCCCTCTTTAGAGCTCTGGAGGTTTGCATACTTAAGTGAGACTGGTCCTTGGAGAAGATGGAGCAGGTTCCGAAGGTCCGGGCTACTGGCGGTTCGAGCGGTTCAGCTCAGAAGACGACTGAAGTCAGCCGAAGGATGAGCCAGGAGTTGCAGCACTCGGGCCCGAAGCAAAGCCAGCGCCTGTGGATCCTGTGGATGCTCGTTTGGGTACTTCTTTGGTCTCACTTAAAAACTCTGGCACAGAGGATGACCTGGGCCTGCTGGGTTGCGTTCAGAGGTGACTTTGAATCACGCAGAAAACTCAGAAAAACGAGGCTCAAAGAGCAGAGAAAACTTTCAAAAATGGCTTCGCGAAATTAAAGGAAAATCAATCAAAGGCTTAATCTTGAATTGCTATGTGCACAAAAAGTTGAAGTTTCAAAACTTGAACTAAGACGATGTTAAAGAAAAATCTACGTGAATCAACACGTGGCGTAAAACTTAGAAGACTAAGAAAAAGTTCTAAGATAAAACAAAGAAACGCACCACAGAAGGGTGTGGGCAGAAAAGAAGGGCCCAAGAGTAAGGGGCCTAAGAGAGACAAGAGAGTCAGCACACAAGAGACAAGAGGAGCATAAGAGAGATAAGAGATAAGAGAGCGAGCAACCCCACTCCACTGGTTTTATCTTCTCACACTGGGAGTGTCTGAGGAGAAAGAGGAGGGGTCATCGGGTCTCTGATTATTTGATCTAACTTATTCTTTTGGCTGGTAAAAGAGTCAGATCTGATACTCACTCACTATGATTAATATCATTGAATGCTGGGTTTCATGATAAATAATTTGATACTAAACACATATGAATGAAGTGTAGGATCACATCAAACATTCTCATTATGTTTTAAGTATCACATTGAACATGCTAAATTACTCTGAAATGAAACAGATAGTAACACATAGAAACTGTGAACAACAAAAGAGTACACATGTGAATGAACGTCATCATGATTAATAATGGATTCTAAATACTCACATTCAGATTATTCAGTGACATTATAACCACCTAATGGTTAAGATACTAAATAAATAACTAAAATATAAACCAAACATTTCTAAACTATTTCTGTTACTTAGAGTAAACTTAGGATTCATAGTCAATAAATTTAACTCTTAAAAGTTCATGAAACAGTCTGAAAAGCTGTTGGTCTAAAGAAACTAAAGAATAAAGGATTTATTCTGTCAGTGATAACTTGGCTTCTGAAGCACATAGAAAAACGGGAAACATCTCATTTTAACACAAATTTCATGATTAGACAGATTAGTACATTGCTGAATGCGTAAGATGTCATGATCAGTCATTTGTATTCTTTCACCAAAGGAATGCAGTCTTTATCAGTGTATGGTCGAGCAGGGTTTTACGACCGAGGTCTGGAGGTCAGTGTCCCCCCTTATCCTGGGGTCCGTATGTTCACACACTTTAAGACGCTAAATCTCAAATGGGAGATCTGGGTTGAGACGTCAATGTTTATTCAGATGGTCAGTAATGGAGTCAGTTTGAAAGGTAATAAAAACTCTGTCTCTGTTCGCCGAACTGACCAATCCTGAAGAGTCAGAGGTTTAGTCAACCTCCGCTTGGGTCACTTATTTAACCTGAAAGTGCAAACACGTCTGGAAAGATTTATATCCTGTTTCCTGGGACCAGATAAGGAAACTTTCCTGTAAGGAATGTGTGGGTTTCACATCCAGGGTTGTCTTGATTGCTACAGTCCCCCCTTCGTCACGGTGGTCCTGTCCATGGAGCATCGGGACGACGAGTAGACAACCATGAAGCAGCAGCAGGTGTATGCAAATAGGACTGATGCGTCTCGTCATCACTATGTGAATCACTAGTACTGCTTTGAGATAAAATTAAGCATGCATTAAGCTATCAAATAAAATAGTCTTGTTGTTAGACTTTTCTCAGTTAACTATTGGTAGACTAATGTGAAAGAAAATCTCCTAATTTTCAGTATTAATGAGATTTAGGAAAGCACTATTTAGTCTGAATGCTAACTGGATCTAAAGATATAGCTGTTTTCCATGCTTGCTGGAGAAGTCTGAAAGTTCAATTTCAGTTTCAAAAATGGTTAAGACTTAGGTGGAAAAGAAATGTCTGCTATAGACATATTAACCATCTGTGTATGAGCATAGTCAACCTGAATCACAAACATCAAAAGTTTACTGCACAGAGTTTCTCTTAAACTTTGTCTGTTAAACTTGGGGATGATGCTCTTATCGGTTTGACTAATTATCTGCTGTTGAGTCTGGAATTTGTCAATCTGAGTCTTAGTGACAGAAATTTCAGCTTTTAATGTGTTCATGGGATATTTGACAGCTGACAAGCTGACCATATTGACAGAGGAGAGACAAATGCTAACAAAGAAAGCAGCAACTGGTATTGCAGTCATCAATGTATCACCACAGCATTTGGATATCTTATTGGAGTCATTTAGCTTTGGCTAGGTGACTTCTGCTTTTGCAGGACTCACACCTTCATGACTCCGCAGTGTTAATCTCAGTGGTTAGCTGAGTTGTCATGTTTATTCACCTTCAAAGTGGATGAAACCGATTGAGGTGGATAATAAGATCGTCGTTTCTGAGAGTGTAATTTACTCTGATTCTGCCAGTCATTCACCCCCCTTTGGCGGTGTTGATGGTTTTTCCTTTGTCTGGGATAAAACCCACCGTGACGGGAGTCTGAATAACAACAGTTGGTCTCAAAGTTTACCTGGCATTGGTCTGTATCAGACCCGGGCCTTGGTGTGTAACTTTGACCTTTGTGAATGTGTTGAGGTCGAAAAGGTTTTGGAGGCCTGGTTAACCACTCATTTGGAGGCTTATCGGAGCCTGAAAATACACAATCTGAAGCTTCGTTCAGCTCCATGGGCAGTGATTTTGTCTCCATAGCCAACAGAGTAACAGGCTCTGCTTTCTTAGCCAAAGTTTGTCGTTGTTTGGCAAAACCTTTTACAGCAAGTTCACGAAGCTGTCGGCTAGTCAAAGTGTTTGGACAAGCTAAGACGCCAAGGTAATGACTGGTGGTAGGGTGGAGGTTCTGGACGAACAGCGTTTTGAAGTTCAAGTCCTCCTCCATTTCTGGTTCATTTCGGAAACCAAAGTAAGCTTCGCGTAAGCGGTTATAATAATGTTGGGGAGGTTCTGATCTCCCTTGTTTAATAGACAGAGCAGCAGAAAGGCCTGTCTGGGTCAAATGATCAGAAAACTCTTCAATTAATGCTTGGCAGAGCAAGTCATAATTATTTCTGACATGATAAGGCTGTCGTTCAAGGAAACTGTTAACCTCTCGACTTGACGTTGCCTTAATAAGGTAGATTTTGTCATCAGTGGTTGCACCTGGAAATTTCCGCAGGTAAAAGTCAATGTCTTTCAAGTAGGTGCAGGTGTCAGTAGCACCTTGGTGCTCAGGTTCAAAGCGTGCTATGTTACGAGCAATTTTGTCAAGATCCCTGTCTGAGGGAGATGGTAAGAAGCCATCATGAGGAGGAGAGTAGGACTCTTGGTTTAAGGATGACCTCTCAGGGTCAAGCAGGGTCCTGTCATGATGCTGAGAGAGATACTTAAGAGTTGGTTTGGAAGGAAGTGATGGCGCTCTCTCAGGAGGCTGATCACCTATCATTTCTTCAAGAAACGTTTGCTCCATGCGTTCTCTTTGGGCTCGACCTGACTGGAGGGAGCATTGTAACTCTCTTTGGGCATCTTCAAGTTCTTTGTCTGTCTTTTCTCACTGTTCTTGACAAAGAATTAACTGTCTTTGAGCTATCTGGAGCTGGTGCTGTAAGGTAGAAGTTTGCTTCTCCTTAACTTCAAGAGCTTCAGCACGCACTTTGACCAGTGCTTTCAAAGCTTCTACATCTTCTGTTGCTTGCTCTAGTAGGGATTCTGACTGTATCAGATCCTCTGTGGTCTTAGCAAGCTGCTTATTCGTGTCATCAAGTTCTTTCTCCTTTTTATAAAGGGTTTCATTAAGTCTTTCAATCTTGTCTTTAAGATCAAGATTTTCTTCATGACTTATCAGTGAGGGAAGCTTTAACGCTTCACATCTGACACTGTGTTTTCCTAAAACACTTATAGACTTCTTAGTCCCTTCTAGCGTCTTTTTCAGAGCGCTGTTTTCGTCTTTTTGCGCCTTTATCTTTGCTAAAGCGCATTCCAGCAAGTAGTCTTTATACTCAAGCTGAGAAGACATCATGACAGACATGCATCTAGTGAGCTCTTTGTCACGAAGTGTCGTGGTTAAGGCTGTTTCCAGTAAGTCAGCCATTTCATCCTCCGGATTGGAGGGTTTGGCCTTTTGAATCTTAGTCATGTACTGAGGTATCAGCTGACTAGTCAAGTTTGCCAACACTGTGGGTATGTCCCTCAGGGGGTCTCCCTGGCTGGACTCTTTTGTGTTAGGCATGTTTGGTGTTGGTAAAGAGGTGAAGGTGGTTGGTTGATGAGTTTGAGTTGACTTAAAATGAAAGGAAGAAGCAAAATATCAAATTAAGTGGGTTAATCGACTTAATTTATCAGTGCTTGATAAAGAGGAAGAGCCTATCTGAGTAGATCTCTAATGGAGAGAAAAACCATAAAGTTAAATTCATTTCAATGAAAATTGAAATAAAACACGGTGAAATAATGTTAAATTAAATTTAACATCAGATACAGAACCACTGAATAAATGGTTCAATTTGTCTCTGTGTTGCAGAGATCAGCAAAGCTTAAATAAACTGCCTGGTGCAGTTGGATGAATTTGAAAAATCAATGAAATTGTCAATTTAAGGAATTAACTCTGAAGTTAATTCACAAATTGCAATAAATCCAAAGGTTCAACTACCAAATCCATCTGGAATGTTAAAAGAAATTTCAAATATTAATTAATTTGTGCATTAATTAATTAATCTTATGAGGAGGGTTAATACATTCATGTATTATAGGGAACAGTAAAACTGCTCAATGATGTGATAAGTAACAACAAGATCAGGTGATTGATTCAAGGAGTTACTTTATCAATACATTATGGAGGCTCTTATAACAAAGATAAAAATCAAAAATCAATGATCAATGATTTAGAATAAGCACATCAAACTTCATCAACCAAGTCAATCACTTGAATTATGTCTGTAGAGTGTTACGCACTGACTACAGAGAGGCAGTACAGCTAGCTGATACTGCAGGCAGATAAGTGTTAGCTCAATACCAAAAGCAACCATGTGGGGCAGTATGGAGTTGGGAGAACTGCACAAGCAGAGAAGAAGAAGAAAAGAGGAAACAGTCATCCAACTAGCCTCTTGTGGCTGTGTGGTGTTGGGAAGTCTGAAGGAAGGGGCCTTTAGGCTCTGCCTCCTTGAAGGGCCTTATCTGCTTAAGGCCAAAAGGTCAGTCTCTCCACTGACAACAAAGGGTTAACATTTCACAGCAGGCTGCATCTGCACCCTCAAACATAGAACTTTACACCATCTGCTCAGGCAGATTGGTTCAATAAAATCATTTACAGGAACAAGAATCGAAGTGACAAATCCTTAAACAGCAGATTCAACTGCGGACTTTAAAATCACAAATGCGGTGATTTGTGGACACAAATTTTGTCTCAATTCAATCAAACAACAACCTCCCACTGTTACAGTGGTTTCCTGTGACAGGTAGTTAATCTGTCAGGGGAAAGGAGGAAATCTGAATCCCATATAATTACTAGAACTTCGTAGCAGACTATAGAGACAAGAATCAAAGTGACAAATCCCTCAATAGCAGATTCAACTGCAAACTTAAAAATCACAAATGCGGCAATTTGTGAACACAAATTTTGTCTGAATTCGATCAAACAACAACCTCCCACTGTTACAGTGGTTTCCTGTGACAGGTAGCTAATCTGTCAGGGGAAAGGAGGAAATCTGAATCCCATATAGTAACTAGAAACTCGTAGCAGACTACAGAGACTTCAGGGGCTTGAAACCACAGCTCGGAGCATCGCGAACACTGGGTTCAGCCAAAGGCCTTAAATACAAGCGTACGGCGACGCAACAATCGTGCACTTAAATATTGGACAGTCTAGACAGAGCAGAAGAAGCAGTCTCACTGCTACTCAGAACAACATTTCACGCTGTCCAGCTCAAACACAGACTACAGGCATGTAGTACAAAAGTGTGTGAAACACAGAGCATAAAGGTTTTATGCATAGATCAGGAAAACATCAGAACTTAGTCAAGCAACTTCAGCAAGCATAGCATTGATTGTGATTAAGTCTAAAATAGCCTGGAAATAAGTTTCTCTCATCAATTTGGAAGGCTAAGTTTTAGGTTGTCTGTTAGTATCCAGAAGTTTTGTTTGAAACGCCTCACACGGGGCACCAAAATATATGTAGTGATTTGAAATGAGCCTCACACGGTCGCACCAAAATATATGTAGCGATTTGAAATGAGCCTCACAAGGCCGTACCAAAATAGTACTGTAGCGATTGGAATTTATAATAAATGTCTGAAGATTAATAATCTCAAATTATGACATTTATGCACTCGTTGAAAGGGGCACCACCCACCCTTAATGGTGGGAAAATAAAGAAAACAAAAGTTTAATTCAGAAATCAAACATCAAGTCAGTTTTAATTAATCAGTCTTAATTAATCAGTCTTAATTAATCAGTCTCATATCTTAAGTCGAAATTCTAATTTCAGGGACTCCACTTCTGGAAGAACACTAACAGACAGGAACTTAGAAAAATAATGATCTGTTTATTACAGGATAAATGATGGTACAACACACATGCAATAAATGATGATAAGATAATGAGGATAAAATAATAATAGGTGAATAAATAAATATTCTGAGTCAGACTAGGAGCACTAAAGTTAATGATAGTGAGTGAATATGCGCTAACATATTAACCTACACTAACTTTGGTGTCGAGATAAACTCGGATGTGGATTTGGAGGAATCTAAGATCACCAGAAATAGGTGGATATCTGAGTTATGAACGCATGAGACAGCACCAGCCCTCTTTAGAGCTCTGGAGGTTTGCATACTTAAGTGAGACTGGTCCTTGGAGAAGATGGAGCAGGTTCCGAAGGTCCGGGCTACTGGCGGTTCGAGCGGTTCAGCTCAGAAGACGACTGAAGTCAGCCGAAGGATGAGCCAGGAGTTGCAGCACTCGGGCCCGAAGCAAAGCCAGCGCCTGTGGATCCTGTGGATGCTCGTTTGGGTACTTCTTTGGTCTCACTTAAAAACTCTGGCACAGAGGATGACCTGGGCCTGCTGGGTTGCGTTCAGAGGTGACTTTGAATCACGCAGAAAACTCAGAAAAACGAGGCTCAAAGAGCAGAGAAAACTTTCAAAAATGGCTTCGCGAAATTAAAGGAAAATCAATCAAAGGCTTAATCTTGAATTGCTATGTGCACAAAAAGTTGAAGTTTCAAAACTTGAACTAAGACGATGTTAAAGAAAAATCAACGTGAATCAACACGTGGCGTAAAACTTAGAAGACTAAGAAAAAGTTCTAAGATAAAACAAAGAAACGCACCACAGAAGGGTGTGGGCAGAAAAGAAGGGCCCAAGAGTAAGGGGCCTAAGAGAGACAAGAGAGTCAGCACACAAGAGACAAGAGGAGCATAAGAGAGATAAGAGAAATCAGAGCCTGAGCAACCCCACTCCACTGGTTTTATCTTCTCACACTGGGAGTGTCTGAGGAGAAAAAGGAGGGGTCATCGGGTCTCTGATTATTTGATCTAACTTATTCTTTTGGCTGGTAAAAGAGTCAGATCTGATACTCACTCACTATGATTAATATCATTGAATGCTGGGTTTCATGATAAATAATTTGATACTAAACACATATGAATGAAGTGTAGGATCACATCAAACATTCTCATTATGTTTTAAGTATCACATTGAACATGCTAAATTACTCTGAAATGAAACAGATAGTAACACATAGAAACTGTGAACAACAAAAGAGTACACATGTGAATGAACGTCATCATGATTAATAATGGATTCTAAATACTCACATTCAGATTATTCAGTGACATTATAACCACCTAATGGTTAAGATACTAAATAAATAACTAAAATATAAACCAAACATTTCTAAACTATTTCTGTTACTTAGAGTAAACTTAGGATTCATAGTCAATAAATTTAACTCTTAAAAGTTCATGAAACAGTCTGAAAAGCTGTTGGTCTAAAGAACTAAAGAATAAGGATTTATTCTGTCAGATAAGATAACTTGGCTTCTGAAGCACATAGAAAAACGGGAAACATCTCATTTTAACACAAATTTCATGATTAGACAGATTAGTACATTGCTGAATGCGTAAGATGTCATGATCAGTCATTTGTATTCTTTCACCAAAGGAATGCAGTCTTTATTAGTGTATGGTCGAGCAGGGTTTTACGACCGAGGTCTGGAGGTCAGTGTCCCCCCTTATCCTGGGGTCCGTATGTTCACACACTTTAAGACGCTAAATCTCAAATGGGAGATCTGGGTTGAGACGTCAATGTTTATTCAGATGGTCAGTAATGGAGTCAGTTTGAAAGGTAATAAAAACTCTGTCTCTGTTCGCCGAACTGACCAATCCTGAAGAGTCAGAGGTTTAGTCAACCTCCGCTTGGGTCACTTATTTAACCTGAAAGTGCAAACACGTCTGGAAAGATTTATATCCTGTTTCCTGGGACCAGATAAGGAAACTTTCCTGTAAGGAATGTGTGGGTTTCACATCCAGGGTTGTCTTGATTGCTACAATATATTAGCCCTCAAACATCGGTAAATATGCTCTGCAGTGCTTATTGGTTTTGTTCTAAGCAAAGTTGCGTAACCTGGATCAAAGTCATATTTCAGTGATTAAACTGTGCTGTGTGTGGAGTTTAAGAAATGGTCCTCTGGAGGCAGCTGAAGTCTAAACAATCAGCCTTTATGTGTTCATGTTTTTGGAAGGAAAGAGAATGAGATACTAAGTTTATTTAATCTAAAATGAAATAAATAGTGCCAGACTTCTATAAAATGTTTTTTTTAGATTCTCCTGCATGAGAGACTTTTTGTGAAACCTGTCTTAAGGTATGTGAGCATGTACTTGACTCACATACCCTCGACTTTCCGGTATGTTATGTAAGTTTGGTTGTACCTGTTTAGTTGAAACATCCCTAATCATTTGAGTACACACTTAGAGGCTCCAAGGCTCCAGCTCAAAACCATCTGCAAGCTGTCAAGAATCCGCGAGCTGCAGAATGAGCAGCTGGTTTTGGGAAATTTTACAAAAGTAAGGAGTGTTGTAGAGGGTGTTTCCCATCACCTGTAAAGAACAGCATACCTGCAGGGCTGATTGGTGCAGCACCAAAAATGTAGCAAGCCTGACAGTTTGAGCCATAGACTGTACATAGAATGGACAGAGTCTGCCTCCTCGCTGGGTGAAGCCACTCCGAGAACAGCACCCTCTGATGGTGGGCTGCAGTATAGGTCATAAATCCCGCCTCCGCCAGCAAAGCTTATGGGGCTGTGGACCAACTTTAGACATTTATTACGCAGAACATAAATTTTTCTCCCCCCTGCTTGTGATGTTGACATGTAGTTACTGTAAGACTGGTTTGTGCTCAAGTCCTATTTTTCTGTGAAGCTCCGTTTTTAAAAGTTATTAGGGGGTTCATGTTTTCTTTGATTGACACCTGATACAGCCTATTGGCGTACAAAGATTGGGTAGCACAACATGAGATCCACTTTTTCAGGGCTTAAAGTTTATTGCATTGTATAACTGCAAAAGTGATCATAGATTTAAGTCATTATGTAAAGAGAATAATGTGGCAGTCAAGTCCTACTCTTAGAATAAAGTCATTTCAAGAGTCGCTGACAAATTTGCTCATCATTGAATAAAATAATTCACATAATTCTCTGAGCAGAAAGACTCTTTCCTCACAGCATAGCTACTGTATCTTTTGCAGCATCATGTCTTCATTCTCCAAACATACCAACTCTTCTTCTTCTTAGCTTTGTTTTGTATGTTTCTGTATGATGTATGACATTTGTCTATTCTATAACATGTTCCAACATTTTCTCAGACTTTTCATCGTCAGGGAACTTTCATGTGAATTTCCTCAGTCAGAGAGTCATTCCTCTGATTATTCAGACTGGATGCGGATCGCCAGTGATGGGCTGTAGCCTCTTTTTCGAAAGATGACACTGAAATGGAAAAGCTGAAGATCTCTGCAGCTCATTTATTTCTCTGATATCCTCCTGATGTGTTTCCTTCTCTGTGTACTTAGAAAATCACCGGCTGGAGTCTTCATATCAGAACCACTTGGTCCTCAAAGTATTAGTGGTGAGTATAAATCAAGTTTATGTTTCTGCTAACACTGGCAATTTCATCCCTCAGTGATCAGAGTGAAGCTTTTTATGACGACTGCTCATTTATCATTTCTGTCTCTGAATTTTTTCCACATAGTTCAACTTCTTCAACTGTTTTGCTTCACTGTTCTACATCGCCTTCGTCATGCAGGACATAGCGCTACTCAGACAGGTGTGCTCCCCTTCTTTACACTGTTCCCTTCACATTTTCAAACCAAAGCCCTCATGTTCCTCTTTTTTGTTGGAATCAGATAAATGCGGTCGTGTTGGACAACCTGTTTTATATTAGAAGGTTGACAAATTGTTTGCAGTTCAAAACTTTTAGACCCTGTTGTCATCTAGACTACAAAATGTATACAGAAAGTACCCAAATGGAAGTCCTGGGAATACTTACGTCTTCTTTCCTCCAGTTGTTGCTCTACAATTATTACCTTCACTCTCAAACTTGGCTTATTATCCATTCCGCACGTGTATCTCCAGAGTCTGGCCACTTTGCTGATCACCAGTCAGATCATGAATCAGCTCATGGAGGCCTTCCTGCCCTACTGGTTCCAACGGAGGCACAACAACAAGATGATGCGCAAACTTCGGAAGAGAAAAATTCTGGAGGACAAGGAGCTTCCTTTGGTGGAGCAGGTTCGACTGGAGGCTGACATGAGCACATACGTGGTGAGTCCAGGGTCTGAGGTATTTTCATATAGAGCTAGACCACAGTGACTTAACATATACTAAAGTATCAGGTCTCTTGTGTGTGTAAATCCACTTTTTTGTGTGTGTTTCTGTTTTGTTTTGTTTTTTTCAGGGTACATTTGACGACTACCTGGAGTTGTTCCTGCTCTTTGGTTATGTCAGTCTCTTCTCCTGCGTCTACCCTCTGGCTGCTGTCCTGGTGGTGATAAACAACTTCACTGAAATTTATTCAGATGCCTTCAAGATGTGCCGTGTCTTCAAACGGCCGTTCTCTGATCCAGCATCCAACATAGGAGTCTGGCAGGTGAGACGCACACAGGTCCTGTCCCCTTTTTTCCCCTTTGTAACTCCGTAACAGCTAAAGATGAAAAAAAACTGAGACTTTTCTCTCTGCTGTAATGATCACATCTATCATGAGCATTATCAAATTATACTGTTAAAGGCAGCAGGAATAGCTTGGAGGCTGATCTTTTGAAAACTCCTCTTGTAGACATGCGTTCAAGAAACAGTGGTATAGCATTGGTTTATGAAGAACACAGTTAAAGTTAAAGTTCCAGTGATCCAAAGTTATTACTCTGCCAAACTTTAAACTGAAATTAACAAATCAGAAATACCAATAAAAATAATGTGCAAACACTGTTAGATCAAGAGTAGAAAGCAAGCATGGACTTCACTCTATTCTAGTCACACTCAGCCCAGCCCTCAGAAACGGTCTCTTAAAGCTATCCCTGACTGTGGTCTCTCTGTGTTTCTGTGTGTCCAGCTCGCATTTGAGGCTATGAGTGCGATCGCTGTTGTGACCAACTGTGCTTTGATCGGCATGTCTCCACAAGTTAAGGCCTACTTTGATAACTCAGAGCAACAGCTGATTTTCTGGACCGTTGGTATTGAGGTGAGTCATATGACAGTGGTCTCTGGCTTGGTGTCCACTACGGCAGGGGCTAACAACTATCCACACATTGACCCATTAAAATAACAGAAAACACCTTCAAAATTCACCATGTGATTTCTTATAACAAAAGACAAAGAATTACCAAAGATCAACTTAGGAACAAATTCACAAGACAACTAAGCACAAAGAACCAAAAGCACATATATGAAGCAGCAGGGCAGCAGTTACCCAACCCTTTGCCTTGTCTACACAAGGCTCCTGGGTTTTAAACCCTCCGGACCAGGTAAAACTGATTGCTGATGACTGACTCTACCTGGGCAGAATTGGGGGGGACAAAGGGGGGACAAACACTTACAAACATATAGCCGTAACAACAGACTGATTTTAAACTGTCTCACGAGGTGCTACCATATCCCGACTCCATTATATCCTACTTTAATGTGGGTGCATATCAGCCTTGTATTGTTCTACCTCACAGGTACTGGATCAACAATGGTACGAGAGCAAACATGTCAATCAATGAATCAATCAATTGCTTTTGCTGTTCAAAAGTGCAGGTGTAGATCATTCTCATTTTCTGATGTATTACAAAAAACCAAGCTTAATATGGGAAAGATGGGACCCATCCCATCTAACATGAGTGACTGTGGTAAGGAAAAACTTCCCTTTAACAGCAGAAACCCTGAGTAGGACCAGACTGATGTTGGTGCCTGGCGTGGCTGTGTTAGGGAGAAACACAGAGGGAGGGGGAGAGAGAGAGCGAGAGAGCTAACAATAATGGAAGAACATGAGTACCGTTTACAGGGTCAGAAAATGAGTAATAACGGACTATGTTAAGTTAATTTAAGGTGATTCAAGTCAGCAGGCCTAGTGGTAGGTAACTCTAGCTTTATTAATGTCGGTGAGGCTGATGGTCATGTCCGCAGCAACAGTCCAGAAGAACCTAAGAGACAAAGGAGCTCAGGGCCGGAGGCAGACAATCATAGATGATGCAGCTGGAGTCAGGCAGGTCCACAGCAGCCAACTGTCCTTAACATTAGTCCAGATTTAACCTAAGAGTTAACCTTCCCTGGGAAGCTCAGGGACACTCGGAGAGAACTGGTGAGTAACCTCAACAGGACATGAAAATCTAAAGGAGAGAGAGGGACAAACAGGAGCTCAGTGTGCCAGATCCCCCAGCAGTCTAAACCTATAGCAGCATAACTAAGAGCTGGTTTACACCCAACCAGCCCTAACTATATCAAAGAGCAAAGTTTGAAGTCTACTCTTGAAAGTTGAGAGGGTGTCTGCCCCCCAAACCTCGAATGGTAAATGATTCCAGAGGAGAGGTGCCTGGTAGCTGAAAGCTCTTCCTCCAATACTACTTTTAGAGACATTTGGTACAACGAGCAGACCTGCAGAATATGAGCATAGTGATCTAATGGAAAAGTAGGGTATTACTGACTTTTCAAGATATGATGGAGCCTGGCCATTAAGCGCTTTATATGTCATAAGAAGGATTTTAAACTCAATTCTAGATTTAATCGGGAGCCAATGAAGAGAAGCGAAAACAGGAGAGACGTGCTCCCTTCTTCTAGTTCTAGTCAGTACTCGAGCTGCTGCATTTTGGACCAGCTGTAGAGTTCTTACAGACTTATTAGAGCAGCCTGATAAGAGAGAATTTCAGTAATCCAGCCTAGAGGTAACAAAGGCATAGGCTAGTTTTTCTGCATCACTCTGAGACAGGATGGGTCTAATTTTTGAGATACTGCGTAGGTGGAAAAAAGCTATCCTAGAGATTTGTTGAATGTGGGAGCTAAAGGACAAATCCTGATCTAATAAAACTCCCAGATTTCGCACAGTGGGACTCGAGGCCAGACTGATGCTATCTAGCATAGCTATGTTTTTAGAGAATGCCCCTCTATGGTGTTTAGGACCGAGAATAAGGGCTTCAGTTTTGTCTGAGTTGAGCATCATAAAGTTATTTGTCATCCAAGATTTTATACCTCTGAGACAAGCTTCTGATTTGGTAACCTGATTTGTTTCTTCTGGCCTCATGGATAAGTATAGCTGGGTGTCATCCACATAACAGTGGAAATTAATCGAGTACTTCCTCATAATTTTACCCAGAGGAAGCATGTACAAGGTAAAGAGGATCGGTCCAAGCACTGAACCATGTGGGACACCATAGCTGACTTTGGTGTGCACAGACAATTAATTATAAACGTGGACAAACTGGGATTGATACGACAGATAAGATTTAAATCAGGATAATGCCGTTCTTGCTATGCCGATTGATTGTTCCAGTCTCTGTAGCAGGGTGTGATGGTCGATCGTACCAAACGCAGCACTTAGATCAAACAGGACAAGAACAGAGAGTGCCTGAAGCCAGGTCATTAGTCACCTTCAGCCCTGCGGTCTCCATGCTGTGATGGACTCTAAATCTGGACCGAAAATCCTTCAATAAACTGTTGTTATTAAGAAAATCACAAAGTTGATTCGCAACAACTTTCTCTGGGATTTTAGAAATGAAGGAAAGGTTATAGATGGGCCTAGAGTTAGCTAAGGTGCCTGTGTTGAGTACGTTTTTTGTGTTAGTGAGCCTGGCACTGCCCCCTAGTGGTTGAATTGGCAACACATGCAAACTGTGTGCTGCAGCTTTCAGTTCCACTTGGATTCATTGACAGCAGGAGTAGATAGCTATTATGAACCTCTCCAAAGGGACTTACGTGGTGTGTGCGTAGATGAAGTAAGTGCTGTTGTGGACTCGTTGCCTGTGAACAGAATCTTTACAAGAATGTCTGTATCCAGACTGCCATGTTCAAAGCCATATGTTAAGCTATCTGTAAGCTAGAGTGTTAATCAGCAGCTTACTACCATGACTCATGACTTTTCTGTTGAGTTGTCCTGTAACACCACTTAGCATAGTTTATTTTACTGCCCAGTTACTTGTCGTATGAATGCCCATAGGATTAGAGTTCTGTTGAGTTTGAGCTTCATGCAGTCATTATGCATTGCTAATTTTGCTTAATTGTAATCAATGTTTATATTCCTCTTAATTGCTGTTTTCAATCAGGAATTACAATTTCCCTATTAATCCTGCTTGTTACCTCCGCCAAGGAGGTTATGTTTTCGGTAGCGTTGGTTTGTTTGTTAGTTTGTTTGTCTGTTAGCAACGTTACGGAGAAAGTTACAGACGGATTGACCTGAAATTTTCACCAGAGGTGCGTCTCGGCCCCAGGAGGATCCCATTAAATTTTAGTGGTGATCCGGATCGCCTTCTGGATCCAGGAATTTTTTGAAGGATTCTTTATCATTGTGAGATAGGGCAAATTTGGGAATTTTTGCTTTTAACTCTATAAAAATGGCCAGAGTCTTTAGTAAAAAATTACACAAAAGGATCTCAATGAGTTTTATGAGGTGTCAAAGGTTGATCCTGATCCAGACAAAATTCCGGATACTGTGATCCAGAACAGACAAAAATAAGGGTGTCGTTGGAATTTTCAATGCTGCAAGATAAACAATGGGCGGCTCAGTGGTGAAGATGGGCGGCACAGTGGTGTAGTGGTTAGCACTGTCGCCTCACAGCCAGAAGGTCCTGGGTTTTAATCCGGGTCAGGGCATTTCTTGTTTTAGGAACATTATGAACAGTGAACATACCAGTTTAAACACAAATAAAAGTTAATAAAAGACACGTAACAGTAAAAGTTTTGGTGTGAATCACAATATAAGGGGGGACATGAGCTGCTTGGCGGAGGTCTGCGCTCGCTAAGTGCTTTTCTAGTTTATTATTATGAAAGGTGTAGTTTAGTCAATGTTTGCAGTTAACCCTCTGTTTGAATCTATTTATTTCAGACCACACATACACTCCCTCTCTGTACCCACCTAATGGGTCAAATTTATTAAGACAGTCCTGCCAGAGTATGCCAGCTTCAGCTGTTTGGAAGAGCACCATATTCTCTCATGCTTTCTTAATAACTGTTCCAGCATTTTACTATGAAGCGTGCTTCTGGCGTTTAACAGTTTCTGTCAAAGAGGAGCAACTGAGACAAGAATGACTCGCAGTGAGCCTGAGGTATCATCAATGAACTGATCAAGTTGCCAAGGTCTAACTCTTAAGTATGAACTATCAGTGACGTTATTCTCAAACACTGAATTAAGAGCAGATGAATTGCCTCCTTGAATTTAGTTACAGCACTTTCAGACAACCCTTTAGTTAGCACGGTTTTGTCATGAGGAGAGTAGCCTGATAATACAAATTCAGAAGTTACTAGGAAGTGATCCAATAAAAGTGGATTTAACGAGCTGACTGACAAGGTCCGTAGGTCCGGGTACACACTGTGTAAACCAAATTGAGTCTAACAGAGCGAAGAAAGCATTGCCAAGGCTATCATTTTCCACATCCTTATAAATATTAAAATCACCTACAACAATGACCCTGTCTGCACTAAGGACTAGATCAGATAGAAACTCTGAGAATTCAGACAAAAACTCAGAGTATGGGCTGGAAGGGCGATAAACTATAGTAAATACTAGTGGTCTCATGGTCTTTGAGGCTGGATGTGGAAAACTAAGTACAAGACTTTCAAAAGAATTATAATCCAGTTTTGGTCTAGGGTTAATTTGAAGACTGGAATTATAATTAGCTGCAACTCCACCACCTCATTCAGAGTCCTGAGGAATGTGCACGCTTAGGTGGCTAGGAGGAGTGGATTCATTTGGGCTGTTCTAGCTGTTCTGCTCAAACAAGAGCAGCCTCAGACTGGAAGACCTGTATCAACCACAGTTGGTGAATGCGTCTCATCCTGCTCCTCAGTGAAGTGAACAGTAGTCCAAATCTGACTGCAACTGAAGGGGAGGCAGATCAAATGAGTGATACGTGTGTAGATGTGCAGTAATATGATCTAAAACTGGCAGTCCGATCCTGCTCACAGCCACACTTAGTTTGTCTTTTAGGGCTAATGAGGATCTTCCCTCACTAGGTGGAGCTAGAGTCCAGACCAGATCTGCTGGGATCTGTGACTAATGGTGAGAGACAGATAGGCAGGGGAAAAGAGAGAGGAGAGACTGGATGAAAGAGTGTTGGGGGTTGAGAGATGTGTGTATAAGTGAGTACGCATAAGTTGTTTTCTGCAGTGTTTGTTTCTGTCAACTCGTCATTGTTCAAGCTTTCATGTTTGTGTTAAATCCAACAATCCCCCTCCAGACCCTCCCTCCTGAGTCCACCTCTATTAACATTAGCATCAACCTGCCCCTCTTTCCTCTGTGCTCTATTCAGACAGCATAAATACAGAGAGAAACACAGCAAGCATACACACCATGCCTCCAGAGAAAAAGCTGAAAATAACAGCACAAACAGAGAAATGGAGTCGCTGTACTGAAGAGGCGGTTGATGCTTCTTTAGGACATGCAGAGAGAAAACATTTGCATGTTTGTGTTGCTTTAACAAGCTCCTGAGGGATGATTGCTCTAAGCATCTCGTTATTGTCTCAGACTGTAAAATGCTCCATAAAGCCGTACTGTACCTCACTGTGTGGTGGGTCTGTGCTGATGCTGAGGCAGAAACTGGGTCATATTGATCGTCTGCATGGCTGATTGAACGTGTGGTTTGCTCACACTGAGCTGAATGATAAACTCCTCTTCTGTTGGTGGGAAAGATGTTCACAATGTGTGGTTTTTCTTCTCCAGCAGCCAACAGGATAAACTGATTAAACCTGGCTTTAGAGGGAGCTTTAGGGGAGAGACAAATGGACTTATTTGGCCCCCTTTGGACTGTATGATCGGTGTTTTTCACTCTGTAACCCCTATCTGAACAGACTGTCTTTATTATTATTGTTTAATCATTAACATGTGACACTTAAAGTCAGAGATTAATGCTGATTTGTCAGTCATTATGAGCAACCAAGTGAGTTTGAGCAGATCTTCATTTTGCAGCAGGCTCTCTGGAGGCCTGTTTAAAGGAAAGTGAACATGCCCCCCTGAGACAGCCACAGGTTCAATGACAGTGATCTTGTTTTTTATTGAAAGCAGCTCGCAGCTTCTTACTTCACTGGAGGGTCTTTTTATTCTCAACCTGACTGCTGAGGATAGGGACTGCAGAGCTTCCCACAGAAAGTCTCTGCACCTGTACAGGTAGTGATGGGGCAGGAGTTAGAGGGTGAGTTTGGTCAGTTTGGCCTACCTTTTATGTTAACCAAAGTGTGAAAAATGTACGGATTTGAGCTCTTTTACCCCCATACATTTGATCACAGGCTGCAGATCTAACAAACCATTTAGTCTTTTCAAGCTTTATCAAAATTTCCTAAGATGCTAAGATGTCAAGACTTAAGTTGTTTTTTGGTTATGATTTTGAATGTTCTTGACTCTCACTAACAAAAGTCGTTAGCTCATTAGCTCATCCACATGCTGGTAATCGCGACAGCATCTCTCTCTTCTCATTCTGTCCCTCTGCTTATCAGTCACACAGACACACACCTGCCTCCTCCTGCTCCTCTCTCTCTCCTCTCCCCTCGACACGTATTATTTTGCATGTTCTTGTTGTGTCTTGTAATAATCAGTCACTGTTAGGACACGGTGTTACCTTCAGAGACCTGTTTTCCTCTGGTTTTCTGAGCCTGTTTGTGCTCACAGAGGGAAGATTTCTTTTCATTGTTACTTTGAGTGCCGTCCTCAGGAAGAACTTGTTTTAACCTCAATGCCGGTAGGACTGTTGAATGAACTAAATCATTAACATTCCCTCTGACACGCCTTCATTGTTTGGTTTTAGTTTGACGTCCAGACTGTTAGAGCTGTGGGAGCTGTGGGCTTCTCTTTCTCTTTCTGCTGTTGATTAAAACTTTGGTCGAGTGGATGTCAGAAGTCCTGCTCTCTGCAGCTTACAGGGAGCATGCCACCTCTCATCCATCTCCACCTCCTTTAGACTGTCTCCTGCGCAGAGAGGAAGTGAACATGACTTTTTATAGCAATAGTCTGCACACTGGCCCTAGGGATGAGTTCCTCTCCCTGACTTATACTCTACCCCCTTCACCTGAACAGGGAGAGGTGGTGCCCTGGTGAGCACAAGAAAAATGAGGGCAGCTCACAGCATGTGTTGAGATATGACTCTCTTCTGTGTGAGATTTGTGTGTCTGCACTCCGTCCTGCTACAGCATCCTGGACGTTTGTATGTGCTCTCAGAGAGTGTTATAGATGACGTGACTGGTCCCTAGAGGTCAAGCCAAGGGATCCCACACAGAGTCTATCTCCTCTGTATTAACAGACCAGACATTAGTCAAACTCAAAAATCTAAACATTTTTCAAACATGTTATCTTTCAAAGATGTTCAATTTTTCAGGCTGATTTACATCCATGTGTTCATTTTTCAGAGAAGTTTAGTTTTGATTTTTTTTTTAATTACTGCTATTAAATGAGTAGAATGATTTGATTGACAGCTCTGTAGACAAATGCTTCTCCTGTGGTGCTGTGTATCCCAGATTAGCAGAATTGAGAGGCGTGAAAACAGACTTAATACTGACTCACACAACACAAGAGTCATTCAACTTATTCATGACTTTGAGCATCTGCTTCAGACAAAATCAAGAAGATGTTTGGTTGGACTAAACCGAAGCTGCACACAATCAGCCAACTCAACAGTTTTTCCCTTCGTTGGCACCAAACATCACAAGTTGGTTGAGAAAATGTTTAATTTTGAGAGTAGACCAACTACCTGCCACCAGCCTGGGGTGTGGCTCTTTAGCCGACATGCTTCAATACTCTTCATGTGTATGTTAACAAGCACAGATGACAGATGAAATCTCACCATGTAGCAAAGTTTGGTAGTAATTCCATCAAGGAAATGGAGACTGAGGTTATATGTAGGTTTTGTCTGGTAGATCCAGCAATGGTTTGGCCAAAGCGTTGGGTAGCCAGCACAGGCAGGTGGAGGTTAACCATAGACCATATAAAACATGAACGTAGCCTCAGTGATGTCAACCACTGGATTCACCTAACAGGGGGAAAAGAGGTGGAGTTGAGGCAAGCCTTTAGCCTCCTTTTCAACAGCTACAGTGTCCCTTAGTTTGCAAAACGAAATGTTATGAATATAACTTCTGTTCCCTTTCAGTCGATTCACTCGGTACAACACTCGGTAGTATGGGATATCACACCCCTGCATGGCCTGACTGAAGACACCTTTAATTATGCCTTTATGGCAAATGATCTGTGGGACGGGTGGGAGGCTCCTCCTGCACATATACATGTAGCATCACAGTCATCCTTCAGTTCGATAGCCGCTCTTCAACGAGCCTAGGTGCGCAGTGGGGCGACCCAGTGTTGTACCTCATTCCTCTCCTTCAGGGAACAAAAGTTACATTTATAAGATTCCGTTCCCTTTCAGTCGATTCACTCAGTACTAGAGATGGGCCGATACACTTTTTTTACATTCCGATCCGATCTATTACAATTTAATTGTGCCGATACCCGATCCATACCGATACAGTAGGAAACATAGTAAAACATAAAAAAACAAAAAATTATCAGTTTCAATCCATTTATTAAATAGCGTTGCAACAACCTGAGTACAATATGTAATGGCATGGTATGCTCTGCGACTACATACAACTTCAAACAGGGCAGACAATGAACTTGAGACTATTTTGGCACCTAACAGAATGGCAGGATAGGTTTGAGAATGTTGTGCAGATGTGAGGAAAGCGTTAACACACACAACTCTTCTACTGCAGCCTCTGGGCTCCACTGTAACTGTACAAGGACCTTAAATATCTCAACACCACAAAAACAAAGTCAAATGACTATATAAACTCTTAATAGCAGAATATCAGCCAGGTTATAGCAAATAAACAAGTCACTTCCTGGCAGCGCACATACTTCACTGATGGTCAAATAGAAAAAGTGGCAACTATATTTTTAACTCAATATATTCCAGTGCAATAACGGCAGTAGAAAAACAAATCAGAAAATACCTACACTTTATCAAATAAAACAATATGCATACTAGCTGCTTCCTTCCTACCTTGGTCTGTTTTAATGCAGCAGCCAGCTAACACTGTTATCAAACAACATCTCAGGTTAACACAAACCTGGTAGTGCAAATGAGTACAAATGTGTCAACTCCTTAAATTTTAAATTTCAATAACAGAAAACAATTCACCAAAAATAAATACCTACAAATGAACTTAATAAAACATACAGTATATTGCTGCTTCTTAAAATTAGATACAACAAAATAAATGAAACTGCTGTAGGTCAAGATCTGTTCTGTTAATGCTGCAGCCAGAAGAAAAACAAATCATACCTTATGGTGGCTTGTTTAAAGTTCAGTACAGGTATCATGTTAAGTTAAGGACCTGGATTGACCCAATTAAGACACCAGAAGATCGACGGCAGAAGGCAGCACTAAACAGTCTCGCTTTCAACTGAGGTTAAGGAATCGTGCTGCAATGGCAGCAACTGTAGGAAAGCTATCATAGTTTTTTTCCCAGTACTGGAAAGGGGACTCAGAGCGATCAATGTCTCTCTCCTTCAAGTATTTTTGCATTTATACTAGAGCACCATCACTCTGACTCCCTGTTCCAGCACGATCACCTTTCTCTGCCAGAATTTCATCATATAGGGCCATGAGGGTGCTCTTCTTCTTGGGTCTGCCCTCGCTGTCAGCTGGTCTGCCCTGGCTGCTGCCAGCTGCTTCTTCCCTGCGAGGCACCTTCGCTGCTGGTCCAACATCTTCTGGCTCAGTTTCAGTAGATGCTGCTGGCTCTGTTGAAGCTGAAGCTAAAGATGAAGAAAAGATTATAGTTCATTAAATTATACAATAAAACATGACAAAGTACACAATGCATATGCATTAAAAACTAATTGAAAACAATGTAAAGTGCATTTCCATAACATAGGAACAGTGGTCATAAGCTGTAGGTAGTGAAGCGATTAAACATTTCTTTATTTAAAATATCCACTGTATTTGGCACAAATGAAGACTTGTAGCACTTTTAAAAACACACAAATAATAATGATCAAAAAATGCCTACCTGGTCTTGCTGCTCCACCATTCAGCAACTCAGGCTCCACCTTCCTCATCTCTTGCATCAGAGCATCCTTGACTCTATTGGCTGTGACAGCATCTGAGAAGAATCTGACACAAAATATAAAAGGTTGAGCGAAACTATGTTTTTATGTAGTTAAGCAGTAAGCAAGCACGAGAAAGGCAGGCAAGTGTGAAAATAAACATGTTCCACTTTCAACTTAATGTGTAAATACAATTCTCTCTCTGTCAGAGTATTGATAAAAACAAACACACACACTCCCTCTCTCTCTCACTCACTCAAAGTCTCATACACACACTCTCTCTCTCATCAACACACACACAATCACTCTCTCTCTCACTCTCTCTCTCACACACTCTCTCTCTCATCCACACACACACACACACCCACTCTCATTCTCTCTCTCTCTCTCTCTCTCACTCAGTCTTACACACTCTCGCTCTCTCATCCACACACACACACACACACACACACTCACACACTCTCATTCTCTCTCTCTCTCACTCACTCACTCACTCACTCACTCACTAACTCTCACTCTCTCTCTCTCCCTCTCTCTCCCTCACTCACTCACTCACTCACTCACTCACTCACTCACAGTCTTACACACTCTCTCTCTCTCATCCACACACACACACTCAGTCTCACTCTCTCTCTCTCTCTGAGTATTGATCATACATTGCAAAAGAAACATGCTGTCTTACCTATCTTTGTAGCGTGGGTCCACTAAAGTGGCCACAGAGTAGAGGGGTTCATCTTCTGCGCTTGTGAATCGTCCATTTACAGCATCCAGAAGGGTCTTTTTCATTGTCTTAATTCCACTGTCTGCACTGGTCTCTTGGAGTGATCTCTTCAACGTGGCGATGTCGGGGATGATGTCAGCTAAAGTGGAGGTCGCTAAGCTAATATAAACGGTGTGTTTCCTGACCCAGCTCTTTTTGTATGTCCTCCAAGTAAGACTGTGCATGTGGTGAATGTTTGAAGTGTGTGACGCTTCTCATTCCATTTGCAATGGCATCAGTCACACTTCGTTGTGAGAGGAGTACCTCGTGAACCACTAGTTGCAGTGTGTGCGCGAAGCACCCCAAACTATTAACATGCAGCTCATCCATCGCTTTTTTCATGTTACTTGCGTTGTCTCGAGTAACAACGTGTGCTCTAGTCAGCGGGATCTTCCACTTGTCGAGCATCTCTTCCATTGTGGCTTTAATCAAGTCGGCGGTATGGGATCCCCTGCACTCCTGTACATTCAGCACTGCGCTGTTAAAAGCGTAGGTTTCAGGATTCACCCAATGCACAGTGAGACTGATTAGCGGCATTGGGATAACGCTGGCAGACCAGATGTCAGTTGTAAAACTCATACAGTTACACCATTCAACTGCTCTCTTTAATGCGAGGACACTCAGTTGTACAGCTCTGGGATGTAGACCGTTGAAATGGTTTTCCTGCTTGGGATATGATACTTCGGCGCGAGGTATTCAATTAGGCTGTGAAAGCCAGTGTTTTCAACAACAGACAGAGGCTGATCATCCAGCACAATGCAATTGATCACGTTCTCTGTGATCTTTATAGCCGTCAGGTCATCACCTGGAAGTTTTTCACGCTTTTTGAAAGAAGCCTCGATCCTCTGCTGTGTGTTGTTGGTTAGACTGGAGTTGTACCATCTCCTCGTGTTCTTTCGTGTGCTTACTTTTTAGATGCTTGATCAAATTGGTGGTATTGTACGTCAAAACGCTCTTTCCACCCCTCGGAACCATGGCTTCACACACATTGCTCTTTGTGTGGCTACTTTTTGGCGTCTCAATCGAAAAGAAATTCCACACTTGCAAAGCCATGCTGCGCTGCTGCTTTTTACAACCAAAACACCCCTCCTCCCTCTTTTCTGTTCTGCCAGTGTGCTTGCACGGCGCTGTATGTGCGTCACCACATTGACTACGCCTCCTTCACATGCTGTGTGTGAGTGAAGGAAAGCTGCAGGCTGCAGCATAGGCCACAATTTGTTTAATATCGGATCGGATGTAATGCCCCATGCTCCGATACGTTCAGATCTGTAAATTAATTCAGATCGGCACCCGATACCGATCTAATATCGGTATCACTACTCAGTACAACACTACTCACTACTCAGTACAACACATATAGTTTGGGACATATATACATGCCCCGCAGAGCAGCCACCGAACCGGAGTCAAACCTCCAAAACTTTAGTGCATTGTAGACCCAGCAAAAAAGGACAGAGTGAGCCACTGAAGGGGCTGTCCCATCCAAACGATAAAACCGAACAAAAGTGTGCGGTGATGACCAACTGGCTGCAGTGCAGATATCACTCACAGAAACCCCTTTAACAAGGCCCATGAGGCCGCCAGTCCCCTGATTGAATGAGCCCTCACAACTTGGGGTAACGGAAGACCCCTGCTGCTGTATGCTAAAGAGATAGCTTCCACAATCCAGTGGGAAAGCTGCTGTTTAGACAGTGCCATGCCCTTGGCTGGATTAGCAAAACAGACAAACAACTGGTCACATAAACGCACACTCTGAGCGTGGTCTATGTAAGTGCGTAGTACACGCACAGGGCACAAGGAATGCAACCTCCTCTGCTCCTCAGATGCAAATGGAGGAGGGCAGAAGCTCAGTAGTTCAAAACTCACATAGCTATATAGAGGAGAGGAGAAACAGACTGTTCCACCAGACACATAGCCTGATATGTCTGAAGCATGGTGATGGAGCTCAGTGCACGAGCCGTACTTGCCTGTGTCCTGTAAATCTTATCCAGCTGTGATGCTGAAAACTTGCAGTGCTTGGATGAGAGCTTGATGGGGCCACCGACACCATAATTTTGGGTCGGGGTCAGATAGGCCACCAGGGACGCCTCCATAGGCGTAGGGTTCACCAAACAAGCTTTTTCAGTTCCATCCAGGTCCAGAAACTGTCCACAACTGGGCACTGTGGTGCAGGTGGACAGTGGCTTGTTCCATGTCAGGGTTAGTTCTGCGACAAAATCCGGGAACATGGGCAAACTTTACATGGGCAAACTGAACATGGGCAAACAAAGGGGACCTGCCACCAAAATTTCATACCCATTTTTATCAATTTTTCATAATCCTTGATGTCCTCTGATCATGTTTGCAACATAATTTTAGCTGAAAAGTTATTTGATGGTTTGTTTTAGTATGCCTAAAAAACCTTACAGGAAAACCAACTGGTTTTGGCTCATTAACATTTATGGTAATGAGCTTTGCTCTGATTGGATCGCTGCTGTGAAGCCTGCTGTGCTCTGATTGGCTCAGCAGTGGAGGTTCGGATTTCGGTTTATCCACTGTTATTATGCTAATGCTAATAGCATATGCTAATGTGTGCTTAAGTAAGGTGCCCAGATGTCTGTAATGATATCCGGGGATATTCGGTGCGGCGGCGGTGGTGCATGGGCTGCAGGGGCTGTGTGATCACAGACAAAGTCTCGGTACTATTTAGTAGCAGCGCATGCCCCTTGTAATAACCCCGTAAGAACTGTTGTTCAGGACTGCTAACTAAATTCGGCTACTGTAATAACGTTGTTCGAGCCCACACGCAACATTTTTGCTCTCATTAATGAAACGCTTAAATCTGGGACATTTTCAGGGACAGCTTTTGCCGGGGACAGGTCATCCAATACGGGGACTGTCCCCGGAACTCGGGGACGTCTGGTCACCTTATGCTAAAGGCTAAAAACGGCAGGTATTAAACCATATATTTTAGACCCCGAGTCCGAAGAGGAGGTGGAAGTTGAGGAAGAAGCCGGAGATCTCCAGCGGTGTTTTCTCATTCATTCTGCCCGGCTTTAAGTTCATTTTCCCGGCAGTGAACCGAAGGAAACACCGATCGTTTGGAAGAGACCCATAGCGGATACAGCGGTAGCTGGTAGTGGTGTGTCGGTCTTGAATGAACGGATCAAAAGAACTAGTTCTTTTTGATGAACGAAATGAACTAGTTCTCCCCCCCTAAATGACCCGTTCAATACGTTCAGTTCTTTTGATTGGCTGAAGAGGGACTGCTTGCCTGTCTTATCCTATCGTCGCGCCTCGTTCTGTGTGTGGGTGGGGCTTAGAGAAGCAGCAGCAGTACTACTGAGCTGACTGAAAGACCGGAATGACCGAGTTGACTGAAAGAACGGGTCAAATGAACGAAAGACCTAGTTGACTGAAAGAACGGGTCAAATGAACGAAAGACCTAGTTGAACGAAAGACCCAGACCGATGAACGAGTTGAACGAAAGACCGAGTGAACGAAAGATCCAGATGGATGAACGAGTTGAACGAAAGACCGAGTGAACGAAAGATGCAGATGGATGAACGAGTTGAACGAAAGACCGAGTGAACGAAAGACCGAGTTGAACGAAAGACCCAGACCGATGAACGAGTTGAACGAAAGACCGAGTGAACGAAAGATCCAGATGGATGAACGAGTTGAACGAAAGACCGAGTGAACGAAAGATGCAGATGGATGAACGAGTTGAACGAAAGACCGAGTTGAACGAAAGACCCAGACCGATGAACGAGTTGACTGAAAGACCGAGTGAACGAAAGACCCAGACGGATGAACGAGTTGAACGAGAGACCGAGTGAACGAAAGACCCAGACGGATGAACGAGTTGAACGAGAGACCGAGTGAACGAAAGATCCAGACAGATGAACGAGTTGACTGAAAGACCGAGTTGAGTGGCCGCCGCACGAGGCCCGACATATGAGCCGGAGCGAGCGGGACAGTCACACACACACAAAGGCACACAGCTGCTGCTGCAGCCAGAGGCAGAGAGACAACTATTAATATGCATTTGCACTGTCTGTTGACATTTTGTACTTTTTATTATTGTTTTTAATGCACCTCAAAATAATAAAAAACCATTAAAAACCTTATATATTTTGTTACTCCTACTATAATTTTATAGAGATGAGATCGCAGCAGTGAGATCGCAGCGTTGGACCGGGGTGGGAAGTGGAGAGTGCAGCGGTCACAGCGTCAGACCGCGGGGGGGGGACGAGCGGAATGACAAATGACTGAAATGACCGAAAAGAACGAAATGAACGGGTCTTTTTACTGAATGACCCGGAATGATCCGGTTCACTGAAATGACCGGTTTTGCCCACCACTAGTAGCTGGGTCTCGCTCTGGCTGTGACTGAGTACGAGAACGAGAGAGTGGGCGCGGCTCACCGAGGACGCGCTCGTGAATAATAATGAGCAAGGTCGGCGCAACGTAACACCGACGGGCTTTTTCAATTGGCCTGGTTTACTCGTTCCTTGATTTTAAACCTTTACAGAATGCAAACGACGTAACGGTTTGTTTTCACATGTACAACATAAGACGAACATAATATGGACCTTATATGACACAAAAAACCCCAAAAATTACATTTTTATGGCAGGTCCCCTTTAACTGTCGTCGGTTAGGGTGGGAGAAAAAAGGGCCATTCTACTTACAGTTTCTCAGCTGCACGGCGGTACAGTGAGAGGAAAGGATGTGTTGTCCAGGTCAACTGGTGCAGCAGTGGCGGCGAACTGACCCGAAGACAACGGCTCCTGCTCATCCTCCAAAAGCCCTGCACGTCCAGGCCGATGTCCAGCACGTCATCGTCCTCCTGGTAACAGGCTAGCCCGGATAGTAGCTGGCCAGCGCCCTCGGAGGGGCCTGGCTCAAATCCAGCTGACCTGCCCAGTTTCCAACTGAGCCTTTGACCAGGAAATCCTCACCGCCGTACTCTGCCTTTTCAGGGTTTAGCTCCGAAGGCGGTGACAAAACTCACATGACTCGGGCTCAGTCAACGCCATTCTGGCATGGACAATCCCCAGGCAAAGGGGGCAAGCCTCACGGAGATCTTTTTCATAAAGGGAGAAGCCGCACCCCTGAGGACAGGGGCAAACAGAAGACTTTGCCTTCACTTTTGTAGGCTCAGTGCTCATAACAAGACACAGAAATCGAACGAAATTAGCGCTCTGCAGGTAGCCGCAGGCTAACACCAACAGGGACAGTAAAGCTAAAATCGAACAGGTAGTTGCAAGAGACAAGACCAAGCTAAGCTAGCAGCAGCAGCTAGTTAGCCCAACTCAGTGGAGGTGTTCTCAGCGAGGTGAAGAGCATAAAAACTGAAGGATGACTGTGGTGTTACACGTATTTACAGTGCATCCAGAAAGTATTCATACCACTTCACTTTTTCCACATTTTGTTATGTTACAGCCTTATTCCAAAATGGATTAAATTCCTTTTTCCCCTCAAAAATTCTACACAAAATACACCATAATGACAAAGCGAAAAACTTTTTTAGAACATTTTGCAAATTTATTAAAAATAAGACACTCAAATGTTGCATATACATAAGTATTCACACCCTTTGCTATAAAACTCTAAATTGAGCTCAGGTGCATCCTGTTTCCACTGATCAGCCTTGAAATGTTCCTTCAACTTGATTGCAGTCCACCTGTGGCAAATTCAGCTGATTGGACATGATTTGGAGCCACACCTGTCTATATAAGATCCCACAGCTGACAGAGCACGTCAGAGCACAAACCAAGCCATGAAGTCGACAGAATTGTCTGTAGACCTCTGAAACAGGGTTGTATCAGTGCACAGATCTGGGGAAGGTTACAGAAAAATATCTGCTGCATTGAAGATCCCAAAAAGCACAGTGGTCTCCATCATTAAGAAATGGAAGACGTTTGGAACCACCAGGACTCTTCCTAGAGCTGGCCGCCCAGCCAAAATGAGCAAGCGGGGGAGAAGGGCCTTGGTCAGGGAGGTGACCAAAAACCCGATGGTCACTCTGACAGAGCTCCAGCGTTCCTCTGAGGAGATGGGACCACCCTACAGAAGGACCACCATCTCTGCAGCACTCCACCAGTCAGGCATTTATGGTAGAGTGGCCAGACAGAAGCCACTCCTCAGTAAAAAGCACATGACAGCCCGCTTGGACTTTGCTAGAAGGCACCTGAAGGACTCACAGACCAGGAGAAACAAAATTCTCTGGTCTGATGAAACAAAGATCGAACTCTTTGGCCTGAAAGCCAAGCGTCATGTCTGGAGGAAACCAGGCACCGCTCACCACCTCGCCAATACCATCCCTACAGTAAAGCATGGTGGTGGCAGCATCATGCTGTGGGGATGTTTTTCAGCAGCAGGAACTGGGAGACTTGTCAGGATCGAGGGAAAAATGAATGCAGCTAAGTACATCGAAATCCTTGATGAAAACCTGCTCCAGAGTGCTCGAGACCTTCGACTGGGGTGACGCTTCATCTTCCAGCATGACAATGACCCTGAGTACATGGCCAAAAAGACAAAGGAGTAGCTTCAGGACAAGTCTCTGAATGTCCTTGAGTGGCCCAGCCAGAGACCAGACTTGAACCCGATTTAACATCTTTGGAAAGACCTGAAAGTAGCTGTGCACCAACGCTGCCTATCCAACCTCACTGAGCTTGAGAGGATGTGCAAGTAGGAATGGGAAAAACTCCCCAAATCCAAGTGAGCTGAGCTTGTTGCATCATACACAAGAAGACTGGAGGCTGTAATCACTGCCAAAGGTGCTTCAAGTATTGAGTAAAGGGTGTGAATACTTATGTATATGCAACATTTGAGTGTTCTTATTTTTAATAAATTTGCAAAATGTTCTAAAAAAAGTTTTTCGCTTTGTCATTATGGAGTATTTTGTGTAGAATTTTTGAGGGAAAAGGGAATTTAATCCATTTTGGAATAAGGCTGTAACATAACAAAATATGGAAAAAGTGAAGTGGTATGAATACTACTTACCGGATGCACTGTATGTGCAGGTGGAGCCTCCCACACATCACCACAGATCATCTGCCATAAAGACGTTAATAAAGGTGTCTTCAGTCAAACCGTGCGGGGGCATGATAACCCATACTATATGTGTTGTATCGAGTGAATTGACTGAAAGGGAACTCAAACTTTCATATCTAAATGAAGTTTATCTTTTTGAATGGCTGTGTATTTAGCAATTAGTGCTTTTGTAGCCAGCCTCAAGTGGACACTTGAAGAACTGCAGTTTCTAGCATGTCTGAGTAATTTCTTGAGGCCAGAGATCTTCCCTAAACATTTTCTGACATATCCAAGTGTTTTCTTACCTTTTATACTAGTCTACTCATTTGGATGGGGGTTTCCATAAAAAAAAATAGGGATTTAGCAGCTTAGTAGTATCCCTGGTCTGCACTTATCCATGAGCTCTTTGCTGTTTTAGTGTGTGTGTGTGTGTGTGTGTGTGTGTGTGTGTGTGTGTGTGTGTGTCTATTTAATCATGATTAGGACATCTATACCACCAGAGGATCCTTTTGTGGCTAAAGCTTCACAGATGAGAAGACTGACTATGGTTCCCAGGTTCAAAGAGTCTTCACTGAAAATCACTGAACAGAATTAGAAGGTCTCATGGTTATGTAGCAATCCACACAAGGCCTTTTTTAGCACAACAAGGTAATGAGGTAATGTACCAACATGTCATCGTTAGAGCACCATCATGCCTTTACCTTTTGGCGCAAATCTCACTAAACACAGGAAAGTCCAAATACCTGCCAGGCCTGTGCTACACCTCCCAAGTGTCTGCAGCTTTGGGAAGCTAAACAATAAAGACTGTCATGCCAAAAACTCACCAATATTGGTAACGGTATGTTGACACATACCAACGGACAAATTTAGTTGAAACTGAAACAAATGACAAATAAAACCGATTACAAATAAGTAAGATCCAATACTTAAAATCTAATAATCTAAGACTACAGTAATACTTATAACAAAGCCGATGATCAAGAGAAAGTCAAATGATAGAAATGCCCTAGACAAAGATCAGCTATGCTTTGCAAACAAGATCTTTTAGTCACACCTCTGTGAGAGTACAGGCCTGCAAATTTGACAATAAATATAGGATTTTAACTGAACAATCCCTATTCTGTGAAGTTGGTCTACACTCACTGTTGGAGGAGGTGACTTGTGGTATATAGTTGGAGGAGGTGACTTGTGGTATATATCCATCCATACATACAACCAGTCTCTAATTGATGAATGCATTTATGCTGACTGAGAAAGCATAGTTTACTTTATCCTTTTTAATTAGGGCCACAGGACAAACCCACCGAGGCACTATTGTTATACTGTGGGGTTTCTCTTATTCCTCTTCTGTAAAAATTTCTGTTCACTACTCATCCTACAGCTTGAAGAGTTGTTGAACAAATTATATATCAGAATGTGCACTTTGATTGGGATTGGTGTGCTTTAACTTTTCTCTATTGTATATGGATTTTTCAGCTTCAAAGGAGATATGATGGTTTGAAGAGTGGGGGAGAATAAAGATGGACTGAAAAAGAGGGGGAAAAACTACAGGTGTGTGTATGATGAACCTGAGTCCCAGGCTGATTGTACATCTGAGCACGTTCCTTGCTGCTCTCATCCAGCACATTTCCAAGAGTCAGGCAGGCAGGCTATAAAAGAGATGGGACAACAAGAATAATGAGAGAGCAGCGTTGTATAATGTTTACTGTGCCAAAGGGGCAGCTACACACAATACACACTGATGTTGCTTATTGACACAGCAGCCAGTATATTGCTATTGGAGGGGCACTTTATATCTGAAGTTGCTCAGAGCCCAGAGACTGCATGCATTTTAAAGTCTGTCCTCCTCTGATGGAGACAGAACCTGTGACTCTGACTCTATTAGGGCAGGAGAGAGGAAAACAAATGCGCTTTTTGATGAAACATCTTGAGATTTCTGAGTGAGGTCAGTCTTTATCTCTGCTGCTTTTTAATCTTAATTATTTGAAGAGAGAGCAGATTCAAACAGGCAAGGGTTAAATCAAATCATTCAGCCTCTCTTCTTATCTCTGTGGTGGGGTTGCAGTGGAGGCGAGCTGCAGAGAGGGAGGGCAGCGCCTCGTCGCTTTCCAGCAGCGGTGCTATGATACCTGGGTAATTACTGTACAGTGCTTACACACATCAGTGAGCAGTAACCAGGCAACCGGCCAGCCTGCTACGGAAACAGACCGAGACTTTCTCTGCGAGTCATGGGTCTGTCTGCTATAATCTACTCATTTCATTACCACAGAACAACAGAGCAGGGACACTGAACTGTGTCTGCTCACAGTGAGTCAGAATGAACATGGACACGATCAGGAACAAACAGAGGAGTGAGAGGTCTGTCTGTTTGATTAAAGGAGGAAGGTTAGGCAAGAAGGTTTTTTAGTCCACAAACTCTTCTCCACTAAATCTATCACTTTACAATGCATATGTAGTTTGCAAGGTAACATTTCATGTGTCAGAGATGATTTGCACGAGTATAGGAAACACTGCAGGTTTTCTTATTGGTGTGAAAGAAAACATGAAGCCTTTGGGTCACTGTTCTGCACACAACACAAACTATGCTACTCTAAGCATGTCCCCAAAAATCTCTAAAACTCACTAGTCTTCACAGTCAAACCTAAGTGAAATGAAAGGATCTGGGATTAGATTTGCATTAGAGGGCTGCAATGAGATTAGGATCCCTTGGGACTTTCGAGGCCAAATGCAAATCTTGCAGGAGTGGGCAGTTTTAGTATTGCTGTGGGTGAGAGAAGGCAGTCAAAAATCCCCCCATGTAGCAACAGTGAAATCACTTAATGGCCAATAGAGGAAGAAGATAAAAGCAGGTTCTTAAAAAGCAAAGACAAAACAAGGCCATGGTGAGTCCCACTCCCCCACGAAGGGAGCCATGGGTTGTTGTAGGTAACTGCTGCAAAAGAAGGGTGGCATTTCCACTCATCACCAAGAGACTTGTGCTACCTAACCACAGGAAAAACTATCAGTCCCGAACGGAGGCTTCATCTAAACAGATCCGGTAGCTGTCTGCTGTCCGTTAAACTGGCACATAATAAGTAGCATGTCCTCGCCTTATTCATCTCATACCAGCCCACACTTGTTGAACCTCCCGCCACTGATTTATGTCCTCCTGGTCCTTGCCCCTTTCTCTTAAGTTCCACCTCTAACAGTAACACATGCACTACCGGACTTGGACCATCTGATTTGATTTCCCATTCCTATCATCACTAGTTTCAGACCCCAAATTAGAAAACGCAAAGCAAACAAGCAGAAATTTAAATAATGTCAGCACACAAAAGAAAACTTCATCCAGGTCCCTGACCAGGCTCTTTCAAACTTTTGATACCTTTTTAAAGTAAATCGTTCCTCATTCATGACCTGATTTTAGAGAACAATATTGACTGCATGTTTTTAACTATGACTTGGTGTCACAGAGTCTCAGTATTTTTAACAGCAAACTCAAAACCTTTTAAGTCTGGCTTTAAACATTTTTTTTTTTTTTACTGACCACATAATACTCATCTTCTTCTAATACTCATGTTATTTTATTTTATTATCGTATTTTTTACCGTTACTATAGCTGTTTTTTAATATCCTATCAAACATTTAACATTTCATTATACCCCAGTGTTCTCTTTTCTTTTCTTCTTTAGTTTTTTTAAAGATGACAAAACATGAGTTGTGCTATTTAGGGTTAGACATCTCTTAAACATCATGAAAACATTAGACAGAGAGTCCGATAACTCTGGAGGAGGTAAAGTGTGTGAGGAGGGGTAAGAACTGATAAACAATATGAGCAAAATAAAGCCATCGCTGAAATAGATAGAGTTATAATAATAAAAAAGAAAACATTATGCAATGGAAAGATTAATACATATTGTGTATAACACTGTGTGTACAGAGTGGTCATCAGTGTGTGTGTGTGTGTAATGCACTTTGCATCATTTTTGCATGAGAAGTGATTTATAAATAAAGTCAGATTGATTGATTGATTGATCAATTTATTGATTGATCGATGGTGACAGTTTCTTCATTTTACAGCAGCTGAAGTGGTATTCATGACATTTGGCAAACCCGTTGGAGTAACTGTGGTAATTAGTGTTGAACGGCTCCTGTGAGATTTTGAGGAGTGTTATAATCAAATTGGGACAGAGTCCCACAGGCTAGTCTGGTTTTGGAGAGCTGTAGCTTTAAAGGGGGATGAATAAACGTCAACTATTTGTGTTTTTTCACTCCTAACCTTTTATTTTAGGGGATTTGAAAATTATCTCACTAAGGATGCAACAAAATAAAGATTGTTAGCCTAAACCCAAAATTAGGAAACCAAGGCCTAAAACCAAAACACCGAAAGAAATGATGCCAACTATTAGTACCATTGTATTTATGGCTATGACTGTGTACTAACCTCAGTAATATCAAAGCATTCCAATTGCATAAATTAATAGTATATTAATATTAAATATAGAATTTATATTAATTTATTCAATTGCAGAGTGAGATTTGAGGTCCTCAGTCAGTGTTTCGCTGCATTTTCTGTGTTGTTTACACCTTTAGATGGTGCCTGCGAGTCAGGGGCAAAAACAACCCAAAAGTTCTAAGGGAAGAAGTGTTGTTAGTGGTAAAGATGTGACTAGAAGAGGTAGCATCACTGACTGTGTTTTCTTTCATGCAGCCAAGAGCACGAGTTTGCATTGCAATGTCGATTTCTGTTAAATCTGTAAGTAAAAGTGAGAAGAAGTGAAACTTCTGTCAGTGTCCGCTTGTGTATTTAGCTGCAATACCAGCCACAGACAGAGTAGGCGATCTTGAAGGGATTATTCATTTCTGTGCAGTGTTCTTCTTACCTTCAAAATTCCAGTGCAGGATGTTTGGATTTTAGGGGGTAAATTAAACCCTAATGTGAAGAAACTCTTTTCATCTGCACCCCCTCTTAACATTTTAGCACACTATGCTAATCGCTATCCGTGATTCTCAGATATATTGAAATATGTCCACACTGCAGACAGGTTGGCCCTTATCCAGACAAGCACATGCTGGCTGCAGTTTTTACTGTGTGCTACTACTTTTCTCTACCATTACACAATTTTTTTGCGAAAAAAAAAAGGAAAAATTTTGCACTGAAGTCAATGAGACAGCCCAAAACATGAGCAATTATTTGAGCTTTTCAAACGTCTACTGCTTGGTTCCATTATTTCTGTTGTATAAATAGTTACTTGAAAAGGAATGTTTGTCGTAGGTGTGCTCCTTGTATATAATATCACTATTTTCCTAGAATTAATAATTATTGAAATCCCTGAAGAATCTCATCATAATGTACACTTCCCTGCAGTAGCCCTGTGGCCCTCTCAAAGTTTCTGAGAGTAAATTTTCAAGTTTTCATTTTTTTTTCCATCAACAGCTGTCAACTAAAGTGTGAAGTTGTGGTCCAGAAAAAAAGAGCTTAAAGACACCAAAACGCTTTTCTAAACTGCCAAGTGAAAACTACAGAGTCATCATTCAGTGTGTGTCTGTGTGTGTGTGTGAGTAACACTGGTCCACTCAGCCATGGTCATCTTTCAGTACAACTGTGGATCAGTGAGAATAAACCAGACTGTTTCAAAACAAAACACTGTAAAAGCGTATTTATTTTTAGAAACCTTCAATAACAACATGTCGGGCTCCAGCTTGTTTGGTGTAAATTGTAAATTAAAGTTTTTTTTCACTGAGTATGACTAAGGTATAATTTGAACACAATCAAACTGTTAAAATACTCGTGTAACTGCACTTTGTAATTTCATGTGGGTTTGGCTGTTTCTCCTGTGTTATTTCCAGCAGCCCACCACAGAGTAATCTCATTATAAATGTTTTTCAGATAACCAGATTAGCCTTCAACCACCAGCAACTGCAGGAGCCTTAGACCTGGACTCAGCAATAAACAGGTCGAAGTGAGCATCTTAATGTGGGCCTGGAACTAAGTGTACCAGGCTGGTTAATCGTTGGATCTTCTACTCTGCAGCTTATAGCAGGAGAGTAGAGAGACCACAGAACATGGACTTAGTCTCAATGATGTCACTCTGGTTTCTAACACTGGGATCTGCTGACACTCAGGGAACTGCAGTTTTTAGCATCTCTTAAGATCTGAGGGTGCTGCTTGGCTGAGACGCACTCCTGTGCTCCCTGTGGAAACACAAGCATTGGCAAGAAGGAGCACAGATCAGCTCCGGAGTGTTCCATGCTGCTGAGGCACGGTGCACACTTGTCCTGTGGGTTTTAGGGGGCAGAATGATTCTTGTATCTGCATAGGAGTGAGTCCCCCCTTTACAATGGCTGCCATCTTGCACCACCATGTTTCTAGACTAGCACAGAACATGCAAACTTCTAAAATATTGGTTTTTGTTTTCACCGAGTGGCTGCAGGAAATGCACCAGTTTGTAGACAAAGAACAAGAGAGAAGTCTTTGCTGTGTGCAAAGAAATTGCACTGATGGATGTTTGGAGGATCAAAGTTATCATGCATTACAAGAAATTATTCTCTTCCAAGGCCACTAAAGCTTTACTAATGATAGGTGTGTGTTCTCCACTGGTGTATGATTGTGAGTGTTGAGTTGTGGTGGTCGGAGAGGCCCTAGGCGTTGATTGGCAGCCATGTTTCCGTCAGTCTGCCCCAGGGCAGCTGAGACTACTAAGGTAGTTTACCACCACCAGGGTGTGACTGTGTAAACGAATGAATTATGTCTCCAATGTAAAGAACTTTGAGTGTCTCTGATAAAGTGCTATATGAAATCTGATGCATTATTATTATTATAAAAATCAAATCATTTGTGTACCAGGATGTAAACATCTTTATGTTGTTGTAGAGCTGTGCGTTTTAACACGAGGCCTCTTGCTTTTTGAGACAGTCTCATGTGGGCCTTCTAGGTCCTGCAGTTTTCTGTGATTCTGCATAGTCTTCTGTTTTATAGCACCAGGTGTTACTGCTGCAAGGAAACCATGCGTGTGCTCTTAGCTTTTTTGCTCATTCTGTTCTCAAGAAAAGGCTGTTTCAAAATAGTTTATGGACATATACTGAGGGAGGATTGAGTGGTCAAATTTTAAAAAACACTGCCTCCTACTTGGGCCTTGTATAAGAAGTGTTCTGTGTTTCAGAAGGTCAATAGTGCGGGTTAGTGTATGCACAATCTTTTTTTTTTTTTTTAAAGACAAAAAAATCTAACATATTGGCAGAAACATCACTTGAGGCCATTTCCAGCTTTGACTAGACTTTATCACTGAGCAGGCCTTATCCCTGTAGTCTCCAGATAAAACATACTTTTGACCACAGCATCATCATTTTACCCTCAACGTTCTTCAGTATCTCTAAAGATGTAGTCCTGTTTGCTGATTGCCTTCTTTCAAGGCATCATGCCAGTTTTTGGAGCTCAGATTAGCTTCGTAAGCAGCACTGTGTTCAGGAAGAGGAAGTAAGGTCTTCAGTGTTAATTCTTCAGCTAAAAATGTGCCACAGAGTCTCAGCTTTAATGACATATTCTGCTTGTGTTAGAGCACACATAAAAAGGCAGAATTAGTAGTTCCTCATCAGTTGGACTGAAATGCTAATCTTCTAATTAACAGTGAAGGGGTGCCATGGTAACAGCATTAAGTGCTGAATGCTGAACAGAGAAAGAAGCAGTTGCACCAGCACCCTCAGCCAAAGCTTTCAGAACAGCGTGAATCACCATGTTTGGAGAATGAAGTCTCTCGGCTGTACCTGCTCTGTCATTATTGTTGTTTTATGAAGCACCTTTGTGGTGAATGCGCTATGGCAAAAGTGTGTTATTTACACTGTGGCAAAAATGTTAGTCTCTATTGGCATTTGACATAAGAAATAACATGAAGAATACTTTGAGCATTACTGCTCATGTCTTTTGTGAGGGTCTGGGTTAGTTGTGAAGGTTGATCTCAAATGATTTTTTTGAGGCTCTGGACAGTAAGGAATGTTGTGTTGCTCTTTTTATTGATTTGTCAAATGCTTTTGACACAGTAGTCCACAATCTCTTGGAAATGTGCCGTATATGCTTGACTTGTTAAAATGTTCTTAAAATGTCTTTAAACACTGTTTATCACAGCACCTTGAGGTTTATTACTAATGGTGGTCATCTCACACATCATTGCGAATTGTATGCTAACTCTGGCTGGCCTTCTCTAAGTGCATGCAGGAATACACACTGGCTGACCCTGATTTATAAGGCTGTTTTTTGTTTAATTCTATATTCTATCTTAGTTTATGAACTTTTCTTTAGCGAGCTAGAAGCCGCTATGCCCTACACTCCTTTGACGTTCTCTAACTTCTTGGTTCCTCGTGTCAGAACTGAACCGGGGGAAGAGAGCATTCAGTTTTGCTGCCCCCACAGTGTGGAACTCTCTGCAGACTGAGCTGAAACTCTCAGAGCTCATTTCACTCGGGACTTTTGCTCCATGCTGATGGACAGACAGAGTGGGACCACTGAACAGTGCTTATGTTTCTAAATTGTTATTTATGTTAAAAGCTTCTATACTTCACTGCAAGATACCTTGCACTCGCAAAGAAATTTTTATTTTGACTTACTGTATATTGTCACCTTTCAATCATGTTTTTTTTAATTTTTTTTTTATGTGCTGCTGACCTCTTGGCTTGGTCACCTTTGTCAAAGAAATCCTGATCTCAATGCTTTTATCTGGTTTGGTAAGGGTTAAAAAAACAGGGTTTGGTTAGCTCCTTGGCTCTGAGCTGTTGGGAGAGGATTTTTGAATGCAGCACTAACAGGGAGAGATCATATCTGAAGATCAGTCCTTCCAGTCAGGTGTTCTCAGTGAAGAGATGACTAAGTTTCCGGAATGTCATCACATTTATTTTTTCATCCAGAACATGATTTACAGTCGGACCTTGAAAAGGAACAAAAACAGGGAGAAGTCACATTGTCCCTCTCGTCCTAACCGAGCATCCTCTCCCTCTCAGTCTAACCTTGTGCTGCTCAGCACTCAGAATTATAAATTAGCTCAGACCTGCATAAGCAATCAACTTAGAGCTGCAGAGTTTATCGTGCACTTTCAATCAATATGACGTCTCACTAAGACCAGGATTTCTTTGCTTTTTAATTAGTAGAGCTGCTGGGAATGACGTGACTTTTTACTGCAAGCTTCTGTGATAGAAAGTCCCGGTGTGTTTAAAGTAAAAGCTCTGTTTTTACATACTTTAAGATGCTAACTAGTAGGTCTAAAAACAATGTGGTTTTGCTCTTGTAAGCAGCCTGGATTTACTGCAGTGTGTACTCGGTCCAGTACATGTAACAGCAACACATCCTGCTCATAATGAACAGAGTCACTTACTTATCCAGCTGTATCAAGGCAACATCAGTGTCAGACCTCAGTCCAATCTCCTCCTTCGGGGCTCTCAATCAAGGAAAAGTAACACAAATGTAAATTTGTGTTAGTCTTCTCCGTTTGACACTCTCTTTCTTTGCCAACAGACCTCCTGACGAACAGGAAGGCTTTTTCTGAACCTCTTGATCGCTTGACGGGTTCTCCGCCGTGTTGCTTCTAGCAGCGCTCTCCTCCTCCCTCCCTTCTCGTTGTCGGGTAGAACCAAGTAGAACACGTCATTTCCTGTGCAAATGTCGCCCCTTGACACCAAATACAATAAGAAGAAATACTGAACAATACCGCAGGGTGTTAGAGGAGCTGAATGGCTTCATCAGCGTTTTATCACCTCCTCTTGTAGTAGTTCAAGTGAAACAGATATTTAGAGAAACGTAGACCTTATGCACTATAGCTTTAAGTCCATGTGTGACAGTGTCAGGCATAGCAAAGTCTATAAAATCGAGGTTCAAAATAATGCAGTTTACTAATACAGTTTGTTATCACTGACAATATCTGTAGATACAGGAGCTAAGTTGGATAAAGTTAGTGAGAACACAATGTGGTTGGTTAACATTGGCCACGTGTGGGACCAAAAGAAGTTACAACAAGAGTTCGTGTAGATCATTAACTTGGTAGACTTGTCTTCCATGGTGTTTTGGCAGAAAGAGATCATTTAATTTAATCATTTCCACATAGAAAGCAAAGAGAACTCTGGTTTATTTTTAGATGACCATGCTGCCATTTAAAGACAAAATTACTTGAGTGAAAGCTTTCTTCTTTTTGGCCACACCCAGCTGTTTTTAAACCAAAGAATCACATGACTGACAGGGTTTTTAGCATTGTATTACTTCGGTACAAATTTTAGTTAATACTAGCATGCCGGTAAAAATCACATGGCAGTAAAAGCACAGGGTAAATGTGTGCTGGAAGTGGGTCAAAAGAAAACAGGCACTGATTTGTCACCCAGCTCAGCATGACTCCTTGTAGGCTTGATTGCACAGTTGGTTAGAGGAACTGCCAGATGAACATTTTGCATCCTGTGCTTGTCTGCAGTACTTTCACAATAAAATATAGAATTGAACCCCAAAGCAGCAGCAAGAACAAACAACAATTTGGTTATACCTGTTACTTATTCATTTTTGAATGAACAGCTGCAAATTAAGGCTGGTGTTTATTCTGTGAAAATGCATCAGATGATTGTGTCCTTTCAAACAGAAGCAACTTACAAGAGCCAATCAGCAACCAAGTGTTGGAAAAGGCATCATTGGTTACCCCTTAGTTTTCTATTAAGTTTGAAACTATAAAAGAGCCGTCCGCTTCTTAGTAGTAGTTCAAAGACTCCTAAGAAAACCCTGATCCATGTGACCATGGTGAGCGCTAAAGAGTATAAGGCAGAGAAGATGCTCAGCTTGACCTCAGCTCACCGTCTTATTGCTGATATTGTACTGGTAGTAAAAACTGTGGTGAGAGATTTGTGCATTCATGTTCACACATGTAGCCTTCCTGATAGAGTCTGTTAATTTTCAGGATTTTGGAGCATATGTAAAAGGGGCTTCAGAGAGACATGACTCATAATAACATTAGTGTTCTTAACAGTAACCTGTTTGAGAAAATATTTGACCTGAACATATTAGCAGCAGAACATCATGATCATTTCTTTATCCAAATGACTTTAGTGTAACAAGCCTGTGGAGCAAAGTGTCCTCTGTCTACTCTCAGTCTAATCCTCTGGAGCTCACCAGACTCCATTACTATGATGAGGAAAAAACCACTGAATCAGAGAGCTGACGGCGGCTGGACGTCTTCCAGAGGTGTGTGTGTGTGTGTGTGTGTGTGTGTGTGTGTGTGTGTGTGTGTGTGTGTGTGTGTGTGTGTGTGTGTGTGTGTGTGCGTGTGTGTGTGTGTGCGTGTGTGTTGTCATCGTTATGGGAAAACACTTTCTGCTGGTTCTCATGTGTGCAGGTCAGTCTGACAGAGGCGAGGGGAACACGAGAAGTATGAAATATTCTGTCTCATAGCTCAAATGTTAAGAAAGTTTTTGGGCAATCTGTTTGAATGTAACCTGTTCATTTATTTTACATGTAAATGAATAAAGAGTGTAGAGAAGTATAACAGAGGGCCTGTACTAGAAAGCCAGTTCTACAAACTTCAAACATCATTGACTTCTCTGGCTTAACTAAACACTGACAAAAGAGCTTATGGGGCTACATTCTTTAGATTGATCTGTGAGTGAAATTTCACAAACTGATCTCTTGTCCTGAACATAACCGGTGTTCAGCATAGGTCACATACCCCCAAAGCACTAAAAACCCAGAGTTAACCCCCAAAAATTCACTTGATACCTGCAAAATATGCTTTTGTGGCACAGCCCCCAGGATACATAGCTAATCACGCAATTATGCAATAGTTGGACTGGGAGTACAGTATGATGGTGATATAATACTTAATTTTTTTCAGTTCTGTTGCTCAGAAAACTGAAATTAAAATAAAAAGATTATTTACAATTGAAGAGTTTATATATATATATATACATATGATAATTATTGTAAAGTGCACTTGTTAGAAAAAAATTCTGCTTTGTTGTACAGCTCCATGTCTCGTCCTTATTCACCTTTAAAGAGGATCATACACACACTGTGTGAAGCTCAGTATCATGTGAAAGACACCGACCCATAAGTATGATCAAGTTTTGTCCATTTCTCTTTCAGAGCAGGTTTTGCTGTCTGTGTTTTCAAAAGCAAAAGGACGGAAATGAAAGATGACAACAAATGGTGTCAAAAGGATCTAATCCCTGTGATGTTGTTTTTTGTGTTTGTGTGTTTTAGCACTTGCTGCTGGCCTTCAAGTTCATGCTGACCTTCATCATCCAGGACGTCCCTAAACACATCCAGATCAAACTGGCCTGCCTTGAGTATAAATCCATGGAGGCGCTAAAGAGAAAGGTAAAACCCAGAGTTTTTTTGAGTTATGTGGGCAGAGGCAAGACTAGACTAGAAAACTTCATTTTCAGAACAGTGGTCACTGCAGAAACTCAAAAATGAAAAAATAAGCAAAGATAATACCTTTATAGACAGACACATAGTTTAGTTAGTTCACATAACAGTGAAAGAACAAATATGTAGTCTCTTCTAGACTATCATAAAATCAGTAGTTTGTCAGAAAAGTTCAAAAAGTTCCCACACCTCTATCTATGAGAGGTGAGCTGGATGTAAACTAGATTTTGTTACATCTATCTTGAATGGGCTCCACATCAAAATGACAAAAGGACTGGAGCTCACAGAGCAGCTCTGAGCAGTGGAGAGTGGAGATGCTAATATTTAGCAGTAATCACAGTCAAAATAAGATGAAAACTGGACTGAACAAGAGGGAGATGACCTATGATGTAGCTCACTCCAGATGTGAACTCATCGTTACTTTACTGAACCTATGATCATTGGAAACTCACCTGTAAGTTGGTCTCAATGATGGAAATATGAAAGTGTCCGAGCCAATCATTTAAATCAAGTCTTTGATCACTTCTAAAGCTCATGACCCTGGTCTTTATTTAGGATTCACAGTTTATTCAACCAGCAGAAGATTTAGTTAGTCTCAAAACAACAAAAGATAAACTATTCAAACGGTCAATGAAGGGAGGCTGATTTCTTCTACACTGACACCTGTAATGAGTTTGATCTGCTTGGAAAGCGGAATTAACATTAGTGCTGGTGGTCACTGTCCCATCTTCAGTCAGTACACCTACCAACAGCAATGGTACAGCTCCATGATACCATAGAATCTCTTGAACAAGTATGTTTGTCGTTTGGTCAGGGATGCCAGCTGTCCTTTTTACCACTCCACCAGGATCCACTTACAGCATTTCAAACACACACTTTTGCCCGTAGAAGCACACCTACAGTTACAGTCTGCAAAAAAAGAGCCATAGATGTACCTCACCATTGAACATAAACACAGCACACAGAAATGAACCACAGTGGGTCTAGGACATTCAGGCACACCCTTCACAAACTCCTTTCACAACTTTGCTGTCCTGGAAAAGACTTTGACATGATAAGATTCTGTGCTTACATCCACTGTTTTAGGCCAGGGGGGAACTGACTGCTGAGCTGCTAAACAAACCTTCTACTCGCACACTGTACAGGTTCATAGAGCTGATTTAGGATAGAAATGAGCCCTACAGCATCAGTCCACTGTCTGAAGTATTGTTCTAAACTGCCCTCCTTTGGCAGGACATGATTGTGCCCTGACAGGGAAACATAAAACAGATTTAAGGATGAAGAAAGCTAGAGTTGTCTCTACACTCCTCACAATCGTCAGTCTGAGATTGATGAGTCCATCTCAGAGAGATGATTGACACTAAAGAGCAGGCAAGTGGGCGTGACCTTTGCACTCCTTGTCGACACGCCCCCCACTGTCCTAGAGCATGGACAACTGCTCATTTTTCATGTTTTTGACCTAATTTTATATTTGTGCTGACTTTCCAATCATGTGAATTTGTCTGCATTGGTAATGACACTCTGATTTGAAAATCTCAAAACTCACATCCTTTCTTCCCTTAACATGGATTTGAAAAGAGATTAAAGAGTTTCATTTTCCTTCCCCTTACTTCCAAATCCAATACAAATGTAAACCATCGTAACATTCAACACACTGCTGCACCTCAATGCGTTTTGTGGTGCACATTCCCCAGACTTCCTTTAAAAAGCCCAAAATCAAACCTAAAGCATTTTTACATCTCTGAAAATATAACCTGGCATTAGATTATCTTATAAATTTAATGGTGATTTATGGGAACTTCAAAAAACACACAAACATAAGTACAGTTCCTATAGACACACCATATAGGCTTGTTGATGCCGTACACCCCCCCCACCCCCACACACACAGGGTGCAGAGCTCATGTATGAGCCCATTATTTATGCTGCTCTATAGCTTTCCATTTAGCATTAAGAATGAGCTCTTGATGTCCGTCCCAGACCACTTTGCTGAAGATGAATGCTGTGTGTTATGTTAATCGTATTGATAGGGCTCCACAGTAAAGCATTAGCTCTCTCAGCACCGCAGCCATTTGTTTGATGTGGGCTGACAAAGCTGAGTGCTTCTCTGATGAGCTGTTTGGCTTGAGTTCATCATTTGTTTCTGGTGGTTTTTTGTTGACAGACTTCCTCTGCTGCACAGTGTGTGGATATGCTGGGAATATTACATATAGTTTTTCCATCCGCAACAAAGACTCAGTGCATGCTTTCTGCAATCTCCACCACTAAATGTGCTTTTCTTTATGATCAAACTCTGCCGTGAACACCATCAGCTGTTGATGTTCCTCTCTTGTCCTGCACAGTTAGCAGTCCTGATGAATTACTGGTGTGTTGCTTTGTTTTTCTTGTATCAGCAGTGTTGTTTGTTTTGACCAGTCTTGTTCTGTGATCTCTTGGTTCTGCAGAGAGAGCTCCATGCAGGGTGAGTAGCTCTTTGGACAGTGGCGTGAAATCATCAGGAAGTTTGTGTGTCACCCTCATATTATGGGCAACTCATCCTAACTTTGGTGGTTTGATGTTGAGTCTCTGATCTAATATGGTTTTATGCTGCGAGTTCCTTTTCATCCTCAGAAATAAGTCAGATTCAGATCAGCTCCTGGACATTTAACAGTCCGCATGTCTTCACAATCAACTAACAGTTGTTCAGTGAAACAGACTCAACGTGGAAAAGCTCTGTGTGAGTCAGCCTGACTGAACTAAACCCTCAATCAGAGTGCATCACCAGATCAGGGTCTTACTTTCACCCTGTCTTAGGAGGTAATGCAGCAGAGACCCTCTCTAAATTTGAGGTCTGTTTCAATATTATTTATATCCTCAGCTTTGTAGTTTGGTTTATCCCTATATAGCATGAATGCACATCATGCACAACGCATGTGAACACCTAATAACCAATTTAAGTTACAGGTCCTTAAAGGAACATTTCACCTGCCATCAGTGTTTATTGACCAAAAGGATAAATCCACCATGCTGAACACCTGTTGCTCTGATCACCGACTTATTTTTTTGTTAATATTATTAAAGGCTGATTTACTTGAGTGCAACAGTTATATTTGGCTGCATGGCTGTGTTCTGAGAGCTCCCTGCCCTTCTACATGCTTATGTGGAATGCTAAGCTTGCAGAGGGAAGAGCACAACTCCTCCTAAACAACCACACTAGGTAAACCTCCCCAGCCTGCCTGAACTAACACAACGTTCAATATCAAAGGCAGGAGACGGCTTCAAAATACTCAGTCTGTCAAATGTTTATTTTCATCATCACTGAAGGATCACACTGTTAATTATTCAGTGATATATGCAGGCATGTACGTACAAAATGCAGTTATTCCAACACTATTGTGAGTAAAGGTAGACCAGCAACTATATTCTCCAGTAAAGGTTACCTTTGGTCAGTGGTGTCTGGTGGCTTTCGGGGGCTTAAGGCTGGATGTTTTTGGTAGAGAACGTAGATATGTTTCACATTCAAGTCTTCATTTAGCAGGGAACCTTTCTATAAAAACAGTGTAAAGCAGCAATCTGAGGCTGTCAGCAGCAAATAAAGCCCCTCTTTTAGTAGATGTACTTGGATCCTTCTTTCATTGGAATTAGGTTGCCATCAAAGTCTCGAAGCTTTCTGCAGGAGCTTTTCTAAATTCTGTCCTTATTCAATAGTCATTGAGAGCCCTGAAAAGGGTAAATAATAGGGCTCAGTTTTTTTAGCAACAGTTTCCCGGAGAAGTCTTTAGAGAGACCAACAGACTGCTCTCTGCCCAGCTGACACAGGCAGGGAGGCTGTTAAATTCAGTAGGTTAACTGTTGGTTTGGGTTCCATCAATACATTTTTGATCATAAGACACTGAGACAAGCCAGGACTAATGTGCTTTTGATGTTAGCTTAGCAGCGTGACAGGAGAATAGGGATGATGGATTTGATCAGAATTCAGTAGAGCTGTTTTACACACACAAGGTATGACAATCTGAGACTGCCAGTGTGTCGAAGGATTCAATGATGCTGTGACTTATCAACTCTTAATGACATTTACAAAGAAGACAGGAGTGTCGGATTGAAATGCAACAAGTTGTCTTTTCCCTGGTGTTGTATTATAGAATATTAATGCAGCGGCGTGCAGACACAGAGAGCTTCAGTAGAGTGTGTAGGATTAAGCGCTAAGGGGAAACTTGTTCATGTCCCACAGGAGACACTTGATCAGTGACCTTCTTGGCTGAACTTGTGCAGCGACAAATCCCCTTCCTCTGCAGAGCCATCTGATCAGATCAGTCTCAGCACAACAGCACGCCTTCATTTCATACCCTTACCCTGACCTCATCAGAGACACAGAAACAGAAGGACAGATGAGAACTTTCCATCCGCTGCCATCCAAGTGCAGACATTTAAAAGGATGCCAAAGTAGTTAACACAAGTAACACCACACACACACACACACACACACACACACACACACACACACACACACACACAGAAAGACCTCCAGCCTCTGGTCCTCACACAGTACAGAAACGTTCCTCCTACAGCAGGATGGTAAAAGTTGCTGCACCTTGCCTTATTGCAGAAACTTAATAAACAATAATTGGGGGAAATATTATGTCTTCTTACATTCATATATGGAGCCCTATCCCAGAACGTCAGGGAGTTTTTCGTAGGTCAATGTATGAAAATAGCTCACACAACTATCATGAGTGAGCAAGACCATCGGAGACTGGACTTCATGTAACTATCACTCGCTGTGGTCAAGCTTGGTAAAGAAAGGCTTTTGATAACTTACACTTTTACAAAAATATTCACAAAAAATGAAACATTGAACTCTGGGATTGGATAACTGTGAGGAAAACAGTAACTTTGCATGCATGGGGCAAACTCCAGTGTTTGGAGCATATGCAGAACCCTGAGATGAGATGAAGAAAGAGAGATTGACAGAGGAGAGAATAGTCGAGGGAGGAAGGAAGCAAAACCTCGACAGATGAAGAAGAAAGGACACAAAAAAAAAACACATCTTCCAATCCTTCAAACAAACAGTACAGAGCTAAAAAAATGTTTTCATCGCTCAAGGTACATCTGGCTAATGTGTTTTTCCAGCTGTTTTGTTATGCAAAACGTCGACCAGGAGATGGCCTGTTGGCAAAGAGATGAAAGGGGGAATGTCACCACCTATTGTAGTGGAGGCTTGTGTTATTAATTTGATTTGTAAAGTAGTAAGAGAACAATATTTCAGCTAAATCATCAACTGTAGCTGGACTTCACTGTGCATGTGAGTGTACAGACTTTTTCACCCCAATCTGATTGTCCTTCACTCTGCAGCTCATGCTCACCATCTCAGCTGTCTCCATGCAGCTGCAGCTTTTTTTCTTTCTGTAGTTTTTCAAAGCTTTTGAAAGTGAAATAAGAGACAAACAGAGAAAGAGAGAGAGTGATGGGTAAGTGTACTTGGCGGCCAATGGATTTTTGTTTTCAATCGAAAAAAAGAAAATCAGGAGACAAGCCATCTCCTGACCACCAGTAGGGAATCAGAAAAACAAAAAACAAACCGTTTTTCGTTTTGATAATAAAAATTGGGGGATGAAAAAAGTAACTCAGTATTTGACTTTCTGTGATGTGGCTTTAAATGGAAATCGAAGATCAGAATATGTGCATAGAAATGTCTTGTTTCAAGTTTTATCACTTTTTTGTGGTGACGCAGAAGCTGTGACTTGGAGATCAAAGTGGAAAATGGTTTGTTTTTCGTTTTTCGTTTTCTAATTCCCTACTGGTCGTCTCTCGATTTTTGTTTTTTCATTTGAAAAAGGAAAATCTGTTGGCCGCCAAGTACATGGACGGTGATGACAGTCTTAATATGTTGTTTAACAGGTGTTTGTATCAGAAAAGCTGGCCTGTAGTTTTCAGCCTCTGCACATTGACCTGAGGCAGAGTTGGAGACAGATTAACTTAAAAAAGTTGCTTTTTCTCGAAAATATTTGTCCTTGTGTCTTGTTAAAAAAAAAAAAAAATCAAAGTTATGACAAAGTTATGAATAAACATCATAAAAATTGAGCTTGCAGGAGACAGTTGCCGGTTCCAGCATCTTTAGTGTCGGGCCCAACCCACGCATGTCCCTTCAGGGCTGCTGTTTATGTCTCCATAACGCAACAAGCTGGGAGGCAAAAGGCTTTAGTGATAAATGCACATTGTAAAATTCACTGCCTTCCTGGGATATTTGCTGCATTCTGAGTCCCACCTTGTGCATCTTTAGCGCCTGACAGAACAGCTGAGTCGTCCGGTTGATGAGACTTGGTCAGATCCAGACAGCAGTCACTAGAGCAGTGGATTCCAGACAGACCTGAAGAAGGCATAGGGTTGGTGGCTGGAGTTGGCGCAATGAAGGAGTGTGCAGCAGGAGAAGAGTGGCTGGCTGTGGCAGCAGAGGACGTTGCTGGGGCACATTGAGAGTGGGTGGCCAAAGCCGCACCTGAGTCTGTCGAGTAGTGGGATGAGAATCCTGTTGGCTTGAGGAAAGGCAGTGGAGGAAACACTACTGTAAGTGCCAAGATTCAGTGTTGTAGCGCTGAGAGGCTTCAGAGTGGCCCGCTGTAGAAACTAAGGTGGCAGCACACCAGCAGAGGTTCTGGAGCTCTGTTGCTAATAGTGAGTTCTCTGTTTTTTGGAGTGAGACTGGTATCCTGGACAACTTTCACTGAGGTTGCTCCAAAAAAATCTTTATTTTTTCAGTTTCATTTTCTGAAAGACAGCAGGAAGCTAGAGGTAAGCAGCGCTTGACCAGCGGTGGGTGTGGCCTCAAGATCAGAAAGTTCACATCATATGTCACACGTCATGTCAGACAATTAGCCAATCTATTTGAGAAAATATCATTTAATGCTTTCTGATAGGGTTGTTGGTGGAACACCATGCAGCAGAGCTACATGATTTCTTTATCTTTTTTTTCCCCCTGATTAATTTTTTTCTGTCCTTATTTTTAATTGGTCTATTTTTTGGTCTGTTTTTGGTCGGGCCTGGGTCCTACCAACCCTACTGGTTCCGCTGTCCATGAATGAATCTGTAGTGAAATTCATCCTAGGTGGCAGCCTCTCCAGTTTGTTTTTGAGGCCCTCAGAAGGATGAGCTCAAGGCTGCGAGCTGCGCAAACAGGTTTCAGATGTTTTGATCTTATGAGTCAGTCTAGTGTAGCCTGTGGTGAGGTGGCGTTGAAGAAGGACAGTCGATCGTTCTGACACATGAAGCTCCAAAGCTATCCTCATGCAGAGTCAGCAGTCAGATAGAGAGAGGAGGATTACTCAGCCAAGCAACAACAAACAAACACCCTGACACCTGTGATGTCAAAGTCTGCAGAGCTGAAACACACGCTCTCACATCAAACACACACTTCACAGTCACAGAGACAAGTGTTCATTAGTCCTCACACAGCTCAATGACTACATCACAGACCGTGGTAAGAAATGACACCCACATATGACGTGTGTGTGTGTGTGTGTGTAGACCACTCTTTGTGAGCGCAGATATTGTTGTGTACTCGGTAAAGAGCTGTGACACATATATGTGGTCTGACAGGATCTCTAATTGTTTGGCTTGTAGCCTTAATAACACTGAGTTTTAAAGTCCTGGGGCCTCATTTATAAAGCTTGCTTACGCACAAAACCTGGCTTGAAAGTGCTTATGCCACTTCTTACGCAAGAGTTGGGATTTATAAAAAAAAAAAAAACTAGTGTAGGAATGTGCGCAACTTTAAGCAAACTCCACACCTTACTTACGCACTTTTTGGAGACAATCGGAGCAAGGTGAGAATAATTGGTTAATGGAAAGCGCGCGTATAAAAAGCCATACAGTGACAGTCGTGCGCAATGCAGCACAAGTTTCAAGTTTTATTTGTCACATGCCTAAATGTACAGGTCAGATAATCTATAGAAAGAGATAAAATAAAAAATAGAAGTAAGATAAATATCCACTCCTGTATACATCCTATGTACAATAACCATAAAATTGAAATAAAATTAAGATAATTAAAAATATTGACTCCTATGTACCAGGTAAACAGGTAAAGTGACCAGTAAGTTATCTTCTGCAGTAAAGTCTGTTCAGAGGGTGTTGTGAAGTCAGTTATGGGGCGTGTGTTATGAGGAGTTCAAGGATCCGAGTGGCCTGGGGGAAGAAGCTCCTTTTCAGCCTCTCAGTCCTGGCTCTGATGGAGCGAAGCCTCTTACCTGAGGGCAGCCACTCAAACAGTCAAATATATATATATATATATATATATATACATCTCAGTTAAAGATAAAAAAGTATGCTGATTGTTTGTAGATCATCACACCGTGCAGAATTCTGGGAGGAGCAAACGCAAATAGAATCAATTAGCACCCGCAATGTGATTAACAAACCTTGAAACTGATAGCAGTTGCTGTTTTGTGTCTATATTTAGCACGTTTGAAAGGCACGTGCAAACTGGCGCAGCGTTATGCACAAATGGCTGCAGACATTGCGGGGAGAAGGAGGCAAATGTGCAAAAGCGTTTTTCTAGTAAATGACGGTTTTGATAAATGATTAGGTTAAACATGGAAGAGTCTCAAAAATGTATCTCTTTGTCTATTTGATTTTAAATTGTCTGAATCTCTTTTTTTTTTTTCATTTCAAATAAGGCTGCACGATATTGGAAAAAACTAACATTGCGATTTTTTTCAACCCTGTGATATATATTGCGATATTAAAAAATACAGGAATTTTCACCAGATGACCTGAATAGCACTTAATGTTATGTTGCACTGTTGAAATCTTGAGGACAGTTAACCTGCACTGATCTTACCTCTTTCAGTGAATGTTAGTAGAATGGCTTCTGTCTGTCTCAGAGATATTTTTAGCTTTTATTGTTCTGGGACGTGTTTTGGTCGACATCATCCATCTTGTAACCGAAATAATTCCAGAGAACTGACTTTCCTTTTCTTTTTGCCAACAAATCTTCATTTTCGGTGGTTTTCTCTTGTTTGTTGCTCATTTTGCAATCTTGTTGTCAATGCCGGTGTTGTGCTGAGAAATGCATGCCAGCTGAGAATTGCATGCACCTCGCAAAACGTGCACTGCTTTTAGGAGAGTGGTCCATGGAAATGTACAATTTAAAACCCATACAATTATTATTTTCGGGACTAAACAGTGATGAAGAATGTTCAGAAAGTAATTGTCAGCGGACACTAGTTTCTCGGCACAACTCCAGCAGTGCCAGCGACTCGCTCCATGTGCAGGGGCGTGGTTTCCTTTTCTCTGATTTTGATTGACGGCTGGTAGGGTTGTCTGATTGGCAACTGAGTAAAGAACTACTGTGATTGGTGGAGAGCTGCACAGCACACGCAGAGTCACATGCAGGGTATCTCAGTCAGCTACCCTTAAAATGAGATGAGTTCATTCACCTCCCTCATCGCAGGCTCTGCAATGTGACTGTCGCACACATATATATCGCGATGACGATGCTCAAACGATATATCGTGCAGCTCTAATTTCAAATATATTTTCTTGCATTTGTAAAGCACTCTGAGTTGCTTTGTGTATAAATGGTGCTATACAAATAAACTTTATTTAATAAATAACTATTTTTATTAATAATAAATAATTTATTCATTATTTAATAACTAATAGTTCACCTCTGAGTCGTGGGCGGAGACAGCGCTGCTCTCCACACTCCTCTTCACGCTAGCTTGTAGTCTAACATTGCCGGTGCAGCAGAAGTAGCAGGTAACAAAGGAGCTATTCAGCTCTGAGACACTAATGTCTTTGAAGACATGATGAAAGTTAATATCATAATTAGCTCTCTTACAAGCATTGCAATTCACTACTGCACAAGCTTGTTCCGCGATCGTCCTCTGTATTTCTCTGAGTCTGGCCTGCATAGCAGCGCTCAGAGGGCAGAGCTTGGATTTGTGACGTAGAAAATCTTGCTCTGTCTGAACCTGCTGTTGGGGTCTGCCAGATTTACAGAGATCTTAATGCAGAAATACATAAACGCAATTTTACACTTATTTTTCTCATTGATATGTCCCCCAGTGTCAGAAAAATGCCATATGAACATATAGACAACAAGAAAAGCATGACTTTCATCAGAGCGGGTCTTTAATGATTTCCCAATGATCCAAAACTGTGATGGTGCAGAACAGCATCAGCAGCAACCAGCTGCACATAGTTAGAGCACAGCAGATAGAGCATGTTCATAGTTAACATGTGAATAAAAATTTGAATTGGGGGAGTTCTTGAAGACCTTCTCCTCATGTGAAACACATATAAAAGGCTGCAGGTTATCACCTGTGAAGGACAGAGAGTCCTGAAAGATCGTCTACCTCATTATTATTCCAGGGCCGCTCTCTCATGTATCATCTATGTGTGGAAAACACTGTTTTATCCTGTTTCACAAGCAAAATCTTCAGTAATTATTGGTCAGTCTCTTGCATCTTTGCATCTCTTTTCAAACCAGTGGAACTAATCTCTGACAAGAATTTCAACCCTGCTGTGGCTCACTGTCCTGACATTTAAACTCATTAATTCTCCTGATTCTGCTCTGGTGGAAGGATCCGGTCTTTCTGTTTGTCACTGGGATAATTTGATAGCCCCCTGGTTCTCTGGAGGAGTTGGATTGAGTGTTCACTCCGAAGCTGGAAGACCGCATCAGCACAAATCCGTCCTAAATCAGTCTGAGGATCAGAAACTTTAATAACTTACAATTTGCCGGCTTTGCCAGAAGCATGAAAGAACTAATTGATTAGAAAGTGAGTGCCAAGATCAGCATCAGTGATAGGGGCGTCTTCAAAGTCCGGACTGTGATTTATGAACCAGACTCTGCTGTTGGAGCAGCATGATGAACACAGAGATCATACTGTCTGCAGAGGAGTCTTTAGTCCACGCTCTCTCTCAGCTCCTTTCTGACCTTGTGGAAAAATCCCAGCACACTGGCCTGTGGTGTTTTGACAGCTGTGAAAAGATCTGATCTGGGTCTCAGGATCAGGTTTTTGCTGACACTGTAACTCCAGCCTGTATCTAAGGCGTTGAGCTCTGCTGTCCTGCTCCTGATGACCCATGATCCTCTCTGAGCTGTGAGCTGTCAGCAGAGAGATACAAACAAAACCTGCGTGTCGTCCCTGTACGTGTCCTGTCGGATTCCTGTGAATCCTATTCAGTCCCTGACAGACTCCCTCTGCCAGAGACTGTCCAGACCCTGCAGCCTCAGACCTCTGCTCCCCTCTCTGCTCCAGACTGCATGTCATTTTATCAAACAGAGAGAAACAGTCAGAAAAAGGTAAGAGCAGACCGAGAGGAGCTGTTTACATGACCTCTGAGGAGGAGACTGAGCAGCCTTTGACTACCAAACAGCTGGACGTGACTCTGATGACAACCGTGGACTGTTTCAGAGTCACTAGCTTCAGTCTCCACACAAACCTGTCAGCTGTGTTTCTTCAAAGGTGATCAGTGAAATGATGACCTAAAACAAACAAACAAACAAACAAAACAATATAAAGCCAGCCCTCCTGATGGTTTAGGGATCATCAGTGCTTATGACATGTGTAGCTTTATTATCTGTGAAAGCTCCATTAATGCTGAATGATACATGCAGATTTCCAAGCAGACACTGTTTGGCTGTGATTTTTCCAGGAAAGACTGGGCATGCTTCAGCAAGACAAAGCTGTTTTAAGCAAGTTTTAACATTTGATAGGTTGTCCCTTTGACCTTTGGCAGAGACAACCTATCAAATGTTAGGTTGTTTCTGCGTTAGTTCCAATCAAATCTAGATTTCAAATGATTTCCACAGCACTAAACAGAGTAACTGTCTGAAGTTGAAGTTGGAAAACAAAACTGTGTGTTTAGAGGTCACAACTGGGAGTCTGATATCTGGGACCTGTGCTTTGTGTCACATTCAATACCGGATAATTTAGAGCATTAAAAAAAAATCATATTTTATGAATAAAAGACATTCATGTGATAAAAAGGACAGTGTTATTCAAAGAGGCCGAGTTCAAAACAAGAGCCTTTGGTCTTTATTAAAGGTCTTATCTGGACTTGTGCTTTCTTTAGCTCACTTTCCTGCTGCTATTTTCTCTTCTGAAATGTGGAAAAAATCAGTGGTGCCTTTCATTTGTTGACATAGTCTCCACACAATCTTAACATCAGACAGAGTGAAAGTTTCAAGTTAAACTCACTAAACACTCAACATAGGAATGAGTTCATTTTGATCAATCTTCGGACATGACGAGGCTCTTAAGGAGGAATCATGGCTTTGTCTTGTGTTTCTGAGGTTAATGTGTTCGTTTGAATTCATTAACATTGTATGAACATAAAAAAAAATCATCAATTACTGTGAGCAAAAAATATTTCATGAAGTAAGCAATTAGAATTCCACATTTTCTCGTGAAACACAACCAAAAATTAAGACAATTTAGTGACAGTCATACTCCTGACTATTGTTTGAAACACCAAGCTTTTCACAGCTGTGAAAACAATCTTTATATTCTGTTTGTTTTTTTATCGTATGGAAACTGAAGTTAATGGATTTTTTGTGGAATGCTTCCACATCAAATGCATTTTATACATGTGCAAGTGTTTGGATGTTTAAAGAAATAGTTTGATGGAACATTTCATAAAGTTTTGTTTCATTAAAGGTTTTTGCATTTCAAAAAATTCTATTTTTACATTTTGTGATATATGATTAGTTTCAATAATGTTTTAACAGTTCTTTGATGAATTTGCATTTCAATAAAAAGATAAATGTAAGTTTTGTGACATATTTTTGCACTTCATTACAGGTTACTAGTTTTAAAATGTGCATACATTTCATAGAAAGTAATGACATTTTTGGATTTTATGTGCTTTTTTAAAAGTTTCATTGATGTTATATTTTAAACTGAATATTTTCCTTGTAAGGAAATAATTGAGAAGATGAAAGTGGATGACTTCTTGATTTCTCTCTCTCTCTCTTCTGTGTTGCAGAAAATGCTGGAAGGCTCGCAGCCCAGCAAGACCTACCAGTGAGGAGGAGAGGCGGGGCTACAGATACTGACAGACCTGATACTGTTGTTGGGCTGACTCACAATCACATGCATGTATTTTCACCAAACCACCTGTTGTGTTTGGAGTTTGTCTGAATCCCTGAGGAGGTGATGGTGGCTTCTGTTCGTTTAGCTGAAGATTAGCAGCTAATTCCTGTTTTGTTTTGTTTTTGTTTTTGTTGTTGGTCTTTAAACCAGGTGTACTGTAACGAGGTCTTCTTTTAAGGTGGTGGACTGAGAGGATACTCAGTAGGATTAAATGGGATAGATTTATAGATGGACTTACTTCCGGATGCTGTATTATGATCTACTGGGACTGATCATGGAAGGAGTTTCTTCTTGTTTCTTTGGGTCAGGGTCCTTATGTACTGTGTTGTTTTGGGGTTACGACAGTTTGAAGGGTTTATACCCTGACAGCAAAGACGGGTATTGAGTTCTACAGGTTCCACAGGATGACGGTTTCAACAATATTTATGCATACTTCACCAAAGACTCAGTTTAATATCAATGACTACGCTCATGTGGACTCGGGAATCCTGGTTGTCATCATTTTTGTTTGAAGTATCCCACTCTGTGTTTGTGTGTGTGAAATGATATCTGGATTACAAAAACTGAAAAAAATTCCTTCTAACTGGTTTAGAGGAACCCGTTTGTTATCCCTTGAGAACACTGAAGGAGAAGTGGATATTGCGGCATGTATACGCTCCACACATGCAACAGTATTCCACAGGGTTCTGACCCCTGCTGAACACCTGTGCAGGCTCAGCCTCAGCCAAGTGATGTGCCAGTAAGTCAAATATGGCAGCAGCAGCAGCAGCAAAAGCCTATTTCTGGCACCATAAAGAAACTGAGTTACTACCATATCTGCAGTGTGGGGTGGGCATTGAACTATGCTAAGGTCACAGTTATCTGCAGTTGTAAGAACTAAACACCATGGGCGCCTGCACAGATAAACTGCAATGATCAGAAACTGGGACACAAGTGGTTATCATGTAAACAGGGATATGAGTAATCAGGTTTGTCTCTGTGCATGTAAACACTATAGCCTCAAAACCAGGAAAAGACTCATTACCAGGATCCTCAAGTCCATAAAACCTCCACACTGACATAACAATGTAATATCTAAGACTCTCTGTCGCTCAGTATCAAAGCTGCTGATAACAGACAACAAACCTGTATGTGTAACCTAAGGATGTGACTGTTAATCCGAGTAAAATTAGTGTTCAATATTTCACTTTGAAAATGTACCATTACAAGTTTCTGTAGTTTTCCTGTCAAAAAGACAGCACTAACACTTGAATGAACTGACAAGAGCTGGAAAGAAAGTTTCATGTTCAATCAAACCCACTGTTACTGTGATATTTACACTCCTGTCACTGCTCACTGAAATGAATGTCACAGAAGGGGGTGGTGGGATGGTGGGGCCTCATCGGCTCATCTTGTCATGTGATCCAGCAGAGGCCACTGTGGTTGTTACCTGACCATTGAACGGCACTCTTGACTTTGGTGAATAAATAGAGTGGTGATGGAGGAGGATGTGCTGCGGTCAAAGCTGCCCTTAGCAGACACCAAAACATCTGAGAAGGGCCACCTAGTAGAAGGTGCTTCACCACAGCCGATCAGAGGGGGCAGTTGTCATTTTGGGGGCTTTATAGACTCTGTGGACACTTAGAAGGTTCAATTTAAAATACAGTCTATGTTAGGAGGGGCTGCCAGCTGAGCTGCTGACAGCTGGAGTGGGTGTTCAGCTTGTTTTTTATTTTTCTTCATAAGGATGGTTTATGTGGGCTTACATAGTTAAAAATAAAGGAAAGAAAAAGGGCCAAAGCTGCTGCTGATTGAGCAGCAAAATCATCTTGTATCAAAGTACAGCCTTCAAGTCACTTTAACCCTGTTTTTGGTTTAGCCACAATGAATCAGAGGACAGTTTGGAGATGAAAAATAGAAATAGCTTTAGAAAACAGACAGTTACGAGTACAGTTTGGACAGACAGGGAATTTGTTTAGTTTTTTTACCTTTGAATTTCTCCCTAGTGTACAAACTCACCATCTCTGTTTTTAAAGTGAAATATTAGTCAAAACTCAACAGAAAGTAATCAAAGGTGTTAAATATGAAATGTTGAGCTGTTTGTATTTTCTGCTCTACCATACAGATAAGGACAAGTGCTGGTTCTGTTTGGCTGTCTTATCTCAGCATGTGACATACACAGGGTATTAATATATAAGTAGCAACATTATCTGTTAGTTCCTTCAGTTTGACTTAACGTCAAACCATGCACTCTTGTTACACCCCTGTGCCTTTAATTGCAAAGCCTTGATGTATATTTGTTTTTATACGCTCTACAAAAGAGGCTCTCTGTACTGACATGACATGACTCCAAGAAGCTGTCTATATCTGCAATAAAGAGGAAACCAAACCAATGTCCAGCGTTTTGAATGTGTTTGTGTTGAGTCAGTCCACTCTCTGCTCCTGGTTGTTGAAGAGCTGCAGTGTTTGTCGTTTGTGGAAATCAAGAGGTGAGTTCATAGAAAGATCACCTCTGACTCAACTGCTTGTGTGCCATCTGCTCTGAAAGCTTCAAAGTGACTCGAGTGTTGGAGCGAGTGTGCCAAGCATGAAGTCAAACCTCCTCCGTGTCGTATAACCGGTAAATCACACAGTCTGTGTTTTCAGCACCTTGAGAGAGCTGGATCCCAGCCTCAGATTTCGAACCCACATGGCTGACTCTCTCCCTCTCTTACACAGCTCTGAGCTGAAGTTGCAGGAACCTGAATCTGTGAGGCGCCAAATGGCTTTATTGTCAAAGGTTGCACCCATCCTGCTATGCAGATCCTGTGAACATTATGTGATTTAAGCATCCTTTAGCTTTGCTTCTCCAGTTCTAACTCATTGAATTGTTTCCAGAAGCTTTAAAAAAAAAAAACTCCTGCTGTGAAAGTCGACACCAGAGAGAGAACAGCAAAAATGATGCCCTTAAAAAACGAGGATACTCACCTCAGCAGGTATGGATCCAGAGACTCTCAAAGGTCAATTCATACAGAGCTGACATTGATCAGGGAGACACTAACAAGGTTCTGATTTAATGATAGAGCTAATCTTTCTGTCAAAAGGGAAACTTTCAGACATTTAGTGGCAGCTTGATTACATACTTCAACCTCAGTTCCAGAGTTGTGGCACCGCATAAAACTTTCACAGAAACTGAATTTCAGAATTTGCTGTCTTGCAAATCAAACTATATATACTGAACATAATGTGTCAAATGTTAAAAATGAGATTGTTTCACAGAAAATAGATGCACTTTTTTGTTGGGACAAGGTTTATTACTGTGCTGCATCACCTCTCCTTCTGAAAACACTGTAGATGTGGGAGCACTTTGGGGAGTTTAAAAAGTTCAATGTTGTTTAGGTCTTGTATGATTAGAGGCTTTCAGCTGCTCAGTAGTTTGTGTCACCTTTATCTTATAATCTACATCATAATACTCCAAAAGTTTTAAAATTTGATACAAGTTAGGATTGCAGGCAGGCCAGTTTAGCACTCACACTCTATTCCTGCATAGCCATGCTGGTCAATGGTCATTCTTCCCTGAGAAAGTCATCACCTGTATGCAGGTTACTCCAAAACCTCTCTATGTTGTGTGAAAGTTAGCCATACCTTCATGAATGCTGGCTGTTTCTGGTTTTTCTCCCTTCTGTGGGGCAGGGGATGCAGTCAGTGTCCATGACTTCAAATTATGAGGAGGCAGACCAAAGGACAGCCAACCCACATGAGTGGATGCAGCAACAAACTGAGTCCCAAAGGTTCTTGGAAGCAATACGACAGAATCATGTCTGCTGATGTGATCAGAAGGTTAAAGTGATTCAGTATTGGTTTCAGTCATGTCCTTATAAAGTACACTGGATACGATCTTTCAACTAAAAATACTCTGTAGGTGATACAATCCTCAAAATCAGACACTCACACTCATGACCATTTCCACTGAGGGAAACATCCTCTGTAAGACTCCGCCTCTTTTAACTGTCCCTGTCATGTGAGTCACTTGGTGCACATCACCCTCATCACTTCCATGTTATTTTGGTGTTGAAGGATTTCACTCTTTCAGTGCTTTTTTCATTTCTTATATCCCATTCAAACTCTTGTATGTTTTTCTTCACATTCATTCTGCTCTCAACTTTTTAGTGTCTAAACATTTCTTTGGAGTGGGGCTGCAGTAAAAATAAAGATGCACTCTGGGTTTTTTTAGGTCATTGTTTTCATCTTTTTTTACATAGCAAACAATAAATAATGCAGCTGTCCTCCAGATGCTGCTCCCACTGTGGTCAGTTTCTCTGCAAAACTGGTGTTTTTCAGTGAGTAAGTCTGATTAAGACAAAGATCACACAAATTCAATCAATGCAGGAATAAAAAGAAATCAAGGCTCCAGATATGAGACAGTATTCCACATTTTATTTTTGGATATTACCATAGCTATATGTAACTTCTGACAACAGGTATCAACTACAGAATAATACACTGAATATCTGTCAGTTTCAGCTCCTCTTTTTTTTTTCTTCTTCTGTGTTTTTTTTTTTACATTTTTTATTTGTTTGTTTTTTTTGGTCCAGTAACATTTCTGTGGCTGATTATTCTCTCTCCTGTGTGTCACTGAATGTCAAACATTGAAACACATGCACGTCATTCACCTGGATACAGCTGAGTAAGACGACAGTCAAAGAGACCTGACAGTATGAAGAGAGCCGTGCTGTTTTCTCACACGGCGCTATTTTTAGCTGAGACACTCATACAGTATTACTATTGTTATAATTATCATTATTATTATTTTTATAAGGCTATTACTGTACAGCTATGCACCAAAGGGTTCACTCGGCTGTTCTAGAGAAAGAGCACCATATTTACATCCGTATTTACAGGTTTTCAAAAGAACACTCAGACAACAACCAAAGAGGAACAGATTTCAAACATGGCTTTCCTTTTTGTCAGTCCAATATGGCCATTAAAAGGAATTCCTTAAAAAATAAGACAAAAAAAATCAAAAGAAAGTTTCTGTACAGATAGCTGCAACACACATATAGCTTATTGCCAATGCCCTAAATGAATTCCTCAGTCCTTTCTTCCACTTCTTCCTCTCTTGGCTGGCCGCTTCAAAGCTTTTAAGGAGCTTTTTTTTTTCATGAGAGCTCAATAAAACTCCTCGGACGCCCCTGTCGAAGTTTTCAAACAGCAGGTCACTCCCAAAATGTACAAGTTTGAAAAATAAACTTTACTTTTCCACATACTGTATGTACATACTCCATACATGAGCCCAAACACTGCACCCACATGTGCAGAAAGCTTTGGGTGACATGTGGGTGCAGGTGGGCCGACAAGAAGCCAGCAGAGGTTTTCAATATCAATGGCGTGACAACTTGAGTTTCAATCAGCAACTTATTGAGTTATGAATAAAAAAATAACATTTTAAATACATGGTCAGCAGTAACATATTCAAACCTGTAGGTGATTAGCATTACAATGCTACAGTACGAAAATATCCTCACCAGTCTGCTGCTGCAGAGGAGTGCCGCACACACACACACACGCGCGCACACACGCACACAGCTTGATAAAACATAAGTTTCTGTCCCACTTCTAATGCCAAAACTGCCTGATAAAGACACTTTCCAAATTTAAAGGGTTTGGACAGAAAACAGAGATGTTGCAGTTGTTAGTACAAAAAAGCTGAATTCATACCAGTAGAAATTAGCTTTAAAAATCGTAAAACAACATAAAATAGATTGTCTGAGTGCAAAATGGAGTTCAGACTGAGACTAAATGAAAAGCTTGTTAACAGTGTCAAAAACACACACATGTGATCCAGGCTCTCATCCACCTGATGGGTAACAGTGAGGGGGAGCAGGGGTCAGAGGTGGAGGGTGGTGGGAGTGTTTTTGTCTGGATGAACATGGAGAGCTGCTCTTTCCTGCTCCTGTCAGCTGTCTGCTTCAGCTCAGCACTCACACTGTCCTCATGGCTGTCTGAACCACTCTGCTTTACAACCAACAGCTGCCCAGCATGACACTGTACAGACAGACAGACAGCTGCTCAGAGTCAAAAACCTATTATTTGAAGATTAAAAAGTCACACTTTTGTTCAAACAAACCTTAAAGATAGTTAGGCTGTTAGAGAAGATGATTTCGAAACTTTGAAAAGTCTGTTTTCAAAGGAAAATCAGAGGGTTGAGACATTATTTTAGAGAAAATCAGAAATAATTTCAACCAATAGTAGAAAGGCTCAAAAGATGATAAATAAGTATGGATTTATGGACCTTTGAAAGTTGGGTCTAATCTATGTGAGATGTGTAAACACCAGCAATACAAAGTTTTTCAGGCTAGGATTCATTTTAAAGATACTAGAGAAACATGGCTGCTAATGTCAGTGCATTTTTACACACATCTTCCAAACAAATAATGAAGGTCGTTCAACTCAATTCAGCACTTTGTCAGCCAGTGAAAAAAAACACACAAAAAAACCCCACAAGTGTCCTGCTCAGAATTTTGTCCTGATGTGCTGATGTTCTAATAAAACGGACTTGAGTGGTAATCAGCCTGGTATACACACCAGCTAATTTATCACTTTAGTCTACAAATCTTAAATGTTTTGTGACCATAATAAACTGTGTGTATGACTGAATCATTTCTGTTTTTATTTTTTTTAAAGTTTCAAAAGGTTGTTTTGATTATACTCTCAAAATATGACACCGTAGAGTTGAAACTTGAGCTACAACTAGAAATGTGTTTGACTTTCTCCTGATGTAAACCGTTCCTTTAAACTTTGGACCTTGTGCTCATTCATAACACCGGTCTTGAAGCATTTGTCCTCCGAGAGTACACATTTGCTCCCGTTTCCCTTCTCCTGTCAAGTTTCCTTCAAACCAGTTAAAAAAGTGTTAATAAAGCACGTTGACTCTGATAGTAAAATAGAAGTTACACTATTTTTCAAGTCATTTGGGGGGGAAACGGATTAAAATGATGCTTAGCGTGCAAAGTAAGAGAAGCAGATCAAAGAAAGTGACGGGTAAAATGGAACTGAGGCAGCAGCAGCAGCAGCAGCAGGGAGCAGGTGTGCTGACAGAGAGATGAGGTCAGATACCTGCTGCAGGTAAACACCAAAAGAAGAGAACAGAGGGCTTTGAGAATCTGACTATGAGGATGGACAGAGAGGAGAACATGGAGGGAGTAGGAAAGAAGATGGAGTCGAGCTGGTTGGAGCCTTAGATGACCTGGCAGCAGCTGGCGGGGGCAGAGGTACAGAGCAGTCCATCTCTAGAGCCCCCACCTCGCTGGATGTTGACGGAGATGGTCTTCTCACACAGAGGTAGTTGGAGCACACCGTTTTTCAAAGCGCTCAGGTTGCTGTGAGCGTCCCTCCCGCCTGGAGGGCTGCAAGGGCCGTGTGTGGCTGTTTTGCGTTGATGGTGCGGGGCGGAGTGGGTCCGAGGCAGGTTTGTAGTGGGGAGGGTGATGGTGTCCAGGCTCCCAGTGGAGCCGATGCACATCCTCCAGGCTGATTTCTCCTGGATTTTAACGCTCCCCCCTGAGAGGCTGTTAGGGTCAATGATGAGCTTGCCCCCTCCTCCTCCTCCTGCCCCTCGACTACCTCGCCCCCCTCGGTGATGCTGCAGCTGGGAGCTGAGGCACAGACTCATGAGTTTTAGGCTCTCCACCAGCTCAGTACTGCGGCTGGAGGTGCGAGAAGAGCGGGATGTTGAATTAAGGGAGGGGTTGTTGGTGCTGCTGTTGTTACAACAACTGGAGGGGCTGTCTTGTCCTTTATTACTCCCCCCGCCTCCCCCACTCCCCCCTCCACCACCATCACCTCCTCCATTCTCACCTCCTCCTGGGGGACTCCCTCTGTCAGGTCCAGAGCCCCCTCCCCCCTCTCCAGGAGGTTTACTTTGGCCTGAGCTGCTGCCTCCCCCGTTGCCCCCTGAGCTGCCGGGTGGCCCCTCACTGCTGTCCCTTCTGTTCCAGCCGTAACCAAAACTCGAGTCTTTGTCCAGACGTCTCCGGTGGCTTTCTGAGTCATCGTCGCTTGTTTCTGAGCTGGAACACGATGACCCCCTTCCCTGGCTCTTGCGGCGGTGGTAGCGCTTCTGTGTGGACCCAGGGGATGAGGAGGAGCCGGCACCGGAGCTCAGGTTGCCAGAGTTCCCGGCCATGTTCATCTTGAGACGGGAGAGTTTTGGTGGCAGACCTTCATCCATGTCAAAGTCATCATCTGACTCCCCCTCCTCTTCAAAGATTTGGTTGAGCACAGGGGCACTTTTCCTGGAGGTAAGGCGGTTGGTGATGGATGGAGGCTTACGCCGCAGGATGACCTGGGTGGGGAGGGGAGACGGGTCCTGTTCGTCCTCCTCCTCTTCATCCTCCTCCACTCTAAAAACACATGAAAACTATTTATTCACAGATGAGAACAACAGCACCACCAAAGACTGCAGCTAGAGGTGTGCTGGATCAGCTGGATCACACACTCAACTGACACTCACACACAGACAGTAGTGACTCTGTTCATACTGCACTGAGTGAGCGCTAAACTGTCTGCCACAATGAGTGAATCCACTGCATGATTGGGCTGAGCATGATGAGCTCTGAAATCAAGGTTCACATGTCAAAGGTTTCCCTCCGAGTCCTCAGTGCTCAGCAGCAGACTGTGTCTTCCAGTCAGATTACACATGAGGTGTCCAGCAAAGACAGTAAAGAACACCAATTTCCTATTTAAAACAATGATAATTCCAACCAAGATCTGAGTTGGGATTGTGTTGAAAATGTTCACTCTAGTCAAGAGTCATGCAGAATCAAACTGTGATTTTAGGATTTGCAGGAAGTGACTGACATTTATTACCAAATGAAAACCTGCGTACTAGGCTAGCTTGACAAGCTAGCATAAAGCATATGACACTGGCTTGGCTGTACTCATCATTAACTTTCAAAATGGTCATGAAAAATAACAGTGATAAAACTATAAAACTGGAGTCATAATTCAACTCAAAATGTTGTTGATATATTAGGGTCCTGCCCTAACTTGAACTATCTTGTATTGTCATCACTGTGGAATCTTACTGTTGCTTTATGAAGGATTTATGGCGCTCAGATGTAAGATAACAGAGAAAGTCACTTTTACTTTAGTCAAGGTGAGCACTATTGCACTTTAACTCAAAAGGAATATGTCTGACCTGAACAGGCAGGTTCGCTGCTTGGTTGCTGCTGAAGTAGGTGGTGGAGGGGCTCTGATGGTTCCAGGACCGGACCCAGGAGCAGGACCTGAGGCAGCTGCACAGGCCCCCTGTAATAATGAAAAAACATAAACATGGAGTAAAGTCTTGAGCTCCTTTGCTGTCACTTGTCAGCCAGGGTAGTTTCATTCACCAGAGCTTCCTGAAGACCAAGAGTGAAAGTGTGGGCAGACAGGAGGGTAAGTGTGTATCAAAACTAAAAACCCTAAATAACCTATCAATTACAGGTGGGGTAGGCAGGATTCTGTTAAAGAAGCTTTTTTTTGTGGTGTTTACACAAAAAAGCTTTTAATATCAGTCAATAGTTATTAGTTATTGATGAAATTTGGGAATATCACAATATCGCTGTCTTCTCTTACGTCTGTGTAGTCAACATTTTAAATTTTTTGAGCGGCCCGCTTATTCTGACTGTAAACAAAGCCATTCTCCACCTCCTTGACTTGATTGGTTGTGAGGTGAACGTTGCTCCTTAGTGCTGATTGGTTGTGAGGCAGACACTGCTCCCACATGTTGTGAGGCACGCTCCACATCCTCATTAGAAACCAACCAGAAAGTAAGGAAAACATGAGCAGTAAAACAAATTAAATACCGGAGACTCTGGCAGAATAACGGGGGCTTAAAAAGAAGCCAGGTCAACATCAGCATAAACGATGGGGGAGGCTTCGGGATCTTACGAACGCTTAAACTTTTCAGCTGGACAGGTAAACCGCTAAACAAAGTAAGCTAAGTGTCTGTGACAGAAGTGTTTCTTGTCAAACGGGACCTGATGCGTGTTGTCATGCAGATAAACTGTTGACCTCGGGTCCTGGAGTATGTCACTTTATCCTAGTTGTAGAAGTCCTGCAAACATTGTGTTTGCTGGTAGTCTGTTGGCATCTACAGTAGCACCAATGCTTTTTACTTTCATGTTGACTGGGCCCCATTTGTAATTATCTGAAGTTTTTATCTGCATTATATCTGAATTTAATTGAAATGATACAAGCGAGCAGGAGCGTCTGTTTGTGGGCGGGGCTTGCTGGAGCAGAGAGGGAGGGGAGAGGAGGAGCTGAGGGGAAAACTGGTTGGGAGGGGTAGAGTTTACATTCAAGATTTCTCCCAAAAACTGGCACTTCCTCAGATCCTGCCTACCCCACCTTTAACTCAGTTCCTCTAAAACTAGACTTAATAAGTCAATAAAAGGGTTTTTTTGAACATTTGACTTGTATTTTTCAAAGACACAAAATATTTTATTGTATGACTGTATGACTGTTATGTAAACATTTGCACTTTGACCTACTTAACTTAAACTGGGAAGTTTGGAGACAGACTCCAGGAAGGTCCTCTATGTAGTGGGCATGACCGGAGGAACCTTCTCTGGTTCAGGATCATAGACTGTATATACTATGGACAACTTGGTTCCGCCTCCTGCTTGTATACGGATTTGAAGCCAAAAAGCTCTCAGTATTTCCGGGATTTTTCTTCATTTCCTGAAACTGGCGCTGCGCAGTAGTGTTGTGCGCATTCCACAGGAGAGTCGCTGTGATGACGCTCGGCTCAAACAGCGTATCCCCCGGGAGAGCTACTCCCTCCCTGAACGCCCATAGGCTGTATCAGGTGTCAATCATAGCAAACATGAACCCCCAAATAACTTTTAAAAACGGAGCTTCACAAAAAAAAGAGGACTTGAGCACAAACCAGTCTTACTGTAAGTACATGTCAACATCACAACCAGGGGGGAGAAAAATTTATGTTCTGTGTAATAAATTTCTAAAGTTGGTCCACAGCTCCATAAGCTTTGCTGGATTTATGACCTATACTGTAGCCCATCAACAGAGGGTGCTGTTCTCGGAGTGGCTTCACCCAACAAGGAGGCAGACGCTGTCCATTCTACATACAGTCTATGTTCAGGATGAAAGCGTACAAGGTGCTGCCTCATGTTTGTGGTGTTGCTGAGGTACTTTATTTTTGCTTTGCAAATCTTGAGTAGATCTTGTCTGTCATCTTGTTTGCTCTCTCATAAAATCCAAAGTTCTTCCACACTGTTGCAGTCAATCCCTGTAACGAGAGAATCAGCCACTCTTTGGAGGCTGCTGAGACTGTTGCCATTTTGCAAAGAAACTAACGTGCTCTGTTTGTTGCGGTCCCACTCACTAAACAGTCCAGGTATTACCTGCAACCTGCGCATGTTATGGTTCCGGTTATGTGTTGTTGTTTTTTTGTTTCAGCCTTGCGGCAAAGCATCAACGTTATTATTTATCTATTTATTTTAAGTATTGGTGCCGAATCGTCATGTGAAGCATATACACATCGATGAATTGCACCCACCTCTAGAAATTATAGACAGCACATCCTCTACTGTTTAAGGAGGAGGAAGCTGCTGATTTATGGCCATTGCACAGTCCCAAAGCCAGCATTCATTATAAGAAAGCAAAAGTGGCCATGGCATCATTGTACATCTGTGAAGGGACCATTAACACTGAATATTTCAGGAGCGACACATGCTGCATCCAGACAATGTCTTCATGTCAGGGAAGACCTTGCATACAACAGCAAGATAATAGGTTGCATGTCTTACAGCATCATGGCTCAGTTATAACAGAGTGTAGTCGGCCTGCAGTATTGACTTCCTTCCTTTTGGAAACATCTGGAACATCATGACACAAAAAATGCAGCAAAGGAGAGCCTCAATTGTTGAGCAGCTGAGATCTTCTCTCAGACCAGAACAGATTTTACTTTGAAAACTCCAGAAACTGCTCTGCTTGGTTCTCTCCTGTTAACAGACTGTTGTTAAAAGGAGAGATAATGCAAAACGATGGTCACCATGCACTTCTCCCAACTGTTTTGAAACATCTTACTGGCATCAAACTGTGAGTCAGCATATCGTCTTCATGAAACGGTGAGGTTATTCAGTCTGTCTTTTTGTGTGTGTTTATGCTATTTTCAGTGAAATATGGGATTTCAATGATTGACAAACCATCCAATTCTGTTATCAACATTTGATGTGGTGACCCAATCTATAAGGTTGTTTTACACAACAAAACAAAGTAAGATGTACTAGTATTAATTACAAGAGTGACATAATGCCAGAGGACATTTTTCTATCAGTGTGTGTTCTTCTCCAGTCTATGTGACACCAGCAGGTCTTCATATCAGAGACGATCAAGCAGGATCTTGAGGGGTCACTATTGGCATCATTTTATAGACAGAGAAATGATCAAAATAGACCAGATTTAAAAAATCCCTTCAGGTGTTACGAAGATTAATGAGACTGGAAATCAGACAAACAGTGTAAACACAATGAGCTCTCAGCTAAGCCTAACACCTGTGTGGAGGTCTAAATGATCAAACCATAAAAAGAGCAGCTAGAGGCATTACAATAGAATGAAACAGGGTGGCACATTCGTACATCCATACATTCAGGATTCAGTAATCATGAGACAAACAGCCAAATTCCTCTCAGATTTTCCAACAGGCAGGAGAGGAAGTGTCCAGGTGTGATAAGGATGAGTGTACCTGTGGGGGCAGTCCTGCAGAGTCAGTCACTGTTGTTTCCTCTCGTCGGCCCAGCTCCATCATGCCTTTCGTACGATGTCCGTTGAGCAGGTTCTCTGCGCTGCGGGCTGGCGACTGGGGGCCTCCGGCGTGAGAGATAGAGGAGGCAGCCAGACTGTCCTCTATATCCTGGTGCATGTCCACTCTGGTTGGCCATGACTGCCTGTGGAGATAACGCAGGGGAATTTAACACTGAATTCTTTCAAAACACTTTTGGCAGGAACTGCTTGGCTTTCACTCAGAGCCAGTGTCTCAGCTCCTCAAGTAACATGCTATGTAATCAGCTAGTAAAAAAGCCTCTCAGATTTAGACATGGTCAATGATGCAGACAGATACAGGTGGCTAGCAAGGGAGCAGGAAGGAGGGGGGAGATTACAGTCTACTTCAGAGCTGATGCTGTGAAGAAGTTATTCCACTGATACAATGTAAATGCATTACTCTGTGCTTCTGACCCACCAAGTATGAATCCATCAATCTCCAGCACTAAGGAGTCATGTACCGTATCTGGACTCTTAACTTCCTCAAGCATACATCACTGACACTGATTACAGGTCATTATGTCCATACCCACTCTGAGTCAGTGATCAGTGCCATCATCAACTCATGCAGAAGCCACACAGTGTTTTACTGTTAGCTGACACACACTTCCTCTATCTATCAAAAGTCAATGATTCACCAGTTCAGTACAGTCAGCCTAGACTTGCCATAGTCACTCTGTGGACGGAGATTGAAACCCAGCAGCTCAATGACCAGCATTAGTCTAGGAGTTACTTAACCAAAGACAGTCAATGTTCAATCTCCCGTGACTGTGTACAAACAAAAACCAAAATCAAAGGTGAAGGAAAATATCAAAACAGTGAGAGTTGAAATAGGAGCCGACACAATATGATATTCCACCTCATGAGTATTTGGAACATGTGTGAAAAAAGCAACACAATCAGACACATTAAGTAAAGAGACATGACCTCTACGGTGTTTTATTTATGTTTTTTCGGGGTGGAGGTGGGGTGTTAGTTTGCAAGTTATGTGACTATCTTGCAACACACCAAGACCAATGTTCTTTTGCTTAGACTGTTTGAGGAACATTTACGAAAATGTGACCTCTTTTTTCACTTTGACACATTTGATATTTTTGCTCTGTCAAATAGGTTTTGTGGGATGTTGGTTTAGCTCTGTTCATAGTCTGTGCACCCAATACACAGAGGTTAGAGTCCTCAATGGTTTTATACCTGGTTGTGACCATTTAATGCATGTCAACCCCCTCCAACCTCTGAGTAAGGTCCAAAGTGTCACCATGCACCATGGTATTGAAAAAGAAACTCCTCGATTAACACACATGAAATAATGAGACAACATTAACATATTCACATGAAAAGCTGTTCAGCTTGTGAAATTCAGCTCTAAATATAATTATTTTACACATATTTAATGTACAAAACCCAAGAGATCTATGACAATGCCGTATATGCTGTAGTGATGAACCCATAATGACACCATCACTTTCAGATCTTTTTACAAACACATGCTGTTCAGAACTGTCAGACTTTTTCCCATTAAAAAGACAAAGCTGAGAAATAACATGAGGCTGAGTGATTCCCTGAGAGCACACAGAAAACAATTAACCCCATGGAAGGCACTGCTGTGAGTTTAACAGATACATGAACACCTCACTGACTCCAGCCAACATCTGCAACCACATTTCTAATGCAAACAAACTAGTCCTCCAACACCTGAGACTGAATCAACAAAGAGAGAGACAGTCCAGAAAAGAAGAGAGATGACTTGAAATAAATAACCTGACACACAGTTTTTTCTGGACTGAAGTGCTATACATAGACTTTGACTGGTTCAATATGTCATTCTTGAAATCAGAAACTAACTTAACACACCAGCAGTGACCTGCTGATGTGTCAGTCCCAAAACACAGATGTGATGACAAATATCTTGTAGTTTTTACGTGGGTCAGTCTAAGCCGATGGGCATAGGTCTCCCTTACACACATAGGTCACTATCTTTAGGTCAAGGATCACAGGGGAGGAGAGAAAGCTTCATCTCACCAGGCTTCTGCTCCAGCACGGAGGAGCAGAGAGGAGGAGCACTTCAGAAAGTACAAGCATGGCTTCAGGAAGGTGCAGGTATCACAGAGGCCTAGACATCAGCATATCTGCAGTGTTGCTACGATCATACTGTTTGTATACTGACCCATGTTTCCTCTCTTGCTTTGCCCTGTACCAGAAGGAGCAGCACTAGGATGCCTTTGTTGGGTGCTGCCCTGAACATCAGCAGCATCATTAAACTCTTGAGCCTTCCTGTTCTTTCAAGGTTTGGTGAATAGAAATAAACCTCTTCTCTTAAAAAAAAAAAAAAAAAAAGCTCTGCCGTCATAATTTTAAAGGTTTCTTGTAGTAATAACATCCTCTGTCGAGTAGATAGAGGAATGTACATGGAGTTTTGCCAGCTGTCCTGCTGAAGCCTCCCTCACTTCTTTCTTCCTTATTTGTTCCTCACTGTTGCTGCTCTTCCTTTTATGTCTATACACTGTCCAGCTCTTGTCTTCCTTATAAGAAGACAGTGTTGGTTACGAATCAAAGAGGAAATACTTCAACAGCCAAAGGGATAAACTAGAGTTTCTCTTCTGAGGCTTGTGTCCAATATTTGCCACTTTCTTCTTTATTGTAAGGGAATAATTAAAACAGTTCAGTCAGCTGATATTTAAGGTACCAGAGAAAAGACATTTCATACTGCACAATGACAGACTAAGTGAATGCAAGGATTCAAAGCCTACAAACTGGTATACAAGAAAAAAAATCAAGTTTGACAACATACTGCAAACTCCAATCAGCGTTAAGATTCACCTGTTGTTCTGAAAATGCATCAGCTGTGATTGATTTTAACTCCATGGAAACGACAGATGAACAATCTACACTACAGGCCAAAAGTTTGGAAGCAAGATCAGATTTGTACAAAAAAAGATCATAGTTTCATATATATAATTTGCAACAATAAACATGACTATTTTGTAAAGAGTAACTTATCAGAAGACATTTTGACTATAATTATTGGGTATTTGAGTTATTGTTGCTTAGACTTTGCTTTCTTTAAAGTAACCTCCTCTGGCTTCAACAACAGCCTGGCATATACCAGGCATTGGTTCCACAAGTTTTTTAAGGTATGTTCCAGGGATTGCATTCCAAGCTTTCTTAAGTTCATTAAAAAGAGACTGCTGGTTTGTGGGACATGTTTTTCTGACTGATCGATCCAATTCATCCCACACAAGCTCAACTGGAGAAAGGTCTGGAGACTGAGGGGGCCAAACCACTTTTGAAGAACACCTTCCTCTTCTTTTTTGTCTAGGTAACCCTGACAGAGCTTGGCAGAGTGCTTAGGGTCATTGTCTTGCTGCAAAACAAACTTATGAGCCACAAGTCTGAGTCGAGATGGAGCAGCATGGTGCTGGAGGATGGAGTGGTACTGTTCCTTCTTTATGATACTCTTTACTTCAAACAAATCTCCTACTCCATCACCTGCAAAACATCCCCATACCATGGAACTACCACCTCCATGCTTAATATTGGGTGTAACACATGGTGCTTTCAGACGTTCACCAGTTTGTCTGCGAAAATAGACTCTGCGTTTTGAACCAAACAGTGCAAACTTGTTTCTAGTCATCATAAGTCCAATTTTTGTGAGCTTTTGCCCACTCATATCTCTTTTTCTTGTTCTGTGGATGAAGTAGTGTTTTTTTGCAGATACACCCCTTCAGACCAGCCTTTCTCAAACGTCATTTCACGGTTGTCAGCGATATGAGTTTCTACCTTGTCATGTTGATTTCCTCCCTTATTTTTGGTGCTGTTTTTTGCCGATCTCTCTTACTGGTGACAATGCTATGTTTATCCTCTGCTTTTGTAGTAACTCTCTTTTGTCCAGGTCTTTTTCTATCATCATAACTTCCAGGTTCCTCTAGTCTCTTCAGAGTATAGTGGACTCCTTTGTTAAACACCTTTAGGCATTTTGCAATTTCTCTTTCTGTGTATCCTTCTTTCCCCAATGTACACATCTGTACTTTTGTTTCTTTACTCAGTTGCTTCTTTCTAGCCATTTTTGTGGTAGTTTGAACACAGTTGAGATTTATTAGGATTTTTGTATGCAGACTCTCAAAAGCTAAAAAGTTGAAGTAATTAATCCAACTGTTATTTATTTTTTTGCTTTTGCACTGAAGTTGTGACTCTTGCAAATGTTTTCAACCCTAAAACTAAGCCCTTATTATCTTTTGCTGACATATATTTAGCAATGGTCTGTTAACATCAATGTATATCTAAAGGTAAATGGAGTAAAATGGTGCATTTCCATGAAAGCAACATCTGATCATGGAGTAAATACATCCCAAAATACATAAAACTCATGCTGGATTTTAAAAAAAAGCATTATGAACAAAAACTGTTCGGCCTGTAATGGCCTTGCTTCCAAACTTTTGGCCTGTAGTGTACCTCCTCCTGTGGCAGACTGTCCTGACTGAGCATGAAAACAGATTCACAGAGCAAATCTGACCATGATGTTTGAGCACCCTTTAATAGAGTAGAGGAGTAACGTTACATGTCAGTCATTTTTATGTACTACATCAAAAGGAACCAAAGCTCAAGAAGACAAGAGATTTGAAGTATGATTTCTAACACCAGCAAAGGCGGAGAAAGGGAGAGAGAGAGATGTCACCTTATCTCTACACATTCATTATCTGTCACAACCTGAGGACTGTTGACAGGAAGCATTGTAACACTGCACTGCATGATGACTGACATCCACAATATGACCATGTTAGTAAAATCACTGCAAAGTGCAAATTAAGTGCAGATAACACACACAACTACACACTTCTCCTGGCTTTTCAGTGATGATTCTTCAGGAGAAGTTTTTTTCTAACTGTTAACAGTATGTCAAATATCAGTCCATGTTCAGTAACCTTCTGGAGTAGCACTGAATGCAGGTCAAAAATCTGAAATAGTATGGGTCTCAGATATCCAGTTTGGTGCCCAGGAGTTCCAGGAGTCTATTTTCAGTATAAAAACAGGCTGATTTTGACTGGCAACATCAGATGGGTACAATTTAGGTATCATGACAACCCTCCCTGTTACCTGGTATGCAGGTCATCACACTGAGCTCTTTCCAGCCTTGAGCAGTCAGAGGCAGTAGTTCAAAACAATCCAGACACAGGATTATGAAATTGACTGTGTAGTATGAGCCCCTTGACGTTGTCATGAACACAAACATGATGGGATTTTGTTTTCCCAGCTTCTACTTTCAGGCTGTAATCGAGTAACTCAGTGTTAATACATCTCAGGGCCAAGTTTGAAAATACTGTGGATCTGTTGGTGTCAACTCCACTCTCCTTGATTTTGCTCTCCTTAAGGCCCACTGAACCCCCCACCAGAAATGGAAATGAAACCTTTGGAGGAGTGGCACAGTCTTGTGTAACTATGGGTAAGCTAAGTGGAGCCAGAAGGGCCGCAGTGTGGGCCAGTGGAGCGAGAGAGGTCAATTAGCCTCTTTTGAGCTCAGATTATGACTCAGATAGTCATTATGATGATGAGCAGTGATATTTCTAACTCACGCTCTGCTTCAAGACAGTAAATCTGCACAGGCCTCATCACATAACCACTACCTTTTCATGCTGTGACACTGCACCCTGTTATTGGTCTTAATGTTTTGCTGTACCTGAAGTGTGCCTTGATGTTGCTGGGGCTGGAGGAGCGGGTCTGGACTTCCTTTTCTTGCTTTTCCCTCAGGATCCTCTCAGCTAGCAGGTAATACGTGGCTGTAATGTGGTTGTATTTGTTGGTCTCCAGCGCTCTGAAAAATACAGTCATAAAATCAACGTTTAGGGAAAGCATACTGTAGATAAAAAATGGGACATAGATAAGAATGAGGAAGGACAGAAAGAGAAGACAGACCCTTTTTTCCCGCAGTAAATAAATAGGGGTAATAATCGATGGTAACATGCTGAGAAGACACATTACCTATTTCCGCTACACTGATGTATGAAACACTAATTTCATAAATGGACGGGGACATAATATCTGATGGCCATTCAATGTTCTGAATCCAAATAAAAACAGATTGGCATACAGTGAAAAAACAGGTGTCACTGTGACAGAACTACTAAATATATAGTCAGCTGAAATACCGGCAAAAAGAAAAAAACGTTAGTGAAGCTACAACGTCAAAGATTTGAAAGGCATAAGAGGGAAACCATTAAATTCAAGAATCTTCAGAAATAACTGGGAGGTAAGAAAAGGAGGTCCAATGAAAATGAGGATCTTTCTTTTTAGCATGTGAACAACTCAACTTACTGACTAACTTTGTTGCTCTTCATCATATCATGAAATGAATTGGACATAAAACTTTCTGCTGAGGGTCTGAGTTTTTTCAACATCAGCACAGGCCAAATATCCACAGGATTAAAGCAGACTGTATGTGTTGAAGATGTTTGTATCCTGGGGGAACATTTCATTCATGAACATTCAAACTATGAGTCTGAGCTTGAACAGAAGGAAAGGACAGAGCGGAAACCCTGAGGCTGTTCTAACACAACACCAGAGAAGGACATGTTTTAGCAAAAGCACTAACAAGCTGGGTACACAACAAGTGATGGACAAGTGCTGCAGCTCAGGAGCCTCCACAGGACAAAAAAAACACCATAAAACTTAACAGAGCTGTTCCTCCCACAACTTACAAACAAGACCTGTCCTGCAGGTTGTTGTAACAGGCAATGGATGTGGTAGAATGTCTGAGACGTTTGTTACCTAACCACAGTATATAGACTAGAAAAGCTCCAGACCTCCTTACCCCAGAGGCTGAGCAGGCCCACTCACACAAATTACTGATGGGTCACTCTTAACACTTCAAGTTTGAACATTTGAATGAAGAAAATGCCAAATGTTACTGCGTCAGAGGGACTTTCTTTTTCTTTTATATGTACAGCACTAAACACACTCTGACATAACAGACAGAACTCCTTACTGCTCTCCCTGCTTTTATCTAATGAGCTTAATGGATCATAGCATCTACATAGGAGGCACACATGTATGGCCATCTGTCAGCGTACAAGCCCACACAAAGACAACCCCCACCCCACCCCACCCCACACACACACACACACACACACACACACACACACACACACACACACACACACACACACACACACACACACACACACACACACACACACACACACACGTGTGCAGAGAAATAATGGAGGACATGTAGTGGTATTGTAGTGCTGACAGGAAGCGAGGGGAGAGGTGTGAAAGGCGCTAACGGAAAATAGCAGTGCTCCAAGTGTTGAGTGTGTGTGTTTAGATCCAATAAAGACAGATAAAGGTGAATGTGAAACCAGGTTAAGAGGAACAAGTGTGAACTAGAAACCATGACTGGGAGTTTTCCAGCTGTCAGTCTCTCTTTCATTTGCTTTTTCTCAGCACGTAGCTGCACACTGGCCTTCTCTCATGGCTGCAGGGAGAAGAGGAGCTCTTCCTCTCAGTTCAAGTTTGTCAGCTCGCTCTAGGAAGTGTGCATGTGTTTTTACATGTTTCCTCTCTTGAAAGTTCAGGGAGGTTCACTCATATTTTATGAAGGCATAAGATGAAACAAGCATGTCACTGATAAATGGATGAGTTAGCAATTTTCATAGCTGAATAACTAGATTTATTTCATTCAGTGATTTCATTTCAAATACAGTATCATGTTGACGCGGGAAGAACATTTCACTATATGATTCTGTTGATGAGCAAAATACGTCTCTGTATTATTACATTATTATTATTATGGGGAGTGCTCAGTGCTATGAAACAGATAATATCATCAAATCAAAAAAAAGAGCGATGGAGACAGAGACTAAAACTTACTCGACTATGGCCTCTCGGTCAGCAATGTCTCCGAGTACCATGCGCTGGATGATGCTGTTGTGTTCCTCCTCTGATAGATTCTTGTGGGACACCAGGGGAGTGTTGTACTTGGTGGCTGGGGACGGGTCAACTCCTTGCAGCCAGGCATGGGTCTCAATCTCTTCTAGGGAGGCCCGTCGCTTGGGATCCCTCTGAAGCATTCGATCTATCAGACTGAGACAACACACAATTGATTTCAATGAAACTCAATGACTATCTCTCACTTGTTAAAAAAGTTTCTCAGGTGAGAGTGTCCGAACATGTGCTCACTCGACATTTATCCTGCTCTTTCTTCCATGAGAGCTGTACATGCATTTGGCAAACAAGTGATAAAGGTAAAGATAACCTTTTCAATTTTTTTTTTGATCCACATAACAATAGATATAACACATGACGTGTACACATCTTCACTCCTTTACACCACTGCTCCTCCACCAGCGCTGAATTGTCCCTTTAGCTTCTTCCAATGTTAGAGTCTGAATATTTCCTTGGGTGCAAAACAGATGAACACTTTTTTGTTCAATGTCAATCAAACGAAGCAGCTGTGCAAAATTAGAGGTCTTGAAGTCGCTTCACTCGACATTTTCAGAGGTTCCTTTTGAATAACACACAGTACAACCGATTCAACATCTCTGAATACCTGCTGCTGCACAGACAGTTAGTAAAGCATCAGGACTTCACAAATTAGAAAGATCAGAGGTGGCCTGAGCAACACAAGAGATTGTTTAACCTGTACTGCAATACTGAGTACATGTACCAAAGTTCAAATCAATCATGACAGTGAAAGGGCAGACACATCCTTCTGGATTTCATGAAACCCTAAATGTTGTTGGATGTAAATGTTCCAGATTTTTTTTTGAAAATGATAAAAGTTAACCAGATTCAATAACTGATCTGATGTATGGGCCCATGTGATGTAGAGAATCTGACTGTAGTCTATAGAGTCTATAGAGAGAGTAAGTATTGTACTGTTATTCTAATTCAATGAGTTTGACTCAGTGACATATCTTTAACTGTTCATCATGTGATTGTTCTATAAATGGCAAACAGGTGCTCTTTGGACATATCTGTGTGGACAAACTGGATGTTTTGTTTTAGACTCCTGTTAACTTCCTTCCACACAGTCATCAAGAGATGTGCCTTTCTTATATCCAGTGAGAGTAGCCTGGTGCCCCTCAGAGCATCTGTCTCTCCTGTGGGGCTGCTGACAGTGCTGTTCCCAAAGTCAATCACAGTGGATGGAAACAAAACATTTCGTCATGTCATATAAAGTGACTGACCACTGTGTGGTTCAGAAGTGATTCTGCTGAATGTCATGATGGTCCTTGTCTGAACAGAGAACATGTGTGGTCTCTCTCTGTCTTTCTTATGCCTGCCTTTGTTTTCTTCATGGTCAGTTTGTTTACATGCACTGTTAAGTGGATCTTAAGTGCTCATACTTCTAATTTCACTTCTGTCCTTGTCCCAGTTCATAAGCACCAGGCAAGAATGGAATTATTGACAGAAGCTCATCCACCTCTGCTTCAGTAGGTGGCCACAACCCCCCTCAGCTCATTACTACTTGGTCGACCTGCTCAACATTATCATAAATACAAAACTAGGGCTGAAACGATTACTCGAGTAACTTGAGTAACTCGATTAATAAAATTCCTCGAGGCAAATTATATGCCTCGAGGAATCGTTTAAATCCGGAACCATGTGCAGCGCACGGTGTTTGACACGGACGGTTATTTCTGTTGCGCAGAAGCGTGCTCTTTCCGCTCCTTCCGCTGCCGCGCGTTTGGTTCAATCATGGAGGGAAACGAGGACAGACAGAAGCTGCATACTGCCTGCTATCTACTTACCTACTCAAGCAGTAGCTACTGCCTACTGACTACTCAAAGATGATTTGAGTATGCCGCGGCTGCCCGAGCGTTTACACACATACATACTAAATACCCCAGAATGCATTTCGTGCCGGCCGGACGCAGCGCCGGGAAAATTTAAATAGTCCTACCACAAGCTACACAGAACGACTGCATCCCGGACAAATTATATAAATTCATTCAATAATAATATTTTTTCTAGCGAGAAAGTAAGTGTTTACATCACGATTATGAGCCCAGTTGTTTGAAATAGTGGCTGTTTGTAAATTTGTCTAGGCGTTATCGGAGACCGAAGCGTCCACTTGGTCGGTGTTTGCGTCTATTTACCGTAAACACCGGGCAGCAGCAGCTCCCCCTTCACGTTTCCAAATTATTGCGAAGTGTTTTCATAATCAACATCTACACGACACAAACCGGGCGGCAGTGGATGAAAAAAATCACACAAACATCCGTGTATCCATGGTGATAATGCTATACACCACCTGCTAGGCGTGTGATGAGCAGCAGAGGGCTGCAAAATGACCAACACACAACAACATGTAAATAAAAATGTAACACTTTTATATATTGAATAAATGTACATTTGCTTGTCAAATTATGTTAGTATCCAAGAATTATATTATTTCAGCCTATTAATTAAACAAGTAAAATTAGATCCAAAGCCTGGAAATAGTTGTGACTGGTTTAGTGAAAACTGCAAAGATCATTACCATAGCAATTAAAAGAACATCTGCAGACCTTGCCTTCAGTAGTTTCATGTGAACTACGTGGTAAAATTTAAAACTTTTGGTTCCTGATTTATGCAGTAAAAATATTCATTTGAAAGACCTGGCCTATTTCAGTTTTGTGTGTTACTGATGGTTTTTAATGAGGCAAACGTGATTCAATGCAAAGTATTACAGTGAGAGCAAAACATTTCTTATCCGATTACTCGATTAATCGACAGATTAATCGATAGAGTACTCGATTACTAAAATAATCGATAGCTGCAGCCCTATACAAAACACATTAGCAAGAGGCTAAAAGGATGTCCCTTTTACAGTTCTGTACTGTTTGTTTGTACAAAAGGAAAGTATCTTTTTCTTTTTGTATCTTTGTCGGTTGAGGTAGTCTTTACTGCAATGCTTTGTGCTGTGCAACTTCCAGCTCAAAATTTGGTGTGCAAACACTTGAGCGGACTCAGAACATTCAGACCAGTTTGAGTTTGAGTTTGATTGAGCCAAATGCGTGACAGAGAAAATCAATCCCCAACCTCACTGTGTCAGTCCGACTATGAGAAGTTCAATGTCGTGCGATTTCTGTTAGACTTAGTTTTATAAATCCAGTTTCAGTCAGACCAAATCCACAATAAATCGATTTTTTAGCATAGAAGCGGAAATGATTAAATAAACCAAGAAAAACAATGGAGGAAGAAAGAGACAGCAGCTTAAACGTCCTGTGACAGATCCACTTTCTGATGCGTTTAAGCTTTTCACTGAGCTTGGACTGCGGTGTGTGTGTGTGTGTGACAAATATTGATGATGCTGTGTTAAGTATGACAGACTGCATGATAAACTTAAAAGGGAAAATGCCCTGTGAGAAATGACTGAGGATAGATGGCTCAAAAAATCAAATCAAATGACTGTTTCTATATTAAGACACTTGCCTGTTCACAAAAAGTTCAATCATCAAGGCTGGTTCTGTCTTTGTGGAATTCAAGGATCCACAATACTAATGAGCAGGCTATATTAAAAAGCCTTCCTTCACTTTTTATGATTATGAGCTACACCAAATAACCCTCATCCATTAACATGTACACACATAAAAACTGAAGTGAGAAACCAAGTCAGTACATTTAGTGTTGGCTCTTCAAGATCCATTTTTTCCAATCCAATCCCCTGGTGTGTTTGTGCTAAGTGTGAGCAGACTAAGGTATGACTGTTACAGACTAACAGGCTGGGCAGAACGCTGCTCTGCAGAGTGACAGTCATGCTGGGGATTAGTCAGAGCAAGCCTGACTCCCTGAGGACCACAACCAGCAGCAGGAGCAGTGCAGAGAAGCTGGAGGCAGCAGCATGGAAGGCCTGCATAATGATGGCACACTCAGAACAAACAGGTTTGTTGGTTCAATAACCACGCAGACTCTATCACAGATTTCAATCTATCAGAGACAAAGACTGCATTCACACGGACTTGAGAATCCCTCATGTGATTGTAGGGCTGCTCAACTCTGACAAAACTCAAACTCACCATTTTTTTGGACTGATATTATGTCACAATTAATAAAAATGATTATCCATGATTTGACATCTGCATCAAGTGCTTTTATGCAATTTCAAACTTAGCAAGTGCTTAATTCTTTAAAAGGCACAAAGGCCCTCATTTTTAGATGAATATACAGCAGAAAACTGTCTGTACGACCATTTCCACTCAAGGATCGGCATTTATCAATTCGGACATGAGCATACAATACAATCAAATCTCACGACAAGTCTCACATCGTGAACGCAAGTTTAAGTGCAGATTTGCAGTGCAGCAAATGTGTGTCTCAAAATAATTAGTAAACAAACCTCAACCTGTTATTAAGTACAAGCAGACAGATTTTACTAAAAGGTTAAGAAGTAAATAAAATAAAATTAATTCGATATGCCTTTATAGTGAATAGGCCTATTTAATAACCCCGCCGGCAAACACTGCCACGTTGCCGGAGCCGTTTAAACACATGCACACGCACCTCTGTGAAGCGCATATTTTGACTCCTAAAATACATTTGATCACAGGCTACAGATCAAACTAATCATTCAGACGTTTCCATGTGTTAACCTCCTTCATAACAGTAAGACATGTACATATTTGTTCATAATTTAGAGAGATGCCTCTTGCTTTTAGCCCAGCAGTTTTTAGCCTATCAGCACCATAAACTGTATATGGAATGGACGCCATTTGCCTTCTCGCTGGGTGAAGCCACCGCAAGAACTGCACCCTCCGGTGATAGGCTGCAGTATAGGTTATAAATCCCGCCTCCTCAAGCCATCTCTATGGAGCTGTGGACAAACTTTAGAAATTTATTACACAGAATATAAATTTTTCTCCCCCCTGGTTGGGATGTTGACATATAGTTATTGAAAGACTGGTTTGTTAAGTCCTCTTTTTTCTGTGCAGCTCCATTTTTAAAAGTTAATAGGGGGTTCATGTTTTCTATGATTGACACCTGATACAGCCTGGGAGAACGAAGATTGCATAGCTCAACCGGGGGACACGCTGTTTGAGCCGAGCGTCATCACAGCAACTCTCAGCAAATGCAAAAACCCCTCTCCCTACTCTCCTCTCTTCTCCCCGCTCTCTTCTCTCCACCTCCTGCTCCTCTCCCTTATCTCCCATCCTCCTCTCTTTCCCTCCTCTCCCTGATTTTGTCTCTCCTCCTCCTCTCCCTGCTCTCCTCTCCTTCTCCTCCAGCTCCTCTCTCTGCTCTCCTCTCGTTCTCCACCAGCTCCTCTCCCTGCTCTCCTCTCCTTCTCCTCCAGCTCCTCTCCCTGCTCTCCTCTCCTTCTCCACCAGCTCCTCTCCCTGCTCACATCTCTCCTCTCTTTTCCTGTTGCTTCCTCATAGTTTGTTCTGCTTTTGAACCAAGTGTTGAGCATAAGTAAATTCCACTTCAACCGAAATTTGTTTCTCGTTGATCTGAGCTGATGATGATGAAGATAAAGTTAGAGCTGTTTGAGGGGAAGGGCTATGCCCAAGCTTCAGAGGAGAGCAACACAATGATGTTTCTAGCTCTTGAAATAGTGTCTTAAATGCACAGTTTAAACTGTGTTAATAGCAACAGTTAAAAGTGCAGCCTGAAAATCAAAATTGAAAATGATCTTATTCAGCTGCAACTCATCAGACACAGGATGCTGAGCAGAGGATGTGGCGTTCAATGTGGCATTCGCCGCCCCAGCAGCACAATCTTTGAAACTTGAACGAAGAAGCCAGACAGAACAAATACACTGATCAGCTGCATCCCTAACCATGGTCATTTTAATGAATGTGTGTGTGCACTGGTAAGTGGACTAACATCTTCAGGCTACAACCCCTTGGTGAGGAAAAAACCTTCAGTTGAGGCAGTTCTCGTACACAAAGTGCAACACACTATTAGCGCCTCCGAAGTGATCCGACAGCCCACTGATGGTACAGCATGAACACAAAGGGATGGCCTCTTCAGCTCCCACTCTATGTGGTAATCTGACAAACACTTGCTTCTCTACAAATAGCTGTCCATTGTCCTTTCCCTCTCTCACTTGTCCTCTGGGGATCAATAAAGAGAGGCTGTACAGTACAGGCTCACAAGAGTCCACACACACTCAACACAGTGTGTCCTCCTGTGTGAGGAATCCCACCAACACCAAAGCAGGCACAGCTCTTTTCTGAGTTCAAGTGGTAAAAATCAGTCGGGGATGAACTGACTGCATCTCATTTCTGAAACCTCAGTGTCAGTAATGTGTTTAACGCAAATACAGACCAGAAGGTTACATGTTTGGTCTTTGTGATAATAGGAATGACAGAAAATGAAGAAACATGCTGTTCTGGAGGGATAAACTGAATCTTTCTGGTCATTGTGTTATTAAGACGTCCACTGGAATCATCAGACTGGCACTATTTTTAGGGACACACTAGTCTCTGTTTTTGGGCCCCAATACTTATACTGATACCTGGGTTTTGGTATCGATACTGATAATAAATCGATCCAATATGAGCATGGAGTTAACAACCTATTTTCCTTTACATCAGGGAATATCTGGCTTTTCTAACTTTATCGCCCAGAATGACACAAATAAACATATTCTGACTGACTGTGTCATAGTTTTTAATTACACTAACATTTTAATCAAAGAAATATTTTCTCTTCTTAACCAAATTTAATTAATCAATCAGACAATGGCATCAAAGTTGCACTGGTGTTTAGCTCTGAGGTGTTTTTACTCTTTTAACACTTCAGCTTGTGTAATACCTGGATCCCTTCCCTCACTTGGATTATCAAGTTTAGACTCTCCCACAATGCTTTGCTGCTGTGCTGTCCCTGCTGATCTACTGAGGTAATATGGAGGGGTGGCTCTTACTACAAGTCTAACACGTTATGTGTGGCCACTGTGGTAATGATTATTATCTTTGAATGATTATTTTCATGGGGTGGGGTGGAGGAAGTGGGCCCGGTCTCTAATGTCCTTAAGCCTGAGAAACACCCCTCGACAGGGGCTGAACAGACAGTATCTGGCCATACCTGATACCAGGATTGGATTGGTTGGATTGGTTTAAAAAAACACTGTGATATTTGTTTTTTGTCATGTCGCCCAGCCCTGGGCCTGGCTACGGCTCAGAAGTGGATTGGGTCTTCTCCAACCAAAAGGTCTCCTTTTGAAGTTGATCAGTAATCTTGCATGGTGCTCCGTTAGTGTGTACTGCGTACGTGTGACATGAAGTTTCAAGGTGCCTGGACTGGCAGGTGGACTGGAGGGGTAATGTACAAGTCCCCTCACCATAGTCTATTATCTTGCTACTTAAAGTTGTGGCCTGACTGTTTCCTTTTTTCCTAACTGACAAATATTTTCTGATCACAGCTTCAACCCAAAAACTTTGGAGATGCTCTGGATCTATTGCGTGTGTTCCAGCAACATTTCTGGCTCCTGTTTTGAGGTCCAGTCATTTCACCCCTTTGTAGTGTATGACCACCCCCTGAACATAGAACTTTGATAGGGTTTACCCTGCCTGGGTCTTGTTAAAGTATTTCCCTGATTGGCAATGTAAAGAGAACTTGGTAAGCTCCACACATCCTTCTCTGGAGAAGTCATGCAGCAGATGCTGGTTGTAAACTCTAAACTGTGAAATGGGTGGATGGCGCACGAGTCTCTGTTGTGGTAAAAACATAAGCTTGGGACACAGCATGTGACAAATGGCTCTTCTGCTCTGAGGCACTGCTCATCAGCATTGCTCACAGCTGCTTCAGCCTAACACTTCAATCTAGTCAGATCCCTCCTTCGACTCAGAGGAGATAAGCGTTTATTTCCTGTGTCTAAAAATACACTGATGTGCAGTCAAAGTGGAAACAAAGTCTTGGCCCTCACATCATGGTGAGCACCATGGCTCTGGTTCTTTTACTTTGCACACAGATCCCAACCACTGTGTTTCGGAAGATTCTAAAAAACATGAGAGTTTAGGCATACCTCGCTGGATCCCCATGGATGTATCACTTAACCAGCATGATCAGGCAAACATTTACCTGAAGAAAAAAAGGAGCCAGGGAAACAGACTGGGAAAAAATATTTTCCACATGTATTCCAGCCAAAAAAATTCTACATTGCATCATGACTTACATTTTGACAAAATAAATTAATACAAAATTAAAAGCATCAATTTACAAACACACAAGCAATTATGCAAGTACTGATTTGTGTGTTTTACTGCTAAACCTGTTATTGCAAAACGTATCTTCATGTTGGACTTTAATTGGACTGTCCTACTCTGCAGCTGAGCTGCTCAAACTGCTTGAGGGGCTTTAGTCTGTCACTGGACCAAACTGGTCTGCAGGGCCTGGAATAAATTAGGGAGGCTGCTGCTGTGAGCCTGTCTCTGCACAACATGGATAATTCAGAAATGGAATGAAGCTACAGCTAAATACATGCTTAGTGTATATATATATATATATATATATATATATATATATATATACACATATATAAAATAATATAAATATAAAAATGTGTGTGTGTGTACCATGCATATTTCATACAGAAAGTTTTTCAGTTCAACAATAGCCATCTGGTACATTATGTTAGAGACCCACTTTGTTAAAAATCTGTTTGTTTTTTTTTTGTTGTCTACATGTTTATATGGCATTTTTCTGATTTTATATCATGAGAAAATAAAAAAAATAATAATTTGAGTATTTCTGTATTCAAACCCACCCAAATGGCAAGTACAACCACAATGGGATTTTCTACTCCACAAATCTATGCACCACCTCCGCGCCCCGCTCTGCAGGTCAGACCCTGAGAAGTAGAGAGGTGATGGCGGGACAAGTGAGCGGATTGCAATGCTTATTAGAAAGCGAACTGTGATATTAGCTTCCATCATGCCCCCAAAGACATTAGTGTCTGAGAGCTGAATAGCTCCTATGTCAGCTGCTACTTCTGCTGCAATGGCACTGTTAAGAGCAAGCTAGCATGAAGAGGAGGGTTGGGTATCGAAATTCGGTTCCATGTAGGGATCAAATTGAATTTAGTGAGTACCGGGTTCCCCTAAAAAAAGTAATAGTTTCGGTTCTGCTTATCAGTTCCCGGATGCGCTCATTTACAGAGCGGCTGCTTACAGATTTAGATGTCTGCCAGGACCTGTCAGTTATATGTCTGTCCACTATGTCATGCGACGCTGCACGTTGTTAACACAGCAGTCAAAGGAGCTAGCAGCAGGAGCTAGCGGCGGCAGCGCTAGTGATGGAAGATGGACCAAGGAAAGCAGTCAAAGGTGTGGCTTCATTTCGTAAGAAGGAGCAGTGATGAACAGGAAAAATGCAAAAGACATGAGTTAATAAGCTGCAAGACAGGCTGCACTTCCAACCTCATGAAACATTTAAGACTGCACGGCATTGAAATTCAGGACTGTGCAGTGTTTATTTCTTGCGCCGTGAGACATCGAGCCCCAGTGCAATCACCCCCCGCAGCTGCCCCAACAGAGCCCCCCACTGAGAGAGTAACCCTGTAAATAGTAGATAACTTTTAGAGACATGTCAAGTGAGACAACAGACAATTGAATTTGCCTTTGGGGATTAATAAAGTTCTTCTGTTCACTTCGGTGAAAAGGGACAAAACGACAGAAGAGAAACATTAGAAGCATTTTATCAGAATCATCTCTGACTGAATGCACTTTAGCTTCCAATTTTTCACCTGTTTGGAACTGAAATAAGTAATCATTAGGAATTGGATTCAATAAGCTAAGCAGGAATCGGATTCAGATAAATCCTAATGACACCCATCCCTTGTGAAGAGGAGTGTATAGAGCAGCGCTGTCTCCGCCCAAGACTCAGAGGCGAATTGATAATGAGCTACTGGAGCTTTTATACCTGTCTGCTGTTCAAACATGACACGGCTTTGCTCAAAGTATGATGTGCCTTTATAGAACCCATCAGACTCAATAAGCTCAGATATGATTGATTTCCAGGTTGAGAACATTTCTAAACCGAGTATTTAATGGACACAGTTGTTGATCCCCCTTCCTTGTCCACAGTCACTGCATTTTAGAGCACTTTATACTTCCATCTGTTGACAAGCTTTATGGCAATTTCCTTTTCCAGCAGGGCCTATTGACTGCCTTCATGTTGTGCCACACTCATGCAGTAATTTGTTGTCAAAAGTTGCAGACAAGTGTTGCATTTAAAAATGGTGTCATGAATTCTGAGATACTAAATTTCTGGTTTTCTGAACTCTGGGCCAAATTCACATAAATCTAAACAGAAAACACGACATTCCACTGTGTGAGAAAAGAATATGAAATATATGAAGCTGCTTTTAAGCTTGTTTGATTGTGTTTTTCACTCTGTTCTATGATGCTGAGATGGATCTTTTACTGAGCAGTGGATGCATAGCATTGAGTGGCAGTAGGACAAATCTGGTAAAGTGTTGCCTAGTTACCCTGATAGTGTAGTTGGAGTTGGATGTGATTGGCTGTTTGCCAAAGCACATATACATTATGTAAAAGGGAGGAAACTGGAAAACTGAACCAACCAATACATATGGGACATGGTGGACCGGGAAGCAGAAAGAAAAAGTCTAGGACTGGAAGCAAACAACAAAGGAACTGCGAGGGAAACCAGATGACACACACAATAATCTGATCCTGTATTGTTCCTTCTTCTCCAGTCCACTACATTTCTTTGAGTGTCTCTAATTTGTTTCCTACAGAATCCATCGACAACAGAGCAGAGAAAGCAGTTCAGCAGTCCTTTGATTGAGCTCTGTGCATGTATTACTCACTCTTTGCAGGCGCTGGAGACGTGGGCTGGTACAGTGTATTTACAGTCCATGATCATGGTGAGGGTCTCGCTGTCGTTAGCCTCCTGAAAGGGTGGCTGGCCACATACCAACATGAACAGGATCACACCGAGACTCCAGATATCTGAGACAAAGGAAACAAAGCACTCAAAATTCATGTGTACTGCCATGAATTAACCTTTAAATGACAGAGTACATGACTGAACCATATTGAAAAACTACAGATATGGCTAGTCAGTCAACAGATAACATGAATTAGTGTGATTCAATAAAAAAAAAAAAAACATAGAAGTTAACACAAAAGTTAAGTGACTGTACTCTCAGACCCAGATTTGTCCATAGATTATATCATCTGTGAGAGCATGTAATCCTGAGGCAACGGTCGATGCTGTGGAGAACTTAGAGCTAACTGACAGCTGATCCTTCTGTGTAGATATTATCACTAATTGCTGTCAGTCTATATCATGCCTGAGCAGGAATTTTCTCATTTTCTAAATGTGATTTTCTTCACGGCTTCTTCCCTGTTATGTTTTTCTTTCATCTAAAGAAAGCATGACACGGATGGAAAAGATGCCATGAATGAAAGCTAGGACAATTGAGGGGAGTAGGATGTGCGTGCAGAGTTGTTTTATCAACAGTACAAAGAGTAATGGGAGTGTCCTGGAGTAACACTAAGTTCCTTCCTGTCATCTTTCCTTCCTAATTTCCCTCTCCCATGGCATGTCAACCAACAATAGCTTCATAAAGGTGCATTTCAACAATATTTGAATATCATGAAAAAGTTTCATCTTCCATTTTTTTTTAATTAAAGTTTCATGTTTTCTAAACTCACTGGATATCAAATCAATTGTTTTCTCATGTTTGTTTGATTTTGATGATTTTGACTCAGGCTTTTAAAAATCACAAATCCACTATATCAAAATGATTTGAGTGTTTCCTTAGGTCAATCAAAATCAGCGTTTAAAATACATAATGTTCATCAACTTCTAAGACATCTGATCATTCATACACTAAATGTTTGATTGGGAATCACTGTCTTCAGCTGATGGAAAATGTAAAACTTTTTCATGCACCAGTACAAAGAAGGGGTCAAGTATTTCTGATTTCAGCCTGTTTAGCCATGAATGATTACAGCCCATTCTCACCGATACCCAACTCAGTGCTGAAGTCAGAAAGACATGCATGAGCTGTGTTTCATACCACACACACACAGTGACACAAACACTATTGCAACAGTCACAGACATGCTGTTCATGTGAGGTACACACCAGCAGAGGCTAGAGCAGAGGAGAAATAAAGCCCATTTGAATTAGTTTGTCAAGTAATGAAAATGTGATGTGCTGATCCACTCAAACACTCTGAACCTGTGGGGTTCATAGAGACAGCTGATACTCTGTGTGTCACTGTGAACACAGACTTCGGACTGCATGATACTTTCTGCGCTTCAGTTATAGCCCAGTGAGCAGTTTTCCCTTGAAAACCTCTTCAACATGACTTTTCCACAGACCATTTATTTATGATGTAACATCTCTGTCAACATGTTTCTACAACATTCTACTGGGAAATTTATTTCTGTCATATGACTCTTCACACATTCACACAACTATCGACAGTTTCTTCCGAGACACATTGTATGTTGGCTTAAATGATCCTGAAGGTGAAGAGTGAATCAGTCAAGCACACAGGCTGAATACAGGTCAGCTGCTCTGGAGGCTAGTACAAATCCATCAGCCACCAGAGCCTTTTAGCAACTGGCCATCCATTAGGCCTCAATCACTGAGCGAATTTCAACCGTCATTTCTAACAAGCTCTTTGGTTTGAATGAATTCTATACTAGCAAAATTCTCCTCTGAGTGTTTTAGCTGCTATCTTGGCAAAAAAAAGATGTCTGATCTCGGCAGGACTAACCTGGTTACATAAAGGTTAAAAAATGAAATCAAAATTCCTCAAAAATGTGAACCATAGAAAAGCTGTTGAGTTTGAATTACAAACCCTTTTTTTTTCTTAAAAGGGATATTCCAGCTAGAATTTATTAATTTAGGGTCAAACACACCATAACACTGAGTTAGACATCCCCTCTAGAGATGAATGCTGCCGACTGCTTGCTTCTCTAGTTATACCAACTTTAGTAACAACCGCAGGATAGCAATAGTGGTCTAAGGAGCCACACACAAACCTCAACCAAAACGCCACTCTATAGCCACAAATAATGCTCAGAACAGCATTATTTGCATTTCTGAGCATTGTTTGTGGCTATGGAGTGGCTTTTTGGTCGAGGTTTGCTTGTGGAGACATAGGCCGCTGTGTATTGCTATCGCACGGCCGTTACTAAAGTTGGTATAACTAGAGAAGCAAGCAGTCGGCAACATTCATCTCCAGAGGGGATGTCTAACTCGGTGTTAAGGTGTGTTTGACCCTATAAATTAATTTTACGCCAGAATATCCCTTTAAGACTAGCCTCATGAAGAACATGCCTCAGAGAAAAAACGGTGTCAAAAGCTAGAGTTGCTTTAATGCTAGAGCAGACTTATTTACTCACTTCTTTACAAAACATGATTTGCAGTCCTAGTGTCTCAAAAGTGACGTGAGCGTCTGCATTTGGTTTCAAATACTAAACAGTAATACGAATGAACCATGTCAAAAACATTTAGGTTTATGAAACAATACATCTGTGATGTAATGGTTTACAAGGTTTCAATTTGTGGTCTCACTTATTTAACACACAAGACACATATTGTATGTCCAGATGCATTAGACTTGAAATTTCTGTCAGGGTCACTGGCACCTGAACCTCCCGGAGGATAAACCATGTGGCCTGAAAAGATCCAGTGTGACACACGCAGCACATTACAGTTAGCTTTGTTATTAGCCATCTCTCTTTGTAACACACACACACACATAAGGACATATGCTGGAGGACATTCCCTAAAATCATACTTGAGTATTTCCTCTATAGAAGACTGGATACATGTGCTAACTTACTAACATCATCAGCTGAGAAGCAGAGCCAAGTGACTCTGGCTGGAGGGAAAAAGACATGACAGCAGCTCCAGTCAAATGTTGGCAGCCCTGAAGTAATTACCATGATGAAGATTTTTAAGGAACTTTCTAATTAAGCTCTAAAGTTCAGATGGCCTCAGTACTTAATGCGTTGGCAGAACGAAGCCCTGATGATGGGCAAGAAAAAAATGGCAGGTAGTCAAAGATCCTATGAAAACCTTTGTACTGAGATGGGGAGGGTGGAAAAAGACTTTCATGTGATTCTGAAATGCTTGTAGCCACAGGCAAGGCCTCAAGTTAGCTATCAGGTACATTGTAAATTAAGCTAGTCCTATATTTAGTATCAACATTGAAGAAATAAGTCTTAGGCTTAGCACTGCTGTGTTAAATTAGAGCAGAATGGGGAGCAGGGGCTGGATTGAACATAGTGGTTGATCAGAACTGATTTGAGGTCACTGAATTAACAGTTTCTTCATTTAAAAACCAACTTTGTGTAATAAAATATCAGAAAATATCCGGAGAGCAGGAAAAAGCATCCCCACAAATTAAAAACAGATGATCAGGAGAGAGATTGGCTCATATTATGAATTTAAAAAAAAAACACATCTGCCAGTCCATGAATCGACATTACAACACAGCTAACATTCCATAGCCATAAACGCAGAGACTGTTGATGTTTTTAAGAAGAGGCTCAAGACTCACTTTTTTAACCAGGCTTTTTACTAATTGCCTTTTTATATTTCTCTTATTGCAAATGTTCATTTTAATCGAAGTTCTTACTGTTTATTTTATTAATTACCTCTGTTCTTAGTCTTTTTCTTAATTCCTGTCACAGGGTTTTACTTCTTTTACCCATTTTTTATATGGTAAAGAGCTTTTACTTATCTGTTCATTTAATATTATTTTTTTGTTTTAGTCCATCAGGTTTGAGTCTTTTTTTCACCATTTTTATTTCTATTTTTATCTCCAATGTTTCCCAGAGGTAGCTCTTTCCTCAAGTAATGTCTCTGTGTCACGCCATAAATCTTAAATTCTCACACTGTGAGCGGTTGTGTGTGTGTGAGTGGGAGGGTCGGGTTTTATTGTCGTTATTGTAGTTTTTTGCCCCTGTGAGGCACTTTGAATTGCATTTTTTGTATGAAAAGTGCCATATAAATAAAGTTGAATTTGAATAAAAAGTTATCACTATTGCTGCTCAAGCACACTGTTTCTATGACAATACAAGGCTCAGCTCAATCTGTGATCATCTCTGCCACCAGGGTCAAGGTCCCTGCTCCATCAGGCCTGGTACAGAAAAGCAGATGACTAACCCTGAGGCGTGTTTTAAACCAACTGCATTTTCTTAGATCCACTCAGCAGGAGTAAAATGACAAAGAGATATAAACAGTGAACACTAACTGTATGCATAAAAGAGAAGCTGATGCCATCTGTGCTCCACAGGTTTAGGTTGTCTTAGTTTTTACCAGCAAAGCAAAGGCTTTGTGGTCATTTAGAGGATCTTTTTGTTTTGTGTCTGACATCCAGATGGCATCTGTTCTGAGAGAAGGCTAAAGTGAAAGGCATTAGCAACTCTGAGCCAGAGCCAAAGCTTAGCAAACGGGTTGTTACAGGACCACAAAAGCAGATGACATTTGTCTGAAACGAAAGATGCATCAGCATTAATTCTTCGCATCTAACTCCCTTTCAAAACACACCGGCAGTTCTTTCACTTTTGTCTCTTGTATGTGGAGTTAATATCAGTCAAACACATCAGTCGCTTTCAGTGCAGGTGATGACATTGCTGATGAAAAGCAGGTCTGATAACAGCTTACAAATATTTTCTGGTGCATAGTCATCACCACATCTGTAAGAAAGTGGAAACTCAAGCCAACTTCACACCAGAATACTGATATCTCCTCTCTTTCATATGTGTTTGAACAAACATGAAGAAAGATTTCTCAGCATGACACTGCTGTACAATATCAAATCAAACCTGCAGTCTCACTGATGATGAACTTGAAGCCTCAAAGTTTGTGTAGGAGTGAATGTGTGTGAAACAGCAAATAACAAATGTATCTTTTTTTCCAATTGTTTGTCAACAGACTTTGCATCAAAAAATTTTTATATAAAGACAGTTATCAACAATGTTTTATTTCAGCTATTATTATGAGCAGCAGTTGCATTAACGTCAGCCCTGGTTGTAGAAACAGTATCATTTATTTTGTTTGATGTTTTTTTAGCTTGAACACGCCCACAGCTAAAAACCAGCGTGTTCCCACACAGACTGAAGCAGCTCTGCCAAATATAGAAAGCAAGTGTAAACAGGAAAAAACAGCAGAAAATGACACACAGTTTTCATTCGCTACATCAAACAGATGTGCAACTAAACAGCAGATCAAAATAGAGCCATGAGAACATTAGTATGAATCAGTGGGAGGGAAACCTTCACAACCAGCCAAGCTCAAACCAAAGCTAAATAGCAGCTCAGAGGAACTTCATTTTTAAACTTTCTATGACGTGTTACTTAACCAGCAAAGTCACTTTCATTAACTGGGATCTTTCTCTGAAGGTTCAATCTCAACTAGTCTACAGGCATTACAAGATAGATATAGATTTTAGAGTAGAAACTTTATAGCTGACCAATACAGCTATATTTCTCAACCGATTATTTCAAAAGATGATTATTAGTTGTGTAAAAAAATAAAATAAGATAAAAATCATAATAAAATAGACCTGAAGAGTCTGTGAGAGCTCTCACAGACTCTTCAGGTCTGCAAGCCTTCAAACTCACATTTTCTCATCTCATCAGACGCTACTGTCATTTGCAGGCAAAGTGAGTGGAGAGAGTGGTGTGGGTGAAGGCTGTGCTGAAGTGTGCTGAAGATCTCTTTCTGTCATATTCAGACCTGCTGCTGCTGCAGCTCCACCTGAACACCATGTGTAAGAGACAGCTTTCCTGCTATAAGACAGCAGGTTTACCTTAACAAGAGTATCACCCAATACACATACTGATGACTGATATATCAATGATATGAGTTTTATTAGCATACTGCTGTAAGACAAATATAACAACATATTTATCACTGTCATAAACTTATTGATAAAACAAGATACAATAGGTTTGCATGATCAATCATTTCTGTAACTTGCATGTTAACTTGTTGTTTTAATGAGTTCCTGTACTATCATCAATATCTGCCCCTTCTTAAGACATGTGTCTGCTATCTGTCTATTAAATATGCCACTTAAATCTGTTCAAATCAAAACTTGAAAAAACAAACTATATCAGATTCAACCAAAGGATGATGTAAGCTTTGCCAAAGTTCGAAAGTGTTACCAGCCTTGCCTGTTGAGATTTTAGGAGTATAACTTTTCTAAAACAACATTATGTAACTAACTACCCAACTGGAGGAAAAAAAAACATAAAGAGTGCAAGACAGGAGAAAGAAAACATGAGTGGGTGTGAGAGAGAAACTAAACTGAGACAGAACTTTTTAAGAGCATTTTCTAGCTACTTTCAATAACAGGCAGACAACACAGAGTGAAGAGAGGATGCAGGTGCAGACAGTCAAATGAGACCAACTACAGTAACATCTAGGGCTGCTCGATTAAAGCCAAAATCACAATCATAATTATTTTGAATGATACTGATATCATGATTATTAACAACAGATGATTTGACATCTGCGATTCAAGAATTATGCAACTTTAAAACTTTTTTTTAAACACTTCAAAGTGAGAGAACTTAGACTGTTTATCCTTTTTTGGTTTACTAAAGCATGTATTTCTTTCTGCCTAACTGGATGCTTTAACTGTTTGAAAGAGTCAAGAGATTTCCTGCATTACAGTCATGACATTAGTCTTCAAGAATTTACTTTAAAAAGGTTCCTCACCAAATCAACCAGTAATTTTCTATGCTCCCTTTATAATATTGGGGCTATTTTAGTGTATAGTAATAAAATCGGTCTGAAAGAGAACACAACACTTGATGATGATGATAAAGGAAGCTGAGTATAGTTACAGAGGGGGCAGAATAATGCCAGGCAGTGCAAGAGAGGGCACACATCAAAAACAAGAGTTTCTGTTTGAAGTGATTTCTTTTAGTCTGACTGTTGCAAAAGCAGACTGTCTCCTCCTGTGGAGTGTAGTTCCACAAGCTTTGCTGGTGACTGACTGCTCTCAGTCTGAAGAGCACTTTGCTTTCAGCTGGTCTGTCTGAAGCTTTATTCAGCACATCTTTCCTTTTAAAGAGGGTTTGGTGTGCTCAGTCAGTAATTTAAAGTTACCAAGGCTGTCTGGTACTTTTGAGCCTTAGAGGCCTTGAATGTTTTAGCAGACTTGAGGCCATTAAATGTTTAATTTTTCTTCTTAAATTCATAAACTTAAAAGATAAGATTCATACTATTGTTGAAATTACATCTTTCAGTTTCTTCAAACAAATGAGTAACTGAAAGTATGAGTGACTTAGAAATAGGATTTCATATAGCCAGGAGCATTATGTTCACTTTGACCACTATTACAGGGTTTCCCCTGCATATCCTTGATCGTGACACACTGCCACGGCAAACTAAAAGTTGCCACAACTTAAATATGATTTTTTTTTTTTACATGGCTCGACCTTGACTCAGTTTGTATCAGTATATGCGGCCCACCGTGGTGAGTATAAGCGAGTTGTCATTTGCGAATGTACAGCACACTATGTCATTCTGACCTTACAGAACCACCATAAAATATGGTGCAAGTAACGTTAGCTAGTGGCTAAATGCTATTCAAGCTATGAAACTGTTGTTTTTAACACACATTTGAGACCCCCAAATAACTGCAGCATGATACAGTAGTCACAATATAAACATGTTTCAAGTGGGCCTGTTATTTAGGATGCAGGGAGAGGTCCAGGTGCACAAGGGTGCTTGGCAAGGTTTGAAGTCTGATTGCCTTCCTTGCTTAACCCTGTTTTGAATAGGGATGTGCGCAGTTATTTGGATATTCGTGTAAACGGGGCTGTCCTTACTATCCGTTTAGTAAATAATGTTTGTTTATTCTACAAAAAAAAAATTTTAATTAAAAAGGGGGGAAAAAAGAAAAAAAGAAAAAAAAAAAAAAGCTTCTTTTAATTTTTTGGCATCGTGGGTTAACTTCCTCAGAGAGAATCAACACATGCGATCAGCCAGAGTGATGTCAGTGAGAAAAAAGAGCAAAGTTTGGGAGTATTTTGATTTAGATAAAGATAGCACACAAGTGTCATGCAGATTGTGTCTTATGGTGTGAGGCAGGCCGATGACGCAGCAGGCTGCTTGGCTTGAGCGCAGCAGAGCGGAGCTTAATTGCTTTGATCTTTCACGTACTTGATGTCATTCTCTAGCGCTAAAATAAGATTCTGTAACATATTTTAATATTATAAGCATGGCTTTCATGTACTCTTAATTTTTATTTCAGATGATATCTGGCCATATAGATTGACATGTGCTCAATTTGGGCTATTTTCTGGGAGTTAATTAATTTTCGTGTATTCGAATATTCGGTTTCAAAATGGTCGTTTAAACGTCAGTGAAATTAACTGCTGGGAACATCCCTAGTTTTGAAGCATCTTTTGCACACAGGTTTTGATATGTCAGTGGGCTGGCCATCAAAGGTAGCTCTGTAGGCAAAAAAACACACAAGACCCTGTTCATTAGCACCTCCCTGTTGTCAGTAGTAAACATGCTGAGGCAGGGGCATTGCTCTTCTCTCTCTCTTATTGAAAGCATAGGCTCACACCACAAATATGAACGACTGTCAGGGACATGTCTCCCATAGACAGTTTTTGCTGATACTGGAGTCTTGTAGTGATAAAGGAAGTATAAATTTCATCCTCACAGCGTTGAAGATGCTGCTTTTTCAGCCATTCAAATCACAGCCACACTGAACCATTCAAACCATTGGAAAAATTATACTGCAGTACCTTTCAGAAGTATCAATAGTATAGAATAGTGAACTACACTAAATGGCATTAGCTGACTAAAGGGCTAATGGTGGTGGACGGCTCCTCTCTCTTCACTGCAGGACAGAAAGATTCAGAAGATCTTTTGTACCAACAGCCATCCGACTGTTTCATATTTCTGTCAATAGTAGATGACATAAGACATGAGACCACAGACAACTGAACTTCCCTTCAGGGATCAATAAAGTTCTTCTACACTTAAGCAAATACAGCTAAAACACTGGCTGTAATTACGTCTCAGGTGACTGTAATGCTTCATATCACGTTTTTAACATGAGCAACATCTCATGTAACTAGTGGCTAGTCCAAGTAATCAGCTGAAATCTTAAGATTTGGCATTGATGAAAATGGCTGAAAAGTTAAACTGACAAAGGCAGACTATATCTGGCCTCCACATGTATGAGAGCAGGAACAACCAGGTGAAAGTCTGGAGTCAGGCTGGGCAATATGGCTCTAAAAGTAAAATCTCAGATTTTCACCAAAAAATTCAATCTAAGTTTTTTCCTCTACTTTTTAAAGAAAACAGTAAGTATAAATGACAGAGATAACTCAAAACAAGTTTCGCTTTTATTTTATCTAGAACTTAACAAAAGTTACCCTTATTTCCCTCCTGGAATAGAAGTGCCAGCTGTTCTTTTGTTTCAAAAATATACTTACAGTTTGAGAGGAGACAGACTTGTTTACATTCACATTGAAAGCTGCACCATTTTCATGAACAATAACAAGGAATTCTCTCAATATTGAATCTGAAGAAAAAATTATAGCAATGACATTTTCATGGTCTCTATCTTAAAACAATGCCACTATTTACAGGAATATATGGCATGAACATGCACTGCTTCTTACTCTGGGCAAAATTAAAAATTTTGCATTAAGTTCTCTTTCTAACAGATATAAATTGCACTCTGTAAAGAATTCTCAAAAAACTAAATAAAGAGCCTCCTTGGGAGGCAAAATTTATGTCTTGGATAAAATTCTTCTGTAAACTAAAAAGTAGCATAGCACATTTTAAGCAAATAAATAATAAATCAACTCCAATACTGAAATTAATAAAGTGTAAACCTAAAACTTCTGTTCAACTTTGTTTTAAAAGATAAACAGTGGCACTTGTATCCTTGAATATATGAACAAAACAAACATCGCATTTTGAGTGAGGTGCATGACATGAGATCTTTGCTTGTTGTTCTTAACTTTTATACATTTTTGGCAAAGAAAAGCAGCCTGTCCACTGCCTAATAATAATAATAATAATAATGCATCAGATTTCATATAGCGCTTTATCAGAGACCCTCAAAGCGCTTTACATTGGATACATCATTCATTCGCTCACACAGTCACACTTTGGTGGTGGTGGAAACGTGGCTGCCATTCTGCGCCTACGGCCTCTCCGACCACCACACAACACTCACAATCATACACCAGTGGAGGACACACACTGGGAGCAAGGTGGGTTAAGTGTCTTGCCCAAGGACACAACGGACAGACTTGGATTAGGGGGGAATCGAACTGCCAACCTTCCGGTCATTGGACGACCGCTCTACCTCCTGAGCTACTGCCGCCCCTGTCCACTGCCTCTGGCTTGAGGCATGCCATGCTGCAGGTAACAACACCTCCCCCCACACTGAAAGCCCTCTCAGATGGGGCACTTGTCACAGGGATTGAGAGGTACTTCTTGGCCAGGTTCCTAAGCCTTGAGAAGTTGGCTTCGTGGCTCCTCCACTACTGAAGTGGATCAGTGATCAGAGTCTGCCTCTGGCAATAGCAGATAGGTTGCTAGCTCATCTCCACTTTAACTGCCTCTGACTGGTCAGAGATTGGTGCATGATACCTCTTGAACATTTTTTTCCTCTTGGGATCTTGCTGAGGTCTTTTCTCTTCTTGGTCCAAGAAGAGGACCTGCACAACTGGATCAAGCTGTGGTGAGCTTTTGACAGTGGGGAAAGGCAGTAATTCATTGACAGCTCTTCTTTTGACTTGTTGCACCTTGTCTGGGTCAATATAGGTTGTCCGGAACCTTGGGTCCATCAGAGAAGACATGTCTAGGAGTTCATCCTTTACAGCGTCACTGTATTTTTCATCAAAGTATCCCAGCATGTTCTTTTTTATTGTTTTAGTGAGATATGTGTCATCCTCCTCAAGCAGCAAAAGACTGGTTTTGAACAAATGGATAACAGGTTTCATGTAGGAGAAACTGACATAAATTATATAATTTGCAACACAAAAAACATTACTATTGTGTAAAGAGTACCTTATCAGCAGACATTTTGACTATAATTATTAGGTATTTGAGTTATTGTTGCTTAGACTTTGCTTTCTTTAAAGTAACCTCCTTTAATGGCTTTAATAACAGCTTGGCATACACCTGGCAGTCGTTCTGCGAGTTTTTTAAGGTATGTTCCAGGGATTGCATTCCAAGCTTTCTTAAGTTCATTAAAAAGAGACTGCTGATTCGTGGGACACATTTTTCTGACCAATCGATCCAATTCATCCCGCAAAAGCTCAGTTGGAGAAAGGTCTGGAGACTGAGGGGGCCAAACCATCTTTTGAAGAACACCTTCCTCTTCTTTTTTGTCTAGGTAACCCTGACAGAGCTTGGCAGAGTGCTTAGGGTCATTGTCTTGCTGCAAAACAAACTTATGAGCCACAAGTCTGAGTCCAGATGGAACAGCATGGTGCTGGAGGATGGAGTGGTACTGTTCCTTCTTCATGATACCCTTTACTTCAAACAAATCTCCTACTCCATCACCTGCAAAACATCCCCATACCATGGAACTACCACCTCCATGCTGAATTGTGGGTGTAACACATGGGGCTTTCAGACGTTCACCAGTTTGTCTGCGGACATAGACTCTGTGTTTTGAACCAAACAGTGCAAACTTGTTTCTTGTCATCATAAGTCCAATTTTTGTGAGCTTTTGCCCACTCATATCTCTTTTTCTTGTTCTGTGGACGAAGTTGTGTTTTTTTGCTGATACACAACCCTTCAGACCAGCCTTTCTCAAACGTCATTTCACGGTTGTCAGAGATATGAGTTTCTACCTTGTCATGTTGATTTCCTCCCTTATTATGGTGCTGTTTTTCGCCAATCTCTCTTAGTAGTGACAATGCTACGTTTATCCTCTGCTTTTGTACTAACCCTCTTTCTTCCTGGCCTTTTTCTATCATCATAACTTCCAGGTTCCTCTAGTCTCTTCAGAGTGTAGTGGACTCCTATGTTAAACACCTTTAGTCGTTTTGCAATTTCTCTTTCTGTGTATCCTTCTTTCCTCAATGTACAAATCTGTACTTTTGTTTCTTTACTCAGTTGCTTCTTTCTAGCCATTTTTGTGGTAGTTTGAACACAGTTGAGATTTATAAGGATTTTTGTATGCAGACTCCCAAAAGCCAAAAAGTGAATAATCCAACTGTGATTTGTTTTTGTTATTTTGCTTTTACACTGAAGTTGTGACTCTTGCAAATGTCTTGAACCCTAAAACTAAGCCCTTATTATCTTTTGCTGACGTTAGCAATGGTCTGTTAACATCAATGTCTAAAGGTAAATGGAGAAAAATGGTAAAATGGTCTATGAAAGCAACATCTGATCATGGAGTAAATACATCCCAAAAAACATAAAACTCATGCTGGATTTAAAAAAAGCATTGTGAACAAAACTGGAAATTACTCCCAACTGTTCAGCCTGTAATGGCCTTGCTTCCAAACTTTTGGCCTGCAGTGTACATATACATATACATATATATATTTTTTTTACACACACATACACACACGCGCACATCCTGTATGTTTTTACATACAGGATGCGTATTTGGAGCGTGGCTGCAGTGTCAAATAACATGCAGCAAATAGGTTTCCATTGTAATCAATGCAGCAAAGCATACAGGCCGCGAATCAGCTCTGTCGCAGCATTGTATCAACAGCAGCACCGCTAAAGATACGCAACGAGTCTATTTCTGCTGCTCTACACTTCCAAAGTGTGTCAATCCACACAGAGAAGATCGTTCAAGTCAGGAAATCAAGCACAAAAAACCGCGCATGTCTTCTGGTATTTCAAAATAAAACACCATATGCGAACTTCCTACTGTGCGTTTATGCAGATGGGAAATACTTTCTTGTTATAGATTTATGAGTAACAGAACAATCCAATGGTCAATCCCTGATCCATGTGGACCCTAAGAGAACTTCAGACAGAACTCTGTCTGAAGGTAACAGCACAGCATAAAGGAACATAGTTTACTTTATTAAACAGGAGTAAACCTGCAAAAACCGAAACTGTAAAATCATGTTGCTTTTTTCGCCCAAGCCTTGACAGGAGGTACACATGTTGGTTTGTTGACTGCATTTTACCAGCAGACACAAAGTCCCGACATTGACTGACTACTTTAAGTTTCAAGTATGTGAAAAAGTTGTATGTAACCTTTTTCTTAGGAGTTATGAGATATTTTTTTCTAGTGTGTTTACAAATGTTAATTGTATTACTGGGGGAGTATTTTTATCCCCATCCTGCCAGCAGAGAAAGAGCAACAGAGGCTGAAAAGAGCCCTGGCACCCAGCAGCAGCCTGTTTGCACTGATGCAGACAGCACATCAGCAAGTTACTGATTAGAGAGGGATGCATTTCGGCACATTAATATATGTGTGTGTGTGTACTGAGAACATTCTGTCGCTGAATATGGATGTGAGCCAGATACTCAGAATAAAGAGCAACTCTCTTCCCAGGCATCTCTGGCCTCATGTTGTCTTCTATTAGCATGATGGCTGTAGGCCGCTCATCTGCTGTGAATAAGATAGAGAGTACAATCCCTCATGCTCATTATCATTTTTGAGCGCCGAAATTTCTCAGACAAGTTGCATCAGGTTTTACCTTGTACATTTTAGAAACAATGATGTTTGAAGATGATCCAACCATCAACACGAGCATAAGAAAGATGCAGCATGGCTGTGTCTGCTCAGCTCCTGAGCTACAGTGTGGTAGCAGAGAAGGCTGGAACATTTAGCTGAGAGGACATCTGTTGTGATAACTGAAGATAAGGCAAAAGATTGTAGACGCCATTTTTGTTATTGGGCATTTTATTCTATAGTTATTTATAGATGGCATGCAGCAGAAGGTTGTGGCCGGGAGTCAAACCAACAACCTGTACAGCAAGGACCACTGGCTCTATAACTATTTCTATAAAATATATTTCTAATTAATAGTATTGAGGATTGGACGAGACAAAAAAGCAGTAGGCAGTGGCAGGTCACAGAGAGGAAAGAGAGGAAAATAAGCAGTAAGGGTGGATGTGGTATAAGGGTAGATCAACAGAAAAAAAAACAAATCACAGATTTAAATCAACGGAAGAGGAAAGCATGTGTATACTAATTTTCATTTTAAAAATGACTGGATGTTGTGACTTTGTATAAAGCAAAATAACTTATCTCAATATATGAAATTACTTACCCCCACCTCCACAGCTACGGGTATAGCATTATTCTCTCTATGGGAAACACTGAACTGGCAATACAAAAAGGGCTTATGTCCTTGTAGATGCAACAGCCATGAGAAGACAAACCCTGAGTGTTTTTCTTTTGTGTTGTCACTTGTTTTCTTGACTTGAGCATGTATGTGTACTATAACACTGTCTTGTGCATCTGCAGTGATTTTTGTGTGAAACGTATATCATGTATATTAATTGTATAAAATATCGCGCCTATAATTCCAGAGTTCAGGTGCTTCAGTGTATATGCAATTATTTTGTCATGGTCCTCTTCTAATGTATTTTTTAACACAACAATAAATTACTCTGTATTATAGTAAGCAATATCAGATTTATTACACATAAATTGTTCTCTCTGGCAATTATCATTTCTTTGGATCTCCATCTTGTTTGCCATTCAGTGATGAGGAGGAAGTTTGAGCTCCCTCTGTGCTTCAGTTATTTCTGCCTTCTTCTCCCAACTGTGGGAAAAGTTCCCCACCACCTTCCTGCACAGCCTTATTGCTCTTGAGTCTCTGTCATCTTTTAATGCATGTCCTGAAATACAAAGTGGTCGACTGGGAGTTCAGATTGGCTACAAAAGAAGCCCCTAAAACTTTGTGCTAAATCTTTTTCTGCACCTGAAAGTCTGGCAGTAAACTAGGCCAAACCAGGCAGAGGGATCACCCATCATTTTCACTGCACACACTTACTGAATAGAACAGGATATTACTCATGTTTGTCTTTGTGACCTGGTTAACAATAAGAGATCTTAATAGACTACTGAATGTATATTCTAAGAGTGTGTGAGCTGCCATGTAAAGAGCACAGGTACTGGCATTTACAGACAAACCATTTCACATGGTTTCATCTGTGAAATCTTATTCTTCCAGAATGATAGCTCAAAGATGATGACACAGACTCTGCACGGCTTTTTGCTTTTAATGAGAAGTTTAAAAATATGCTTCATTTAGGTATGGTACAGTAATGTCAGGTGAGTTATGTAACAAAGTGGAGTGGGGAAAAACCACAGGAGTGACCTGTAACAAGCCAGCTTCTTTTCTTCTCATTGACAAAAGCACATGAAAACCCTCCATCTTTAGAACTTCAGGGGTTAATAACTGTTTGTGCAGATCACTCTGCATAAATCCACTGTTTTGTCATCTTGATTATTTATGTATCAACACTGTCTCCAATCTGAGTCTTCACTGGCAGATATTTGCCCAAGTATGGTCTGTGCCAGAGATGGAGAGGCAGAGAGAGCAGAGGCAGGGACCCCCGAGGGGCTACAGGCGTACTACCTCGCACCTGCTTCACTTGCAGCAGCATGCGTTGCTATAGTAACACTCTCTGTCTCAAACAAGAGACCAAAATGTGCTTCTATCAGGCACTCTGGAAAACCTGTCCACACATAGACATTGGTACACAATAAGGTAGCGGTGCACATCGATATATACACTATGTTTGCAATCCTTCTGTTGAGTCCACCATAACACTTTACATTCCCATTTTTAAGAGTTTAGGGCCCATGATTTATAACCTGAAGAGGTTTATATCTATTCATTTTTTAATAATGGCTTCAACTCCACTGGTTTCACAAACACAATGAGTAGAAAACATTAAAAATAACATTATCTTTATTCTTAGGCTCAACAAACAAACAATGTCACCAGAGGAAACAGGAACTTGGCTCCTTTCCTCCTCTACTTTCTTCACCCCTCCCTTTCTCAACCATACCCATGCTCAAATTTACAACTGCCTTTTTGTCCTTTGTATGTGCAAGCATTCCCTTCCCACTTTCCTTCAGAATTTCTGATTCACAAGCCTTCATCCTGGCACCCTTCACCAGCATCCTCTCAGCCTTCACACCAGCTATTCACACTCTCATTTCTCTAGATTCTTAGTAGAGCAACAAACTCAAACTTTAACCTTCACTACCTTTCTACTGTTTACTATCTTTCGAAGGTGTTCAAGACCACCATGTAAGGATCTTCTAATTCCAAAGCCCCCTTTTCTTTTGGTCTCTCCTAAACATCTTACCCCTCCTCCTCTGTGTGTTACAGCAGGACCATGATGCTTTAATTAGCAACAGAGAGATTTGTCACTTGGCATCTTTTCCTCTGCTACTCTGTATTCAGGAATTTGGTCTGATGAAGCAAGAAAGCAGCTTGAAATGACACCAGCCACAGTTTCTATTTTAGGGGCTGTGTTGGTGAACTGGATCACATCAGGACAAAAGAACAATTTTTAATAGTTGTATGAATTTGGACTTTTATTCTCAATAACTTTCGAGGTCCAGGCACTTTTGTATGGAGCAGCTGTGTTGAAAACACATCAGCATTCCAGTTAATATATATATATATATATATATATTCAAAGTCAGAGGTGATGAATTGTGAGCAAGTTAAAATAACAGACTGGAACCCTGACATGGTGAGCAGGACTCTAACACCAAGCAAAGAGGTCTAATCACCTGCTGCAGATATTCTTTGGTCATTATGAGCAGCAGAAAATAAACTACCCTGATTTTATCATCAACCATTTTTAATCAACACAATCTTTTAAGATCTCAAAATTCCCTTCAGACTTTAAGTTTGTAGCAACTTCATGTAGCAGTTACAGAATAACAGCACCAGCACAAAACACACCTGCAAGAATCAGCTCATAGTAGTTCCATCCTGTTGTTTCCTTCATTAAAGAAGGAACCTTTAGGGTTGAAATGACAACCCTACATCAACACAACCATGATACCGGCAGAAATCGGCTTACATTGCAAAGAGCAAAACAAATGTTTACATATCAGTTGATTTGACGTCTGTTCTCTGTGCAATCATTTCCATGGTAGTCAGGAAGTGAGTGAGCAAGAAAGATGAGTTTTTATACTTCTTTACACTTTTACACACCGACACAACTCGAAGATCAACCTTTAAACAACTCAATCATAACTGAAAGACAACAGAGCATTCAGAATAACTGATTCCCCCCTACCATCATTTGAATCACTTCACCACAAATGTATGGAGGACAAAAAGAGACAGAATGTAACATATGAATGCAACTTTAAATAAATACTTAAAAAGTGTCATTAATTAATTAAAAAGAGAATTGAATAAACAAATGTGTCATAAATTCATTAAAATACCAGTTCATTAAATGTAAACACGTTTAATTATTTCACTATTTAATGAATTATTTCATGGACCTGTGTTGCAGTGCTTCATGACTTTATTTTATCTGTCAAACTCATCCATCAAAGTTAGCCATTACAAACCAGTTCAAGTTAGCAAATGTGTTAACAAGCCTATCAGCCAATTAACATGCCAAACAGCAGGCTAGGCCTATCCACTGGCCTGCAATGATACAGAGTGATGGGCCTCATTGCACACAGCAGCACCAGCTCTCATTTATTATGGATCACTGAAAGAAATAATTACTCCTAATCAGCCATGTTTCCCTGGATGCTTGCTTTGGTCTCTACAGTGGAGTCAAGCTGTGATATTACTTGATCAAGAACCCTCAGCACCCCCCTCAAACACACCTTACATATACTTTGATTAAAGAAAAAGAATCTCCACTTAGAGCAGGTATATCCACTATCTGAATACTTTTTTTTCACTGCATTTTAACTAAGGATTGACCGATATTTTTTTTTCAGGGCTGATACCAGAACCGATTATTAGTAGTCAAGGAAACCGATATCCACAACTGATATTCATTTACAGTAGAAATTCATATTTTGTTGTCAACATTTAGTGATGACACACCTGGGATTAGACTGAGCACAGTACACTGTTTGTTTGTTTGGTACTCTGTGAAAATCTGTGAATCTGGGATCCCTTAAACTGTTGTGTAATAAGATGCACTCTCCTCTCTCTCTCTCTCTCTCTCTCTCTCCCTTGCTGTGGAGCTGCACCTAGAAGCTTGAGTGTTGATTGGCTGTCTGTGTAACCAATCAGTAGGGACTGTAGGTGGGACATTGTCATACAGCCAAGAGTGCCGATTTCAGAGAGAGGCGGCTGTGTAAGAGCTGTACAAGTGTGTTTAAAAATTAATTTATTTTATTGACTATCAGGTGAAAAAACGTCTGATGCTGATTATTGTTAAACATGCTGAATATCAGCCGATATTGTCAGCTGTGCCGGTTATTGGTGGATCCTTAACTTTAGCATTTTAAATGATCTTGAAACAATCGCACAATAATGCTTCAACAGAACTTCAACTTGTTTTTTATGGATTAATAAAGTCCCAATCCGATCGTTTTTATTTTAATACTTCAAGTGTTCTCAGAGGTCTTTAAGTTGTGATTATGAAGTTTTTAGCCAAATTATGTACATGTAAATTATTACATGTAGACAACAAGGAGTTTTTCATCGGAGATGGACCAGCCCATTTCCCTGCTGCTGCACAGACATTAATTAACTAGCTTTCAAGGTGAGTAGGGCTGGCTGTGACCAACACACCCCTTGCTGCGATTTGTGTACTAAAGAAGCCACTGGATGTGAAACAAGGTCACCAGTGGGTTTGCCATGCAAAAAAAAGTAGAACAAGTGAGAGTGAGTGGCTTTTTGTTTTGTCTTATTTTTCTCGTTTAAAAAAATTAGGAGCTCAGATGAGACATTGGTCATTTGTTTAAGATTAGCTTCTGATAGGTCAGTTTAGGGTTTATTAAGAGAACTTTTGTTGGTTGTTTTGGCCTATGCTCACCTTTAAAGATACTTAAATCTACTGTTTTACCAAATTTTGAACTGTTTCCCTGGTTTTCTTGGGTGGTGAGAAAGGTGGGGGTCACATCACGTTTTGTCCAGGTATCCCCTAGGCTCGGATGTAACGTAGCTACTGACAATTAAGATAATCTCTAAATGATTCACTGTCTGACTGGCTCACCCAGTGCTGGTCAGTTACTGTCCAGTGTTGGCTATTTTATCTAAGATATAAGCTTTAGGGAAAGGCAGCCAGAGAGCAACTCAGTGCCAGTATTAATGGCAGATGTGTCACATCCAGAACAAACCAGGCATCTGCCAGCTCAACCTGGACTGCTGTTGGGGGAGCAGACAGGAACAGAAAAGATGACCAGGCAAGCCGAAGGGAAGTGGGCCAAATGAAGACATTGCACATTGAGGCTGAAAACAGATAAAGTGCAGAGTATGGCAGCATGCTCAGTGTGACATATCACACACCTGTTCACAGCTTCCAGCTGATTACACACTGACCATGCTGTCAACTCAACTCACTGAATTGGAATTCACTACTCTGACTTATATTTCAATGTGTCTGACTATTTTACTTTAATTTATCTGACAGCCATAGGAAAAATATTTTCCCACTGAATGAATGCCTACGTTTCAGATGTAGCTGCTTGAAAGACAACCTGCAGTTACCAGTGGCAACAGAATCTCTTTGACTGGTCAGACAGCTGCTGTTTCAGCAAACTGAAGCCACTTTTAGACGGAAACGGTCTCCATAGAAAACAGAAAAATTTAGTTTTGTTTAGGGGGGTCCGTTTAAACGGCAATTGCATTTTCAGGAGATGAAAACATAACAAAGTGAAAACCCCCTCCAGAGTGGAAAGGTTGTAAACACTCTGCTAGTTCCGCTTCCGTCTAAAGTACAAAAACACTGAAAACAGTCAAACCTGTGACGTCCTGGCTTACGTCGGCTCACGCTTATGACATCATAGCCATAACAACAACCATGCTAGACATTCGAGTCGCGCTGTCATTATTATTGAATGGGCAGGAGCTCACGGATCATACTGCTCAGCAGAGGAGGCGTGAGAAAACAGTCAGCTTTGGATCGTTTTTCGCCAAATTGTGCTGCGTGCTTCTAGGAAGTAGAACGGAAGTTGTTCTACGTATGCGTTGTTGGTCTATATGGGAGTGCGGTCACATCGACACGCGCCACCTAGCGACCAGGCATGCACATTACAGCGTTTTCAACCACATTGCATTTTTGTGTAAACACAGCATAAAAACTGAAAACGAAACGGCACTTTTCCGTTTTCTTTGGAGACCGTTTCCGTCTAAAAGTGGCCTGAGTGGAGATACCACGGCTGTGAATTCACAACGTTAACAAAAACATTTATCTTCTTGTTGTCTCTAAAAAATACCAGCTTTCAGAGGTCTTCCTAAAGAATTCAAGTATGACTTGCAAAAACACAGCTGGGAAGAAAACATATCTCTTAAATTCCTCACCAAAAATCCCAAACCCCTGTGTGTTCAGTCAGGAAGTGTTTCAACCTAGACTCTGACTGCTCAATATACAATAGATAATGTCAACATGATACAGTGATTCTGCAGTTTGAAACATCATTGTATCTGAGTAACCGAGAACATTTAGGTGGTAAATGTAAAGTGCAGAATTAATGTCAGTAGCACAAAGGCAAGATATTCATGGTGGTAATGTTGTGGGCTGAATTGGGAGGTAAATCTGTTAAGAATAATTTCCATGTTTAGAGGAGTCAGATGAGATGGCTTGGGCATCTAATCCGGGTGACTCCCAGACACCTCACTGGGGAGGAGTTTAGGGCACGTCCCACCGGCGGGAGACCATGGGGAAAACCCAGGAAACGCTGCAGAGACTATGTCTCTCAGCTGGCCTTGGAATGCCACAGGGTCCCCTGGGTAGAGCTGGCTGAAGTGGCCAGGGAGAGGAAGGTCTGGGCTTCCTTGCCTTGCCTGCTGCCCCCGCGACCTGACTCAAGATGGATGCATGGAATATTTGGCACTAGCAATATATCTATCATGAAAAGTCCTTGTGCACCGAATGTGTGCCTCAAAAGCTAATCAGCGGACAGGATTCAGTCACGTGACTCAGTGGCAAATAAAACGAAAGTTACGTATGTAACTAAGGTTCTATGAATCCCGAATGACCGCCAGAGGCGGTGCTTTAAGCACTGAATGATTCCCTTCGCGCATGCGCAGTTCGAGCATTTGTACCAAAATAGTCACGCGTGACCCCGGGATGAACCGGCAGAGGTTATTTATTCCGCCGGTCACCGAGGGTTCAGTCCCTACAGAACTTTCTCGCGAGAACACGAGGGTTCTGAGTGACGGAGTGCTCTGGCGGTCATTCGGGATTCATAGAACCTTAGTTACATACGTAACTTTCGTTCTATTTCATCCCTTCTGACCGCCAGAGGCGGTGCTTTAAGCACTGAATGACTTATACCAGCAAAGTCACGAGGAACCCCAATTACAAACCTCAGAGGGCGGAATCGGAGGACTCTGGAAGGAGAACCACACCCAATGGGTGGGGAGTGGCCACGTTCACCCTATAGAATCTTGCGAACGTGCCTGATGACGCCCACGAGGCAGCAGAGCAGATCTCCTCCAGGGGAACTCCCCTAAGGGCAGCCCATGAGGTGGAGACACTCCTCGTTGAGTGGCACCGTATCCTGGATGGCGTGGGATGGTTACTATCCTGATAGGCGTGGCTGATCGTGTCTACGACCCAGTGGGACAGGCGCTGCTTTGACAGAGCACTGCCTTTATTTGGGCCACCATAACACACGAATAGCTGATCTGACCGGCGAATGCGTGCAGTGGCTCCGATATAGGCCCTGAGGGCCCGCACCGGGCACAGCAGTTCCAGCTTGTCTGTCCTCTCTCCCGGTGGAAGGCTAAACTGGGCCAGCCTAATAGGCTGGTTCAGGTGTGCCGTCGACAGTACCTTTGGTAGGAAGGCCGTGTTGGGCCATAGAGTGACACCTGATCCGTCCGGGTTCCACCTCAGACACGAATCGCTCACTGACAGGGCATGCAACTCACTGACGCGCTTTGCCGAGGTGATGGCTATAAGAAAGGCTGTCTTGCAGGACAACCACTTCAATTCTGTGCGAGACAAGGGTTCAAAAGGAGCCTTGCATAGGGAGTCCAGTACGAGATTGAGGTCCCATGCTGGTGCTCTTGGGGCTCTCGGAGGATTTAATCTCTGAGCCCCCCTGAGAAAGAGCGACACCAGACGGTGGCTCCCAACTGTGCAGTTATTGACACCAGTGTGCCGGGAGGATATTGCTGCCACGTACACTCTTAACGTCGAAGGGGTCCGGCCCTTATCAAGGAGACCTTGCAGGAACTCCAGGATTGCAGGCACCGGGCAGTGAACTGGGTCCCTGCCCCGGTCTCTACACCAGTTAGAGAACAGCTGCCACCTGTTCTCGTACTGCAGCCTGGTGGATGGTGCCCTCGCGTTCAAGATGGTATGTTGAACCGTCTCTACACAGCCACTCAGCAGCGGCTCGGGCCCCCCAACGGCCAAACGCACAGCTGGAGGCGTTGTGGGTCCGGATGCCATAACCGCCCCCCTAGCTGCGAAAGCAGGTCCGTCCTGGCAGGGAGGCGCCATGGCGTCCCGTGGCAGAGTTGGTGGAGGAGGGGGAACCATATTCGCCCTGGCCAGAAAGGGGCCACCAGGAGAACGGTGTGGCCCTCCTGAGCTACTCTCTGAAGGACTTGGTGAATTAGAGGGAGAGGTGGGAAAGCGTAGAGGAGTGCCCTCGGCCAGGGGTGGGAGAACGCATCTTGGCCGAGAGGGCTGGTTGTCTCCGCTAGGGAGAACCAGAGCGGGCAGTGGGTCGACACCTCTGAGGCGAAAAGATCGACCCCTGCCCTGCCGAAGCGGCTCCATATGGTGTGCACCACATCTGGGTGAAGGCACCATTCTCCTGATGGAGGCTTCTGGCGGGAGAGAAGGTCTGCCACCTGGTTCTGCTCTCCTGGTATGTGCATGGCCCGCAGGCTCAACAGGCGAGGGGCTGCCCACGTCAGGAGGTCCCTTGACGCCTGTAGCAGCCGCGCAGATTTTGTACCGCCCTGATGATTTATGTGATAAACGGTTGAAGTATTGTCCGACCGAACCAGAACATGTTTGCCTGCCAAGTAAGGCAGAAAGTGACTTAGGGCCAAGTGCACCGCTTTCAGCTCCAGCACATTGATATGGTTGCTGTGGTCTGCCACAGACCACTGTCCCCGAACTGTCCTGCCCTGCCACACTGCGCCCCAGCCCAAGGGGCAGGCGTCCGTGGCAACGGTCTCCCTGCGGGATGGGACGGCCCCCATAGGGACACCCCTTACAATGTAGGCCCTGTCCCTCCATGTGGCTAGGGCAAGGAAGCACTGCCGTGACACGACGATCTTCCGGTGCCTGTGTCGCTCTGGGTCTAGGTGGAAACTGTTCAGCCACCTTTGCAGGGGCCGTAGCGCCAGCAGGCCCAGCGGCACGACGGCCGCAACGGACGTCAGCGTGCCCAAGAGGCGGAGGAAGGTGAGGAATCCGCTGGTCTTTTTGGTGACGAGGAAGTATGTAGAATAGAACCCCCTGGGATGCAGCAGCGGGTCCACTTCCTCGATGGCGCCCTTGGCCAGGAGGGCGGATAGCTCCTGGTCGAGAGCGAGGGCTTTTGCCGGGTCGGCAATGATGGTAATCCTGACCCGGCTTCCTGTGGGGGGCCGGCGTCGGAACTGCAGCTTGTACCCGTGGGTTAAGGTGGTAAGAACCCACGGGTCTGAAGCTTGAGCAGCCCAGCATCTGAGCTGCTGCTGTGTAAAGTATCCGACGGCCGGCCCCCCGGGCTCAGCGTCTGCCCCCCCGGCCCCTAGGGGCCCTGGAAGCGGGGGGTCCACCAGGGTCCGGGGCTCGAAACTGCCTAGAAGGCAGGCGGCTGGAGTCCCGCGAGTCCCGGGTCTGCCTCTGCGTAGGCCGCTGAGAACGCTGACCTCTATTCTGAGCTACTGGCAGCCGGGCTCCAGAGGCGGCTGGGGGGCCCCTGCCCCTGCCAGAGGGAGGCCTGCTGGGGGGTGGCATGCGGCGCATACTCAGAAGCTGCTGCCTGGTCTGCCCAGCCTGTATCGTCTGCTCCAGCGCCTCTTGGGCACGTGGGCCAAAAACCGCTCCTGGCTCGACAGGGAGAGCCCGGAGCGTCTTCCTGGATGCCTCAGTCAAGCCCGACTGGGAGAGCCAGACCTGGCGTCGAGCCTGTACCAGGTAGGACATTGTCCTTCCTAGCTCTCGCGACATAAGGCCGAATGCCTCAAGTGCCGCATCACAGAAGGTGACGGGTTCCCCGTTAGAGTAGCCCTCCTGCAGAGACGCTGACAGGGCAAGCAGGAGGTGTGACAGGGAGTTCCCGATCCTAGCAGCACGTGCCGCCGCATCGTAGCCCCTGATGAGCAGGTCGTCCGTCAGCCTGCACTGCGGGCGAGGACACCTAGTATCCCGTCGCAGAGCCTCGTCGGGGGAGACAATAAGGGCTGCAATGCTGGGCTCGATGGCCGGCATGTGATCCAGGCCGACCCCTGCGGTGTCGTGCATTGCCGCCAGGGTACGACCGTCTGCCGAGAGGCGGGAGCAAGCCCTGGAGTCTCTCCAGCAGGCATGCAGCTCCTTTATATAGTCCTCCGCATGCGGGACGGCGAATGCAGTGGAGGTTGGCCTGCGCCTGAAGAAGGCACTCGCAGGGGCGGGCTCTGCCTGCTGCGGTATGGGCAGACCTAATTGCTCCAGGGCCATCCGCAGGATGGCACGCATGGAACCGTCCTCCTCTGGCAGCAAAGTTTGAGCTGAGGAGTGAGAGCCCTGATCGGACACCTGGGAGACCCCGTCTCCCTCGCCGCCATCACGGTCACCATACTCATGAAAGTGAGTAGCCGATGCCGCTAGGGAGAGTGTATCTTCCTCTGGAACTAGGAGTGGCATGGGCGGAGTGGGCCCCCGAGCCTCCTCTTAGGGGACCCAGGCTGGTGGGCCTGAAGCATGGACCTCATGCGGTCCAGCTCGGCTGAGAGCTGCTCCACCTTTGATGAAAGGCGGGAGCGGTCAGACCTCGATGTCCTTTTGGAAGCGGGGGCAGCAGTGGCTACATGGGCCCGGCGTTTTGAGCGCCTGGTCCTGGGCGTGGATGCTTGGCCCGATGGGGCGAGGTCGTCGTCACCCTGTGGCGGCTCTACCTCCGCCAGCCTGGCCAGCCTTGCCTCCCGAGGCATGTAGCTGCAGTTCATGCAGGGGTCCCCTTCAAGTGCCTCCCTGAGGTGTTCGGGTCCGAGGCAGGCTGGGCAGAGGTCATGTCCGTCGTCAGGCTGGAGGCCAACCTGACATGAAGAGCAGTAGTGGGCGCTATCCATCCTACCTAGCTGTCCCAACTAGGCCAGGGCGCTGACGCTACTGGCCGCCGGACAATAGACGCCGTGAGCTGGGGGAGGGAGCGCGAACGCTGCCTGCGCCAGCGGAGGCTAGCTTTAGCTGGACGGAGGGTTGCTTATACTGGGGGGAGGGAGCGCGAACGCTGCCTATACCAGTACTGAGTCGCAATTAAGCTGACAGTTATAAGCAAGTAAATAAGTAAATAAATAAGGCTATTCAGCAAACAGAAGAGCACTTAAGTGACCAGGGTGCTAACACGACTGGCTTTAATGATCAATGCAAACAAATTGATGCTATTCAGCAAAAGAGCACTCAAAGTGACCAGGGCGCTAACGCAACTGGTTATAATGGTCAATGCCACACAAAAAAAATTAATAAATAATAATAATGCTATCCAGCACAAGAGCACTTAAAGTGACCAGGGCGCTAACGCAACTGGTTATACTAATGACACCAAACAAATATGAAGCTATTCAAAAGCGCTAGTGGACCGATAGTACGACAAAAGAGAGTGGGGCAGCGGTCTAACCGCTTACACCACTGAGGCCGACTACAACAACGGTAGCGCCGGCTGCGGCCGGATGGCGACACCGCGTACCGGCTTTCTTCTTTTAGAACTAGCTTTGGCCTCGGTTTTTTCTTTCAACAAAAGAACGAAACGAGCAGACTTTTAGCTACAGCAAGTAACCGATACGCAGCGTTACGCTTACATTCACGGTACTCAACCATATGCAGGGGGGAAACGGTGCGCACACGGCCTCTACCAGCATAGGTTGTGACTTGTAAAACAATTAAAGTCCGCTAACCAAGCTTAATGCGACAGCAACCTACCTTGTCCGGAGGAGAGGGGGACGCCGACCCTTCCTTACGGGCGAACGCCCCAGCATTCGACGAAGTTAGTGAAGCTCCGCTCAGTCGGAGATAAACAGCAGAAATAAGGAACAACTCAAAGGAAGTCACAGTCCCTGGAGGGCGATTTTCGCTACCCCGACCTACGGCCACGGGACTACCAGCGACTTCACATACGGTTTAAAGGTAGGTTTTTTGTTTTTTTTTAGAAAAATGCTTCTCATCGCAAGTTTGTGACCTGCGCGCGAGAAAGAAAAAGGGACTGAACCCTCGGTGACCGGCGGAATAAATAACCTCTGCCGGTTCATCCCGGGGTCACGCGTGACTATTTTGGTACAAATGCTCGAACTGCGCATGCGCGAAGGGAATCATTCAGTGCTTAAAGCACCGCCTCTGGCGGTCAGAAGGGATGAAATAGAACATGTTCTCACATGGAGAAAATATGCAGGAGTCTCCTGTCCCAGCGGGTAACTCAACAGCGAGACGTGGGTCCATGTCCCTTGCCTGGAAATGGTTCAGGTTTGACAAGACCGATGTTGGTCAAAACAACATTATCTGTAAGACATGTCAAAAAACGGTGGCCGTGAAGAGCAGCTCAACAACAAATCTGTTCTACCACTTGCGAACAAAACCATACAAAGGTGTATGAGCAGCAGTATGTAAAACTTTGCGACTCCACAAGCACGACTTCCACTAAAGAAAAGACAACAACACACTCAGCAAACCCTCACCGAGTCATTCAGCACACACGTAACATATGACAAAGTAAGTTTTTTGTAGGATATACAAAACATTTTTTGTAGGATGTCATCAGATCGCTGTTATTATTATTTTTTTTAATAATCTTTATGTGTTTATCTGTCCATATCGCCCACCACTACTGGTAACTCTAAATTCCTTATTTAGGATTTAGGATTAAGAGAAGGCGAACAGATCTGTGCTCTGAAGCTTCATCCAGCTGCTGAATGTCAGCCTACCTGATAAACCGGCTTGTCCAAATACCATTCCAACAAACAGTCAATCAGTTAGTCTAAGACTCCAAGTTATGCAACAGCGAGTGACTGGATAACTGCTGAACTAGACTGTGTATGTTTATGTGTGCCTGTACATGAACATGTTTTCATCCTGGTCAGCCATTATAAAGAGCCTCAGGCTCAGAGCAAAACCCAGTTGAAAGATGAAGAAGGAGGGCCTGGTGTCAAGTGTCTGTGTGTTACATTCACAGATCTAACCTACCATTGGGTCATAAATCTTTGTTCTCCTGCACGGCAAAACTTTTAATATTAAGAGGGGTACCAGCCTTAACTGTCATTCATCAAATGAGCAAACCCCTTATTTTGCACAACACAGTCTCCACTATCCACAGTAGTTGTTCTAATGAACTGTTAGCTCTGTATTACACCAGGGGTTTACTTTCAACACACTGCTGCTAAAAGCTGCCACTGTAACTCTTGTGGAGCTGAGAGGGGCTTATTAAAACAGAAACCATGATAGACAGATTAGCAGGTGTAAAGACTGAAGCTACAACATGTACATTTATGTAACTCTTACAGCTCCATCTCTCCTGTTGTGCTGGATACACTCTCATTGTAATAAACAAAGCTAACAAGGCCATAAAGGCTCTTCCTGGGAGGGAGTAATGCAGGAGATTTGTGTTGTTTAAAACAGCTTAAGAAAATTGATATGATTCATCAGACACATAGTAGAGAAAAGAAATATTGAAGGGCAATGCTTCATAAAAACCTTGAGTATGAAAATGTTCATCTTTTTAACATGACCTCCTGAAACCAACCACTCTCTTGACAATGTAAGCTTTACTCGCAAGATACAAAACCCAATTCCATTGAAGTTGGGAAATCGTGATAAACATAATAAAAAACAGAATACAATGATTTGAAAATCATTTTCAACCTACATTCAATTGAATACACTACAAAGACAAGATATTTAATGTTCAAACTCATAAACTTTACATTTTTTTTGCAAATAATCATTAACTCAGAATTTCATGGCTGCAACACGTGCCAAAGTAGTTGGGACAGGGGCATGTTTACCACTGTGTTACATCACCTGTCCTTTTAAAAACACTCAATAAATGTTTGGGAACTGAGGAGACTAATTGTTGAAGCTTTGAAGGTGGAATTCTTTCCCATTCTTGCTTGATGTACAGCTTCAGTTGTTCAACAGTCCAGGGTCTCTATTGTCGTATTTTACGCCTCATGATACGCCACACATTTTCAATGGAAGACAGGTCTGGACTACAGGCAGGCCAGTCGAGTACCCGCACTCTTTTACTACGAAGCCACGCTGTTGTAACACGTGCAGAATGTGGCTTGGCATTGTCTTGCTAAAATAAGCAGGGGCGTCCATGAAAAAGACGTTGCTTGGATGGCAGCATATGTTGCTCCAAAACCTTTATGTACCTTTCAGCATTCATGTTGCCTTCACAGATGTGTAAGTTACCCATGCCTCGGGCACTAATGCACCCCCATATCATCACAGATGCTGGCTTTGCATCAATAACAGTCCAGATGGTTCTTTTCCTCTTTGGCCTGGAGGACACAACGTCCACTATTTCCGAAAAAAATGTGGACTGGTCAGACCACAGAACACTTTTCCACTTGAATCAGTCCATCTTAGATGAGCTCGGGCCCAGAGAAGCCGACTGCATTTCTGGATGTTGTTGATAAATGTCTTTCGCTTTGCATTGTAGAGTTTTAACTTGCACTTACAGATGTAGCGACAAATTGTATTTACTGACAGTGGTTTTCTGATGTGTTCCTGAGCCCATGTGGTGATATCCTTTACACATTGATGTCGGTTTTTGAAACAGTGCCGTCTGAGGGATCAAAGGTCACAGGCATTCAATGTTGGTTTCCGGCCGTGCCGCTTACGTGCAGTGATTTCTCCAGATTGAACCTTTTGATGATATTATGGACCGTAGACGTTGAAATCCCTAAATTCCTTGCAATTGTACTTTGAGAAACGTTCTTAAACTGTCCAACTATTTGCTCACACAGTTGTTCACAAAGTGGTGAACCTCGCCCCATCCTCGCTTGTGAATGACTGAGAATTTTTGAGGAAGCTGCTTTTATACCCAATCATGGCACCCACCTGTTCCGAATTAGTCTGCTCACCTGTGGGATGTTCCAAATAGGTGTTTGATGAGCATTCCTCAAATTTCTCAGTATTTTTTGCCATCTTTCCCAACAACGTGTTGCAGCCATGAAATTCTGAGTTAGTTATTATTTGCAAAAAAAAAAAAAAAAAGTTTATGAATTTGAACATTAAATATCTTGTCTTTGTTTTGTATTCAATTGAATATAGGTTGAAAAGGATTTTCAAATCATTGTATTCTGTTTTTATTTACGTTTATCACAATTTCCCAACTTTCATGGAATTGGGTTTTGTACCTCACCAACTCAATAATCAAGCCCCTGCTCTAGTCCAAACAATAGCATGGATTAATTGTTCATCTCATCGTCTGGCAGCAAACAACAGTTATTAGGGCTGCAATTAAGAGCCCCTCTGACAGCTCTCTAGAGACACAGCTCTAATGCACTCTTGTTGCGAACGCCATGCCCTGCTAGACAACCCTGCATGGCTACTTGTACTAAGGAAGGATTTCTTAATTTAAGGGCTTTCCATCAGCTAAAGTGAGCCTGTCCTTAAGTTTTTCATGCAAGCTTTGACCTCTTTTCATTATCATTTAGGACATCATATCACCCTTATACAGGGGTGTTGACTAACTTTTCGGCTCACCTGCCAAGTGGACCGGTAGAGGAAAAAATCTAATGGACAAATACATTTTTTACTGGCCAAATAATAAATGTCCTTTTTTTGTTAAATATAAATCTGTTTAAATACTTTTTATTGAGATAACAGGATCATATTGCAATATATAATTAGAAAAGAGGCCAAGGTATTATTTAAAATAAACTTTGATCTGATTAATCCAATATTCTAACCAGAAATCATTGCACCTGAACGAAGGTTGATGCTGTGTGTTAAGAGCGGAGCTTGGCCTCAAAGATCAAACCAACTACAAAAGCTACATTAGCAACTTTAGCCCACCTGTAGTGTACATATGCTGTGTTCACATGGATAGTTTTGAGAAAAACAGCCTGAGCCTATCGTGATGTTTTACATGATGTAAAACATCACGATTGGCTCAGGCTGTTTTCTCAAAACACATTACATATTTAAGATGACTCAAGATGTCTTATCATTAACAACATGTTCTGATGGGATGTTTAACTCAGCACTGAACAACCTGTTGGCCGGCATCCACACACACACTCATACCCTTTCATTGAAGTGTTCATTTTGCAACAAACATAGCTTAGTAGGCCTGTCGCGATAATCAATAAATCGCCTTATCGCTCGATAAATTAAAACGAGGTCGGTCATTTTGCCAGCCTCGATAATTAACGTGCGTTTGTTTTCCTCCTCTCTCGCTACCAAACACGCTGGATGAGAGAAGAGGTCTCACTCTGCGCATTTTTCTCGGCACCTGGGGGCGTTGGCTCTATAGCAGAATGAACGGAGTTAGTGAACCCTCCTGTCAGTCATTCAGTGTCTTTGTCACGGGGGGGCGCGCACAGGCACACAGACACAGACTTTTGGGTACAGTGCTGCAAGTGAGCGTAGTGAGTGAAAAGCAAGCTAACAGAATGAACACGACAGCTTTGGTGTCTAAACCGAACGCAACAGCCCAAGTGTGGGAATATTTCGGCTTTAAACCAGTTTTGTTTTCGTCAACCACAAAACTCCACGTGTTTGCGTGCGCGCTCGTGTGTGTCTGTGTGTTGGAGGAGCACAGCAGGCTGATGAGAGCTGTCAGAGCGGACCTAAGCTGCTCCTATATGTTTAGCGTTTAACTGACTGAGTTTTGCAACTCTGTTCGTCATTTTCGTCTCGTCCCATCAACGTAAACGCACTTTCGTCTCGTCACATTTTAGTCATCTCCAACTTATGTTTAGCTCGTCAACGTTACGTCTTCGTCGTGGGTAAAATTAAAGTTTATCACTTTTGACACGATGTACTCGCATTATTATGCCATTTAATATCATTATCTAAAATTTAAAAAACGGTGTCAATAATATCGTTTATCGGCGATAATTGGTAGCACAATTATCGTCCAGCAAAATTTGTTATCGTGACAGGCCTATAGCTTAGATATAGTTTACAGCTGTATGATCTGAAATTGTAAAGTAAAAGTATCCGTCCAGTGTCTGTGAGGCTCAGCAAAATCACAGGACTATCTTCAGTTGTCTAAACCCGGCAACTTTGGACAGATATAGTGAGCCGATTCATGAATGATAGTGGACAATCAAACTACGGGAGATTCCCGGGAGAAATGACAATACGGGAGGTGGGCAGGAAATTGGTCTGAATTACGGGAGAGTCCAGGGAAAAACGGGAGTGTTGGCGGATATGAATCGTGTTTTCACTATTATACAGCGTCTCATCAGTTCTGCTCAGAGTCCCACTTCAGTGTGACACACAACAAATCAATAGCCACTAACGTTAGCTACCGTCATTATTTATAATTGTATAGCTATGCTTTATGACACATCATGCATATTTTATTGCATGACGATCTGCACAAACATCTACCTGCCCCGTGGCATGTAGCCTTCCAAAATTAAGTCGCCAGGGGAGTATTTAGTCGCATTTGGCGAGTGGCGACTGGCCAGCCAACAGCCCTGCCCTCATACCTCTGCATTTTAGCATTATGTCCTGCTTCCACTGCCATGCACATGAAAATCATCCAGTAATGTTGTTTCCAATTGTGTCATAAATGGTCTTCACTGCTTCATATGCACTGCTGTTTAGACGCTTAAGGTCCAGTTAATAAATACAGCGTCACTTTACAGTAGAAGTCACCTGTTCTGAGGTCTGGAATACCACAAATGCAAACAGTAAGCACTTGATTAAACCTCCACCACTTGCAACAGTGCAGACAAATATGACAGTCCCTTAGACGATCCACTGATGGCCGAGAGTACTGCTAACAGGACTACCGAGGGCTCTGGTGACAGTATACTATCAAACTTGGTACCTCTGACAATACCAAGCACCAAGTCGGGTTGAATCAATGTGTGCTTGACTTTGTGTGTTGCACAAGTCCAGAGGTGAAAACAGTTGTATGACAAAAACAACAACAAATGAAAGACAGTCATGTGCCCATAACTGGCAACATAAACCTAAAAGATAAGAAAATCATTCTGTGGTGATCAGAGCAAAATGTGGCAGGCCTATGTGAAAATGCACACACTCATATATACAGGTGTCAACCTGACAGTGTGTCAACAAAGGATCACATTTTCAAGAGGTGATGTTGAAGAATGTTTTGTGGTTGTGTATTACCTCCTCAATGAAGCAAGGTAAAAAAAAATTTGAAAAGTCATTTCAAAGTTCATAGGAAGAGTGTTATTGTAAAGGCCAGTGCACATGCAATTTCAAAAAGAAAGTGAGTTACAGGTTCTTCAAGGCTTCTACCGCACCTGTCAGGTTTGTGAGAGCCATGACTAAAAAAGGGGAAGGAAATAATACTCAGTCAACTTCCTTGAGAGCATTTACACAAATGTTTCTTTAGAGGCTCCCAGGTTCTTCAAAACACACTAGCAGGATAACTGTCTTAGCTGAGCAGTAAGCACCAGTAATCATCCAATTCAGGTGTGTACTTAGTCCCATGTTTTACTCATCACTAAAGCCATCTGACGAGACAGGCATCATATCTGTTATGGAGGGACATACAATCTGCAGTCTGCACTGTCAGCCCTCATAGAAAATCAATGAGCCAGTTAATTTAGTGCAACGGGACACCCACAGACATCAGTACTAGTAGCTGACCTTGTAGCACATGGCCTATGGCAACCTACAAAATGATCGGTGTTAAATGCTTTTAGCAGGATACTGCTACTAAAACACACACGTTAATATTTAGAGCAATTTCTGACCTGCATAATGCACACAGCTCAGGCATTCTACACTGAAGCTATCTAAATACAAAACAGGCCACGGTGTATACATGTTCAGGCCCCATGGGCACACTACCAGGAAAGGTGTCACAGCAAGGTGAGATGAAACCGTGTGAAACAGGTGCTTCCCACTTTGCCAGCCTTAGCTCCACTGTGCTGACACTGGGCTTTCACACGACTTCATAAAAAGACGTCTTGTTTGTTGACACAGAGATGTGCTTTGAAGGGAGGGAGAAATGGAAACATCATCTATATTTCTCTTGGAGATGAATTAAGTATCTATCTATCATTTCAACAATCAATGAATAACGGAAACTCAGACAAAATCCTTTCTGTGTGGAAGCACTAGACTCTCAAAAATGAAGTGAATCATAGAGCCAGCCCACGTCCCGTCTGATAGTTCTTCAGTGTAAAAACCTGACATTCTTTAATCAACAGCGTGACTCATATCATTTCTTCAGTGCCAGCATTTGGTGTAAACTCTTTACATACCTACAGCTGGAGCATCATACTCATCGCCCAGCAGTATTTCTGGTGCTGAGTATGCCAAAGATCCACAGCTGGTTGTCAGCTTTTTCCCTGGCTGGAACTTATTACTGAATCCAAAGTCAGTGAGCTTGACCAGTCCTTGTTTCTCAAAGAAGACCACATTCTCTGGCTTGAGGTCCCTGTGCACCACGTGCAGACGATGGCAGTAGGAAATAGCATGAACAATCTGGGCGAAATACTTTTTGGCCAGCTCTTCATTCAGACCCTCCTCATGTTTCATGATGTAGTCAAACATGTCCCCTCCATCGCCAAGCTCCAAGATGAGGTAGAGCTTTGTCTGAGTATCTATAACTTCATATAGGCGCACAATGTTGGGGTGCTGGACCAGCTTCATGCAGCGGACTTCCTGGAAAAGGTGGCCTGTAGCCACAGTGTCCAGTTTGGTCTTGTCAATCACCTTCACGGCTACTTTTTCTCCAGTGAAGACATGCCGAGCTAGCTTCACAACAGCAAAGTGGCCACGGCCCAGCGTCTTGTCCAGATCATACAGGCCAGCAATCTTGCCATCATAGCCCCGCTTGAAGCCTGCCATTGCTGGGGAGGGCGATGGGGACAGGGGAGCCCCCCCTGTGGGCAGGCGCAGGTTGGCTGAGTCGTGTGGGTCCAGCTTAGCTTGATTCATCGAAGGCTGAGGGAGAAACCCATGGCTCCTGCTTCCTAAACGATAAAAGACACACACGGTAACTACAGTTTCACAAAGAGCTTAGCACACCCCACAGGTACACTACAGATGGCTATAAAAGACATAAATCAATCTAAATGAGGTCTGAAACATTTCCTCTGTTTGCCTTATTGTAAAATGCATTACGCCATACTGTATACGACCCCCCACACACACACACACACAGCGAAGCACGGGGCATCTACCAGGTCCGTTCGCAGTAATGCACTTAGACCAACTGTAAAAACAAAATACTAGCGCTTCATTCATGTTAGACATGGATTCCGGCATGCTGGGCATCTGAGGCGTTGTGCTTGTTTTGACAGGAAGACTGCAGCTCTAACGTTAGCTACTTTCTGCTGATGTGCCGCCTCGTGCAGGCACTATAAAACAGTACGGTTCAAACTTCATGATGCTGTAGTATTCCCCATATAGTGTGAGTGTGTAGCTATATCGCTACCGCAGATTGCTTTCACATACTAATTCAGAAGACCGCTATATATGGGGCCCAGCGGCAGCACAACTAGTGTTAGCCTGCCGTTCCCAGAGGCTAACGCGGTGTTCATTGATTGATCTGCGTTAGCCCGCTGGCTCTGACGCACGTTCACTACCGTTTTATTAACCGTTAGGATGTCGCCCATTACTCCGATAACCCATCCAAGACTAAAGTATGTTTCTTACTCCTTTAGAAAGCCACATTACAGAGCGTTGGTCGGACAGAGACTCGTTTCATGTTAAATATCGAACTACTAGCCATAGTTAGCATGTAGCAAGCTAAAGTTACTACGGCTCTCGCGGCTCACCTCTCCAGCTTCTCCTCTAGTACCGACACCCTGGCTCCTTCAGGTGATCTCTGCCGTAGCGTATTGCAATTATCTATGTAAATGTCGATGGTGCAGCCTCTGCGAAGTGATCGCGGCACTCAGAAAGTGCCTATACCTTGGGTTCATCCGTAAAACGAGGCATTGCATCGTTGGCAGCGGCAGCCTGGTCGGACTCGTTCTCTCCTCCCAGCCGAGGCGGTGGGGCTGTAATGCTGCATTCAGTGCTAAAAAGACTTGTCAGGATATTCAAGAACATCGCATTTCTCAGTACGTTCAGTGCCTTTTTTTCCACACGTAGGGTGTTATTTGAACTATGGGGCACAAGGCTTGTAGTTTTTGATCGTTTTGTGCTCTTCAACCTTTATTCCGTTTGACCTTTTTTAGTTTTATTTTAGTTCTATTTTTTAACTTGTAGTTATTTGCAAAGTTGTTCCCTTTGTGAAAATGCCCCCCATTTTACCTTAGTTTGTGTTTTCTATTTTTTTCTTTCTTCCTTTTTTTTTTTTTACATTTTACATTTTACATTTTACAGTTTACATTTAGGTGTTGAGCATGCCATGACTGGAGTTAGCTCAGAGTAAAACACACACACACACACACACACACACACACACACACACAAATTTACCAACAGGATCTTAAGGTCATGGACTCATGGATATTCAGAGTGAGGAGATGGATGCACCCACCAAGCATTTGGTGTGCTTGAAAAGGTAATTTAATTCCCCTCTGTAATGTAAGGCTAGCATCGCTATTAGGAGCTCTTACAGACTAACACGTGCACCGACACACTTCAAATGACACGCACATAGAGCTAAGCCACCAACATTGAAAAACACCCTCAAACACACAGTAATGCATGCAGTGTGTACAGGTATTAGCACAGTGTTTAGGAATTCATTATTTGTACATTTTCTATTTTTACGCTGAATTTCTACTTTTAATGTTTTCATATCAAAATATCTGCCCATGGTAAAATTGTGTCTTAAATTTCAAGGCAAGTACAGCCAATTGAAGTTTACCGGATACAAGTTGGGGGATGAGAGTTACGAGGATCACTTGAAAGTAGCATCAGAGCATCACCAACCGCATTCAACTCTGACGTCAAACAATGCTTTTGGTTGGGCATGCTGGACGAGAATCTGTTTGTCACAATCAGATGAGATGAGCCAAAAATTACTCCTGGTAACAGTATGGAGGTCTCAACATAACGTCAGAAAACAGTTAGCTTTGAGATATTCATAGCTAAACGCCCTAGCATCACCATATAGACAATAATTTGACTCCAGTTGACAACATGACAACACTTGATGTAGAAATAATTACTTCTTATTTTTGTCTTCGTGCTGCAAGATTCAATATACCACGTTTTTATCCTCTAAATTCATTCCCTGTCTTTTCCAGATGGTCCTCTTAAGAAAAGGCATGCAGTGACATCTAGTGATGGACAAAATAATCTTATCTTATCTCTAAGAGGACCAGTCTTTTTTTCCTTCTTAGAAATAGGGTTTTCATGTTACCAAAAGATGCAATCCTCCGAAGCACTACTTACCAACACATATTATTATTATTATTATTAGTAGTAGTAGTAGTAGTAGTAGTAGTAGTAGTAGTAGTATTAAGTTATATTACTGAGTCCATAACAAACATTCTCCTAGAAAACCTCCCAAGATGGTATTATCTGCAGTCCTGTTACAAAACCAAGGATAAAGAAGAAGGAGACTGAAGTAGATTTTGTCAGTTTTTGCATTGATGAATTCAAACACAGAATAATAATAATAAATGAGAGACAGAGCTGCTGAACATAAAATTCATGTTTTATCAGATAAACGTAGATCAATAAATTATGTGCTCAGTAAAATTTTGTCACTAAGAAAGTTTTACTAATCACCGAGGAAGTGATCAAAAAGGAAATTTAAAAAATACAAGATTAATATTGTGGTGAGAATAAACATGTTTTGTTTTGTTTTTAAAGCATGAATAAATCCAATATTTCATACAACTTTTATTTTCTCTTTGATATTTAGGCTAATTGGGACCTGATGAGTGTAAAAACAAAGAATGATCTTTTTACATGATGTAGTTTCTGAGAAAAATTATGTCCATATATGAGGACATTCGTTTTAAATTTTGAGAGAAGGCCCTTGTGAACAAAATTTAATATTGTGGTCTTGACAACCAAAAATGTGATGTCCACACATGTGGACGCCAGGTCTTAGGAGGTTAAACAAGTGAAAGTGTGACATTAATGCAGGGAATGATATACAGTTTACCTTTAAAGTGAAGTGTGTGGAGGTTCTGCTTCATTGCCTGCTCACAGTTTGTAGCATAAAAAAATGTTCACTCCATCTTTTGATGAACAATTATACAGCTGACGAGGGTGTAGTCAGGGGAGTCTTTGGAGGTAATAGTTTTATCCTCTCCTGTGTGGCTCTGTTAAAAACACATAAAGTCTCTAAAAAGGATCAAATTTGTCAGTTTGTCATTAGTCTTGAAACAAACAAAAAACAGTGACAAACTGATCTGGGATTTTCAGCCTCACATTATTGATCAAAGTAACTAAGATCTGATGATCTGGATGTTAAAGTCACTGCAACAAAAACAAAACACCACCGGCAGTGGTCCCTGCTGGTCTTTTTTCTGACTCAAGATGGGAGTGTTGCTTTATATTTGATGTCAGCACAGTGAGCTCACAATCCACTCTCTAACAAAGGAATAACTGTGTTCACATCCAGAGATTCAGAGGAGTTTGATGGCAAAATTCTGTAAATAATTTTCATCAAAACCCATTATTCACAAACATAGCAGAGGAGAAAGAAGAGCAGAGAGTGTATTCCATTCCAAGACCCGCGTTTATTAATACATTTGAAAATGTATGTAAAGTTCACACAGCTCTGTTGTGCTGCATGAGCTAATTAAAAAGTTCAGTTAAAAGTGAAATGCAATTGTGTGTCCAGAAATAACTGGAGGTATCTGTTATTTAAGAATACGTTTAGCATGCTATTGATTAAATCCACTTTTACTGAAACAACAATAATAGTAATACCTCCACACCCTTTTTCTTATATATTTCAAATAGCCTACTTATAGAAAAAAAATCCTTAAGCTGTACGAGGGAGGATTTTATATAAGTTAGATCATTTTAACATTTGCTTTATCCAGTCTAAAAGTATTATTAAAATATCATTTAATATTTTTTATTTATAGGGATTTTTGAACATAGAAACACATAGAATATACTGAAAAAAGTACACAAAAAGTTATAATAAGTTAAAATCAGAGGTATAAAAATATTTAACACTTTTGGGAGAGTAAAGAAAATATTTAACCCCCTGACTTAATAAACTAAAATAAAGAAAATCAAAGGTGCGCCTTCATGCTGTCTCCCACAAATTAATTTCTCTCTGATATCAGTTTAATGGGCAACAATAAGAGGTTATTATTATCAATGGCACACGTTACAATCTGAGAGGTCGAGTGTCATCGCGAGATCTTAGCGCGGGATTTTCCTCGGCAGTAGGTGGAGTGGAATCGGTATCCAGGCAGCTGCTTTCGGTCTCTTCCGCTGTGAGAGCTAAGCTAGCTAGTAAACAACGCTAAACATCCCCGGTGGTGTATCGGAGAATGTAATGACTGAACCCGCTGTTATTTTTTCGTAAAGTCTCGGATTTTCGTCAGGGTTCTGCTTTTTGTTCCCGCTACATGTCTTGTGTTCCAGTTCAGGATCGTCTCTGCAAAAGGCTGGTACATTACTGAGGGACACCGATGCTGCCGAAATGAGCTAACCTTTCATCTGTCCTCAGAGACAAAAGCCACATTTTCACTGAGAGCTGAGGTAAGAGTGAACCCATCGAGGACAGTTCTCATTTGGTTTAGTGGGAAAAACAATACGGCTTGTACCGATATGATTGTTTTAGACTAACTGCCATAAGGATTTGCTTGTGTGGGTGAGGGTTTAATTCACAGACGAGAGTCCAGCTGACAGACAGTTAAATCTCTGCTCAGGGATGTGAGTTATTCCACCGTCTGGAAAAATACCAACTTGAGTGCAAGTGTATGTGCTTTGACGTCTTAATACTGTTGGTATCATATACTCGAAAAATATAACTTAAAATATAAGCTGTTGTCATCTAATTCAGGAATGATAATCACTCAGTAACAGTGCTGCTCCCAAATCCTACACTTGCAGTGTCCCAAAATAAATTTGGATGGTTGTGAATGCTTACTTTAAGACATGTTAGTTAGCATTTCAAACAAGAAAAAGAAAGAAATAAGATTTTACTTAACAAAGCCTGACTTTTTTTAATGACTAGACATAATGTACCTCTATTTTCTGTTCATTGTCCAAAGAGTCAAATAAATGCATTACAGAAGATAACTGGAATCAAAATATAAGAATGAGGCTTTTGGAAAGTGCACTAGTCTAACTACTTTGGAGTTAAGATTTTATAGTCAGGATAGATATAGTTTACAATCTGGCAGTTGTGTTTTGTAAAACATGCAGAGCAACAAAAAGACAGAGGAACTTTAGGAGCTAATGTCGGTACACCTCCATGAATGCCTAATTGCTTCACTTCGTTAATAGTATAAGATAATAAGAACTTTATTTACACCAAGGGGAAATTCGATGCATATTAGGAATGAGGATAAGACTAACTTTATTGATCCCCAAAGGGAAATTCAATTGTCTGTTGTCTCATTTGTCATGTCTCTAAAAGTCAGCGAATATTTACAGAAGAGTTGTGAAGTCTGTTGGCTGTGGGTACAAAAGATCTTCTGAGAGAGGAGCCGTCCACCACCATTGGCCCTTTGGGCCATTATTGCACTTTATCTAACATTGCAGATTATTTCCAAATCTTGCAGGCTTAGACTGTGCGTGCTATTTACCATGTGCACTTGTAATTCAGTAAGACAACAAATACAAACTACCATCTATATGTACAGGGCTTGAAGACCTCCGACACGGTGCCAGAAATCCGGCTCGGAATTTTTTTTTTTTCTAAATCATGTCAAAGAATAAAAGAAAAGAAAAAATAAATCCTAGTTAGTTAGATCTGAATATGACCGGTAGAGGACAGCATTAGGCTGGATAGTGTACATCCTGCCGGAGAAGAAGAAGCAGAAGAAGAAAAAGAAGCATCAGTGAGTGGCGAACAGCAAATTTTAAACGATGGATGCCAGGTATATCCATCAAGGAGAAGAAATGGCGATATTGGAAGCTGGGCTTGGGCAGAAGAGGCTGGAAAAGATGGAAAGCCTCATGGTAGCTGGTGCCGCAAACTGAAAGAGCCAGGTTCTTGTTTTTGTGTGTCGAACATCAAAAAGCTCATAAATGGCAGCAGTGGGAAAAAGTTCGGTAAAGTTGGTGAGATATTCACAGATTCAGACTTCCGGGATCAACAACTCTGAGACAAAACGTTGTCTACACAAATGATGCCTCTGTCATGTGATAATAGCACAGACTACAGACTACTAACTACAAGAATCAAAAACCAATTTTTTTTCTGCTTCAAGCCCTATATATATATATATATATATATATATATGTGCGTGTGTGTGTGTGCGTGTGTGTGTGTGTGTGTGTGTGTGTGTGTGTGTGTGTGTGTGTGTGTGTGTGTATACATACATCAGATGGAAGTAAAACCTTGTTTGATTTTTAAACACTTATCTGCAAATGAATGCAGATCAGAAGCAGTGTTGGTGTGTTCTCTTAGCTCTTTACCTGTGTCTACAGTTGAAGAGGGTAATGACCAGTGAACAGAAGGGAAAATTCCCAGAATATCTGCTGACTGCTTTGAATGGCCCCAAATATTGGAAGTCACCTTCAAACAGTCGTCAGACTGTGCTGATAAGTTCTGGATGACTGGAAAACATTGGTGTAAATTGATGTGAAAGTGGTCATAGCTTGTTCTCCTCGTCACATATGATTTGATATTAGTCGGTTTGGTTGTTTCCCCTGCCTTCTGTCATATCTGCCGAGTGTGGAGACGTTCAGCAGGGCCTCGTGTTCTGCTCCAGGAGCTCTCCCCATTATTCTCTCACTTTGATCTGCATTTCTGCTCTTGTCTTTGGGAATAATTCAAAGCAATCCTTTGCAACTTTTCACAAAACCGAAACGCTGACTTATGCAGGAAAAGATGAGTCTGGATAACCCTCTGTGAATACTTTTGCATTTTCAGGGGCAAAATATGCTTGCGGTCGTGACTCTAAAGAATTGATTTTCATGTATTTCCGCATCCACTGAATGCCGCATGGAAACAACCCACATGGCAGTGTCACAGTGGAAGAACTCGCACACTAAATGGGCTGCTAGATGTTGTTAAAAACACCGTAAGAATCAGAGTATCAAAACATAAGACACTAAGGTGGTCATTAATATCTCTATGATGTTAACAAACTATAGAATGGGTTTTGAGATGCTTTGAATCCACAGTCCTGTGTGACTAATACACAGTAGCATTTCTGTGATAATGACCTCAATAAGGAACTAAAGGAGGTTTATCTCATTTCAGCGAGTGGTCATCTTGGGCAGAGTCAGTCTGTGATTGAATGAGTGCTTTTTAGTTTATGAGGTTTATGTTTTATTTTTCAAAGTCATACTTGTGACTTTATTGGACAGGTGGATTGAGCAGAAGAGTGTGTGGTGAGATGCAGGAAAAGATATGGACACCAAACTTTGTAACTTAGTATTTTTGTCTTGTGGATGTGGAAAAGCATGATACCCCCATTTAAATAAAGTCAGAAGTTTAACAAGCTGGAACAAGACCAAGCATTACCTCACGCTCCTTTAGGTGTGCTTTTCACAGAGTTACCCCTGGCTGGACAAAGTAAAACACCAGTGCAGAGAGATTTGGTGGTTAGTTTGGCAAACACAGGTTAGATAACTTTCCTACCACATCACTGCTTCCTTAAAAAGAAACTATTCTCAGCTTATATAGTGCTTAGACTCTTATGTGCCTGTATCTGTTACAGATTCATTATTGTGCAGGCACGGGACCAAAATCTTGATCAAGTTAAAACTCCATAAAAAAGTTATGAAGCACTTCAATGCATATGATAGTGAAGTGGTTTCTTTGATAGTCCCAGAGCTTTAGTGAATGATATTCTTGTGAAGTTATCATCCAGTGAGAAGGTTTGCAGGTGTTTAGGCACAAACACACTATCCACAGATTCAGGTTTCTAACAGACTCAATATTTTATTTAGCCTGTCTGAGGTGGCAAGATGAAAAGGAGAAGCCACTTTTATGAGGCTTCGGATCTGTTTAGGCTCATCTGTGAAGATTGATTTCTTTATTTTGTGATGTGTGGTTATCGATTTACACCTCAGAAACCCCACCTTGCCCTTGTGGTTCAACTCACACTTTGCAGCATTAATTCAAACTTACAGCACTTTTTCCAAGTCCTGGTCCATAGCTTCCAGAGAGAAGTGTTTTTCATTTTGCCAGGACTTTTTAAGCCTTACTCACAGACAGGGCTGTGAAGAGAGTGGAGAACTGGAGTGAGAGGGTGGGGAATGACATGGTAGAGGGGGCTGCAGTTTAGAATCAAACCAGTGCTGTCCAGTTCAGCTCCCAGCTTGTAAATCTCACCAAAGGGTGTAGAGGAGATATAATTGTTTAGGTGTAAGTCCTTCAGTAACTTTTTTTCAAGGATTTTAATTCTGCGGGTGATCAGATAAAAGTCAGATACAGCATTTATATCAAAGGTTTCTTTTGATACCTGTGTTGTTGTAAGGTTTAACAACTCTCATGCCTTTCTTGTGCAGGGCTCAGTGAAAACATCAGTATAGATAGTTTGTTTAAAATTCAGGTTCTTAGGACTCACTTTTAGCTTTGAAGGGTGTTTGGAGCAGCTCTATTGGGTGTATTTCCATACTTAATAATCATGGTATTATGGCTGATAGCGGCTATGTAGCTTGGCAGTCATCACATACAAATATATCAGACAGCTAGTTACCAAAGTTTAATCTATTTTCTTCCACATATCTGGGTCACGTGGGCATCAGTTGACCCAGACCTCCACCTCCCCCTTAGTGTTGTACAGCTCCTCGTGTAAGATGCTGAGGCAGTCCTCTGCCATATGGTATAAATTAGGGATGTGCGCGGTTATCCGGATATTCGTGTAAACAGGGCTGTCCTTACTATCCGTCAAGTAAATAATATTCGTTTATTCTATTAAAAAAAAAAAAAAGAAAAGGGGAAAAAAAGAAAAATTTCGTTTTAATTACGTTTTTACCGTCATGTCTTAATAAAAGTGTGCATTAAACAAGCTAAAATGTGTGGATCATTTGCGTGCGACTCTTTCTGCCTGGCTTGCTGCTCTGGGCTCGCAGCGCTAGCCTGCATGGCATCGTGGGTTAACTTCCCCAGAGTGAATCAACACATGCGATCAGCCAGAGTGATGTCGGTGAGAAAAAAGAGCAAAGTTTGGGAGTATTTTGATTTAGATAAAGATGGCACACAAGTGTCATGCAGATTGTGTCTAGCTAAACTATCATATAAAAATTCTACTGGGTCGCTGAGAAATCACATGACGTGCAAACACCTTGACGTAAATCTTAATGAAGGAGTGAGCCAGAGCACAACAATCCCACATTCCCACTCTTGGATAAATGTTATTCAAACTTAACAAAGCTGTCAGAGATGTTGAAAATAAATGTTGTTGAATGTGATTTTGTCTGACTCTAAAGACTCTTCAATTTGTGCTTATGGTGTGAGGCAGGCTGATGTCGCAGCAGGCTGCTTGGCTTGAGCGCAGCAGAGCGGAGCTTAATTGCTTTGATCTTTCACGTACTTGATGTCATTCTCCAGCGCTAAAATAAGATTTTGTAACATATTTTAATATTGTAAGCATGGCTTTCATGTACTCTTAACTTTTATTGCAGATGATATCTGGCCATATAGATCGACATGTGCTCAATTTGGGCTATTTTCTGGAAGTTAATTTTCGTGTATTCGAATATTCGGTTTCAAAATGGTCGTCTAAACGTCAGTGAAATTAACCGCTGGGAACATCCCTAGTATAAATTAACAATACCTCCAGCCGAACCCTGGGCCAACCCAAGTAAACAATTCTAAATCAGGGAAAAAGGGAGGTAGAATAAAAGTTCTGGTTGGCGAAAGTGTCTTTCTGCTGGCAGGGTTCTCCAGGTGCAGTAAATCAGTCTGTGAGCTCTGACCCTCTCAGCACTTTTCATGCTGCTAAAGGTGATAGCAGCTTATTTTGACTTTGTTAAAGGGATACCATGAGGTAATGCTCGTAAATTTTCTTCCTTGAGCTGTGAAACTCTGCCACACTTGGTGATCCCTCCAACTATTGTTATTTAGCATCAATTTTTAAAAGCCAATTGTTTATAAAACTTCTAATTGCGCCTACTTGATGCCAATGAACAAATCAGTGTGGCTATATAAAGTGGGATAAAAAAAGTAGACTCATAATATTTGTGTCCTCTCATGCGTTTCATGTGCCCCCTATAGACCAAGGTCTGGTGACGGGTCTGCATGGAGTATAGATGCTGTGAAGTGATGTATTGGTTTGCCCACTGCTGTTTGCTTGCAAGCTTTATGATTACTATTAGCATTCTGTGGAGCTGTGCACCAGAAAGAGAAAAAATGTCTTACCTAAGGTTCTTCTTCAGGGACATGCACTGTTTATTAGTGCCTCATAAAAAGCTTCTCAGGGGCCACTACCTTATGGACATACTGTTCAACAAGGTGCTCCAGATAACTAGATGGGGAGGCACTGGTTACCTAGGTAACCAGGAATAATCAATGCTAGTCAGGTAACCCTTACAGAGACAGAAAGGCCCAATGTTGGGACGTTTCTTTTTGCATCAGCAATAAAATAACAGGATTCATGCTGCACCTCCTCTGGCTGTGTATGCATCTGTGAATCAAAACTATAACCTAACCCTAATTTGTTTTATTATTTTAACTCAACATACATGTTCACTAATGTTCCAAATATTTCATACGTTGATTGAGTATGAGACAGATATGTTCAAATAAATTGTACAGCTGTAATCACACTACCAAGATGCCACAAAACTGGAGTATCATGACTTCAGGTTGTCGTACCACCTTAATCTCATACTTGCCTATGCCTGCTTGCAACCTCTCCAAAGAGAGGCATTCCATCAAGTGGCTGAACCACCTCAGTGGACTCCTTTGAACATGAAGAGTAACGGTTCTACTCTTAGGCTTTTACCAGATGTTCCAGCTCCAGGCCCTGTCTGTGAGACTGAGCCCATCTACTCTCTACAGGACTCTCATTTCAGCTGCTTCTATCCATGATGTCATTCTTTTGATGGATACCCAGAGCTTATGAACATACTGTAGGTGAGGGCTGGTAGCCTGGCCGGGCCATCCTGTTGCGTGAATCACTTGATGTTCCTTCCCACCACAGTCTGGACTTCGGCCCATAGAGAGTGTGTATTCCCGATCAGAAAATAACTGGGCCAATCAGAGAGCGTGTTTCCACTGTTACCCGGACAACAGGGAAAGGCAGCCCCTGATTGGTCCATGTGTAGTGGTGACGTCTAACACATGCTGCAGGACTTTTCAAAGCCCCGTTCATTCAGAACGCCGTTAATTCTGCAGTTGACTCTGCAAAGTCGGCAGAAATCATTTATATCTGACGTCTTCTGCGTATATGCCTACCATGCCTACCATTGTACCTTAAGTCATGGATAAAACCTCAGGGCACTTAAACTCCTTACTTGGGGAAAAGACTCACTCCTCAGAGAGATCAATCCAATATTTTTCCTGCAGACCAAAACCAAAGCTGTAAACCTTTAAGTGTGGTAGCATCAAAATCCTCAAAGCACAGTTTGTACAGTCGGTCTATGAGGCTACTTTTATCCCAAGCAGCAACCCTGCCCAACTGAGGGACAGTGTCATCTGACCAATATCTATTTCTGCAAACACAGTAATATAAAAGGCATTTTGTCATGGTCTATTTCCACGACAAGTTTGAAGTGTTGTGGTAGTCTTACACCAGAGGATGCTTCGAAAGAGTTTTTGCTCTGGGCACTGTGTCCTAAATAAAACTAAAAGAGTTGAAAACTGTGTACCAAATCCTCAGGTTACTAATGTTTCCAAAATTGACCTGAAGAGCAGCAACTAAAAGGCTTTAGATATCAAAAACACCTTGATGAGAGCATCCAGTCTTGGTCTTCTCTTTCTGTCTCTTTCTGGAGCATTGCTTGTTGTCCTGAGGAGTGCTATAGTGTTGTGCTGCAATGTCTTCAGTAGATGTCTTTCTCTCTTTATTCTTCTTTGAGTGTCTGTCACTTTAATACAAACACACACACTCTCTCTCTCACACACATTAACGCACACACTTGTCTGCAGATTGTCCACATCAGTCTGTGTTTCTCCGAAGTCCATTGGGAAAAGAGACAGCACAGGTGTAGGGAACAGCCTAGGTCATCTATCTGCTGGATTTCCGGAGGCCGGTGTATGAGGATGATAGAGTGAAAAACTATGAAGTAGTGGTCCATCAATCAGGGGAGTAATCAGTCAGTAGTCAGACCTGTGATGTGACTAATACAGAACAGGGGTGTTTCCTGACACTCACTACCTCTCATTACAGAGCAGACAGCAAACTTTCCCACCACTGGACTGCAGTTATTTAACAGAGGTGTGTGTGTGTGTGTGTGCGTGCGTGCGTGCGTGCGTGCGTGCGTGCGTGCGTGCGTGCGTGCGTGCGTGCGTGCGCACGTGCATGCATGCATGTGTTTGTATGTGCACGCCTGTCTGTTTTAACATGTTTGAGAAAGTGAAGCTAAGTAAGAGCGAGGGCATGAGACTTGTCTTTGTATTGCACGATAATGGCTGCTGGGCCATGAAATCTCCCAAGTGCCACACTGAGCTCCAGGCAGCTTGATCCAACCTGACAGGCTACATTTGGTCCAGGAATGAAGATGACAAAGAATCAAGGTCACATCATCACAGCCAGAGGAGATCAACAATCAAGTGGCTGGAAAGAAAAAAAAACAGGTAAAGGGAGGAAGAAAAAAGATTTGAGCAATACTGCCAATGCCTCTAATTCCCTGTCTGGTTCCTCTCGTTGACCAGGCATGTCAGGTGGTCTTTACACGAGTATCAATTTGTAAGACACCGTTAAAATAAACTGTCGTTCTGGTGATATTGACACACGGAGACCTATTTGTCCATGACTCCACATCTTTTTTGAAAACGGGTCTGCAGATGGATATCTGGGTATTTTGTCCTCATGCCGTAGTTGGTGTAAATAGATAAGTCCAGAAAAGACGGTGACCTCATAGCACCCCTCTTCCTCCCGCCCCCCAACCCACGTTGTCACACACACACAGCATGTATGTATGCACATTCTCTGTTTTTGGTGCTTTGTGGCAATTTCACAGTGTCACCTTTAGGCCGGGCATATACACTACAGGATTTTGCATGGATTTTGCGTTGTCATGTAAATGCACTAAGCCTATGTACAATATGATGTGTAAACAGCGATGTTTACACGTTTCGGTGCCGACGCCAAGACAATACGGGGCCGTCCTCATGTGAGGAGAGCCTCAAATACCTCCAAGGTGATTTGGAAGGGTAGAAATGTAGGCAAGAAACATGGAGCAAGGGATAGGATTTACTCTAAGAAGAAGAGGCAAAGAAGAGGCGGTTTGTGAAGAGGAATGATGAACACTGGGGGCCTGAATGAGCTGCCAGAGCACAGCGCAGCACAAACGCCACCGCTCCCCTCCCTCAGCTTTGGCTTTCCAGGATTCTCATTAAAATGCATTAGACACTCTGTGCTGCCCTGTGCCGCCTTTCACCACATCATTGGGATACTTATCATCTACAGAGCAAACAGATATACTAACCAGCAACACTGGGGGAAGCTTCGGTATCAGCCTGGAAAGCAGTACTAAGAGAGCAGTGGCTGACAGACAGTTCAGGTGGGGGAGGGATGGTCTTAAATTGATTTTTATTGAAAATGATGAATGATGAAGGAATGAAACGAGTGAAGAAAAAAAAAGTTACAGGTCAGTGGACTTTCTCCCCAAGTCTAAAAAGGAGCAACCACTTTGGAGAAATTTGTTAAATTGTGACCCTGAAGGAGCCCGCACAGAAAGCTGCTAGTCTTCTGATAAAGCTGTTCTGAGTTATGCCCAGGTATCTGCAGTTAGTTCCATTTGATCTTAGGAAGAGTGGCTGTAATGATGCTGCAGTCTCTACCACTGATATCAAATGACTATTAAGATGGCAGTATGCAAGAGCCTATGGTAAGACAGTCATGGAAAGGTGTCTCTGGTCCGCAGAGTTAATAGGATATTCAGATATCTGGCTGTAGCCGGCAAACACTGGAATTTCTCTTTAAAACAACGGCAGAAGCTCTTTCAGTTTTATGGTTTACCAGCTCATTTTCCTACATGTTTGCATTTCCCAGCCTCCTTTTTTCCTCAAACCTCAAGTGAAAAATGATCTAGTTGTTTATATACAGTTTCTATAAAGGTCTAAAAGATCTGTATTGTGTCATTGGATGGGGTTTAAGGCTTTAAATTCTTTTATATACTTAAGTATGTATGAATGTAACGCTGTTTGTGAGTGCTGACAGGCAGCTGAAGAAAAAGTGTTCTACATGTGGGCGTGCCACCTCAAGGTTTTCCCGGCAGAGAAATCCAATAGCAGAGGTTCTGAGGTTCAGAGAGGTTGTGTGTTTTCTTACTTGCCCCCTGGTCTTAAATGGTGCCCAGACCGATGTGTGTGTTACAGCGTTGTGCTGCGGTAAGTGTGCACACCTCTGGTTTCTCATTTTTTTTAAGTGCTGAAAAAATGAGGTTCAAAACCAGTGCATAAATTTCATCATAGTGTCATCAGCCCAACTCCTCACCCTGGCATTTATGAAATCTCTTGTAATTATTAGCCTGTTAGGAAATGATAGTCAGTACAAAGTCAAATGTTGATGTAACTGGGCTAACAGGGGCTGGGAGGGCTGTTGTTACTGGATCACACAGCTATTGTGGATCCAAATCCTGAATCCTTTATTTCAATGCAGGAATGCCTATCAGTAAATGCAATTTCGTTGTGCATAAGTTGCAATGACAATAAAGACCACACCATACTATTAAGCAGGAGTTTAACTGAATAAAGCCATCATGAGCACTGATTATTAGCTTTACATTTAAAAACCACAAATAAGGTTAAAGAAGTCAGTCATTGTTAAACCCAATTACTCATGAGTTGACATTTGCATTACGGGTTTGTAAGTTCGGTGTCCACACTAGATGAATGCAAAGTTTCAAATTGTGAGATAAAGGTATGTTTTCATAATCTTAAAAAAAACAGATGTTAACTGCTCAAAACGAGAGCCTGCGTGAAGACTTCAGACTCACTAGACTCACCCACAGCGGAGTGGGGAAATGCTGTTCTGACATCCCCCTCAAGGAAGGTCTAACGGTTATGATTAAACAGGATAGAGGGGGCGGGGCCAAAACAAAGGAAGAGGGGTATGTCGAAAGAGCTAGGTGATTGGATGGAGAGGCGAAGCAGGAGATTGACCAATAAGAGCTGTCTGGGATGGATGGCTCTCATTGGTCAATGTTTTTGCAGCCCTGCACCTGCTAGGGTGAACAGATTTTTTTCCATTCTTTTTTTTCTTCACTTTGTGGAGATCGCAATATTGGACCATAATCGCCATATATACAAGGTTCATAATAATTACCATTCTTTCCAGTCGTCAACCATGCCTTTAAGTGCATCATTACATCCCCATGAATCAATCTTCAACCAGATGTAGAAGTCTTTATAAAGGGCTGACTCCTACCCAGGAGCTGGCCCTTACTTAATCCTCTTAATCACCAAATGTCAGTGCCTCTAAAATTTAGTCCCAATCGTGAGCTGTCTCTTTTTATAGATCTTACACAACAGTTTCCTCAAAATAATGTCATCTAAATCTCCATGTAGCTGCTATCATGTCACTAGTTTATTTGAGATCTGTGGCACCATGATGTACAGTTAAAGTAGAGGAGTAATCCAATTTACAGCCCAATGCAAATGTGAGTTTTATAAATACAAGGCAGACATGTTCTCTGATTTCCAGTGCAAACCTAATTTCTTCAGGTAACCTGATTTCTTCAGAGCTTATGATGTTGGTGGCAGAGAACATGCACCGTTAGAGAAGCAACAGAGGTCAAGAGTCTGAGAGAAGTATAAATAGGACAGGATGAGGCTTCCTAATGAAATTTAGCTCATAAGAGTTAGAAACTCTGAATGAAGCCAGTCAAGCACCCAGCCAACCCAGAGACATATATTTACATAAATTACATATTTACAGCCCTCTTCAAGTGAAGGCCCATTTGAGTTGTTTTTGTCTGCCTGCAAACAACAGAACAAAACACAAAAGCCACAATTTTAAGAACATACACCATTAACAGAGTACAGATGTGAGGTCTGAGCCTCTCTTGGCCTTTAAAACTTTGGCCAAGGCATATCAAATGTTAAAAAAGACACATTTTCTAGTAGGGATGCACAATATTTATCGGACCGATAAAATATCGGCCGATTTGGGGGGAAATTACGTCATTTTTTATCGGTCCGATAGGTGCATTTTTCCGATAGAAAGATCCGATATATTAATGAAATTACGAGTAACGTTTGCAGGCGGAGTAGCCGCCCGTCCGAGACGCGCTGGTTACGTCATCTATCGCGTCTTACTCGCAGGTCCCAAGCCTGACCCTGTCACTACCTGACAGATAATAAAATGTCTTCACCAGCATGGTCGTTTCTCTCAGTGGCAGAAGATGACAACAGCATTGCTATATGCAAAACCTGTTCAGCGAGGATTCCGAGAGGAGGAAAGAAGACGTCAAGTTTTAACACAACGAATCTGATAGCTCATCTGAAAAGTCGCCATCGCGGTGAGGCGGTAGTAAAAGAATATGAGACAGCCGCCGAAGCTGCTAGCGGTACTAAAGCTAAGACAACAACACTACGGAGGATCGATGTCCCCATTCAGCAGGCGTTTAAGAACTGCAAAAGTTTCTCAAGAGACAGCGAAAAGGCTAAAGCCATTAACGACAAAGTGATGGAGTTCATAGCGGTCGACGACCAGCCTTTTTCCGTCGTTGAGAACCCGGGTTTACGTAAGTTAATAGCACACTTGGAGCCACGTTACACTCTCCCAAGCCGCCGCGTCTTCTCGGATGTGTCTCTTCCTGCACTCTATGATATTGTCGCCACATACATTCACAACCTGATCGACAAGAACGGACTACACGTGAGTTTTACCACAGACATATGGACGTCAGATGTTAGTCCGGTCAGCATGCTAAGCCTAACGGCTCATAATGGCTCCTTTACAGTTTACAGTTCTGTTGAACAGTTCAGGGGATCAAATGAAGTTCTGCTTTTTGCTCTGTTATTGTTATTTATAGCAAATGACCATATTTGAAGAGCCAAAAACTTTTTTTTGTTGTTCTAGATAGGCCAGAGCAACAAAAATATCAGTTTTCAATCGCTGCATCCTGCACAAACTGCAGATTATATGAAGATTATAATAAATGTAAAAATATGAATTTATCGGTTATCGGTATCGGTATCGGCCATGAGAAGAAGAAAATTATCGGTTATCGGTATCGGTTGAAATTTTTCATATCGTGCATCACTATTTTCTAGTTTTTGTTCTCATTTTAATTTTAATATCAGCCACAAACTCTGACACAAAACTCTGATAAAATGTTCAACTAACATCATACAAAAGAGAGTGAAGTTAATGTGAGTGAAAGTACAGGTGTGTCATACTGTCATGTATGACTGTGTTGTGGGTGGGACATGAGATAAGACAAAGTGGTGCAGAAAAAAAGACCCTGAGGGTAAGGCATGCACCAGACAGCAGAACCACTTTTCAATTAGTTCATTTTATTGTCCATCTGTACAGTAAAAGGTTAGAAAGGAAGTCTTCCAAATATCAGCCCTGATAATTAACCAAGGCTGATAAGCAGTCTACTTGTACATTATGTAAAGTTGATATGAAGTTTCTTGAAATGAGAAAAGAGATGTTGTTAAAAAAAAAAGTGAGTTTTTTCTTCTCACGTTGGCAGAATTTGTTACTCATTCTTATATTTAGCCTGTAACACCTTAAAAAATGACATATTTCTGGACTTGTCTTGTGAATGCAGCTGTAATGGGCCTCTTTTTTCTAACTAGATATTAGAATGGAACCCTTACGTTTTGTGTTTGAGTTTTGGCAATGTATGGACATTTTGTTAGCATTGAAACACTGGGCTGCATTTGGGGATATCATTTCTCCCTCCAGTGGGTCTGCCTCTTTCAGCTTCACTCAGTACTCCAAGTCAGATCCAGATTACGCGTGATACGGTAGAAGTATTAGAACAAGGAGAAGTGGACAAAGTATCAGTGAGGTTATCAGGCATTTAAGTTCTCCATCACTACGACAGGTTTCTATCAGACCGGAGAAATGAGAGGGAGAAAAAAAAAAAAAACTACACGTTTTTTTGTTGTAGTCCCGTTAAGGCATCCAGTCAAACAATTGTACAGGCTTTAACAGATACTGCTGTCTACAAATAAAGCCAGCCAGAACCATAGTTTTAGCCAATCAGGGAAAGAGAAGGGTGAGATGTTTTTGCAATGCATGGTGCTCAGGGGTACCAGAATGCCCATCAAAGTTTAGCTAGATCACCAGAAAGTGGGGAAAGTTAACGCGGTTGGGCGATACACACACACACACACACACACACACACACACACACACACACACACACACACAGGTTGATGGTGGAGTAATATGATTTAGAGTAGAAAACATTTTCAGTCCTCAGATGATTTTTAGCCTTAATCCCTGGGTTAGTTAACAGCATTTACCCTGAGACAGTGAGTATGGACATGAGATCATTCCTCAATGTTGGCAGAGCTCAGGAGACAGATCTCATCTCACATTTGATTATTTTTGGAACTGCTCTGACCTTTTCCTAATTTAAACATTTTTATTCCCTGGCTGTTTGTCAGCACCGCTGACAAGATACAAAGTAAGTTATCTTCAAGGTCAGTTTAAACACACACATACGTGTGTTTGTGCACACACTCACAGGGTCCAGAACAGTCACACTGTGTTTAAAGTCTCCTTCAGTCTGATTTTAACCTGCATGTTTTTAAACAAACCTGACCAGCAGCAGAAAACAGCTCCCTGTGTCCAGGTCTCTGTTAAGAGCCCGTTAAATGCGATGATGCAAATGAGGGTGTTTAGTGCGTGCTGCGGTGTCTGCAGTGGCTTTGACATTTCAAGCTTTCGGTTGCTGGGCTTGGGCAAATTGCGGAGGGCATTGGTATGTGTCCCTGTGGGATCCAGTGTGCAGTGAGAGGATTTAAGCAGCACTGCTGGCACTGTTAGCCTCACGCTGCCCTTGTCCTTGTGGAGTGAAGGAGCATGCAGGATGCAGGCTAACGTTAGTCTCACTGACAGTTTCCTCTTCACACTTCATTTCACTTTATTCTGGGTGCTGTGTCAGCAGCAAGGTGATGTGCCAGTGTTCAGTGTCTGTGCTGCTTTGATTTACAGCCTCTCTCCCTGACATTTTGTCATGAAACATAACATCAGCCTGTTTACCAGCGTGACACGCTGCAAATGATTTCTGAAAATGTGAGGACAAATCTTTTCTTAGTAATCTTCATCAGCTGCTCTTTTTTTCTATGATTAAAGTACATGCATTTGCTTTTAAACAAGATTCACCTCAATTTTCTTCATCTTGATCATGTCCGCTAAAGGACTTGTGATTTTATCATAGTTGGACATTTTCAAACAAATGCATCATTCACAGGATGCCTAGTTTGTCCAGATCCACGATCCTCTGTATGGTTTTGCTCACAATCTACAAAGTTGATCTTGCGTATTACCAAAAACAAAACAAAAAAAACACAAAAAAAAAAAAAACAGGTCCATGCAGATTTTAAATCTCTATGACGTGAAGGAAAACTTCTGGAGAGATGCAGAAGAGTAGCAGTCAAATCAAGGAGGATTACTTGAAGGTGAAGCTAGCGTGTTTGTTCACAAGTCCTGCCATTGATTCACTTAGTGGCAAAATTAATAGTCTTTGGGTGGGAGACAAAGCATTTCATCGTACAAAAGTTAAACCATGCAATTAGAAAAGATAATGCAGTGTAAAGCAAAGAAACCTGTTTTCTTTAACTTTGAGATGACCATGTATTCACATTTTGTATTCATTCCATTTAAACAAAATACATTCGGTCTGTTTATGTGAAATTAATCCACTCTGTTAGTTAGCAATATCAGTCAAACATACATGTTTTTAGAGGTCCAGTTCAGTCAGACTAAGGCAGTGAATCGTTTCTTTAAACAGCATGTAGACCTTCTGTTTCCTTGGCTGGGCTCCTTAATGGTGAATGACTGCATTACTTTGGTTTAGCAGTTATGCGCTCAGCCTGTAGCACAGACTGCTCTGTTTTTAGCTCTTCTGTACTTTGGGTTCAAGTGTTTCTCATCTTCCTTTTCACAAATATCTCAGGTTCGATGAGAGGAGTTGGCCAGCCAATAGGCTCAGTAACATCATGGTTTTTCCATCCTTGATGATTTTATATTAGGTAGGAATTTTGGCATTGTAGGCAGGTGTCCTGCTGGAAAAGCATCTCCTTGACTTGATCAGATGCAGTGAGCCAACACTACCAGCCCCATACAGCCATAACCGTTAGACCTTCCTGGAGGGGGATGTCAGTGAATTACCCATTACTGTGACTCTGCTCACAGAACTAAACAGGGAGAGAGATGGTATCTCTTCTGTTTGAACAGTGATTTTATCAAACTCACAATGAAATGTTATAATATTTTTAAGCTGCAGGCCACAGCTGTCAAAACTCAATAACTACATTGCTTTATGCGTAATGCAACTAGAATTCAATATTGACCTGCTGAAATAAAAGATGGAAATATGAAACTGTTTCAGGACATCCTAATTTGTTGAGATGCACATGTTGGAGCAGAATGAAACAAACACAAAATCAAAGAGTTCATTGACATATCTGCCACAGGTCTTGTCTTGTGTTCAGTCTTGTTTGTGTCTTCTCTCATAAGTATTTTGCAGTGCAGTATCATTGTTCACAGAGTCGCCTGTTTTGGGTGAGTTAAATCTGATTCAGATTACTTCCTGCCGGAGGGCCAGCTTCAAAGAGAGGCTACCTTAAATCCCATTTCCTCACAAGCTCAGACAAACCATTCCTCTCCCTGCGCTCAGCTGAGTGCAGTTGCATGCTGAACTCGAAGCACACTTAATGTTGCTGTCAAGCAATTAATTTACACGAAACATTAGCAGCAAAGTAAGTAAGTTAGTCCTCAGATGGGTGTTTAGCATACTAGTTGTCTTGTGTTTGCAGGCAGCTGCTGGCCGTTAAGCGTTGGTTGATTTAGAGTCCCTCAATGACTCACTTGTTCTCTCAGTATGCAGATGAGTTGAGAGCAATACTCTTGTTCTTTTCTCGGCGCCTTTTCACAGCGTAATTTGTCTTGACATATCTAGGGAGGGTGACAGGAGATGTAAGGTTAGGAAAATGTCTCATTTGCTCTCCGAGGTAAACAACCACTATTCCCAAAGGTGAGAGCTGAAACCTGCTCTGATCTATCACTGGATTGTAGTGCTTGCATAAAGAGCACTGCAGTATTATAAGCCTGATTATTGATCTGTTCATTATATCATTGTGTTTTTGTTCTGCTGGTAATGAAGTCTTCAGATTTCTGTTTTGTCGTGACGTTTGCCTTGTAATTAGTTTTTTATTATATTGATGATTTGTTTTCCTCTCCTCCCTCCACCCCTCCCACTTTCTCTCCTCCTCCTTGTTTACAGAATTTCCGGGTGGTGGATGTCTCGTCGCCTCCGTGTGAGGTCGGGGGCCAGTTGGAGTCAGGAGGTGGGTCCTGGGCAGCAGCAGTGATGCGTGCATCTGTGGCAGGCTGCAGGATGAGTGTGGGTGCGCTCCTGAATGGGCTGCTGGTCTCTGTTGTCGCAGCGCTCCTGTGGAAATACTCCAAGCTGAGTGAGCATGCTGCCCTGCTGGAGGAGGAGCTGCACATGACACGGCAGTCTCAGGAGCTCTCCCAGGCCCGGATTGACTACCATGTCGCCCTGCAGGCTCTTCAGGAACATGGCACCCGCATGGTATGCACTGGGAAGATGCACACTGACCGCATCTGCCGCTTTGACTACCTCTGCTACAGCTCAGAGGCAGAGGAGTTTGTGTTCTTCCACTCTAACTCCTCCGTCATGTTGCCTAACCTGGGTTCAAGGCGCTTCCAGCCGGCCCTGCTGGACTTGTCCTCGGTTGAGGACCACAACACCCAGTACTTCAACTTCCTAGAGCTCCCTGCTGCTACTCTAAAGTTTATGTCTAAGCCCGTGTTTGTACCAGATGTAACTCTGATACTAAACCGGTTTAATCCAGACAACCTGATGCATGTGTTCCATGACGACCTGCTCCCAGCCTACTACACGATGAAACAGTACTCAGACTTGGACGATGAGGCTCGTTTGGTGTTTATGGAGGGCTGGAGTGAAGGCCCACACTTTGACCTCTACAGACTCCTCAGCAGTAAGCAGCCACTCCTCAAAGAACAGCTGAGGAACTTTGGAAAGCTCATGTGTTTCACTAAGTCTTATGTCGGTTTGTCCAAAATGACCACATGGTACCAGTACGGTTTTGTCCAGCCACAGGGTCCTAAAGCTAACATGCTGGTGTCAGGTAATGAGATTCGTCAATTTGCCAGGGCTCTGATGGAGAAAATGAACATCACAAGTGTGGAGGAGGTTGAGAAAGAAGGAGGTAGCTCTGAAGACGAGAAAGAGAAAAAGGATGAATACATTGTGGTGTTTAGTCGCTCTACCACCAGGCTGATCCTGAACGAAGCAGAGCTGATCATGGTGCTGGCTCAGGAGTTCCAGATGAGAGTGGTCACTGTGTCTTTAGAGGATCAGTCTTTCCCTAGTATAATCCAGGTCATCAGTGGTGCTTCCATGTTGGTCAGCATGCATGGGGCTCAGCTCATCACCTCACTCTTCCTCCCCAGACGAGCTACTGTGGTGGAGCTCTTCCCCTTTGCTGTAAACCCAGAGCAGTACACGCCCTATAAAACCTTGGCCTCTCTGCCAGGTATGGACCTTCATTACATCTCTTGGAGAAACACCAATGAAGAGAACACTGTCACCCACCCAGACAGACCCTGGGAACAAGGAGGGATTACACACTTGGAGAAAGAGGAGCAGGAGCGAATCCTCGCCAGCAAAGATGTCCCAAGGCACCTGTGCTGCCGCAACCCAGAGTGGCTCTTCCGGATCTACCAGGACACGTTGGTGGACATCCCATCTGTCTTGGAAGTCCTCAAAGAGGGAATGAAGTCAAAGCCCAGCATGAAAAAGTCAAAGCCAGCAAGCTTAGTCCACCCAGGCCGGGTCAGAGAACCACAGTGTCAGACTTCAGTACAAACAACCAACGAGGCTAAACTCACCGTCTCATGGCAGATCCCCTGGAATTTGAAATACTTGAAGGTGAGGGAGGTGAAGTATGAAGTGTGGATCCAGGAGCAGGGAGAGAACACCTATATGCCTTATATCCTTCCCCAACAGAACTACACTTTCTCAGAGAACATTAAGCCCTTCACCACCTACCTGGTGTGGGTTAGGTGTATCTTCAACAAGAACCTCCTGGGACCTTTTGCAGATGTTCTCATGTGCAGGACCTAGTGCAAACATCTGCTTGTCTGTTGGTTTCTGTGCAGTTTTACACAGAACTTGAATCATGCCTGATCCAGTTGGTCAAAGTGGAGATCCGTATGGTTACAGTTTTTTCCCGAGGAGTCAGAAGGCATATCTCCACAGCTGTTGGACCCTGATGAAGAGATGTTTGTTCGGCCATCAAAGGAAACAGACTTATGGATTAACTGAAAAAAAAAAAAAAAAAAAATTTGAAGCACAGGGTCTGAACTTTATAACAACAACCATGAATGAATAGAGAGACTATTTCCTGTTCCTATGAAAGACAGAAAGAGCTAAACTGTGTCTCTAGCAGACTTCAGATCTACAGAGTTATTTATGTGCAGAATAATATATGCTGTTTTTTAGTATTAGTCCAAACACTGGTTCTTTACCTTTTACAGTATGCAATAGAGCTTCTCTGTGGAGAGCAAGAGAGATTTTAGAATATAGAGATTTTTTATGTTTTTGACTTGTCTCCTGTCTGCTGTGTGGCTGATATCTGTGCGGCTCAGTTCAACGACCATTTATCTCATTACCTTCACCTTCTCTGCAAAACCAAAACCAAAGCAATTTTTTTCCACCTGATTTCAGCCAAACATTATTCATGCCATTATGCTCTCATGTTACAGATTTCTGCTTCCTCTACTGCTACTGAGAACTTACAGGTTTTGTAAGGAAAAAAAAGTCAAGTAAGAGTTTTATGAATGCCATAGTTATTAACATTAGAGGAAAGTACTTCAGGCACTTTGAAGAGTTTTAATACTAATGTCTCTCGAGTAAACACGATTGCTTATTTCATTGAACAGTAGGTTAATTGCAGGTTTTCCATGAGTCATTCTGAAATGTGTATATTCAGAGTCCTGGTAAAGTTTGGCAGTGAGAAGTAAAGCAAGGGACACACTCAAAGATAATTGTGCTGGTTTTGGCCCTGATCCTCCCCTTCCAACTAAAATCAGATTAACAGATGGTTTTTAAGATTATCTTGACAGATCATCCGGTGCCGTGTGGTGATCTACACAGAGGACATAATCAATATTTGTGATTAGAAATTCTTATGTGGGGAAGAGCATGCACTGTTGATTATCATTGAGTAACCGTAAGCTTCCACAGTCCACCATGTTTGTTCACTTTTAAGTCACGTTTGACCACAACAGATTTCACAAGGTATCCAGTTCAGAGGGCTGGTTCATTGTTGCACACCACACACACATCAGAAGCAAAACTGTCAGGATTAGCAAAAAGATGGACAGTTGAGTTGAAGTTTAGCTTTAAACATAAAGACTACAACCAGGGCTGTCTTAGGTGAAAGAGGAAACAGGTCAGGTGTCAAACAGTTTGCGTGTTTGTATTAGTCAGACAATAGAGATACCAACACACACATCATTAGATGGGGTTTGTTGCCACCTGTCATAAGCTGACTGAGTTGTCTGCTATGAATTAGGGTCCTCATCACTCTACGTAGAGTACAAAGATGTCTTGAACATCTAGAATTTAAAAGAAAGATTAGTATTTCATTTATTTGCTTCTGAATGAAAGTCACAAATCTTAATTACCACGGGGAGATGGGGCTCATGGGAAGTGCAGTTTTCATCCCAGAAAAACTAGACTGTGTGTGTCCAAAGGTTCAGCAGAATCACCCTAACATGAAAACTACTCACAGTGTCTTTAATGAGCCATTTGAAAGAAGTGTTTTCCAGCAGCTGCAGTATTTAACACTCATTTTCCTGCCAAAATCAACGGTTTTTGTCTAATTGGTACTAATTACATCTGTAATGATGATGATTTTCTGTAGAGAGGGAGTCTGTTACATTAGGCTTTAATTAGTGTGAAGCTGCTCTCAGTATGCTGCTGGACAGTTGGTTTTTAATGACTTGTGTAAAACAGTTTTATTAAGATCAAGTCTGTTGCCACACAGTTTTACTGCCTTGTTTTCAGCTCTGTTTATCAGAATAAGGTCCGTATACAACATTTTGATTTCTGGATAGAGGGAGAGTCTTTTTCAGTTGAAAGGATGGTCATCTATGCAGGCCTGTGCCCTTCAAAGTCACTGATCTATTGGAAAAAAAATTCCATGATCTAGTTGAAGGAAAAAAGTCTCAAAAGCGACCAAATCTTTGAAAGAGGGTAGTCAGGTGGTAATAGATGCATGTGATGAGCCTGACATGGATGTGAGAGAGGAGGCTGTTACCAGACTGAGGATTTAGAGCAGTCTAATACCATTTTGTGTTGTGGAGTTACGGATAAGCTAAGTTTGAAGTTTGAAAAGACCTTATGATGGTTGTATTTGCTGCTCCTGGTTGATAAAACATCTGTTATATGCAGTGACACCATGACACTTTACAGCCAGCCTGCAGACATTAGTGAATCACGTAGGTAGTTCAAAGCTGCATGCAGGGCGGAGGCCTAAAATAAATTCTATGTTCTTTGGTGGAGCAAAGCTGAGGGCAGTTGATGTGAAACGTCTCTGATTTCAAGTTTCAGTCCCATTGCTTGATTTTTGGATAGATTTGAAATTAAGCATTGGTGTTTTCAGCCATACTAAAACACTTGTTCTACAAAGTTTCATTCCTCACTGATGTAACACAGTGTTAACAACGTTGTGTATGGCATTCCTCTATAACCCTGACATTGAAATGTTGTCTGATGCTCCAAAAGCTATACATTAAAATGATAAATGTGTAGCACATATTGTAGAGTAAATGGGTGGACATGCAAATTCAAGTCTTGTCTTGTCTCACCCTGAAGGCATTTTGAATGCCTGAACCACCTGCTTACCCTAAAATATCCCAATTATCACCCAGATGCCAAATAAAAACTAACTCAGGTTAACATCAAATATTTATCCAGAGATGAGTGTAATTGATTTAAAAATAGGGGTGCACAATATTAGATTTTTGCAGATTCCAGATGCCGATACTTTCAAACTGATATTGGTTGAAACCAATATTGATATCAACATGTAGAGAATGTAGTTCCTCCTGTCACAGAATTACCCATTACTCTTGTCACGACAGACTTCTTGTTTTACTAACAGACAAACACAGCAGAAGGTATCTGATTCTACCAAGAACTAAATGTAAATTAAGTAAATTTTTTAAAAATCAAGACATTCATCAATGCCTCTTTTTTACAGCTGTCATCGTGTGCATGTTATCAGTGCATCAGTTCTTTGGCCGATTATTACATCCGCAGAAATGTTTATGTCAGCCAATACCGTTATCACGACAATAATATTGTGCATCCCTATTTCACAGTAATTGATTTGTACCACTGAAATGAAAAACCCATCAATCCTCCGGTCAGTGTTTCTTATCAGGCTCCTTGTGGCATATATTAACATTAAATAACATTTTAATTCATGGTCAAGTGAAAACATTATCCCGCTTATTGTATAAATGACACAAACTGAACATTTCCATTAAAGGTAAGATTAGCCGAGGTGAACAAGATTTCTGCAGAAATGTTATTTTGTCCTCTTTTTCCTTATAAAGCTCTCCTTTTCTGAGCTTTGCAGTTGAACACCTTTAAACGTAAGTGAGGTAAATACCACATCTGCTGCTTATATCACTGCTGTTTACATCTAAACCACTGTATAGCAATCAGGAATGCTGAGACACTCTCACCAGCTCTGCTGTCCTTGCATGGATTGCAGGACAGGATGTTATTCATTTCCCCTATCAAGAAATGGTTGCAAGTAAAGCTGCTCTGACATTTGTGCCCACTAGTCATCATTTCCCTACTCTAAACACTGATGTTTCTGTCACACAGTCAACAGAATCTAGTGGATCAGACAGTCTCGTAGAAGGGAGAAACCCAGTTGATTAGACACCCCAAAAAGAAATCTTTGACCTGCAGCAACCTTAAATTCAGAGCTGTTACAGTCTGTGTCGCCTCATTTGTTGCGAAGCGTTTGTAGCAAGACAGTGAATATTATTTTTGGACACCTGAACTCGTGGTGTCAGTGTTTGATGGGATAGATGTATCAGGAGATGGTTCAGGGGATGGTGGGGGTTAAAAAAAAACTGCCACCTGCTGTGTGAGGGCACTGTTTAGACTATCCATCTTTGGCTTTATGAGCATCTCCAAAACCTTTGTGTACCTTTGTATTATCCTCAACACATAGATGATTTCACCATTTTTCATTTTGCCAAGCATCCCTTTCTCATGTCACACACACCCCCCCCCCCAAAAAAAAAAAAAAAAAAAAGTTCTCAAATGCAGTTCTGTTTGTCGATGCATGTTCAAGAGATTCTTTCAAACCATTGTTGTGTATGGAGGATGTGAGGGTTTAGATAAGTACATGTTTGTATTGTTGGTTTAGATATCTGGAAAGTGTCACATTGTATGTGCTGAGTGAAATGAGTGTCTGTTTTCTACGTTAGCTGATAGTTTGAGTTTCTTTTACAGTACCTGTGATTGAATAAAGAAGCTTGTTTCTTACAGTTCCTGCTGGTTTCAGAAAATGTTGTGACAACTCTACCATTTGGATAACTTGCAAACAACACAACCTAGACCCTGTTAACCACCATAAGAGGTAAACTGGTAAATTTCAGCTGTGTAGAGACATAAAAAAAGTAGAGAGCTGTTGGCTTTTCAAAATGGTGAAGCTATATGAATATCAATTATTTCGAAAACTGGGAAAAGGGCTTATCCAGGTTCCTGAAATACCTTCATAAACTAGAGATCTCCAATATTCGAACTCTGAGAGAGTTCATTAAGCACCATTTGATGGAAATACTTTGATTAGTACATCTGAAAGGAGCCCCATCTGACAAAAGCAAAGATGATGCATCAAATATTGAAACCGAAACATCTTTGAATGTTTTCAAATAGTAATATTCTCATTTAAAATGTGATGCTAGGATGCCAAGTGGTGACAGGAGCATGTTTGCTGTTGTGTTGCATCACTTCATGTGATCAGATGGTAAATATCTGAAAACCCAAAAGTTAATTCAAGAAAATCTGAAAGTGAAAAAAATAAGGGAAACAAAAAGGCTGAAATAAACAAAAGCTGGGAGGGTGCTGGGCCAGCTGCACAATGAAGTGCCACTCCTAAGGAAACAAAAACACCCAAAACTGAACTATTAGCAGCTTTCAACCCACACCAACACAATAAACTAAAAAAAGAGCTCAAAGTCTAGACACCAAACCACACTCCTCCCTCAAAGCTGTCAACCCCAGTCTCCTCTGTCCTCTGTCCTCCATCCTCAGCCAGCTGGGAGTCCTCCTGGACCCACCATTCTAAGAGTTTTTCCAAAGCTTTAAAGTTGGCTCAAAGGAGAGAGGAGGGAAATCAGAGGAGAGAGGATACAAGAGGGCTGCCTTCACAAAGATCTTTTCACTGACAGACAAGCCCCCTTATTGAAAACTACTTGGATGCTGCAGAACACTGGACTTAAAACTTAGCCCCTGAACATTTGTTGGTTTTTTCAACAGTCGGTAAAGAGAGTGGGCAGAGCTAAGGCATGAGTGAATGGAGCAAGTCAGAGTAAAACTTTGGAGCCTTGATACGTACACATGGGTGGCTCAACCTGCGATGAACTGTGTTTGTGTTTACAGACTGGGTTTATATCAGTATCTAACTCTGGGTTGAAACTCGATTGGAATTGGTATTGTAAGCAGCTTTCACATGTCCTGGCACCTTGGTGATCAAAATAGTTACAAGTAAAGTAAAGAACCATATTAGTAATCTAAAGGTGTTTTACTTTTAATGGTACTCCCAGTGTGTAGAATAAGCTACTGAATATAATGTGGGTCTACAATTTGTCAAGAGTACATAAAAGGAGCAAATACATCAGAAAAAGCCGATAGCAGCAGAGGAAGGTATCAGGTGTCTAGGACGATGGGCTGGTTTTCCCGGACAGCTTCTCTTCTCAGAGGTTCCCACTGTGCTCTCTGAACCCCGGGCTATTTTCTGCCAGCTTAACCGCACAGACACGATGCTGCCTGACAGGTGCAGATGGGCATCATGAGGCTAAGTGACAGTGGCCTTCCCTGGAGCAGGAGAGGGAGCCTGCAGCAGCACCCAGAGATGGACCACTGTGCAATGGGTCTGTGTGTGTGTGAGAGAGAGAGTGTATATGTGTGTGGGAGCAATAGAGCTGCATAAATCAGCTGCATACTTTACACAGAGGGTGAGGAGTCAACTCTGACTGACACTCAAGATGGTGAGCAGTGGAAAGGTAAAGATGGTGTGAGGCTCAGATGAATTGTAAACCTGTTTTTATGCCTGACAAGAGAGCTGGTGTGTTTCCATAAACCTCAGGAGTTTTTTTCTGTTTTTCTTTGCAGGCGCTGAGTATTAGTCCACCTCTCCAGAGTCCATTTATCATCATAAGTGCTGAAATTACATGAAATAAACCTGCTTCTTTCCTCCACTCTCCATCAGTGTTTCATTAGCTCCGGTGTTCACATGGAGCTGCAGTGACAGTCTGTGAATTCATCTGTGTTTTCATTTTATTTTCTGTATCACACCACATGGTAATAATATAAATAGACAATTACAGGATTACTAAAAACTGAGGGTTTTAATATCAGACTGTGAAAAAGGACAATCTCTATATTTACAGGAGGTCTTATATTTGAATGGGTCACCTCCCCTGATTGAAACCTGGGAAAGAATCAGTCCTCTCTGAGTGGAAAAAAATCCCCCTAACCCAGAGCCAATGGTAGTGCAGCTTAGCTGTGCCCCATTTCTTCAAAACCAAATCACTTTTTATCTTCATTCACAGAGAATGAGTCGGTTCAAGACAGCTTTCCTCTCTGATCACATCAGACACCTGAACCTGCAGGAGTCCTGCAGGCTGCAGGAGAATAGAGACCGAGCCGAGAAGAAACAAACTTGGAGGAGAAAAGTGTGAAACATCTCTTGTATTAAAAGAGACCTCCCTCGTGTCCTTGGATACTCCTCCTTAGCATCTATTCAGATTAATTTAAGCTTGGACAGTTTGGATCCCTTGTATACCCCTTCTTGTAAAAATGACTCCAGAAATAATTTTGACAAGTAAGTCTGGAGTCCAAGAGTTTTTAATCTTCGTTCACTGTCATTTTTCTTTTACGAAAAAATCATCAAACACCTGCAGCCATAGCCAGGCAGCAGCCTAATAATAGCCTGCATCGAACTATATGAAAAGCCATACAAAGCTCTTCTTTCACTGAGGTGCGATATTCACACCTCTGTAACATCTCACCTTCAAAATAAATGTCACAGAGGTGCCATTGTGTCCTGCCACAGCTGTTTGGTGAAATACTAGAGGGTGAGACGGGTTCACTGCGAATGGAGCAGGCTAGGTGCAACAGCACTGTGTGTACACGTACATGAGTGTGTATATGTCTGGATGACATTTCTTGTCCTGGTTTGACCTGGACTGTCCTATTTCCAAGCTCTGTCTGTGGCCTGAGTCCCAAACTGTGGTCATTTTCAGAGTAGAGGTACCAACATGAAAAGTTAAAACAAGTAAACTCAAACGATGGGTACAGGGGAAAGAAGGTGCACTGATTACAAAGCCAATCCTACACAAACACATGCTCAAACACAGAGTTGTGGTGATGTCAAAATATCTATATGAAGGTTTGGGATGCTATGAAGCTCCCACTGTGTCTTAAATGCTGTAATGCAATCTAAAAACCACAAACTGGGACTCTGATTTCACACTGTTGCAGGATCAGTGTGAGCCTACAGAGGTGCTGATGCTGAAGCTGCAATACAATGGCGGAAAGAGCTTTGGTTTGGAGCATGGTATGCTCTGTGGTCAGGATTGATGAGTATAACTTTGCATCTTGGGACTTTAAGACTGAACATTAATTTTCACACAGAGATCTGGTTTTACTTCAAGGGTCAATCTTTGGTTCAGATGGGCTCTCATGGATATGGATCAGTTGTGTACCTGGTGCCTTATGAAACCAAAATGTAATTTGTGTGTTTCAGTTTTGAGTGACCCTGTTAACCGGCAGTGTCCTGCCCCCTGAGACAATAACATGATATGGGAAGTGAAGCCAAGGTCCAAGATTGAACACAATCACAGTTTGTTTTGTTTGTATCTGGTTGTTAAAGTGTCCCGTCTGTCCTGATGTGAAATGTTTTTCTAGGTCCAAATGTTCGTTCTTTACTTGCCAGTAAACACTCACTCTCCTCGGCTATTTGTTGGCCTAAATCAGGAATTAAAAGTCTATACATCAACAAAACATGATGAACATTAAAAGAGCAACATGTCATCTACCCATCCTTGGAGTCCATCCAACAGAGTTTGAAGGGATATTCCGGCATAAATTTAAGTAAATTTTAAGTAATGGTCAACACCCCCCACCCCCCCACCACTGCATGACAGCAATACACAGCGATCTACGTCTCCACGTGCACACCTTAACCAAAAAGCCACTCTTTAGCAATAATGCTCAGAACAGCACCTAACTTCATCAACAGTACATAGTACTAAAAACCAAACATCTTTTTAGCTTTGCCTAATTTCTTTAGCAAAGAGACTAAACGCAACTCACCTACTGTCTTTCGGTAGCCACTTGTTTGTGGGGGGAGCTCTGACGAGTCGATCACAGAGTGCAGCAGATCATGTCCTTGAAGTAATAGTCATCATATCAATCATTTTGCACTGCAGATGCAGTAGTTCTTCTGCCTGAGCGTCTCGGTCTCATTGCATTTCCATGAAGTAATAATCATAAATGTTCTTACTTGAGCTGTAGAACTCCACTGCACTCGGTGATCAACTCGTCACGGCTCCCCCACAAACAACTCAGTGTTATGGTGTTTGACTATAACTTAAATTTGCGCCGTAGTATCCATTTAAGGTTAAACCAGCCCAAGACGGCAGTGTGGCATATATTATACTGGCTAAGAGATGTATGTACAACTAGGTGGGGGGTGTTCATCGTTATCTGACTCATCTCTGACAGCTGCTCTGAAAACAGTAGCTGCAAACAGCCGTGAGGCATGTGCTGAGGTTGTTTACCTGACATAACCCCACCACCCAGTCTGAAAACAGTGGGCTCTTCTTTCCACTGGGTTTTAAGACTGTGGGATCTGTACAGATTTATGTTTAAGACAAGGAAAAGTTCAGGACTTCATAACTTTGGGTTCATCTGAGAGGCCTTGCTGTTAACAACAGCCTTGGTGATATGTGTATCAAGTGTATTAGCAGAATCACTGGTGTATAATGATTGTTAAATGTTTGTAATACTTCAGCCAAACATGGAAGCCCCAGATAGAAGAGACCCATGATTAGCATGGAGCATCTCAAATATAACAGGTTTAAACTTATATGATCTGCTATCGGAGACCATTTTAAACAGAGCTCACTGTTAAACTGTTATCGAAGTTAACGTCTTTGTTAACTGAATAGTGAACAGTTCCAGTTAACTTTGCCTTCTCTGCTGATCAGTTAACAACAGTGAGGGACACAGCTCTACAGCATGCTAAAAAAAGATGTGCTTT